AAACATGTGGAAATTCACGGCAAATATCCAGGGCAGCATGTTACTATGATTTCCTTCGCCATTTTACATGTTTGTTGTCACTCAAGGAAAGTCGAAGTCATATCGGAATGAAAAGAATCACATTTGCAAATTTTCATGCATTCACCCTACAGCTTTTTATCACAGTTAAAACTCGATTTCATTTAAAAGTACAATTAGTAGTTCAAAAATGCTTTTGAAACTCCTACTGGTAGAAAAATAAAAAAGTAAGCAAAACAACCTAGTAAATTACAACTTTATACAGAGGCGAAGAAAGTTCCTGCAAATTGTCTTTAAAAAAGCAAACTGGCATACCCTGAGTGAGCAATAAAAATTGAAATCATATTGGAACTGGTTACGCTGAGGGGCGACATTGAAAACAAACGGAACTTTGAAGAAACGGAACATAAATTGGCTGCACCCTCACCTTAACCAAGGTTTGGCAAGTCAGATGCAAACAATTAATGGCAAACAGAGGTTTCAATACAGAGATAAAAGCTTCTTGCTCTTGCACCAGTCCCTCTGAGCGTTACTTGGTAATTCTTTAATGCAACCCTATTTAATTATGTAAGTGCTGCCTTGTAGATGGTGAATTTTCCCTTACAAAAAAGTGATGCAGACCGAGATGTGCACTCAAGCTTAAAGCCAAAACTTGGTTTGTATAACTATAAATAAATTTGCGATTCCCCTCACAAAAACTTAAATAATTTCATTCGCAAAATACTTTCGCATCGTCCTTTCGAATTTCGATTATGCGCTATGTTTGTTTGGAACTTTTGAGGAAAGAGCCAAAGGAACAGAAAGAAAGTGTCTACTGTTGAACACAAAGTCCCTCTAAATTTTAGATTTCATAACTGAATTTTTTGCCATGAGTTGTACGACGTGGAGACGCAGTCCTAAAACATTAGTGAGGGGCAATAAGGAGCAGTAAAAAAGACTTTTTAAACACGCACCAAAAAGAGGCCGGCAGCCCCAATCACAGCCTCTTTTTCAGCAAGCTTCTTCCAGTCCGTCCTCTGACTAAGGTTACCAAAATGGTGGGTTCATTTTTGACTAGTATGACCAATCTTGCTTTATTTCACCAATCTTTTCTTCATTTTGACTTTAAGGTATGCCAAAAACCGTAGAGGGCCATTTAATTTATGTTTTCCCCAAACTTTAGGGTATCGACATCGACCACAGGTTCGAACGAAAGAAGCACAGGAAGCAGCCTGCCTCCAAAGATGTCTACCTTCGCCTCCTTGTGAAAGTAAGTTCCCTTTCTTGTAAGACTTCCTTCATGTTGATTTTAAGAAGTATCACAAACATTGGTTGATTCTGCTATTGACGCCAATGTTTGTTCTGGATCTTGTGACTGACCAGACAGTAAAGTTTATCTATCCACTCTTCCCGAGATCTCGGACTTTCTACAATTTTTCAACTTAAAGTGTGCATTTATTTATGTTTTTAAATTATCTCATGTGCAATAGTTAAATTGACTTTAGAAGATAGCCTGTACGTTTTTCAAATTGAATTTTCTCAAAACAAAACATTTCCAAGTGTGTTCAGTTCTTAGGTTTTTTTCTGGCCTTTAACAAGAGGTTACACTGGAAAAAGTAAGCCCTTTGTAGCAGATATGTAGTGATGATTTCGATTTGGAATGAGGGTGTTTCGTTATTCATGAAATAAAATATGTGGTAGTTAATTTAACTTTCGCGAGTTTATTTAGTAAATTAAAAGTTAAATTAAATTTTTTACTTTTCTAGTTGTACAGGTTCTTGGCCAGGCGTACCAACTCTACCTTCAACCAAGTGGTCTTGAAAAGGCTCTTTATGAGTAAAACTAACAGGCCACCACTTTCATTGGCAAGGATTGTAAGTTGTAATTTTTTACAAATGGTTTTGCTTATTCTTAAAAGATTGTTTTTGAACTGACAAATTATATAGGCATCCTTTGGTTATAATCAGTGCAGTAAATTATTAGACAAATTATCACTGCAATACATTGTTGATCATGGAAAGAGTATTTGCTCACAAATACCCAATAAAACAGTAGCATTTGGTTAATCCCTGTCACTGTAATATTTTCATCACTCCCAAGTCCCAGTAACAAAACTTGAGAATATTCAGTTGTTTGCCTTGCCAATGATATGCAATCTCAGACTGCAGAGTATGGCTGTTCTTGACAAGAACTGGCGTGTGTGCACTTATTTCAAGCATTTCTACCGTGTGCAATCAATGTTTATTTTTCATCTGGCATGCAAAAAAGAAGGTTTTCATAATAGGGCTATAGTGAATTGGGTGTCCCAATAATTATGTACGAAGAATGAGTACATGAAGGGGGGATTTTGCTCGGCTCGATGGGCATCCATATATATATATATAATTTATATATATATATATGTAGAATTGTTGCCAATTGTGTAACAATGGATCGGCATTTTGATGAGTTCAACAATGGATACATAGAAGCCGAATTCAAAGGCGTGAGACAATCGAAACAATGCAGGCATTGAATGCCGAAATCAAAGGATTTTCCCAATTTTCCTAAACGAACAATCGAGAATCGTGAGTTTCCCGATTAAGTAGGCAATTGAGATTCGCTAATCGACACTTAGGTCTATAATTGTGCTATTAAATTGGGTTCGGCTGCTAGCCTGAGATCCCCTTTGTGGTCATCCTCTTAGATTCGACCAATCACCTCTAGTTTTGCTCGTGACGTTGGGCAGTTAAAATTGGTTCTGCACGTGCATGTTGAACGGTAGCCAGAATAGATCAGAAACTTCTCGTAATCGAGAATGGTGCTTTCATCCTGTCAAGCGTCAACGTAATTAGACGTATAATTTGCAATTTGCTATGTGGGATACAAAAGAAAGTGCGGGAATATGCGATTTCACGTTTCACGAGTTTCTGCAAGAATTAACTTTCATGCAAGGAACTCGGGACATTTAAAGAGTCTGAAGCAAGGGCGGGAAATTCGAATATATTGCAAGTGTTACAAATCTGTTGAGTTTTTCGCAAGTTTTGTAAAGTCGGTAAAAGTTATTCGAAAGTTTCCAGGCTATGCAAAATTGTCGCAAAATGCTTGCAGGTACTTTCCAGTTTTCTCTAGGGTTTATCCAAAATTCATTCCAAATTCTTCAGACCCCGTTGGATAAGGTAGTTTGGTGTAGGAAAAACATAGAAACAACGGGAATTTGTTAAAAGTCTGTCAGACTAACAGTTACGAGAATGATCAATCAATCATTTGGGGAACTGTGACTACATTTCTTAATCAAACGGTTCAATTGCCGAATTAAAGAAATCTTTGCACTCGCAACTAGGAAGTTTACGAAATTAAAAGTTTGGCTGCTCACAATTACGTACGAAAGATTCCCCTTCGTAATCAAGTAATTGCACTGCCGCGAGATCATTATGCTGGAACCATTTTGTCAGCGCTGGTCGTTAGAGATCGTTAGGCACGCATCGATTTCTCCTTCTTGCAAAGGTTGATAGTGGAATCAAAAGATCTGGGTTTGTAAACTTACTGCGTCATAGCAGTTCCCGCCGTTTATCAAGAAACTGTAAATATGCGAAACGCATTTTGATAAAGCAACCGAATAAGAATAATTATTCGTGTTATGCTATCAAGCAAAAAATGTCCTTCGTCATATCAAAAAAACAAAATCCCAGTTAGGTCCCTCTCACAGAGCCCCAATATATGAGTTGTGTAAAGATGCTGCGTCATAGCTTGTGCCGCCGTTTTTTTAGGCATTCTCATAAAACATAAAGGTTCTTAGTTGTCTGGGAAACAGACTCGAAGCGCATCGAGAAAAGTTCAGACTTTTAATACATTTGGAATCTTCGTTGTCGTCATCATCATCAGCATCATCATCATCATCATCATCATCATCATCATCATCATCATCATCAATCATCATCATCATAATCATCATCATCATCATCATCATCATCATCATAATCATCATCATCATCATCATCATCATCATCATCATCATCAATCATCATCATCATCATCATCATCATCAATCATCATCATCATCATCATTATCATCATCATCATCAATCATCATCATCATCATCATCATCATCATCATCATCATCATCATCATCATCATCATCATCATCATCATCATCAGTTTTGTCCACATCGCCAATTCATAATATCGAAGTACCATTCCTCCACATTCTTCGTACATTGCAAAAGCCGTGCTATTTTTTTGGTATGCAGTACAACACTGGCCTCATGGGGGTTTGCATCTGCCATGCTCTGTAGACTGGATGCAACTTTTTATTGATTTACATGTGAAACAATATGTAAAGTACCTTGATGAATTCTAAAACCAGTCTAACAGAAACTGGCTGGCTAGGCTGATGGGCTTAGATGTTGAAATAGAGGACTAGATCATCCTTATTTGTTGCTAACTATTTTATCAGAGAGACTGAAACATGATAACAAAACACTAGTTATATAAATGGAAGTTAAAAGCAAAAAAAAGCATGCCACATTACATGCTGATTTGAAAAAAGACACATTGTCATGAACAGGCATTAATGGATGCAGAAGGACTATGCACAACATGTAACTTTAATTTGCAACCAAAGTATTACTAAAATGTAATGATAAAAGTAAATATAGTAGGTGTATATCTAATTTATTTATATAAGTATATATATGCGCACATAATGTATAGCTTTATGTGGGTATATATAAAGTCTTTATGCAGAACCTAGAAGGGCCCTTGAGGAAAGAATATGTTTTCAGTCCTGTAGCACAAAAATTGTTGAGGGCATATGATGATATGGTTAGGTAAAAAATACTTGTAATGTTAAAGATTTTTCTATTAATTCATAGGCAAGAAGAGTGAAGAAGCCTGGCTGTGAGAACAAAATAGTTGTATCTGTTTCAACTGTGACTGATGACAACAGGATTCATGAAGTTCCCAAGCTTACTATCTGTGCTCTGAGATTCACAGAAGGAGCAAGAGCCAGGATCCTTAAGGCTGGTGGAGCATGCCTGACCTTTGATCAGTTGGCTTTGATGGCACCAACTGGCAAGAAGACTCTCTTGATGCAAGGTATCGCTTGTGCTATTTTTATTGCAATAGTTGCTTCATAGTTTTCAAGACACTTAGGAACTTTGCTTACAGAGCAGTGTCCCGATCCTTCCTTTCTCTCAATGTGACAATACCTCCTGATTCCTTAACCTGGAATTGCAAAGAGCTGGCAACTCCCCTTACTTTAAGTGGAAGTTTGGTTATATCAGGGAGCACTTTAGAACCTGGATTACTCACTTGTGATTTCCAGATGTTTCTTTTATGTATGTTTTTTATATGAGCAGTCACTTATATGATCGCTGTACTCTTCTCGCAGCTGCAGAAGCTGTATATGATAACATTTTTTAGAAAATAACAACTCTAATAAATTGAATGCTGTTTAAGAAAATTTACAAATGGGAGCTTAGAAATGAAAAAAGACAATTATATAAAAACTCCTTTATGTTGTAAGTTTTAGTTAAAGTTCAATTGACAACTTTAAACCTCGAATTCATTTTGGTGATATGAAAGGCATTGTCCTCATAAAGAGTGCAGTGTTGTCAATGGAACTCCAAATAAAATGCTGGCAAAATTTCAGTTTAATTGTGATTTGATTGGTTAAAACTGAGTTAATTAAGTATTGGTTTAAGTCAAGTTGTGTATATATCTTAAGCTTCTTACTTTGTTAAATGTGTCTTAATCTTTTCATCAAGGCCCAAGAAATGCTAGAGAATCTTGCAAGCACTTTGGTCTTGCTCCTGGTGTCCCACACAGCAAGACTAAGTATGTTCTTAAATGATTATTTTGATTATGTTATGCATTGGTTCTCTTTTTCCTTTCAACAGCCAATTTTTTTAAATGTCAAATGTGAAGTCGATCAGCTTGATGCCTACCATAGCATGCCTTTTTTGTTTAATCCATGGTTACCCACCATGTCCATTATCATATCAAATTATCCCTGACAGGGAAAAATCACCAGGATCAACCTCAATATTCCACTCTTCCTATTTGACATTATTTATGTGAATACGTGTTTCTTTCACTTCATTTCACAACCCACAATATCTTGACTTTTGATTATAAATCATGTTATGCAGGAAACCTGGCTGGCAAATGTAGATCAAACACTATTTGTTACAAACATTTATTTCTAGCAATTCTTTGCAATATATTCTCATATATGGCTTCTAGGCTGTTTCATTTTTTCATGGATGTTTAGCTCAATGTTTGACTAGATGCCTTCATTGAATAGAGTCTCACTTTTTGGAAAAATGGCCTTTGTATTATCATTATATTGACTGTGACATTTCTACTAAACTACTTGACTACTGGGCTGAATATTTCTTCTTTTTTTCTTTTAGGCCATTTGTCCGCTCTAGAGGACGTAAATTTGAGATGGCAAGAGGCAGAAGAAAGAGCCGAGGTTACAAGGTTTAAATTCAAAAAGTTGATACTATCAAATGAAGAAACTGTATCTGAGAAAAGTGTCTGTTTTTGTTGTCCTCTGTTCTGGGTATTGAATGAGTATCAGATGTTTGCTGGTCAATGTGATGAAGCTTTCCAAACCATAAAAACATTGTCATATAAAATTGTTGCATAAACGGCATATTTTATTCCTTACTTTTAATGAAGTGAAATTGATAGTGCTGTTCTGACAATTTGTTGTCAGTAATTTTTCTGTGGTGCACTGTGCATGGAACTGTTTACTGTGTATCTCTCCATATTAATTTCACCAGCATTAAATATGATTTACTGATGAAATTTTGCCAAAGTAGGAAGTGTTTGATAATTGTCAAAAGTCTGTGGGTCAAATTCTTGCGATTTTGGCATATGACATGGTGGCCAAATAAAGAAACATGTTATGCAACATTTGAATAACACAAATGTAATATGGCAATGTTTGGTCCTATTATGTGTCTCTATTAAGTTTTGCAAGTGGTGGGCTGTCCTTATTCAAAGACGTTCCAAAAGACCTGTATGTGTTTTTATACTTGTGCCCCTAATTTTCAAACCCAAACCCATAGAAATTAAACCCTATTCAGAACAAAAAATCAGCAAGATCACACAATGTTGAAAATTTGCATTGCTTAGTTTCATACTGTCTCCATGCCTGAAAAAATCTTATTTGCAATTTACTTACTCAAGGAGGGTTAGTAGAGGTAGAGCATGGGCCTCCAAAATTCTAGCAGGTCGCATAACCAAAAAGTTTGCTGATCGAGGAACAAATTTTTGTAGCTAATGTGTAAATTGCAATGTGCAGTTGTACTGAGTAAACAGGAGCTCATGTTGTTTTTGAACTTCTCACTCGTGACAGTGTTGCGAGGATGGCTCAGTTGTTAGAGGCGCTGACTACACTACCCAAGGGTCCGTGGTTCGAGTCCCTGGCATGACCAAACTTTCACCCAGCTCTCTGTGATTCCAGGCATAGGAATCATGAGGTCTGGTCACATCAAGAGGAAGGACCAGGACACTGCTTGATAAGCATAAGCTTCTCAGTGTCCTAAAAACTACCTTCAGATGCTGAGTAGAAACAAGTACAAATGCAAGTTTTGGTTTGTACATTATCTCTGTAAGTTATTTTTAATACATTCATTTCTATATGTTGATAAAAAAATTGGGCTCCCAAATTTCAAAATCGTGACTACCCTGATGGATCTACCCAAAGGAGGTAAATTCCCCATAGAGTTCTAAAGCGTGACGTCACCAACAACCTATTTTTAGAACTTTAGCCACAAAAAATCACAATGAATACTTCCAAATATGCAAAATTAGTCGTACATGCCTTGAATCGGTTAAGATATTGCCAATGAAAGATTTAAAGTTGACTTATGAATGAACAGAGACCAATGTACAGAGGCAGCTAATTCGAAACCGATGGGCTGATTTTCCACATTTAGTGGTATTTCATGATGCTCTTTTGCTCTTTCAGGTTGTGAGATCCAAATTCAAAAGTTTAAAAATATATTTTTGTGACGTCTTCACTCTAACTTAACACCCTCTTCCTGAAAGCGAGGCGCGTTGCCTGGTACAAGGAAACAAGTTTGCTGTAATCTTCAGTTATCAAAATTATCAAAATTTGGTCATCTACGAACGAATGATCCTCGTTTTCAGTTTCCGTCCTTCACTTTCTTTTCTTTTACGAGGCTGGTTGTTAGCTCTTAAAAGCAGAGAAAAATGGATGCTCAAATGTGTGATTTGAAGAAAAAAATTGAGGCTGCCGAGCAAAAGTTGAGGGCCCTAAAGGAAATTAGGGTATCAGACCCACACTCAGTAGATGCAAGGCCCGAATCTGAATGTTATAATCCATTGCGAATAATAAGCAATCGACGCAGACCGCGACCATACGTAAAACAGAAGAAGGTCAACTCTGAATTTGTCCCTATACCAGAAGATATTGCAACTAATCCAGAGTTAATACAGACAGGTGGGAAAGTTGAATGTAACTGTGTTTATACTATTTGGATCCTAGTTTCATCATATAGTTTTCTATCATCTTTCTACCATCTAATTTTGTTTATTTACAACGTGATGTTTGGGCTATTATTGTTTCAATTGTGTTTCATATCGTGTCATAGTTTTCGAAAAATATAACTATCAAAAGCAGTTTTAACAAAGCACTTGTGGTGCAACTGGCAAGCACATTTCTCAGATACTGAGAAAAGATTCAGGTTCGAATCCTGATGAGTGCAACTGCATTGGTACATTCTGTAGTTTGTGATACGCTTTATAGCGTCTATGTGTTTTTGTAGATATGTTTTTATCGGTGTTAATATGTTGTCTGTAAAATGTATTTTGTATATGATATTATGAAATGTTTTTTAAACATGTATTATAAATTTTTTTGTGCATACACAGACATTAACTCTGAAGTGGAATCAGAAGATGAAGACGCTTATTTTCAAGCAAATGAAGAAATTGATGAATTCGAATTTTATGATGAGCAGGTGTTACCTTGAAATTTTCTTAACTAAAGTTATATTATGGATTACAGATTATATTATAATTATATTAACCTCACTAAAGTCAAATTCATGACCACCTTATACAGGGAAACCTCTTTACAACAATGACTCTCATAAGCAAACAGATTTCTTTGTTACAAGTAGACAAAAAGATCTTATAATAATCAAAACAATTTAACCTCTATACAACTGACGCCTCTGTACAACAGAAATAACATGTTTTCCCTTATTTTTGAAATCCACTTTATACTGTTTTGTAAACTGTACACTGTTTGATTCTCTGCATTATTGTCTCTATTAAATATTTTAATTGGCATAGCAATGATCAACAACCTCAGATTCACACTTCTGATGGAGAATTAGGGTTTTCCAATCCCTGGTAGCCTGTTGTAAAAGTGAGATGAAAACTCTTACCCAATGAAAACTCACACAGGAGAGGTTTATGATACCTGAGAGCAATGCCAAAAAGCCCCAATGAAATTTTAATGCATTACTGATATTTAATGCATATTTCTAGAATAGAGTGCATAGTGTAGTTAAAAGATTCATAGAAAGTTGCCAATTTGGCAAAGTTTTTCAGTAAAATTATCATGATAATTTTATTCAAGTCTCCTACAACCCAAAAAAGAAACACTGAGTTTATACTTTTGGTTTTGGAAACTGATCCGTCATATCCTCAAACTATACCTTTGTTGTTCTAGCATTGACTCATAAAGGCATAGCCTTTATCATTGGGACATTTCTTGCACTCCTTCATATAGACAATGAAGGCATGCTGTTTTTTATTTTCCAATTTCATAAAGTACTAGTTTGTAAGAAATATTCATTTTTCAGCCAAATCATCAAAGTGCTCAAGACTCTTTCAAGGTAGTATGTGGTATCTGTTTAAAGATTGTTATAATTATATATATTCATTTATATATGTTTTATTGTTCTAATCAACATTGTGCTCCATGTATTTATGGATTAACAGAATACTAATCTTGCTTTTAACTAGACTAAATTGCCTGCAGGTATAATGAGATGCTATGTCAGTAAATGATGAAGTTGGTTATTATAATAAATGCTAGTATTAATTTCAGGTCGCATCAACTCCAGAGCAAGTATATGTTTATAATGTTCTTCGGTCACAAGCAATTGTGACTGTTAATGATACATTCACAAGATTTTTGATCCAGGATTTTGACACTGGAAGGAATATGTTGAAGGTAAATACAAGGTCTAACAGCTTTGTCTAATAAATTATTATTTTCTTTTTTCTCATTTGAAGGGTATTTGTTATAATATCTTTTATAAAGATTAACTGTAACTTGTTAAACATCTTAAACACTCAGCTTCTTATTTCTCTTAATTTTTGCACAAGTTGTTATTAAATTGTTGTATTTTTACTTCCAGCAGGCTGAATGAAACTTAGATATATGATTGTCAAATGTTGTATATAAGTAACCTGCTATTGATTTGAACATATAAACCGATTGAAGAAAACTGCAACAGAATATTATAGGAAAAGTTTTCTTTTCAGAATAAGGCATTCAAATTCGTAAAAAGGGAGGTGTTTTGTCTTCAAGATGACTCTTGTTGGATATATTCATGTTCCTGTGATGATACCAGAAAGATATACACCAACATGATGAATAAACATATTCCAAACAGAACTATTGCTGGTCAGTTCAATTAATGATATCCCTTTCCCATACAATTGGTAATATCATTCTGAAATTTAACTTAATTTTCAACATGATTAACATCATAAGGTTACGGTAAATATTTTCCGGATGAAAACATCAATTTTTAGATTTTTTCACATTCTAATAGCTGACGTTTCAAGGCAAACAATGCTGCTAGGTTGAAACTAACAGAAGTTTTGAAAATGGAAAGAAATCCCATGTAGACCAAGGTTTTCATAATTTTTTTAAAGTCTTAAGTTTAGGTCTGAGAATCTGTTTGCCTGTTAAGCCCTTTATCGTTGCTTGTCGTTGTTGCCCCCATCCTCGATTGACAACAACTAGTTACCATCTTATGGCATGTTCGTGTATCTTATGTACGGCTGTGTTTAATAACTTCAATTGGTATGACCCGGATATCTATAGTCTTTTTTAAGGAAATACTACTGGACGTAATCATGACCAAGCCTGGCTGGTAAAACGTGTTGGAAGATAAGTGATAATGTGGTCGCGTGAAATGTTTTTTGGATTTTCAAGCAATGGTCTTCAAAATGCAATATTATTGTCTTAGTGTTAAAACTTTGCTTTAATAGTAACTTTTGCGTTACCTTTAATAGTTTTGCCTTTGATAGTAAATAGAGAATAGCAAAGATAAGATGTGTTAAAAGTTTTTGGAGGTCAAAATGCTAAAGGTCAATATTCTGCAGATTTAGTGTGGGGCGAAGCCCCTCAGCCTCTAAGCTTTTGCAATTTTTGTGACAAATACAATTGCATCACTGGTTGCCACGAAATAAATTTAAGTAACCGAATTTATCTTCATGTTTTCTCTCACCATTTTTCAACTAAATATTTTGCGTCGTTTAGAAATTAACGAACAAGTAAACACAAGTCATCCACCATGCATTCACATAACCGCTTGTAAGCAAATGCTATCAATATGGGACGACCTACATAACATCACACCAAGATTACCAGACGCAGGTAGGGAGGCTACAACAAATTTTTGCATCTTCCTAGAAACACCTCAATGTATCGTGTCAAATTAGAATAAACGAACTACGCCCACTTTAAAGTTAGATAACATGAAATTAAAAGAGAAAGCATAGTCTTAGAAAGGTATTTCATATAGGACAAAAGTCGCCAGTTAAAGTGAAAATTGGTTGTCCTTTGCACCTTTGCAAGTAACATATTATTTCAAGTGATATTGAAATTGAAGGCTAAGCCGTTCTATCGGATGAAAACGGAGTTGCTTTCATAGAAAATAATCATATTCAGAATGGAGATGAACTTCAGTCGTTCCAAATATCATTTTATTACTTTTTATCACAATTTCGTACATCGAGTATCAAATTTTGATACGCGATCTACACTCACTACCCAGTTCTTTCAAGTGATATTGAAATTGAAGGCTAAGCCGTTCTATCGGATGAAAATGGAGTTGCTTTCATAGAAAATAATCATATTCAGAATGGAGATGAACTTCAGTCGTTCCAAATATCATTTTATTACTTTTTATCACAATTTCGTACATCGAGTATCAAATTTTGATACGCGATCTACACTCACTACCCAGTTCTTTCAAAGTGATATCTGAAATTTGAAGGCTAAGCCGTTCATCGATGAAAATGAGTTGCTATTCATAGAAAAAATAATCATCATTCAGAATGCGAGAATGAACTTCAGCGTTCCCAAATATCATTTTATTATTTTTAGTCACAATTTCGTACATCGAGTATCAAATTTTGATACGCTATCTACAATCATCTACCCAGTTCTTTCAACGTGATATTAACATGAAGGCTAAGCCGTTCGTTTCGAAGAAAATGAGATTGCTTTATAGAATAAACAATATTCAGCAATGGAGTAGAACTTCAGTCGTTCCAATATCATTTAACTTTTATCACAATTTCTACATCGACATTATAAATCTTTTGATACGCCGATCTAACACTCTCACTACCCTTCTTTCAAGTGATAATTGTAATTGAGCATACGAGCCGTTCATCGCGATGGAAAACGGAGTTTGCCTTTCATAAAAATTAATCAATATTCAGAATGGAGATGAACTTTAGTCGTTCCAAATATCATTTTATTACTTTTTATCACAATTTCGTACATCGAGTATCAAATTTTGATACGCGATCTACACTCACTACCCAGTTCTTTCAAGTGATATTGAAATTGAAGGCTAAGCCGTTCTATCGGATGAAAACGGAGTTGCTTTCATAGAAAATAATCATATTCAGAATGGAGATGAACTTCAGTCGTTCCAAATATCATTTTATTACTTTTTATCACAATTTCGTACATCGAGTATCAAATTTTGATACGCGATCTACACTCACTACCCAGTTCTTTCAAGTGATATTGAAATTGAAGGCTAAGCCGTTCTATCGAATGAAAACGGAGTTGCTTTCATAGAAAATAATCATATTCAGAATGGAGATGAACTTCAGTCGTTCCAAATTTCATTTTAATACTTTTTATCACAATTTCGTACATCGAGTATCAAATTTTGATACGCGATCTACACTCACTACCCAGTTCTTTCAAGTGATATTGAAATTGAAGGCTAAGCCGTTCTATCGAATGAAAACGGAGTTGCTTTCATAGAAAATAATCATATTCAGAATGGAGATGAACTTCAGTCGTTCCAAATATCATTTTATTACTTTTTATCACAATTTCGTACATCGAGTATCAAATTTTGATACGCGATCTACACTCACTACCCAGTTCTTTCAAGTGATATTGAAATTGAAGGCTAAGCCGTTCTATCGAATGAAAACGGAGTTGCTTTCATAGAAAATAATCATATTCAGAATGGAGATGAACTTCAGTCGTTCCAAATATCATTTTATTACTTTTTATCACAATTTCGTACATCGAGTATCAAATTTTGATACGCGATCTACACTCACTACCCAGTTCTTTCAAGTGATATTGAAATTGAAGGCTAAGCCGTTCTATCGGATGAAAACGGAGTTGCTTTCATAGAAAATAATCATATTCAGAATGGAGATGAACTTCAGTCGTTCCAAATATCATTTTATTACTTTTTATCACAATTTCGTACATCGAGTATCAAATTTTGATACGCGATCTACACTCACTACCCAGTTCTTTCAAGTGATATTGAAATTGAAGGCTAAGCCGTTCTATCGAATGAAAACGGAGTTGCTTTCATAGAAAATAATCATATTCAGAATATCATTTTTTTTATAAGTGATTGACGTTTATCTTCTCTAATTTTACTATAGGGATTGAAATGGAGCATGGATATAGCAAGGTATGGTTTAAGATTTTCTTCGCTTGCTATTTGTTTTCCTTGTTGCTTTCTCTTAATTTACACCAAGACCTGTAATGAGGTTGCCATTTGCTTGATGCTTTACGGTTTATTCAAAATTGTGAAAAGTATGCCTTTTTATACAATTTTATACAACTTTTGTGGTTTTAATTTTTATCATAATCATAAGATTAATCTTTCTTCGCTGTCAGGGGTACCCAATCGTTAAAGCCTTAGATCTCGGTGAGCCAATGGTTTTGGTTGCAAATCATGACGACCATAATGAGGACCAATCAGTTGTTGGTGTAGACAAGAAAGGTTTTGTATGCCTTTGCTGTAAACATGGAAGACATTCCTGCGAACATGTGAAGTGCATAACTTCAATGACAAAGGAAGAAACAATACCCGACAGTTTGGTTGAGATGGCCAGCAGAAGTGATTTTTTCCAACATAGGCATCAAAATGTGTATGTTAGAAAGCCAGTCTCAACCTCCAAAATATCTATGGAGACTCTTCCACAACAGCGGAGTGTTTATGAAGGGACATTTGCGGATGCTGTAATGGAATCACTGCAAGGAATTCTTTTAGTTCCAGATTTTGATGGCAGTTGTTGCAAATTATGTGGGGAAACCTTTATTGACAATTTTATTTGGCAACCTGGTGTGAGACTCATTTCACGTAGTTTCATTAAGTCCGTGAGTGGTAAGTAGGGTCTCTAAATATTTCCTATCTATGAAAAGCTGATTATATTTTTGTTTTTTTGCCATTAAATTTTTTTGGGAGTACAGATAAAAAGCTTTTATAAAGAAGCAGGTATAAAGGTAAATGCCTAGCCAGAATCGCCTCTTATTTGAATGAATATAAAAAACACCATTGCTGAAAACTTTTTTACTTTGTTACTTAAAGTCTTGACTTCTTTTATGGATGTGCTGTAGCTGAAAATATTGGCAAATTTATTAAGGTATCCATGAAATGACACTGAGAGTAACATGAACTGATTTTGAATAAAGCTTTGTAAACATTCTCTCACAAACAAAGGATGTTAAGATACACGAAAAGAACCTTCGACTACTAGCAATAGAACAATACAAAGACAGCAAATTACTTGAATTTTTTTACTTCAGTAGAAGAAATACTTCAGTTAAATGAAGAAATGAGGTAAATAACGATTTTTCAAAAAGTGCTTTTCCGTCACAAAGGTTGCTGTTTTCATTAACCAACCGTTTATATAAAAGATACTGAACAATGTCACTTATGGGCTGGATGAAAAATTGTGGAACTCTTTACCACCTTTACCACATTCGGTTAATTGAATATTGTGAAGCTTTCAAAACCAAAAATTAAACAAGCCGATCTTGCGCGTGTAGACTTTGCACACCATATATTTCTAACATTGGATACTTGTAAGCATCACGTTTATCGCTACTTATATTGTCTTTGTTAGAAGTCGGTTTAAGTTAACTGTTTAGTAGCCATCATTATGAAAACCAACGTGAAAAGAGTCTCTTTCTAAATTTGATGCTGCAGGAGAGGGGGAGAAGCAAGGCTTAAAGCTAATGCCTTCAAATGACATGCATATCCTAAAAAGAAACAAATTTTCCAGAAACTGAAAAGTTAGATTAAGGTAATTTAGATTGCTATTTTCATAGTTCCAGAGAGAAAGTGCCCCAATGAAAACTGTTCCGCAGTACAAAACTATTGTGGTTCCAACAAAGGCATACTGAACATGGGCGATTTTCTGGTTGGCCACGACGTGCTGAAGGATTACATGTTTCGATTTCTCACTGGTAACAGGTAATTTCCCACAGCAATTGTATGCGCATTTCGAAAAATTCCTGCACTCTTCACTTATCAAGGGTTGCAGAGATTGTTAAACGCTGCTTGTTCATCATCCAAAAAATTACATCCAGCAAGTTAAGCAGGGCTCAACCGATTTGAATAAACCCAAATGACTGTTTATAATATGAACAGAGTTAAGAAAACACCCCGACCTTCTTCTGAATGAAAATTTGCCCTTTTGCCTTCCTCAAGATCTTCCTGGCAAATTTTGAAGAAAAGTTTCTTAGAAATGGAATTTAAGTAAAGTCATCCATTATTTACGCTTTGTCAGGAAAAAGGTAAATTTCAGGTACAACAATGTATTCTTTTCATTTTATTTACATTATCAAGTTATGGATTGGCCTTTCTCGAAACTGCTGCACCGTTGGATAACCTTCCTCCGGCTCACAGCCGTAAATCAGTAATGTTTTCTGGACTCTGAGTGTAACCGTTGTATACCCAAGTTAAACCGGATTGAAGCAGGGTTAAGCTAACACAACTCGAAGTGAGTTCAACAGGGGTTAGCTTTCACGTGAACATGAAAATTTGCAATCTGGTTGAACTGAGGTAGATCTTTGATTGCATAAACAAGGCTTCAGCGAAATCTGTATGTCTTTATCATTTGTTTGCAATCATAAAACCTTCGGATAACTATAGCTTATTTGTCCAATTGAAATTACTATGACGATTCATATGAAAAAACCCACAACGACAAAGCTCTTTCTTCAAACATGGGACCACAAGACATTCCTCGAGGTTTATTTCTCAAATTTTGCTTTTGCAGTTCAAGCCTTATCGGCTTCTATGATTCCATGAAGCTCTATATGGAGTTTGGGAGCATGCAGAACAATAAATTGATCAATTATCAACAATGGCGCATGAGCTGGTATGCTTTCCTGGAACTTCTGGATATTAACTTTGACGATGGATATATATGCGACATCTGTGGACAGTATCCTGAAATTGTTTGCTGTGACGCAACGACGCTAGCATTTAAACGGGAATATGCCCAAAGTATCAGAATCGAGAGTATGGAGCCTGAAGAGAAACTGAGAGGATGATAAGTATTTTCTAAATTCTATAAACTTTTTGTCATTATTAAAGTTAGAAATCTTCCTTCTGCCTGTCTTTGCAGTTACAAACAGAGTGTCAAAAAATTGATTTGGCCAAGGAAAAAGATTGTGATGAGCAGCTCTTGTATTCGCTTACTGAAGCTTTACATGAACAGGGGTTTTGCCGATAAGGGATACTCATAGCACTAATACAATGACGATAACAGTTGTGTTATAAGTTACAATCCTGTAAATGTATAGGGTTCATCTAAGATTTTGCAAGGTATGTAGAGAGTCATAAATCTATAAAATTCTATAAATAAGTAAATAAAGAAATAAGTAAATAAATGAGTAAGTAAATAAGTAAATTAACAAAAAGTAAATAAATAACAAGTATATTGACACCTCATGTCACAGTTTCTAACGAAAGATTTTATCTTTACTAGTTTCAGCGAAAGGACCTTGATTCTTGAAGGGTCAATCAGGGATTTGCTTAAGGTTCAAGAAATCGAGTCGACTGCCAAGGCCCAGATGATGCAGCTGTTGAAGGACAGCTACAATGAGGTAAAGATCTATAGAAAGATTTTAAAAAAATAGTTTTCAGTCAAAAAGGTTCCTGTTTTCATTTGAGAAGGATTCTCTAAACAAATATTTCGACTCTCATTTTTTATTATATTCTTAGAAATATTGTAAATTTAAAGATTTAATAATAATAATAATAATAATAATAATAATAATAATGGAAACTTTTCATTTTCAATTCAATTAAAACTACAATTACAAATTTCACTATTACAAAGGTAATTTGCAATCGGCTAGCCTGGGTTTACAAAGAAAAAGACTATTACAAGCACAAACAAAAGAAATTAACAAAAAAAAAAGGAAAAAGTATGTTCGTCATTGTTTGTTTTAGAAGTCGTCAGTAGCAGAGATCGTTAGAACTGAAGAAGTTCAGGATTATTCCAAGATTTATTTCTGCGGCAGAAAATGTAATAGGTAGTACGGATAGTTAAGTTGGATAGTTTGGAGATCATGAAGCGGAGATGATTCTCGCTGATATCTAGAGCGTTGCACATGTCGATGAAAGAGGAGCAAGAGAGACCAAAGATACCTAGGGAACTGATAGAAAGATTAACAAACATGATAGAGGAATAGGCTGAGCTTAGGCTGTGAATGAGATTCGAGTATTTCTCTCTTTTGCGGTTAGCATTAACATCCAAGTTAGTTTCGTATCCTACTGTAAGCTCGAGTATGAATAGTCGATGGTCAGAAGTGACTAGAAGTAGATCAGGACGGAAAGAGTCTCCTGTTATGATAGAGGGTGAGAGATAACCTGAAAGATCTGCGTAAAGAGAGCAATTAGGTATAGCTTTTAAAGATTGTGCTAGGAAGTTCAATGCAGAGTTATGGCGCCATGTGTAACGGCCTTCTTCGAGATATGTTTTGCAGCCTGCAACAATGTGAAGTAACGTTTCTGGCATATGGCAAAAAGAGCAATCGGACGACTGAGTAATGTTCCATTTAGATAGGTTTTTTCGCGTGGCAAGGGAGTTGCTAAGATATTTGATAGTAAAACTGTAAATGTTCTTGGGCATGTTGCTTTGAACCGTGGTCCATATTTTAGAGGCTATAGGAAGAGAGTGGTCAAAGATGAAGGAAAGAACGGTACCTTGAGATACAAGATGGTTTTGAAGGCGCTCTTTATGTTCTGATCTAACAGCCTTCAATACTTCTCTAGTATTCCTGTAAACATCATATTGGATGTTCATGCTCTGGCTGGTATTTTTCCACAAAGATTGGATGTTTTTGTTGGGAGAGGATTTCAGTGCATTACGACAAACAGTTTGACACTGCATGAATTTAACAGAAGGAAGAATCAAGTTAAGACCGAACTGGTTTTTTGACAGAATAATGCCACTTAAAGTAGCACTTATGGGTAAATCGAGCCAACGGCGGATAAATGCAGAAACTTGATTATCAAGGTTTTCGACGATCCAGGTTTTTGATAGATCGGCTACTGTGAGGTGCCACGAAACTTGTGAGAGAAGATAGCTGTTATAAAGAAGCAGCTTATTCTTTGGATGGAGAGGTAAAGAATCAATTTGCGTTAGGAGTTCTGTGAAGATGGAACTGAGCTTATAATAATAATAATAATAATAATAATAATAATAATGATGAGCGGATGAAAGGATGAGAAAGGATGAGCTGAAAGAAATAGATCGGGGTACTCGTAAAATGATGAATATGTACAGATCACTGCATCCAAGAGATAGTGTAGCAAGACTCTACCTACCCCGTAAAGAAGGAGGACGAGGACTTGTAGAAATTGAGGATTGTGTTCAGCTCGCAATTTTGGGGCTTGAAAACTATGTTCAGGATAGCAAAGAGAGGATATTGTCATCAGTGAGATGCGAGGCAGGAGAAAGAGTGTCAGAGAAAGATTTCAAGAAGCGAAGAAGAGAAGAGAGGCGATCAGAGCTAGAAGAAAAGGCGTTACATGGACAGTTTTTCAGGCAGACAAAAGAAATAAATGACCCAGAGTCATGATGGCTCCGGGACGGGGAATTGAAAAAGGAGACTGAAGGACTGATAATGGCGGCGCAGACCCAGTCATTGCGAACAAATGCAATTAAAGCAAACATCGATAAGACGCAGAGGGACTCGAAATGTAGAATGTGTAATCAGAAAGAGGAAACAATAAGCCACATTGTCAGTGAATGCCCAAAACTGGCACAGAGAGAGTATAAACGTAGACATGACTGTGTAGCGAAAGCCCTCCATTGGGATGTCTGTCGCCTGTATGACATAGATTGTGGAAATAAATGGTACGAACATCAGCCAGATGGAGTGGTAGAAACAACAAATGTAAAGATTCTCTGGGATGTCAATATTCAAACAGACAATGAAATCCAGGCAAGGAGACCTGACATAGTGGTTGTCAATAAGAAAGAAAGGAAGTGTTACATCATTGATGTTGCAGTCCCGGGAGATGTGAGAATAGCTGAAAAAGAGATAGAGAAAATCGAAAAGTATGACGAATTAAAGAGAGAAGTGGAAAGATTATGGAAAGTGAAAGCAAAAGTTATTCCTATTGTCTTGGGAGCCCTTGGAACAGTCACACGAAATTTGAGCAACTACATCAAGGAAATTGGAGTCAAGACGCAGATAAAACTAATACAAAAATCTGTACTTTTAGGAACTGCAAGAGTGTTGAGAAAAGTTCTCGAGATCTAAGATCATGGGTATTGATCCGATTTCAAGAAACATCAAGAACAAGCCAGTTATAACATCAGAACTGTGTACATCAGCATAATAATAATAATAATAATAATAATAATAATAATAATAATAATAATAATAATAATAATAATAATAATAATAATAATAATAATAATAATGGATGAGAATGAGATGTTACCTGAAGAACAAAAAGGCTGTAAAAGAAATAGCAGGGGTACAAAGGATCAGCTTCTGGTGGATAAGACGATTCTTGCTGATTGTAAAAGGAGGCATAAAAACTTAGCCATGGCGTGGGTTGACTATAAGAAAGCCTACGACATGGTTCCCCACAGCTGGATAATAGAATGTCTAAGGCTCTATAGAGTATCAGACAATGTTGTTAACTTTATAGAAAGATCGATGACCAACTGGAAAGTACAACTGACATCGTGTGGGGAAACTCTAGGGCTTGTAAATATTCGCAGAGGAATATTCCAAGGAGACAGCCTATCACCACTTTTGTTCGTCATTTGCATGATACCCCTTACCGAAGTCCTCAGAAAAGTCAAAATGGGATATACATTGGATGGTGTTAAGATCAATCACCTGTTGTTCATGGACGACTTGAAGTTGTTCGCGAAAAACGAGAATGAAATTGACAGTCTAACATCTACTGTCAACCTTATTAGTCAAGATATAGGAATGGAATTTGGGATAAAGAAGTGTGGTGTTGTGACCTTAAGAAGGGGAAAATTAACAGGAAGTGCAGGGATTGAACTTGTCAATGGGGAAAAGATCAAGGAGGTTGGTGAAGAAGGATACAAGTATCTGGGAATAACAGAGTTGGATAGAATAAAAGAAGAGGAGATGAAGAAAATATTTCAAAGAGAATATTTCAGAAGGGTTAGACTTATCATGCAGTCAAAACTCAATGGAAGGAATAAGATTAAAGCAACAAATACCTGGGCAATCTCCCTGATGCGCTATGGAGCAGGAATAATTAAATGGAGAAAAGACGAGCTAGAAAGTATGGACAGAAGAACCAGGAAATTAATGACAATGAGTAAAGAACTTCATCCTAGAAGCGATGTAGCAAGAATTTATGTTAGCAGGAAAAAGGGTGGTAGGGGGCTGATAAGTTGTGAGTATTGTATTGAAAATGAGACAAACAACCTGGCTTGGTATGTGAAGCATGCTAGAGGCAATATTATGTCAAAAGTGAGAGACCTTGGGGCAATGAATACTGAGGAGGCAGTAGCACCGAATGAACATAAGAATGAGACAAAAAGGCGCTTGGAGAAACGATGGAAAGATAAGCCGATGTATGGGCAATTTACTAAGAATACTGACGGAATTGATTGGGAAAAAAGCTGGTCATGGTTAAGGAGCGGAGATCTGAAAGGGTGCACTGAAGCATTAGTGTGTAGTGCACAGGAGCAGGCGCTGCGCACTAATTATACCAAGCACTACATTGATAAAACAAGTGATACGCCTTTATGTAGAATGTGCGGTGACAAGGGAGAAACAGTTAGCCATCTGGTGAGCGAATGTGCTAAACTGGCACAGACAGAATATAAAAGACGACATGACAATGTGGCAAGGTATATTCATTGGTTGTTAGCGGAAAAGTGCGGATTTGAAAGAGCCACAAAATGGTATGAACAGAAACCTGAAGGAGTTTTAGAGAATCACAAGTTTAAGCTACTGTGGGATTTTATGATTCAATGTGATAGGGTTGTTGAAGCTAGAAGGCCAGACATTGTTGTCGTTGACAAGGAAAAAAAGGATGTGAAGATAATCGATATTGCCATTCCTGGTGATAATAGGGTAAAAGGTAAAGAACAAGAAAAAATTGAGAAATATCAACCATTAAAGGAGCAAATCGGAAATCTGTGGAATATGAAGTAGGTGACAGTCATCTCTGTTGTGATTGGGGCATTAGGGTGTATATCATATTGTTTTGAAGAGCACATGGGAAAGATCGGAATTGATGTAAAGTTACAGGTGATACAAAAGACAGCACTGCTAGGAACAGCCAGGATTTTGAGACAGACATTGTCTATGTAAACTTGAGATGACAGAATGGGACCTTTGTCAGCTTGTTGCTGACTGCTCCCTCCTATATTATCCGGACCAATTAACATCTAGGTGTCTGTGAATCACTTAATTAGCCATAATAATAATAATAATAATAATAATAATAATGGAAACTTTTCATTTTGAATTCCAGTTAAAACTACAATTACAAATCTCACTATTACAAGGTAATTTGTAACTGGCTAGCCTGTTTTTACAAAATAAGACTATTACAATCGTAGTAAAGAGAAAAAAAAACGTTAAAAGGGGAGTAGCTCTAGGTTAGTCCATGTTTTGCTCCTACAGCAAAAAATGTAATAGGTGGTACGAATGGATATCGTAGAAAGCTTAGAAATGAGATATCGTTAGTGTTGATCATCGATGGAAAGAGAGTCACACATTTCAAGGAATGAGCTGCATGAGTTGCCGAAGATGCCAAGAGAGCTGATGGAGAGATTTACAAATATGACAGATTTGAACCTTGGTCTTAGATCTGAGACAAGGCGAGCATATTTTAAACGTTTCCTTTCTGCATTGCAGCTAAGGTTAGTTTCAAATCCTATCGTTAGTTCCAAAACATAGAGAATGTTTTTCTTTGTACGCAGAAGTAGATCTGGGCGCAGATTGTCTCCAGTTATGATGGATGGTGAGGAGAAGCCAGGTATATCGGCAAAAAGAGAGGATCCCTCTATTGCTTTCAAGGAGGTTGCAAGAAAATTTAGAGCAGAATTATGACGCCAGGTATAACGACCTTGTTCGAGATAAACTTTGCAGCCTGCAACGACATGGAGTAAAGTTTCGGGAAGAAGGCAGAATTCGCAATCAGATGATTGGCTTAGGTTCCAAAGGCTCAGATTTTTGTGCGAAGGGAGAGTATTGTTCAGGTATTTGATGGTGAAGTTGAAGATGTTCGTGGATAGGTTGCTCTGCACTACAGACCAAAGACCATTGAGCTTTTTAAGAGAGTGGTCCAACAGAAATGAAATAGTAGCACCCTGGGATAGTAATTGGTGTGCCAAGCGCTCTCTACTGTCTGATTTTACTGCTTTCAGTACATCTTTGGTGTTACGGTAAATGTCGTATTGCAGATTCATCCCACTACTGGTGTTTTTCCATAAAGCTTGAATGTTTGTGTTAGGAGAAGTTCGGAGGGCATTGCGTGAAACAGTTTGGCATTGAGTGAATTTGACAGAAGGTAGCTGAAGATCGAGACCAAATTGATTTTTAGAAAGAACTATACTAGTTAAAGTAGCACTTATGGGAAGATCAAGCCACTGGCGAATGTATTTAGAGACAAGATTATCGAGGTTCTCAATGACCCAGGTCTTCGATAGGTCTGCAACAGTGAAGTGCCAAGAAACTTTGGACAATACATATCTGTGGTACAATAGAAGTTTATTTTTGGGATGCAGAGGCAAGTCATCAATTTCTTTCAGAAGGCTGGGAAACATTGATAGCAGTTTTTCTTTATGACTGCCATTGGTCATTTCGAAGTCAAAGAAGCGGCTGAGGTATTTGAAAGATTCTCCATTTTTAACAACAGGCACGCTTTGGTTGTTCACGAAAAGCTTTGGCTGGAACTAAAGAGATCTTGTTGAGTATTTCTTAATGCCAAAGGTGACACATTTATCCACCCTTATTACAAAGTTTGCCCACTGACACCACCTTGTGAAGCAGTTTAACAGGAGCTGGTTCTCCTTTTCACCACTAGTAACAACCGCAGCATCATCAGCAAATTGGAACCAATGCATTGGTTGGAACATGCGGTCGTTTTCGTCGTGGGGAGAGAAGCCAAGCTGTTTATAAATAATAATAATAATAAGAATAAGAATAATAATACCTTTTTTACTGTTAGTTTGACAATAGTGTGAACACTAATAAACACTAACATGAAGAAATTTAAGAGATTGCATTATGGAAGTCATTGCAGCAAGCGTTACAGGCGCATTGATTTGAATTGGCTGTCATATGATTTGAATTAAACCAGTCAATGCATTAATTGGTGTTATGCTGTACTAATCTATGGAGTTCATCAGCATTTATAGCAGAAATGGAGATCGTATTATCATCTGCAAAGTTACATAGGGAGCCCTCCTGGACGAAGAGGAATATGTCATTTATAAAGAGGTTGAAGAGCAACAGTTTAAGGATTGAGCCCTGAGGCACTCCTTGATTAAGTGGCCTCCATGAACTAAAATATCCACTGACTTTCACGTCATTTGTTTTCTGTCAGTGAGATAACTCTGTAAAAGTTTGAGTGAATTTATACCAACTCCATAAGCAGCTAGTTTTGCAATTAGTAGATTTATTGGGAGGCTGTCAAAGGCTTTGGATAAATCCATAAGTACAGCAGCAGTGTGTTTCTTAGCTTCTAGGCTAGTTTCCACTCATCTATTAATCTTATTAAAGCATGCTGGGATGAAAAATGTTTTCTGTAGGCACATCAAAAGTCAGATAAATTTATATTAAGAAATGGAGACAGTTGAAGCTCTATAACTTTTTCAAAGACTTTTGAAGAGCTGTTAGAACACTGTTTGAAGCAATATCATGTTATTTTTCAATTCTTTATAAGCATATCATCTTGTTTTACATTACTAGGTACACAATTTTTTGGAGTGGTGTGATGAGCAATATCGTGACGACATTATTCCGACTCCCGTGAAGGATTTTATTCAATGTTTTGCCTCTGAGTCGCCAGTCTGCTCCTACTTTCCCTCAAACGATGATTTTAATTCCCATATGAGAGCATTGTGTTTAACAACTGCTACAGGTATGGCCATTGGAAGCAACATCAATGCAATGACCTTCATCCAGAAAAATGCTCCAATTATATTTAATATTCTGGCGACAATTCAATCGTCACCATTACCAAATGTTTGGAAGGAATTGTTTCTTCTCTTGGGGAGGATATCGAAACAGTCATGCGATAAAAAGCCCCATACACTGCCGGAAGCCACAGTTGCTCAAAAAAAGAACACATTGGCATATTTTCCAAATTGGCCGGTACAATGCTCTCGTGGCAGTTATTACCAGGACAAGTCAAAGAAAAACGAAGGTCCACATTGCAAAAAGGACAAAAAGAAAACTACGTTGCTGCCTGGTCTTTTCACCATTTACTGCGAACATGGTAAGGGCGGGGTAATTTTCTACTTCATTTTGTCAATGTTAAACAAACTGCATATAAGATATAAAGGCAATGCATATTATGCAACAATGAAGCTATCACTCACTTGTGAAAGTTGCATGTCTAACAGTTTAAGTTGATGCAGCTGCATTGAAACTTGGCAAAATGAATTAATTGCAAACTGGGTGCAGCAAGAGGGATGGAGCTTTAAATTTATTCTAATTCGGGTGAATGCACTAAAATAGATCTTCAAACGTTTGTTAAGAACCCTATAATTCCTTATCATTCTTCTGCAGGAATTTGCTACGGTTTCGAAATCATGGATACCCATGAATCGCCAAATGTACCTTTTACAATATTTCGGATGCGGTTTCCAACAGGTAATAATAGGTTTGCTATTGGAAATACTATTTCCTATTTATCCTAGATATCTGCCATTTCCTAGATATCTGAAACGCTATCTGTAACTGTTGTGTAAAAATTGCATTTGAAAAAAATTTGAAACAACTTTTATTTGGTTAGTGTTTTGCTGAGTTAAGCCTCCAATTTTTTTCAAAAGATATATATATCTAAATTGAGTAAATTCGACGCGTTATTTTTCACAGCACCAAAAGCAATATTGTATGACAATAGCTGCCATTTACATCTCTACTGCATAAACAGAGATCCCGGTTTCTTCGGAAAATGCACCTTTGCCGTTGACAGATTTCACTGGAAAAATCACAAAGGTTTGCAGGAAACAGTAAAATTACTACCATAAAGACAACACAAAGACAACACTAAATCAGAAACAGAAGCAGATAGGCTATAACTATAATTTGCAACTAGGGTAAAATCGTCTAGGGTAATAGTCTTTTTCTAAAGCCTTTTTTATACCATCAGTCCATCCTGGGTATTACCTGCAAAGATTTGTAAATTTTAAAAAATGTATTTTGATGTTATTTTGTTTCACCAAACGTTTTTGTATATATACCTATTATATACTTACAAATCGTTTTTACAGCATGTGCAAAAAGTTATAACATGGACGTTTATCCAAAATTCAAAGGAATAAACAGCCAGATCAACGAACAAAGAAATTCTCAACTGAAAAAAATTAAAAACCAATTGTCATACATGTCTGAAAAAAATTTCATTCGACAATTGGTTTTATTCCTGCATCACCAAAACAGAAAGCTGAAAAAATAGAGAAAGGTACATAGTTAAGTTAAATATTCAAATAATGTCAGTAATGGCAAGTTGCAGTAACATTTTTAGCACGCTAAATAATGAATGAAGTCTAATTCATTACTGAAATTAAGAATAAACAGAATAATTTATTTACCTTAAACAGAAATTTCATGCTTTGCCGAATTATTAACAAGCCGCCTTGCACATAGTAAAGAAATGCTAGCCAGACGATGAACAAGGAAAGCTACAACCTATAAAAAAGATTTATCAAATTCATCATTCTCAATGAATGTTTTACAAATCTTGTATTGAGCTCAATGTTTCTATTGACATTTCTTTTGGTATTTTGAATCACATTAATGATTTATTTTGATATTATTTCATCCATTTTTTCTACAGCATTCTTAGTTAGACTGGTATGGCATCTGAAAGCTATAATACACGACTCTTGCCCGATGATGTCACAAAAGCTCAATGATTTAAATACATGCTTAAGTGGTTAGAAAAAGAACAAAAAGCTCACATCTGCTAAGAGGAAATTCTTCACGACTGTTCCACGATCTTCGATAGGGATTCTAAAGAAACGTTTGTCTGCGCTGGCAAGGCGGGCTATATATGCAGGTATACTCAAACACTGAAAAAGATATTACCTTAATTAGACGAAAACTGCATTGTTTCATACAAAACGATAAGGTACGAAAATATTTCATAAGATAAGATATGTCATAAGATACAAAAAGCATTTGCATTTCATTTAAATCTAATCTAATACTTTTTCAAATTTCATTCGCAAAAAGTAACTAATAAATAGGTTTTGCTTTGAATTCCATCTGGAAGTAGTGGAAGTTCCATCTGAGATTAAATAATTTCGTTTTATTAACTCTTTTTAAAGTAGAGACAATTGTTATACTCTGTCTGTTGTTTGTGGACTATCAGCATATATTCCCATATGGTAGTATTGAAACTAAGTTTATTTTGCCTCAGCAAATCTGCAATTTTACCAACTTATAACGACGAGGGTTCAAATAGTTCTTCTACATCTTTTGAGGACATCAAAGCGTTTGTATCATCAGCGTTAATGTTAGGGCTCAACTTTCCAGTGCAGTTTTCAAAATCATCCGAACACAGAATAAAAAGCAGCGGGCTTTATTTGGAGCAGAATTCCAAACCATAATAGCGAATTTGATAAGGCTGAACCATTGAGAAAACAAATTGGTTAACGATCCTTGATGAACATTCATTGATGAACATTCATCAAGGAACGATCAAAGCCAGTTTATCTCACGCCTCGTTACACCGTAAGCATCAATTTTTGGAATAAGAAAGAGATCTTCCACCGTATCAAACACTTTTTCAAGGTTGAAGAAGATTCTTGGATTGTAGTTTTTTTACAAGTCAAACTAACATTAGTATCTGGTCTGGTACAAAGTTATGACACGAGCAATTTTCCAAACTCCTTCAAAGGTGCGTAAAAGATTGCCGTAAAAAGTTTGCAGCACCAGATAATGGATTAACAGGATCCAGAACAGGGGAGTTAGGAATTTTAGCTTAAAGACATTGAGTCATGATATAATGGACTGGCTATACCCTAAGTGCCAAATACCGCGGAGTCACCTCGTACTGATTAACAAAACAGTTTCCATCAATAGCAATTTGTCAACAACGGATGCAAATATCACATGAAACAGCAGCGATCAAGCCAAAACCAAATGACCCCCTATAGAGAAGGCCTATATACAATGACTCAATGCCATGGTTAAAACATGGACAATTTCCTCGCTTTCATTCAATTCCTTATTATTTTGGTCAATTCCTTACTCCTCATCTTTATTCAACAAAACCAAAGATTGGTTATGGACGCACAATTCACTCATTGCTTTTGCTTTTGCATTTTCAAGTAATGAAAGAGTTGCCTAAGTAATCAAGCGCAAACCAAAGTTTGTTTACCGCAACTGGGTTCCCTGGAAAAAGCCAACAAGAATCCATTTCATCAACACGTCGGTCTTCTTTAGCTACTTCCATTGCATGTGCCCAGTGGTACTTAAGTGCGTTGGAAATATGTCGCTTTAAACGAAATACCATATAACATATACAATAGTCAAACAACTACTAAGTAAAATTGAATACAAATTCTTTCTTAATTCAACCAGAAAAAAACGAGATGAACATAAGTTATCACATTGATAACAAAACAAAAAAAAAGTTGTGATTCAATATCTACAAAACCAAAAACCAAAAAAATATAAAATCAATAGAATAGAATATAATATAACAGAAAAGAATATCATAGGACGTATGCAACAATACTATATCTTATTAATGATTGTGAAAGTATTTAGTTGAAAATCATACCTTGATTTCGGAAGAAAATGATTCTAGTAACTGCTTGACTTTATCCATTGAGCTAAATCTATCGATGCTGTTTGAGAGTAAGTGTTGAAGTATTAAGTATGTAAAGCATATCTATAAGTACCAAGACAAAAAAGACATAATGCGAATCCATTCGACAACTCCTTGTTACATCGTGACAATACAAAATCCGATTAAATCCGACAAATCCATTACGACAAATCCTTGTAACAAATCCGTTAAAAAGACAAGTCCATTATAATAAACGTTTCGACTCTACTGTCATCTTCAGTCATCGTCTTATTATAAATTTTATTATCAAGCTGCGGTTCCCAAAGTCATGAAAGTATCAGATTTCATTTTAGATTTCAAATAATCTTCCACACGGAAATACACAGCAAGATGAATGAAAAGGTTAACGTCAAATTATTCAACTTCATTATGTCAAATTATATTTCGAGTAATCAGAGGTATGAACAAATCGACTACTTACATGGGGAGGTCAGCGTGCGAAATATCGCAGCCACATGTCCAGTTGGTATTGCTTGAATCAGGTCCCTTTTTACTGAGGCTGACACAAAATGGATGGAACCTTCGAAGACAGTATATGCATTTCACACGACTTGTAGCATCTGCTGGTCTGACACAGTAAAAACTAGCTCCACATTCATTATCATTTCCATCACAGGTATTCAGCAAAGGATACACCTTGTCAGTGACCAGGCCATTTTTGTCCACAACCCAAAGCAAATTGACCTCACCAATGCTATTTTCGTGGTCGATCCGCAAATCTCTGCTTTTTGCCATGGAATATGAGTTGACTGTTATGCCCATGGAAATTGATAAGAGAACCAAGTGCAAAGTCACTACGGAGATATAGTGACTGTCAAGTAAAATTTCAACCGGGATCTGAATAACTTAAAGAAATACATCTAATAATAAAAGATGTTTCAGCAAATGCATTGCAGATTAGGAGACAGGCTGACGTTACAATATACTGAATAAATTTAATGTGAAAAAATCTGACTTTGTATGGTTTTGATATAAATATAAACTAATGTATTTCAACCATTACATTTGCCACCTTTGAAGCTGCACTCGTCAGGATTTGAACCTGAATCTTTCCTCAGAAATTGAGAAATGTGCTTTCCAATTGCACCACAAGTGCTTAGATTTTACCCTCTTCCGACAGCTTTTCATGGAACAGTCAAGGGTCATAAAACAAAACTTACTGCATTTACGGTTAGGCAATGCCGTAAACAAAATTTCCTTTTTAGTTTTCCTCTCAAAGTCTTCATTTGAGTTTCCAACAAATACATCTGGTCCGTCAACCTCTTTGAGCTGAAATTGTTTATTTAGAAGTAAACTCAAAACATGAATAGTTGCAATTTTACTAGAGCCAAGAAAACAACAAATATGGAACAAAAATCAAGTTGACATAAATCAATAGGCTGCCAATTTTGAATAATTCGAGAACGATTGTTTTGAAATGTAAAAACGGAAGATATATTACACTTCAACCAAAACTTGTCACCTGTCTCATTACTTTGCCAAAGTTCTCTATTCCATACTTCATTGATAGGAAGCGTAAGGTGGGCCAGAAATCTATTATATTAAATAGAGCTAAAGACGCAGCTCTATAAAGCCCGTTTCCATCTTGCAAAACAAGAAACGGGTCCAAGCTTCTAGCAACACTGGAAGGAACTTGATGCCTCAGCCTGAAAGGCGATGAAAAGCATTAACTTTGTCAAAAACTTGTATAAATTAGCCTTTAAATCAGCATTGATATGATGATATGATAAAATGTTTTGAAACTCACGATAATTCATGCACCTTTCAAAGCTCGAGATAAAAATCTAAGTTGTAACTTTTGCAAAGGTAGTTACCAATAGTTTGTGTCAGATGACTTTAACGTTAGGCAATATGAGCCAAATGTCACATGTTTTGGAACAAAAGGCGCAACCCTTTCCAGTATCCAAAGATCCTCCTCCATCATACCCAGCAATGCATGAACATCGTTGCAGTTTGGGTCATTCCACCTGCAATCCTAACATGATAAAGGCATTTTGTAAATACGACATGCTAAATATATGATATGCTAAATTAATGATATGCTAAATAAGACAAGGAGAAAACTACGTAAAGATTTAATTCGTACGTTTAAACAGGGTCCGCTGTAACCATTCTAAATAGGTTGTGCAGCGAACCAGGTTCCATTGCGGATTTTTGGCTCTATCTCATCCATGTGGCATCAAAATCTACTTGACTGGTAAAAAGGTAAGCATAATTCATTGAAAACGTTTGATCTTGGATATCGTAGCCTCATAAGAACGGTACGTATATATCATATGTATAAAATATATTTCATATGCAGACCCACTTCGTTACTCATCTTGCCTGCCGTCATAAAATGATTCCTTGAGCGAACAATATTTCATCTTCTCTTTGCAATTCAAAAAATAGTAAAAATACCTTCATCTTCTCAATGATAAATTTGATTCTTTCGTTACGGTGACCAACATTTGTAGTTCCTACTTCCCTTTCCTCCATAACTTCGGCTACCGCAGTATTTTCAATTCCCACTGAAATGAAGAATATGGCAAATGCTGACAATATCAAAGCCCAAACCTATACAAGAAAACAAAAGACTAAGCAAAACATGGCAAACGGGAATAATGGAGAGAGCTAGGTAACGTTATCATGAAATCAGAATAATAGCAAATTCATATCTAAAACAGAAATAAAATGCCAGAACAAACTAAGGAGATATGGAATAAATAGAAATAAAGAGAGGCAAAATCAAATTTATACTTACTTCTCAGTAAGAGTGTATGGAAATGAAGCTGGGTATATAGCAAAGGAATATAGCAAAGGAATATAGCAAAAAGATAATTGAAAAACCTGGAAAGAATAGGACATCAAAATTACTAGTAGAGGATCTGATAAAAATGGGATTTGCTGCCTGGAAGGTATGATAGAAGAGGCCGAGGAAGACAAAGAACAACCTGGGGAGATGCTTTCAAGGGATTTGCATTGGGGAAGGGCTAAAAGAGCGCCCTAGGAGTCATAGTGGCCAACCATCTCAAAGAAGAAGGTACCTGTTGATGGTACCTGTCTTTCCTCCATTTCCCCATATTCCTCCATTTCCTCTACTTCATCTACCTCATCCATTTCCTCAACTTCATGCCCCCCATCGTTGCTTTGACTGTCTCTCAAATTATTCTCTTCCTCTATCCTCTTCAGCTCTTTGATGCATGCTGCCAACACTAAGTCCATTTCGGAAACCTTCATTCGATCTGGTCCACAGTTTGGCGATCGAAATTTGACAGACTCTGGCCAAAACCAAGTCGGTTTATTTTCAGGAAGCCAACATGTTTTAGATGTTAACCCTGGCGCAAATAATTTGCAAAATCATTAAATCAGCCGAACTTGATGTTTTCCAAGAATTAAGTTAAATTACAAATGCATAGAAAACATTGCCTTTAGCCCTTTGCTAAGATAAAGCACCAAGAAAAGCACAGGTTTTGGCACAATCTCATGGCAGAACCATTTTTTAAAATGGTGGAAACATGCCGTTTTATTTTTTCGGTCAATCTTAGGGTTGTGCGTCCTACATAGTCACTTACAGTGGCGTCGCTTTACCTTCCAGACTAAGTGTGGAGGGTCATCAATAGAAAGTACTAAATTACCGACGAAGACATAGATGGAGAAGAATTTAGGTGCTATTTCACCTACCGATAGATGATTTTACCGACAAGAGAAAGATTTTGTAGACAAACTGTGGCCCTGACAAGAGTTCCATTATCTATAAACATTGGCTACGCGCATGCTTATAGATGATGATGGAACTCTTGAGGGGTGATAGGAACCTGAAGCGGGTTAACGATGTACAACCCTTTAGGTATCCCACTCAATTCTTTGCAAGCACTCCATTCTTATTATTCGCCGCCTATTTAGGTATCTTTTTCCCAGAAAAATATCACAAACAGAAAAATATCATCTGTTTTGAAAATTGTATATTTTTCGTCCGCATAACGAAAATAGACACTTGGATTTTTTTCGCTTTGAAATGCCAAAAAATACGTAAGAATTAGAATTGATTTCCCTCCAGTACGAAGTATCAGCACTCTTCTCCCACGAAGGAACGTTCGTTCAATTCTAATTCTAATAACATTCCAATGTCGAAAGAACACATTAAATTGCTTCTGCCATTGAATTTAAGGTTTTGCATGTATATAAGAAAATCAGTGATGCAAGATTATAAATATTTTTGAAGATCGTGGTGAGTCTTATCAATACTTTTGAATTCACAAATTTTGAATTAACCAAAACACTTATTTGAAGCAAAGAACTCTAGTGTGGCCATTTTATATTTTTTTGACCAGGGACGCGGGGAAATTTTTTTAGAAGTTAAGCAAACATTGTATTTTCAAATCCACAGAAAATTTCGGTTTTTATATGAAATAATCTTTTTGCAAAAATAAAAATAAAATCTTCAACACGACTAAAAAAAGCTTTAATAAAAAAGTGCTTAAAAAAGTACATTTCCAGCGAACTAGAAGCGTTTCCATTTATATGTTATAATATAAATGGATATTGGAACTACATGCTATGTGCAAGGATGCTAGTTTGTCAATCAAAATGTTGATTGGAATTAACGGAATTGATTGTCATTGTGAAAAAAGTCAAGTAAGGCAAGTCAAGTTTACAGAAAAGGTGAGTCAACCTTTTCAAAAAAGCTCAAGGGCCCACTGGTTTTGAGGTTTTGGCATTACACTAGCATAGCAATATTTCTATTATCTGGCTTGATTCTGATGTCTTAAACTCTCTGTAGATTTATGTTGTAAAATATAATATTGTATGATCGGAATTTGGTGTTTTATTGTGTTTTTAACATAAGCAATTCAATTTTGTACTGTCGCAATTGTTCAATAATTAGTTAGGCAATCATGATAAACCAAGATTATTTATATTATTGAGACCCTGGTCAATAAAAGCAAAATCAAAGTACTAGTATGATTACCTTTCCTCCTCACAATATGTCCAATCAGCATACTTTTCTGATGCACATCATGTCTTAGGACATCATCAGCAAGCAATTTCTGCTTGACACCAACATCAAGGGAAATACCTATAATTTTGCCCATTTTTGAAAAATTTTAACTGTGCCTTTGACAAAGGCTTTTAGATGTTTCCATGCTTGGCTAGTGACTTGAAACAGCAAATAATAAATTTAAAAGTAAAGCTGCAGAAGAATACCAGAATACTAGAATTTATTTTTCAACACCAGAAAATTAAATTACATGAAATTCACCCACCAATCCACAGAAATATGTAATTAGATAGAGATTGATATTCCAGTAGTATTTCTACAGACTTGAATGATATATGAAAAGGTTACAGTTTAAAAAATAGCCTGATAATGTTATAATTGATAATGTTAATGTATGTAGTTACTTTGAACAACATAGTATACTGTGTATGCATAAAATAATACACAGCAATTCATACCTTCAGTAGACTCAGTCTCCATATTAACAGGAATTTCTGTAGTTTCATTCCTCTCTGAATGCTCATAAAACTTTTTCAACCCTAAAGTTAAGGAAAACAGTTAAGAAAAACATTTTAAACTTAAAATGAAAATTTTATTTCACATCTGTTGAATTCTCTACTGCTAAAATATCTTATCTTCAATCTTACCTTTGACAGCAACATCTACAAACTTGTCCCTGATATAAGGATCCTTAACAAAATCCTCAAACCATTCAGCTCCTAAAACATTAAAAAATGGCTATAAAAACTTTTATCAGATACTTATTTCAGAGCATAGGTATTCTAAGTAAATGTAAAGCTATGTTGTTATCAAGACCTATACAGTTATGCTTAAATTCACATTGAACCATTAAGTGTTAATTTATTAAAAAAATCTTCTCACCTATGTAATTAACTGTAAGATCTGATGACAGACTTAATGCAACCACTGGCATGTTTGTTCTCTTCAGCCAGTTGATAAGCTATTGTATAAGAAAAAACAACATATTAGGTCATTTGGTAAAGCTTTTAGAAGACACTAAGAAACCAGTGAGGTAGAGGAATGTTTAGCAAAAAATGCATTAATCAGTAAATTCAACTCTAAATATAAACAGCAGATTTCATACTTTTAAAACAAAAACCATTCAATGCTCCTTACATTGCTTCTTAACTGCTGTTCTTGCCTTTTATCAAAAACTCTTTGCTTGCTCTGCTTTGAAATGTATTCTTTTCTGCCACATCCACGTTTCTTCTTCTGGGGTTGCTGTGTGATATCCTGTGAGGATTATGTAATGTCTTTTCAATCTGTTATAAATCTGGCAATTGTCAAATATTCTGAAATAAACCACTTTACAGTAACGAGAAACAGCAATGTAGAGTGAGTTTTCTCGCTGTTTTCCTCACTGTTAACGAGAAACTAGCCCCAAGCTGTTTTACACTTTGCTTTGGTTTAATGTATTTGTTGCACCCTACAGACAGGGATAGATTTAGTAGGGGGTGGATATAGGGTGTATTTCTGTAAATACTGTATCCAGCCAGTAGTCACCAAATGCCAAAATGATAGCAAAACAGTTTTACTTTATTTATCTTTATATACTTTACCTATCTTTCTATTTTGAAATGGAATTTTGAAAATGGGCATTTCCTAATCATGCCGCTTAAACCCACCCCCTGTGGCAAAAATCCAGCAGCAGGGATGGTGGTAGGATAAGATAATGTGACGATCTTTTGAATAGGGCACCAAAAGGTCACCAAAACCAGTATATTCCAAATTCAATTTATTTAAAACAGACAACATTGTGGAACAGACAAGGGCAAGGTTTGAAATATGGGGAATCAGCCGAGAGGGGGTGGGTGGGGGAGGGGGGGGGTCACAAGGTTTAGATACGGTGTCTATCCGATTTTCTGCTTGTTACATACACATATTATTTGGCGTTTGGCAAAATAGGAAACAGAATCGAATACGACATTTTCAAGGTAAACAGATTTTGCCTTGTAGCGGACATAACAAAAAGGAAACCTTTGCTCCTGCTCTGGTTGAGAACATTGAATGGACAACAATCAGCAAGTAGATCTAATCCATTGCATGCCTAAATCATTGACAGAACTGTTACTTACAGCAGGTTCAGTTAGCACTGTCGCGTTATGCATTTCTTGCCCTTCCATTTTCCCCTAAATCCTACAATTATAATACAAGGCCATTCATGCGCACGCGCAGAACTTATATTTATAGTAACTTGCTCGTTCGTGATTGAGCAAATTTTGGTGCAGTTCTTAACTCGTAATCTTTGACTTCAAAAATGGCACCTAAGAAAAAGGCAGCAGCTAAAGGTGATAAAAAAGAAGATAATGATGGTGGTGCGGAGGAAAAGCAACCAAAGGGGCCAACGGAAAGGGAGCTACAAATGAAGGGAGAGTATGTAACTGAAAATGAGTATCTGAACAATGCGTGTAACTGAAAATGTATTTAGTTGTTAAAAATCCTTCAAAGTAATTCCAGTAAATATCGGAGCCAATTACGATGGAGCCAATTGCAAAAAGAGCAATATTTTAAAGTACAACGAACTAGCAAAACCTGTCAGGTAAAATAGATTCATGCCTTTAGAAAAGGTACTTGATAGGTGTGAGGTTTTCCTACTAAATAGTGGTCCCTTTCAAAACAGCATAAACTTGTAACTAGAGGGGGAGTGGAGTGGCATTTTTTAGGAGTTTATCAAGAGTTTCAACAGTTAAATATTGGAGTAACAATATTTTTACCTATTTTTCAGAGGCAAATCCTATGCCATTAACACAATTTTCTCTTGAAAAATTTCAATTAAAAATGCTAGGATATTCTGAGACATGTCTAGTTTATGTCCCCAAATGTGTAAGATCTATGGTTCTACCCCTTATGTTGTATCTTTGAAACTTTTAATAGTTTATCCCTTCTTAAGTGTGTAAGACTCTGCTATTTTCTCAATTATTGAAGCTTTGTCTAGGTTATGATGTCTTAGTAGAATTTATAAAATGGTTCTATTAGCAGTATTTCTTTTGAGAGAGAGGCTGACTGTGAAGGCCTTGTTCTGGTGCTTTTTGTTTCTAATTTCAAGACTTTTCATATTTTCCATGCTTTTGCTGAAGGGTCAATTTGTCCATTTTTTTAGTAATTATAAATCTAACTCTAGGCCACTTAGTTTTCTTCAGATCAGAAAAATTGCTCAAGACCCATTTCATGAAATGATATGCCTTCTTTTTTGTAAGGTTGGAAAAGGTTACAGCTGAGCTTGATAAGCTGAAAAGACAAGTTGAAGATCTGTATCCTTTCTATTGCTGTAAAACTCAATTTCATCAATTCATTTCCTTATTTGTCTTGTATATGTCTGTCTAAATCTAGACTTTGAATATATATGAAGCTGTAGCAGTAATTAGAACCTATTTGTCTTGGCCAGTGGTGTAGGAGGTAGTTGTAAATTTTTTGTATAAAGCAAAAGTTAAAAACCAAAACAAGATTTAATTTCTTATTTACTGAGTATAGAATTTTTTTGTGTTTTCAATACATCTCTGCACTGATCATTTAACTATCAAAATGTTTATATGCAAATATGTTATTTTTATAATATACATTGTTATCTTATGCAAAATTCTTTTCTTTTTTATACTTTAAAAGTAAAAACAAATTCATTGGGCATCACTGTCAGATGATTTCTTTCTTTTTTGTGCTACTCTTATCCTGGTGATATATGCAATGCTCTGCAGATCATCCTTTTGTCTCTTTTTAGTTATTTCGAATCCTCTTTTTGTAGAAAATTGTCTTAAACTTTCATTTGTCCACTTGTATTTTCTACAACATCATCAGCTTTGGTATGTGATCTCAATTTGTCCACTTTTTTAAGCATATGATGATAAGCATTGCTCTTCCATGCTCCATGCCACTGCCAATTTATGCTAGTGTCTATGTTAAAACACCTATGTTGTTAGTTGGTAAAGCACCTATTCTTTCCTATTTGAAGCAATGATTTTTCCTTATGAAAATAATCATTTGCCCAAATGTGTGCCACCCTACTGTTATTCCTTTGCTTTTGTTGTTTTTTGTTTCATTTCATTTTCATCTTCTACGACCCTGCTCTCTACTTTTTGACTAATGAACAATATTCTTCATATGGTGTACAATCATGAACAAAAGGACTTCCAAACTCTGCATGCCCATTTCTTCATATGGCTTTAATCACTTTCATAAACACTCAAATCATAATGAAAGTCTAGTAAATTTAGTTGCTATAAATTAGCTTGTTATATTGTTTTAATTTCTATAATGATACTTATATTTAAAAACATACTAATGATTGTTTTAGTAGGTAGTATAATGCTGCAGTCAAAATATTTTAGGAAGCATAACAGCATTAAGCCTCATTACTCTCTACTACACACCACTGGTCTTGACCTGCCTGATAAGAAAGAATGTTGATGTTGATGAAGAAAGATTTCCAAAAGCATGTGGATTTGGTTGGCTTCTTCAATTGAATTCTTCTGGTGTCATTTAAAGTAAATTCTCTTGGAAATGTTATGTTTAATCCCACTCTGTATTTATGCATGTTGATCTTTTTGTAAGAGCTATATTAACCCAGGGGTTTGTTTATGAATTTTTAAAATGGTCTTTTCCATCATTTTTGAATCTTCTGACTAGTTTACTTACTTTGAGAGTCGCTCCTTAATCAATCAGTATTATATACAATTATGTATTGTCATTTCTTTGTTTAGTTTGTAGCTTTGTATTATATCTTTTTAATTTAATTGTTTATTGTATTGTAATCTTGGAAATTGTATGTAGTGTTGATTGGTAATCAAATGAAACTTGAATCTTTAAACTTGAAGAGTGTGGCACCAAAAGTGAATCATCATCTAACACCTCCTCCCCCCTGTAATACTTGCAGCTTAAATCTGTTCCTGCTCCTAGCCCTATTTTTGATCCATATCTTGCATTGGGTGAGTCTTGAAGAGCTCAAACTAGTACAAGTCTACTACAATGGCAAGAGGCAAAAATGATATCCATTATGCCACATGAACCATATGAGCATTACTGATGCAGGATGTCAGTGTCATGATGTTTTGCTATTGCTGCTACCATATCCTTAATAAGCTAGAAAAAGTTTTTTTCCTCGTCAGATTTTCTTCAGAGCCTCTTCAGATTTTATTTGAAAGTTGTGTATTTTATTGAATGACTCCTTTACTACTTGATAGCCGCTTAGAAAATGAATGGCTGCAACAAGAAGCACAAGAAGTCAGAATAGAAAGTGTAAGTTGATCCTTGACTATTGATCAAATCATTTTGTCAGTATCCTTTTGAATTTGAGGAAAGTTTTTTTTCCATTTTTTAGATATGCTTTTGCATCTATGAAATCTGCTATCATACAGCTTTGGCATTTTGATTTTTTTGTAAATCATTTTCAATGTTATGTATGACAGGATATGTAATATATCTGTATCACTGTGTTTATTTTTTCTACTGACTTTAGTAGTTATAAGTCTTGGCTCTGCTTGAGAAATAGGCCTTTAAAAATCGCATTAAAGATGGGTCACCAAAACCAGTGTATTGTATTGCCCTTTTTAGCATGAATACATGTCATACATGACAAAAAAGACACAGAAACGACAATCAGCTATTGTATCACTTAGTGACCGAAATGCAGATGAAATCAAACAAACCAACAACCACAAGGCACAGATGCTGAAGAACTACGACGACCAAAAAGCAGGTTAGTAGGGAAGCGATATATTGCTCCTATATATGGATGTAGGTAATAGTCATAGAAATAGTGAATCATTTCAGTTGTGTAGAAGTAGGGATGAAAGGACCCTTTTGCCTCTCTTGGTAATGCCTCGATGTCGCAAAGTTTTACTAAGTCTGTTGTCTTTGAAATATTTCCATAGGATCCCTATTGTTCCTTCATCAGCCATATACCCATAATTCGCCCCTTTTCTAAAAGCAAAAGTAAATATATATCTCTACTTTCCTGTTTTCCTGGCATGACCTGTTCTGACCATATCACACAAGTACAGTATTTGGCTGTTCTTTTGAAAGAGGGTGGCTATTTCACTATACCTTCAGCCACTTTAAAGACGCTGCAACAACGGTAAGAAATTTTAGACCATCACCTGCCGATTAATGAGGGGCAACTTTTAATCCCCAAGCAGATGTAACAAGTATGGCGAAGCAGTTCAAAAGTATTGCATTTATTTTCCGAATGGCACAAACTGCATTTTCTAAATTTGCTGTCATATCTGTAATCTAATTGCACTTTAACGTTATAGTTAAGTTCTGTTATTACAGGCGAGTGGACAGGAAATATATATTACCAAAATTTGAATCTGCTTATTGTTTTCTTAAAACTAGGAGATTCACCAACCATCTTAAGAAACAAACTGATAGCCACACTATTCTAAGCTACAATTTTTTTGGATCTGAAATGATTAAAAAAAATTCAAAAGATTAAAATCGGTAAACTTGATGTCTAAAGTAGATTACTGATATCAAGCTTTGCAATAGGAATGGTGCTTGACTTTCTGTTACTGAACTTCACTACGATTGTTGAAATGCCTAACTCATTTACAAATTATGTACGTGTATTATTAGTTTCACAATCATTTCGCTTGGTCAAAGCATTTCTAATGTCGTTAGGTTTTATCTCATTATCCTCCTGGAACTTGATATTTCAAGTTTTTACTCTTGGGTTTTCACAAGCTTTGGTTATCAAGCAGCTCAAACTCTTAAAATGCAATCATTAAACATGTTTTTTATTCAAATATGACACAAAGATGCGATGGAAAACAGTCACTACTAACCAGCTTTCTGTTGCATTAATCTTTAATAGACGTTTAAATTAGATTATTTTTTACTGACTCTTTGCAACTGAATTCTTTAAAATTTCCACTGTCTTTTGATATCTCATAATTAACTTTCAGCTCTACAAGAAGAAATTCTCGCAAAAGAAGCCGAGCTTGACTCTGCCAAACGGGACTTAGAGAGCCTCAAAGAATACCAGGTAGTCTTTTTAACAAAGCTTTTTAGCGCTGCCCAGAAAAGTATTTTTTTGCAAATAAGATTCAAGTTGAGTGTATTTCTATGAAACACGAATCGTTTTGGTTTAAGCAATTCATCTTCACTTGAGTTCCTAGGTAATTTGTAGCCTTTGTTTAGTCGACTCGACGTCTACTCGTTAGTCGTCAGTTTGATCCAATCTACGGTGCTAGTACTTGAGTTTTTTTAATGTTTCTATTTGTTTGATGTTGCTCTACAAAGTCTCGAAAAATTCCAGAAATTTAATGTCATTTTTGTTCTTTTACGCTTATTTTTACTATATTGCAGCTTGAACCTTTATTAAAATCTTGAATTGATTTGCATCATGAAAATCATTTATAAGCATCTTTTGAAAATTGTTTGTTGGACGTTTGGTACACCTATAAGACTGGCAACAGGTTTAAGCTTAAGGCCTCACACGTGAGCTGTAAGTACGCGAATATCGTATTGCAAAAAGAAGCACTGTTTTATGGTGAAGAGCGAGAAGTTGTTATTAAGGGGATGAAACTCTTTGAGAAAAAGTATTCAACATCTAATGACGATAATAACTATTCGAATATGATAATAATAGATATTAGAATACAATGAAGAATTATAATATTGCTATCTTAAAACTATTGAGAAACTATCAACAAAACTGCACAGCATTCTAGAAGATTTTGTCACATTCAGAAGAAGATTCTATTGAATTTTTTTAAGAATTTAAAATGAGGTATACAGCATTTTGATTGCTTTTCTCATAAATTAGATTTGCGTAAAAGGTTCTATTACTTTGAATTTTGGAACGTGGAAAGCTTGAAAGTATAGGGAACTCTCTTAACTTGAAAAGCAACTAAAATGTATTAATTAGGATATGAGCGATATTTATCCTTGAGTGCTGATTGATGTGTTTCATGGCTCTTGGTTTTCATTACTTTTTAAAATTGACACACATTAGGAAATTAAATTATGTTATTGTATTGCTGCCCTGTGTCCCAATGTCTGGTCTGGTTGAAGTGTTGTGACTTTTGGCGCTCTTTTTCCTACGATTTCTTATTGATAACGCTTGCAAATTCTTTCTTGCTCATTATTTTAATGCTAGAATTAAATAATTGTTTTCATGATGATTTATTAAAAATGCCTAAAGTGCAGACATGACCATCGCTAGCTATTGTGCTCAAGGGGGGTTTTCAAGTCCAATTTGCCGACCAAGTGGATGAGCCATCCTTTAACTACCAAGAACTTTGAAACTTGCCGGTGAAGCACCCTCATATAGCTAAAAGCTTTTTGATTTTTAACAAAATTTATTGTCAATGGGATGTCGTAATCTATACGCCCCCTCCCCTATATCGACGGTCCCGAGTACAAAAAGCTTTGTCATAAACAACCTGAGATTTTGTGGCCATTAAAATCCTAGAAGTCAAAGAGCTTTGGCCTCTGTGCTTGTTGATTGGTTTGCTTGGGATTTGTCGTACATGTTATTTTTTGTCTTGTGTGAACTTCTAAGCTCCAATCCCTATTTTATCAGTTAAGCTTATACAATTCTATGTTCACATATGAATGCCAATGTTTCAAGATTTTTGCAAAAGCTTCTGAAATGGTCTTTGTTGGAACGATACCCCTTTTCCATTCAGTTTGCAAACCATCCAATTTAACAATCAGGATCTTTTTAAGATTTATAGATCATTGTTTGTCCTAGTTTTATAAACTCGCGAAGACTCCTTACGCTTCACATGGATAGGCCTTTTCTATCTTTTTCTCTTCAATGAAAGGTCCAACTACTCTTCAACCTTCACATTTTATGCTTCTACGAGGGTGCTACCTTTGAATTTATGCTTGTAGCTTTTCTAGCTTTAAATTAGGCCGTAATCTTTTTTATATCAATGAAGCCATCCAAAAAAAAAGAGCTCCCCAGATAATGGACGAATAAGTTTTTTCAAAGTGTGGGGGTAAGGGCTCCGGTCCACATTTTCCCGTCAAGATCACGACCTCAACAGGATATAAGGGGTTTGAAAGTACGAATTTTGTAATAAAAACGCGAATGGCACTCAAAACCATCCCCCAAGCATGCCTCCCACTACATATTTCTGGCACTAGCTCTATTAGTGTTCGTTATCTTGAGCTTTAATGCTAGGCTTCAAAGGGATTTGAGACGCCACGTTAATTTTCAACCTTCTCTACACCAAAGTTTCACCAATCCTTTAGGCATAGAAATTGAATCAGCGTGTTGTTTGAAATATGGCTTCTTCTAATATAAAAAATAAAGAAAAATATCTACTGGTCTGCCAATAGGCCAAATCGTGGATTTCCATTAACTGTGGTTCTGCTACGTCATGAACAACTAATTTCATGAAAGAAGTCTTGTTGTGATCGTTGCCTCGAAACATTTATCTGTGCAAAGAAGCTTAAAGATGCTTATCCATTGGCCCTCTCTCCCAGTATGAATTTTTCCTTGCTGTGTTACAAGTCGATAGAATTATTGTTTTGCTGCCGTTATTTAAGGGGGTCCTGATACAAGAATGTTTGCTGCAAGCCTAGATAGCCAATGGGTTTTGAGATCTTTTTTTAGCCTTTTAGTTACAATATATATTTGTTTTTTAATTATAGCAAGACTATTATAACAGTTAGCTGATTTGGGCCTACATCATAACACCAGTTACTTCGCCATATATTGGTATTGATTTTAAGTTAAATACCCCCTTGCTTTTCTATTTTTCGATCATTTCATTCCACTGCAATCATATTGGTTAGCAACCATCTTTGCGGGGTTTTTTATCATTTTTTGTGTTTCCGTAAATTCTTGTCTCATTCCTGAATCCCGTGATTTTATCGCGCTTTTTCTTCGATTCCAAACGATTTCTCCCTCTCTTCACTTGAAAAGACAAGCTGCGGTCTGTTGATTTTAAATGGATTGTAATTTTCAAAGACCTCTACCAATGAGGAAAACGAGGCTAAAAGGTTCCTTTTGACACAAAAATTGACATGAAATTTTATCTATTGATATAAAGATCTATTGAATTGAAAACCTTTTAACCATGCCAGAAGCAACGTTCCACTTACGCTATTGCTATTCCCGATAGTGTTAGCATTAAAACAGCTGGAGGTTGTTTGGGAGGCTCTTTACTTACCGTATAATATAGTGTCACAAATTTATCAGAGGAGAATTGCTTTGCGACATATTTCCAATGTGGGATCTAAGCATATCATTGTAGATACACAATGGCCCACCTTTTCAGAACTTACATAATTTTTATAAGAATACCTAATTTTTTTCTGAGCCTCAATATTCTTAAATTTTTTTATTTTGAACCTAAGATTATTCTTAAATTATTCTTGAGCGACGGACTGCAAATTGTGATACCAGCATGAAAATGAGTACACTGGGGCAATTTGACACGTTGATAATGATGCTGAACAGACACAGGCTGAAAAGTGCCCCAAGTGCTATTTTTAGACTGTCCTCAATTTTGGATTTCATCCATACGTAGCTAACTAACGTTTAAAATGAGCATGAATGTATAGGTTTAAACACAATTCTACACGATAAAATTATAGCACAGAAACAATATTATCCTTTGATTCTATTTTTAGATATAACACAGTTTAGTATAACACAGTACCTCTTATTTAAAACATATAGCGTTAGACTCGCATTTGATTTGCCTTCCAAAAAATCAGATACCGTAAAAGCTCTATTAAGCCCCCCTCTCTATTAAGCCCCGCGTGTCAAGCAAAAACTTTAAATTAGCTCCTTCTCTATTAACCCCCCCCCCCCCCCCCACCCCCCTCTCTTGAGCCTTTGATGTCAAAGATAGAAAACATGGGCATTTAGTGGGTCTCTTGAGGATGTGATGATGATAATATCTAATGCATTAAATACGGCCTATGTAAAGATATAAAGAGTAACTTGTGCGACTTAGTAGTCAGTCGAAATTTGTTTTGAAGATGCCCAAGGGTTATCAATTTATCCTAGTGATATTGATATAGATGAGGACCTTATAATTGATTGATTATATTTTCGAAGCTGCTAGCAAAGTTTCTTGAGTACATTTGTATGACATTTTCATAACAAAAAATGGCCAAAGGTATTTTTAAAACTTTTTTGCTTCAAATTTTTAATAAGCCTTCTCTCTCCAATAAGCCCGCCTCCCTTTTAAGCCCCCCTCTAGGACTGCAAAAATGAATAAGTCCCCCGGGGGCTTAATAGAGTTTTTACGGTAAACAAAAAAATTAATTCTTGGTGAAGCTCGCATTATTCTTAAATTTCAGTGATTTTGAGCTTTAATTTTTTTATTGACTATTTTACTATTTAATTCTATAAAAAAGTGTGTAGTACGTAAGGCGATCACTTCAGTTAGACCTTTATTGATTTTCTACCTTGTTAATTTAGGAACTAGTACGTACCCCTACTGTGATTACTTCAGTTAGGTCTTTGTTCATCGCAATTGTTACAGTTTTGTTTTATTCGCTGTTTGTAGTGTATACCAAAAGCTATTCTGTTCAAAGAGGTCACTTGTCCTGATAGTGCACAAGACCCATGTTATGATATCCAGTTTATGCTGCTGTTCACAAAAGAAATGTTTGTTAGAAGCATTAAAAGTTATCTGATGATGCAAGGCAAAATTTTGTACAAATATCAAGCCAAATTTCATAAAAATTATTTTGCAGAAGATTTCATTTAAAATTTTTTCAAAAAAGGTTTTGCAAAAAGAGCAAGAGTCAGAAATTGCGAGACTAGAAAAAGAGGTGCATGACATGAGGGCGACACATTCTGATGCGGTGCAAAAGCTGAAAGCAAAGTTCATCGCTGAAAAATGTGCTTTCCAAAAGACGTCAGATGAGAAGATCAACAAGCTGACAAAGGAAGCAAATTTGGTATGTTTTGGAGTGTTTATATTGCTATAAATGCCCTGTTTTGTGAGCTAAAACTTTGTTTGGTGGCATATAAATATCATTGCTGAAAATATGGCATAAAATGACGTTCCTGGTGCAGTATTTTTATATCGTTTCTATTCGAACCATATTTAAGACTTTGCAACGAGTCCAAATCACCCCAGTCCCTCTTCATCATGGGTGCTCATTACAGCTGCTAAATGGGGAAGGAAAAAGTAGTTCAACATTTAATGGAACTCATAAACACGACAAATATATTAGATGAGTGAATGTTAGAAGGTTTTTTGCTCGATCATCAGGTGGTAAATACTCTGTACATTCCTTGTGTACTTAAAACTGAAAGTAAAGCCTCTTCTTAAAACAGAGGCCATATGATTGTGTTTTATAGAAGCTTTTCGTTGAGACATTTTATCTCTATTCATTATATTATGTGTGATCCCATTTTTATCATATTACTTCGTTAGCCCACTGAGCTGTATTTAACAATATCAATTTATTAAAGATATGAAGGAAACCGCAGTAAAGTTTTCTAAAGCATTTGCTGTTAGCAAGATTTTGAGGTCAATTCAAAGTCTGCAAGAGAAATGAAATTAATATAGTTTTGATTAATTGCTGCAAATCAAAGAAAAGCCTCCAATAACGATACTCCGTTAGAACCCTTGACTATTAGCCGTTATATCTACCTATAAATTAGGCCCAATGTCACGAAACCTGCATATAAGAATCTATTTTTTTCTCGGTAGGCTGTTAAAATAATTATAATGAATAATAATAGTGATAATAATGTAGGCATTTTTGTAGCACTGTAGATCCCCAGGGCACTTAGGCGCTTAACAACATAACTTCTAACATAAAATTAGAGTGGTGAAATATAATCTACATGGGATTATGTAAGAAATTTACTTAATGTTGCTTACCTACTGATAACGAATGCCGTCATAGAAAAAAATTAATCAATACTTTTTAAAGAAACCTCGTTGAAACTACATCTTAACCACACCAAGAGTAATACGAACTGAATAGGTGTGTCTTCAGTGACTGCTTGTAATCAATCAGCGAGTCTAATGACCGAACTGGATACGAAAGTTTGTTCCAGTTGTGTTTCAATCAGTAACTATCATAAGCTGGTCTTGTCATGCGGGCTGGCTCATATTTGGGACAAGGGCCTCTAGATAGTGGGGTGCCCATCAATCAGTTATCCAATGAGTATCTTTAAGTAAATTAAGATTTTTGTTCTAATAAAATTTTTGCTTTCTTGTTTAAGATTTTCTGTTATTGGATTGTCAATCCTCGTTTTCTGGCTCTGCTCAATTTAATTTGATGTCTGGACTGAATAAGAGAAAATGAAATTACAGTGTGATCCCGATTTAACGAACCCCGGATATAACGAACTTCACGGTATAACGAACTAAATGTCTGGTTCCTCGAATTCTGCCAAATTTTGAGTTCCTTCATCTTAAAAATCCTCGATATTACGAACTTTCATACTTTTTCGGCTGCTTTTTTATTTACTTTTTTCAATGTCCATTTATCACTTTTTCTTGAGGAAATCGTTATTGTCTTCGGCAAAATATGCTGATGATACATTTCAAGCACTGGCTGGTAAGGCTCATAGCACGGAATGAAGGTTGATTGCGTCAGAAGTTACTGCGAATGAGTTCATTGACACTAACAAATACCTTCTTACATATGAGACATTGGCAGTGAGTGACGAAAAATTTTATTGAGAGACATCTAGATGGAGAAGCAAGAGAAGACAATTAAGAATGTGAAGTAATCGAAGGTGTCATTCAAGCCGCCAACTAGAAGTGAAGCGATATTAGCTTTGCTAATGTCTGGGCATCAAATTTCAGAAGAGCATAAAGATCATTTTCGATGACCAGCCATTGAATTCAGCTTAGGTTTTTTGAAGTTAAATGTGCAAAAAGGTTGGAGATTGCCTAAACATGCCCACCGAAGGTTTTTTAGGCGTGTACTGCGAAAAGACCTAAAAAACGTTTTTTCTCGGTTTAGCGAACTCCCGATATAAGGAACTATTTTCTGGTTCCCTCCAGAGCTCGTTTGATCGGGATTCCACTGTAAGTGTTTTTGTCTTGTTTTGGACACGTGTTCCTTTTCTTAGCTTGTGGAGCTTTTCTCTTGCGCATCTCTCTCTCTCTATCTCTCTCTCTCTCTCTCTCACTCTTGCTATTGTTGCTGAATTTTGTCCCATCGAACAATCAAAGAAGGACCCAGAAGAAAATAATGACTTTTAAAAGAAATTGAAAGAGAGTAGAATAAATCAAAAAAGTATTCCAAAGGGACAAGACGAACACTTCAGATGACTCCTTTTCAACTGGAAACTTTCACATAATGATCTCCTAATAACGACGAAGAAGGGCTGTTTGGTTTACAACGACTCCTGCCGTTTGCCTAGAGCACCTAACCCGATGCGGCACGGCAAGGCCAAGTTCGACTTATAAAACCAAATTTCGTACCGTTTAATACCGAACCTTCCGTAAGCATGCGCAACATCACATCAACATAGCATGATACCAAATGGCTGATGATGGCAACCACCGTTTAAAAAGGAAAGCTTTTCTTCTCAATGAAATATTTGCCTTAAGAGGAAGAGGAAAGAAAATGATGACAAATTTTAAAATTCTATTGCAGCAATGACGCAGAAGGATATCTTAAGTATATTTGAAAAAAACGCAATTTTGCAGTCCACTGGAAGAAGCAAAGAAAGCTTTAGATTCTCTCGCTTCTTCGAATGACAGGCTGGACAAATTGCTCATTTGAAAGATTTAAGAGGGTTTTTAAAGAGAGCAAAGATCTTTATCCTTGATGTGATCAGATCATTTTTTCATCGTGAATTTTTCTGCAAAGAATCAATTTTCTCCCAAAGAGCAGTTGGGAATCGCACTGTTCAGATTAGCAAAGAGCAGTTCGGGGGCATTTTGACCGTCTGTGAAATTTGGTTGTTGTTAAAGTTAGTATGTTGCGCAGGCGCTTGGAAGGATTCTGCTTGGAAGGCGCCAAGCCGTACAACTTGTCGTACCAATACCGAACCTCATTTCTTTAGACTCGGCACGGTACAGCGGAACGTATAAAACGACCCTAAGTATTCAAACCCGGTTTTACTCGACCATAATCTTTATTTTTTCCTGAATTCTTTCAATTTTGGTAAAAGTGTTTGATTACATGAAATCCTCTCTGCTACGAATGTAAGATCTTATCTTTGGAACCCATTGGCAATTATATCTGTACAATTTGTACATAAAGTGTAGGCTGTTTGTAAAAGTTGCTTCAAATGCCACTTTCAGCCTACCGGTTCTTTTAATACGTTTTTTAAGTAGTTAGATTATTACGGTTTTTACTGTAATACAGTCGAGCTGTCTTAACTGGACAGTTCAGAAAGAATGGATGGTGACGTTTTCCGTTGCTTTCAGGAGGCCAGGCAGTGCTTACAAGATCATACTTGGCGCATCAAGGATGAAAACAGGGCTCTGAGAAAAGAACTCCTTGGGCTAATACAGGACACGCGGGTGTTATATCAACACAAAAAACAACTTGAAGAACAACACAAGATACTTTCTAGGGAAAAACAGTATGCTGATAAACTTCATGATTTTAGATATGAACGACAAGAAGCTTTGTATGAAGGCTTTGGATTAAAACCTGAAAAACATTCGAGTGGAAACGGAGTCTAGGCTTTCAAATTTTGGCTCTGTGGCCTTCTCCTATTAGGTCAATGGTTGCCATCTTTTGTACTTCAATTTTGTTTAAAAGTATTTGTTCGTCAAATTTCTTTAAATTTGCAGTTTCATCGATGTTGTTAGAATGAAGTGAATATTCAAAATCATTTTAAAACATTTACGCTTGTAATTTTAGAAACTGCCTATTTCAACTTTGAATGTTTATTAACTCTTAAAAATCGATTTAACTGTGAAATTTTGCACACATATAATTTATGACAAATCAATATCGAAATGAAACGACCAGATTCCTCTTTGGGTGTTATTTATATTCTTGTAGCTAGATCTTATTTATAAATCTTTGCCCTTGTTATTATGATATTTAATTAATAGAGCTAGCCTTGGGAATAAATATAATTACATTTATCTTTGAGAGAGGTGTTTGTTTATTGTTTTGAACTTAAAAGGATGCCAGAGTGGGGGTGCGGGGGAGGGTAACTTCCCCTCATGCTCTTTGATAGGGGATGCAAGGACTTTATTCAATACTACAGCCCTTGTATTTAGCATGAATATATACAAAGTAGCGAGCTTATATATATTTCAGTCGTCTTTCTTCAAATCAGGAAATTTTCTTTGATGTTATCTTATCCCAGTATCTATAAAAATTGAACAAGATACCCTTAAGAATTTCAAAAATAGTTCTGCAGTACAATTTTCGACACAAGGAACTGTGCAATCTGGAGAAAGGTTAAAACCAAACATTGTGTAGCAAGAATCACTTAGAATCCGTGATTCCATATTTTAAGCTCTTGTTTGAAAACTTTCCTTAAGAAATACTGTTTTTCCTCCAGCAAATGTCAGTTTATGTTCTCGCATGAAAAGGGTATTGATATGTTTTTATTGAGTTATGGCTCAAACTCATCCTTTTTTGTTTTGCTTTGTTGCACTGAGCACATACTGAAAACATGGAGAGATTTAAGTGCTTTGTTTGATTATATGACTGCGTATGTCTGTTCGAGTCCCAACCGTGCCTAGACAAAACTAATTCAGTAAGTAAGCACTTTTTAGAAAGTTTATTAAATGGAAAAGATTGGAGCCAGTATGTGGTCGCACCAGAATTTTCACCAGAAGATTTGATTGTTTGTTTTGATTTTAGTTTCTAACTTTTCGAAGCTTTTTCTGGAAGAATGGTTATTCCTAAAGAAAATGATGTTGTTGGAATCAAATGGATGTTTCCTCGCCTTCAAATACCCACGAGGGCCGTAGTCATTACCATCATCATCGGTTATCGTCATCATCATCATCAACGTCAACGTCAATCGTCATCATAATCATCAACGTCAATCGTCATCATCAATCATCATCATCAACGTCAATCGTCATCATCATCAACGTCAATCGTCATCATCAATCATCAGAAATCATCATCAAACCTTCACAACATGCAAAAATAAGAAGTATATTTTGGTGTTTTAATGTGATTCCGAAGGCCTCATACAATGAAGTTATGTTTGAAAAGTTAATTCCAGATTGACAAGACTGTTTCAGTCAATTTATAGTCTTCCTGATTGACTGATTGATTGATTGATTGATTGATTGATTGACTGATTGTAGTGAAGTAATTAGTTGACTGATTGTAGTGATTGATTGATTAAATGGACTGATTGGTTGGTTGACTGATTGACTGTAAGGTTTAATATTGACAAGTGATTAATTGATTGATTGACTGGATTTAATGTCTAATTCTATAAAATGTACAGAGAGGGGTTGGGAGGATTTGTCCTCCCCAATATTGGCGAAGGTCGATTTTCTAATTCATAGACAGAAAATCTGTTCTCGATTTCAAACCGGCCGTGCTTGCAGTGGCGGCGCTGCGGGGTGGACTTTTCCCAGAAGTCGATTTTCTAATTTCTCGAAATCCGTTGAAAAACCTTCAGGGGAGGGGGGGGGTAATCATTATCGTTACGAAAAATGTTGCTTGAGAAAGTTGCTTGTTCAAATATTTCAAGTAAGATTTAAAAAAATTAAAAAAGGATTTTCCAAGAGCCTGAAGGGCGTGGCTGAGAAAATTTGTTTTTGTCCATCCCAGTTTTTTCGAGCTGGCAACACCACTGCGTGCTTGATACCTTATCAGCCTATTCATTTCAGTTTCATGCCTTTGCTCTTTTTTACTGTTCATGAAACATTGTTCTCATTTGTTTTGAGGCGGGATCCATGCACCCGTTTGTTATTGCTATCCAGAACGTACTCATTCCTGTTTACAAACACCACTTACTTAATAATAATCGTTTTTTATGAGTATAATTGATTTCCCTACCTCTCACTGCTGAAACATCCAAACGACGCCTCGTTTTATTGCATATATAATAGTTAAACATAGCATGTCAAGGCAGTATTGTCCTAAAATAAAAACACAAGTAGTTTCGACATAAAAGACAAAGGCGCCATTTTGTAAGCCTAGGGCATGTGGTGTTTCCATTTTAAATGTTTGTAACTGCGGCTGAAATTTCTGCCTCTTGACTCGTGCGTTTATAAAACAACGCACTCATTACCAAACATTTTATCAGCAGGCGCCGTTCAGCCTGCGAAGCAGAATGTCATGCATGTCAAGGCGATGCACACGGTCAAGAAATAGTCGTCAACCTAAAAGTAAAAATTGTCAATTAGCCCCACTCTTGATTAAGACTCCGTCATTATTTATCTCTTTTTACAATCCAAGACTTAAGTCGAAGGTATAAATAATATTGTTAGATGGTTAGACGGAAAACTAAAATAAACGGGGCATTTTCACAATGTTTTTGCATGATGTTTCGTTTCGCTTCGCAAAGTGAACTCAAAGAAAGTGAAAGAGCTTTAAAAACGAGCTCTGACAACTTTTAGATAACTTTCACGAGCGCCTCGCTTCATTCAAGCTAATTAGATATGGCAGTTTTCATCTAGTTTTCTAAAGACGACCTATAAAAATAAAACTTTTAACGAGAATAACAGCTGATTTCCCCTCTTCCCTAGGGTTCCTGAATTCATTTCGTACATCGCCAGGTCACCTGGAGCCCCTAAACTACCCTAATTTATGACGGAAACTCTATTAAATGCTTGTATCTTTCCAAATGTAAAATGTCACTTTAAGGGTTCCTTAGATTAAGTTTCATCATATTTATAACAAAATATCTTAATAGATTCACGGAGAAAAAATGTCATTTTAAGGCCAACTTTTTCAATTAGAAATAACTAAATTATGGTTACAAGTTTTTATAAAAACGCCAACCACACAGAATTGCGAGCATACATATTGTAAGCTTTTTTAGGATTGTTGCAAATGAATGTTTGACATCTGCAACCACTCTAGTAGGCAATTGGCAACATCCTGCTAGCTCTTATTTAATGTGTAATGTAGTTAGTGCTCCACAAAGATGAACCTATTTAATGAGAGAAAATTTGAACTAGTAACAACATAGCTGAAAACTGAATTGTGGGTCTTATATTTCACAAAATGATTCTCTTTTTTATCCTCATGACGGGAGACACGCCTAGATGCGCCGTAGAATTGTAATGCGATGGGGGCAGATACATCGAAATAGGCAGAGTTCTAAAATTGTTATTGCACTAAAAAAGTACTCCCAGATTTCCCAGATGCTGATTTTTTTACGATCGATTCAAAAGAGGCAAAACCGAAAGAACCAATTCAATCGGACTTTCAAAAACAGTCGTTATTCAAATCACAATCTCCCTAGATTTCTCTTGTCTCAAATTTTCTTTTTTTTGGTATTTGTATTTGTTGCTACCTAGCATCCGAAGATAGTTTTTAGAACACTGAGAAGCTATGCTTATCGAGCAGTGTCCTGGTCCTTCCTCTCGATGTGACCACACCTTGTGATTCCTTCGCCTGGAATTACAGAGAGCTGGCGATTCTCCCCACTCTGGGTGAAAGTTTGGTCATGCTAGGGACTCAAACCACAGACCCTTGGGTCTGTAGTCAGCGCCTCTAACAACTGAGCCATCCTCGCACCTAAATTATCTTTGACATCGGTCATTGATTTGAGTGGATTCTGTTGCAATATCGAGATAACAAATTTCACTAAAGTTGCTCCTCTGCATTGGGCAGAACTGGTTGTTCAGATTGTTGGTTAAGAGCCGAGTTGTCTTTAATCGATCTTCCCTATACTTTAGAACCTTGCGATCTTCTTGGTAGAAGCTTTGTTCTATAAGCTTTTCCGCTGGACATTTTTTGTACACTTCGATGCCCTACTTTGCTTTAACTGCTATTTCTTAAGTATACCAGTTTATAACTACTGTATTTCTGAGAAAATTGCTAAGCTGCGTATATAATTTAGGCCTGCTTAAACTTAAGGCCACTGTTAACAACTATCGGACAAATGGTATTGAGCCCATTGCCCTATTCGATATAAAATACAAATCGATACAGACAATTATTGACCAATATCTAATCAGAATTAGAAAGGTACTTTAATCAGAATTAGTGCAGCAGACAACAGCAGGGCAGCAGCAAAGCAAAGCAGCGATAAAAGGAAGCACTTCTTTTCTTCTTATGAGCAGCTACTGTAACAACAAACTGGATCCCAGATCCCCTAAAGGCACAGGCGTTGTGGAGGCCAAACGTAGCTTAGTATTGGTCTTCCCCGAATTTCGTTGCTTCATTGAGATGAAATTGCCTGAACGGGCCTTAAATTCAATAAATTTCAAGATTGTGTGACAACACCCATTGCAGTTAGGTTGAGGCTGGTATTACACTATTTCTTCTCAGTTTTCTGACAAGCTGTGCTGGTTATATCGTATCGCTTTAAACAAACATTGAATTTATGTTAACTCCGTCATATTTCACTCTCACTGTTTATTTGCCATTCATGCAATTTTTGCAATTGTCATCATTGTCAGGTTTGCCTGCTATCACTTATGGACTCTAACTAACTCAAACTGTGGAATCATCATCAATTTTTGTCTTTACGCGCTTTGCAAATAATAAGATAAATGAAGCAGCCGTCAAATAATGCTGACGTCGGTGAAATTGAAAAATTCATTGTTCAAATAAGCGCTTTGACTTAATACAAGTCCTAATTCTGAATTCTTCCGAGGGGTAGGGCTGCATTTCCGAAAGTCTACTGCGAGGGAATTGAGGCTCAGACTGGCTGTTCATGCTTGTTATGAAACTTTGAGGCTGGATTGTTCATGATTTTTTTAAATTATTTAGATGTAGGCTAACAAATTTTAAACACGAGACAATATTTTACTGCAGAAAAACACAAGATTTGTATAACACCGATTTGATTTATATTGTCTTTTGTACAGCCACCTCGGTCTTGCAAATCTAAAATTACAACTAAAACCTGCGATTCTGCTATCGGGCAGCATTTACTAGAAAACCCAGATTGTGCAAAAAACTACAATGGCGACATTCCACCTGGCAGTTTTGGAATCTATCTACATAAGCACGAAAAAACCGCTACTGTGTAGACAAAAGGAATTCGTTTTCACCTTAGGACTCCATTGATAACATTCTCAACAGCAAGCGGCACTGATTGGTCAACCTATACAGTCATGTGCTCGTGTTTTCTGATTGACCCATTTCGATCCACAACTGGGTATATATATTTCCTAGCGTAGAGTTTCCGATCTATGTTCTGAAGTTTTAAACTCTGAAGAGTGTCAGACGAAAAGCTTTAGTTAATAAATGTTTGCTTTTTTCAAAGCCATTGTCTTTTGTCAAAAAGCTTACCTTCTTGCATTTTAAAGTACCTTTGTTGCATTTTTATCTCTGGACCTATTTTTGCGTTATAATAAACCCCAAATAGGGCTAAGTCGAGATACAGCAGAAAGATAAGCAATCTTAGTACACGATTGATAACACACTAAATCGGCGAATAAAAAAATTAAGAAATGAGACATTGATGAAAAGACAACGAAAATATTAATGTTCTGGACTAAAATATCTTTTTGTGCTTTACCTTGAAAATTGCTATTAAATAAAATTGCAAACTAAATGATCGGGTTAATCTTGAAAAAGTTACGAAATGAGCTGTAAATGATTTTTAAGCCACCAACACCCTCAAATTATGGCCCCAATGCAACAAGTGCCCAAGTTGGTAAGACCCCAGGGAGCAAATTCGACGATTTACGGTATGTAGAGAGGGCCTATTATAGGGGTCCGCAAGCCGCAAAACCGTGCGAAATTCAGCCAAATGCCGCAATCCGCAACGAAATAAAGCGCGAAGACGCGGCCGCGATGGCGAAACGTCATGAGACACCCAAAGCCATCTACTTGCTCATATGGGAAGGGATTGCTAGAAGTAACTGTTTTATACTATCCTTACTCTGTTTCACAGCAAGTTAATGTGTCAATCCAATTTTAAACATCTATTGATACATGGAAAGTGTGTAGCATTTATCAAAGACAATGAATCTTCATCCAAGTACTTTTCCACAGTACAAGGTGTCGCAATGTGGTGTCAATAACTTCAAGGCCAGATACGTCAACTTCAAGAAGCGTGAAACTCGCATTTGATTTGCCGTCCAAAAAACTCAAGTCAACAAAAAATTTAATTCTTGATGAAGCTTGAGCGTTGCATTATTCTTAATTTTCCGCGATTTGAAGCCTTAGTATTCTTATAGACTGTATTCTTATGAAAAAGTGTGTACCTTGAATTAATAGATCAAAATTCGAGAAAAAAATTAGTCCTTCTGAAGCTCTACTCTACTGAATAAATCGGTTATTGAACCTCACTGCGCGACCAAACGGTGACTCTGAGTCGACAAGGAACATAGCCTTTCTCGCTAGTCGACCCCAGTGGCGGTCCAGCCTGGGATAGATGGGGGAAACAAAAGGTGTGTCAAAGACCACACCCTTCTAGACCACGTCCTTTTTCCCTGATTGAAACATTTACTTCCGGAGGATACAACTCTTGTCTCCCAAGAAATGTCATTTAAATGTGACTATCTAGATAACGTACATACCCCCCCCCCCTCTGAAGATTTCTTAACAGATTTGCAAGAATCTAAAGGACCGACTTTCTGAAAAAGTGGGGGGACTAGTCCCCCCATTCCCCCCCAGCCCTCTGTATGATCCATGTTTTGTTTTATTGATCTTCTTGTAGCGGCAAGGTGTAATTTTAAACTCTGCTCATGTAATTCCTTTAATAAAATAAGTGTTAATGTAAGAGTTAATGTAAGAGATATTGTATAAAGATTTTGGCAAAGATATTTGTTGATTTATATTGTTTGATAGATGTATTAGGTTGTATAGAAGCATCCTTCTCTTCTTTCGTGAAGTTAGGGTACTGTGACAGTTCGTATAAGATTGACGCTTGTACATGTTAAGGTTGTGCGTTCCCACAGTAATAAGTAATGTAAAGCTTAGTTTCAAGAAACCTATTACAGCATAAGTTTGTTGTAATTTTTCATATTTTTAAGTCTGGTGCGCGGCCCGTTCTGCCTATACATGCAGATTATGTAACTACCCCCCTTGGCAAAGCCCGCTTTGCACGACCATGTCCACAACATTAGTATTGACGATGTTTTGATTGTTTGAATTTTTTTAACGATATCCAGTTTAGTTGTTACCAACGGATATGTAGTTGTCTTGCTGTAAAATTGTCCTCTGAAATTTCGCTAGTAAGGAATATTACGTCAACCCATTAATCATTCTGAAAACTGTACGTAGTTATTTTGTTTATCATAGATCTCCCTCGAAAAAAGATTTCACTCGTGTATGACACCATCTAAAACTGCCGAAAATTTCTTGTGGTCCCTATTTGTTTATGGGCCCAGTCGGAAGGACGGCGCGGCTAACACAGCTAAACATCTCTTTGATAGACTATCATATCTCTTTGATGGGCACAGCTCAAATTAAGCTAATATTTACATTTCCTCTCTCTCTCTCTTTCTCTTGGCCTAACTGACAGCAATGACTGGCAGTCGCTTGTTCATTCTTACGTAAAGATATATTTTTAGAATTTCTTAATTTTGACCACATAATCTGAAAGAACGGCATAAAAAACTTCTCAATATGCAAAATCAGTTAAATATATTCAAAATTGGGCGAGATATGGCCAATGAAAGATTTCAAGTTTGCTAACAGATTACTGTCATTCTGGTCATAAAGTTCTTGGTCATGAACCAAGACGAAATTACAGAGATTTGATAGGGCAAGAGCCTGTGCATCTGCCCATTTCTCCTCCAATTTGTAGCCCATTCTACTGATTATGCATATTTAGAGGTATTTCATGATGCTCTTTCAGATTATGGGATCAAAAGTGAAAAATTCTAAAAATACATTTTTGTGACGTCATCATTCGGTACTCTATTCGAAGTAGGGCTCTTTTCAATACCCTTTGGTGTAAATTGAAGACCCTTGACGCAGGCCGTCATTTCAGCTGGAAGCCGCAACAGCATCATAGAAGCCGTAAACCGTCGCGAATTTACACCGTAAGACGCAAAACGCACCTTTTTCTGAAGCCGCAATCCGTAGAAAAACCATGTTCAAATCCGGAGGCCGCGTGTAGAAATAGGATCCAGCAGGGACGAAAACAAGTTGCTAATTTTGGGGGGGCGTGGAAGGATGAAAATTCCAATCTAAGTAAGAAATTTTTCATTTGACCAGTAAATCTACTGTACCTACTAAATTGATATTTGTAAATAGCCCGAACACCATAGTTCTATTTTCTTTATAATTACCAAAACTTTACTCAATAATTAGCCTAAAGCATAAAAGCCTAAATCTCTAAATTTTGATCAACATGAAACAGACATTTTAACTTACAGTAAGAAGTAAAGCAACATTTAAGCAAAACCAGTATTAGATATACTTAATGATTAGAAGTATTCTTTCAGATCAATTAATCAATAGGCGCAGATCAATCTTATCTAAAATACATTTTTTCACGATATAGAAGCACCAAGAACTTGAGCCTTTAATTTTTGTTCTTGATCGAAGAAAACTACTAACAATTTTCAGAGGGCCAAATGCCTTTTCATTCATTACAATTGAAATGATGATTTGAGAACAAACTTGTGCATATGCCTGATCCGAAAGATGAAACACTCTTCTTTGATCAAATACTTCTACTGCAATTTTGCAATGTGTTCTTGCTTCACAGCAGTTTTGTCATAGGAATTTATGATAAGGAGTCAAGGGCGTTAACAAATAACAGGGGGAGTTTAGCATAAACTCGTTTTTATAAGAAGCGTTGAGAATTTTTAGTACTGAAAGATTATTAATCTTTTATTGAATTAACTACTCGTAGTTTCTTAAAAAACTCCCACTCTAATACTTTCTGATCAATACGGGAATTATTATTCCAAACTGTAAAGTTTCAAGTTTCTTATCCGGAAATTCACCTTGCCTGTTCGTAATTTGATTCAACTCCCGTCAGAAAGAAAGCAAACAGGGCAATTGTGCAATTTGGATCCAGTGGAGACGGGTCAGCTTCAGCTGTGAATTTTAATGTTTAGAATTTTTACATTTAAAATAAAAAAGCTTCTTAAAATATAAAATTCACAAGTTTGGTCCTAAGAAAAATTCCAAGTCAACCGTTATGTTTTCCAACTGTAACTGGATTTTCCAAACTTTGGGGGGGCGTCACGCCCCCCACGCCCCCCTATTATTTACGTGCCTGGGATCCAGGCCGTGAAGCCGCCAACCTATAATAGGCCTCCTGTAAAATCTGAATGCAAACAGAGCCACTTTCCTGCTGAAAAAAGAGGATCGTGGGGGGGGGGGGGGGGGGGAAGACGCCCCCTCGCAGAATTTCATCATCAAATTGCCTTTATCATTTGTTTCCGTAGCATTTCCTGTTTGGATTTAGCACAGCTTCGCCGCAGCACTCTTCACTTTGTATATTTGCTACCTTTTTTCATGACCAAGACCTTTATCATTGAGAAACTTCGTGTCATGACAAAAACGACTGCATTTTTAAGCATGATTCAAAAGCTTTTAAAAATAGCCACATTCAAAAAGTAATCTTGTTTTGATGTTCTTGCATGATGGAGAAGCTGTGACCTTCTGACACCCTGTGGAGGATAGAGCACCGCGAGGCGAATGACAATTTGTTTTATTCCGTGCAATTGCGGAATCAATTGAGACACGAGAAAACATGAAGTGGTGAGCTTGGCCTGAAAACAATGCCTGAAGATGAATTTCTGTAATCTACATTCACCATGCAGGCTATTATTTATTATAGGGATGTTATTTCTAATGGTTGATACTAAGTTGCAGACTGCTTTAAACTCCAGCTTTGTTGAAGTGGTAGGGAACGATCACAATATAACAAAACCGAAGGAAATAATAAAAATAGGCCTAATAATGCCATATGAGGTTACTGGATGTGAACCCTTTTGCGAAGAGGAACCTCCAATCGATGGCAGAAGTTACGCCACTGCCTTTCAAATTGCTGTAGACGATGTGAACAGAAACAGCTCATTGCTACCAAATCATGAAATCAAGTTTGTTTTTAATGACTCAACCGTGGACGAAGCAAATGCACTAATGGCAGTGTACAAACAGCTAAATGGTATGAATGTCTCTGCCTTAGTTGGCCTGGGGTGGTTTTGCCATTCTGTTTCCACTATTGCAACTGCTGTCGATGTTCCCGTTATTTCGCATGTAAGTAAGCAAAGAATTCATTTTAAAGTTAAAACTTTTGTTTAAGATATGAATATGACAGATGTCAATGTTTTCTTTGGGTGTGTGGGTACCTAAAATTTAATATTTCAATTAATTAAAATTAAATCAAATTTAATATTAAATCTAAGGTCAGTTATTGATCAAAAACTGTCATTGACACCAACATCCAGCTCTTCTTACCATTTCAGTATGATATGATCCCTCACATGATTTCGATATTCATCCCTGCCTTTTCAAATTCTTTTGCATGTCATAGTTTAATTGTTCAAAACGAAACCCGTTTGCTGATTGGCAATATTTGTGGTTTTCTGTATTGCCTAGTAATAATTATCGATGAACCGCCTAACACACTTATATCTGTCTTCAAGTATCTTTAGTTAATTGTAGCTAATTTATTAGTTCATCGCGAGCAGATGTGCTTGATTTTCAGTTTGTTTCCTATATCCGTTAGGAAATTCCAGCCACTGTGGTCATTTTGATTTATCGTTTTTCTGCCCATTTAATCATTGCACAAAGCAGTTACACACCAAAGAGATCGTTGGAATGAATCAATGTTAAGGACGAAATCCATTCAGTTTTTTCCCTAAAGTCCTTTCCCTAATATCCATTCAGTTCACAATCTAACATAGATATGAAACTTGCTATTGGGCTTCTTTCGTTTTGGAACAATCATTCAAGTTTGAATTTTTTACAGATTGTTTTACCTCTGCTAACGTATTGCTGTATTCCTTCATGAACAATAAATACAGACAAAATATAACTTTTTTGAAATGACCCTGTAGAATGATTGACTTGTTTGGATTATTTGTTTATAAATATTTGCAGACAGACTACATAGAAAATATAATTTAGATGTAAAACACAAAAGCAGTTTCTTCAATTCAAGCTGACATCAATTCAGTTCTAGATGGGTCTCTTAAGTTTCAGAATTAGATTGGAGTTTTTATTATCAACAATTTTACTCACAATAAAGCATGTTATGTTAAGCTCCTGCCAGACAGTTCCTTTATCATTCCCAAACTAATGTAAGTATTGTTGATAATCAACTTTGCTTTGGCACATACTACCTGCTTTTATAAGAAATTAAAAATGTACTCCCTGTTTGCAGAAAGCTAATATTAAAATGTGGGCAAAGTTTTTTTGATGATGCAAAATTGCAAATTTGTAAGCTGTTTATCAATGTCTATCTTTGTCTAAAAAATCTACATTAACTTCACAGCCTTTTAGAGTTTCATTCATCTACAGAAGATTCATTTATTTCATAACCAATTAAGTTTTATTCCATCTGATCTTTTTTGTTTTCCAAAGCTACTATGTCTTTTTCTCTCAGAATTCCTCTTTGATGTTTTCCTTGTATGAATTTATATTAGTGTCAATGAAAGCTCACAATGTGAAAAGTCATTTTCAAGCTTCTTAAAATTTATACACAATTCTGTCATTCATTTCATATTTATTTGTATTCAAGGAGTTTTAGTATGTTTGAGTATCTAGATGTACATGTTGAATCATCTAAGGAACTTGTAAAAATAATTGTGAATTCACCTGCAAATTTAAGCATACCAAACAGGTTGTTGATGATGGCATTATTGTTTTACAACCTTATCAACCAAGAATTATGCCTGATCTTCTGAATTTTGAAACAGGGGTAGGGTAAAAGGCCACCAAGCCCCCAATCTATAATGCAACTAAGATCTGTCACCCTGCTTAGAAAATTCGTTGCTGGAAGTTCCACTAGAAAATTGTTGTGGATAGACCTCCTAGTTTTTGTAAAATTGTTTTCTTGAACATAATTTCAATGCATCTTGTGAATTAAGTCAGCTTAAGCCTTTTAAAAACTTACCTACAATCATTATCACCAAAAATATACCTGTCAAATTGAAAAATCTAATGCTTCATTTTTTCATGGGGGATGTCAGTAATCTATTGAAGATTTTTCCAACTATGAGTCCAGGATAGCATTGTCCTCTTTACAGTAATGGCATTGTCCCTTCTTTTTGGCAGCTTGTTAGTGGAAGTACTTTAAAGGAAGTAACTTGTGCACAATCATAAAATCACCACAAATCATTATCATCATACATATTATCAACAGCAATAAAAAGGTTAATTTATCTAAGTTAAAATAACTGTCTATGAAAAGGGATCTGGCTTCGTCTTTGTGATAAATTTGGAATTGATCTGTTGTCAGGCTAAGGTATTTGTACTTTTTAAAAATAAATACCAATCAAAAAGCATTGCATATTATGAACTGTACATATTGTTTTTAAATTTAGCTGTTTTATTCATATTTATAAGTTATCTTAAACCATTTAGGCAATGTGCCAAGTTATCATGCTAGTTATTTGCTAATATTTAGTTTGGAATTACCTTCAATTAAACCTGCAAAAAAATACATATCAAGGAATATAAATTGGAATTATAACCAGTTAATTTTTTGGCCAAAAGATAAAAAGCCCTTTAAGCCAGATCCCATGTTTATTAAATGCCATAGGCCTCTGAAAATTCTGAATGGATCATTGCCAATAATTATTCTTAGTTATTTAAACTATTTTAAAGCCTTAATGTCCCATCTCAAGGCTTAACCTAAAACTGCAGGAGAAGTTAGTGACCTCAAAGCTTCAAGCGCCCTCTGCAAAATTTGATTATCTTATAAATTTTTAAGGCAGTTTGTTTTACATTTAAAACCACGTAAAAATATTGGAAGGCCAAGAAACCCTTTCAAACTTGCTCTACCATAAGTATTCATAAATGATCGAATAAGGATTGAAACAGCAAACCCCAACTGCCCTTTAATTTGATGCTTTAAAATAAGAGATTTTTATCAATAGTGTTGCTATATTCTCCCCCAGTTCTCCCTGAGGTACCGCTATGGTCATTTCTGACGTTAAATATATTTCTTTTCTGGTCAGTAGTGTCGCCAGCTCGAAAAAACTTGGATAGACAAAAACATTTTTCTCGGCCAGGCCCTTCAAACTTTCGGAAAATCCATTTTTTGGTATTTTTTATCTATTTCGAAATTTTTGGACAAGCAACTTTCTCAAGCAGCATTTTTCGTAACGGTGGCTTTTTTGCCAGTATTTAGAAAATCGACCTCTGGGAAAACTGGGGTGGACATGTCCACCCCGTGATGTCCACCCCGTGGTGACGCCACTGCTTCTGATCTTAGGAATTGCAGAAATTTTCCACTGTAATTTGTCTGCCAACAGCATATTAGAATCTTTATCAAGTTTAAATAAAGGTTTTACTTGTTGGCTGCTTCATCACAACACGATCCTGTATGGTTGGAAGTTTTGTAGCTCTGGTTTTTCAATTTTGCCTAAAATAGATTTTAAGCATTATTATCGATTATTTGAAAAACCAGATACTGTTTGTTCTGGTTTGAACCCAAACATTGGCGGTTTTTTTGGATAAACGATCTGTCGCGTGGATAGTCGAGTTGCCCACTTTTACATGATCCAGTTATTTTGAAAATATATAAATATACCCCAGACGATATTCAATGCGAATAGTTTGAAGTTTTGACATTGAGACACTGGAACGAATTTAGTTAATGTGGCATATTGGCAAAGATTTAGGAGCTGGGGGAACGGGGCCCGCTTTTCCCAAGACGTTCAGAAATGTAGAAAAGTTTCCTGTTTGCAGCTCGCGGGTGTACTCATTAAGGCAATCACTTTCCACTTTCAAAATGCGACATAAGTCCTTGCATATTGATTGCTTGGCAAGATATGTTGAAGAATACAAGCAAGCACTCACCCACACGCACCCACACGAAACTTTTATCATTAAATATTTTTTCCTTGAATGAAATCTCTGTTTACTTAGATGGAGGATATCCAAATACCCTATGGACACAGGGTCATATGACCAATTTCTTTTCCATGTTACCTTTGGAAGCCTCAGGGCCCACGCCACGAAGTTTAACGTGGGTTGAGGGGGGAGGCTAACGAATGTGGGATTAAAATTCCATTTACCTTTTAATTGTAGCTTTGAAATCATATGCTTCGGAAAAAAGTGGGGAGGCCAAGGCCACCCCCCCCCCCCCCCCCGATGGCATGGGCCCTGCCTTGCAGGATGATACCACAGCCTTCAATTTACTAGGGTCTCGAGCCATACCCTTTTGTGAGTGGCAGTGGTGGAAACACTAGCTTGTACTTCTAGAAACCGTTCTAACAACTGTGACAACCAATTTCTATGAAGCAGCTAAAAACTTTTACGATACAGCTTTTACTTTGGGAGCATTCAATTTTTGTTTTCATTTGCCTATATTCTTTGTAAAATACCTCGACTTAAAAGACTAGTCTTATCAATCTTTCTTAGTATTGCAAAGAAGACGATTCGATTATGGTTCACAAAAAGTCAGAGGACAAACTGCTTTTCGCAAGAACATACCCACTTACGACACAAATTGTGCCAACGATTGTTGCAATTTTGAACAGGTTCAAATGGAAGAAGATAGCGATAATGAAGAATGAAGAATTGAACGCTTTACAGATGAGTGGAAATTTAAGAATATCTGACCAGTTCCGAGAATTTGGAATTGATATTGAGATCGAGAAAGCGTTGCCTGAGACGATTGATTTTACTCGGACTAACAGAGCAGATCTACGAAACGCCATGAAAGCTGTTAAGGACAAATGTGTACGAGGTGAGTTGTCATTATTTCAAAGCGAGGTTGTGCCTTTAGCAGGGGTTAAGGAATACGTAGGTTTATAGTTACTATCATGTTTGATAATTTGCGATTTAATGTCGATTGCCGGTAATTTTTTACAAGATTTTGTCGGATCAAATTGGTCTAGAATTCATCGGGATCGCAATCTCTCTCATCTTTTGCTTGTGTTTACTTTTTGAAAATGAAGATGCAACGATCGATTGATTCTGGGGCAAGTTACTGCATTCCAAAACTACGGATGGGCTATTTCAATACCCATCCATTAGATTAGGACATGTAATGCTTAAAGGGGACGTCTCTGTACTAGTAGCATGCTTCGAGGTAGCTCTGTATAGACCAATCAAAGTGCAGGTAGCTCGGTTAAGACCAATCAACGTGCAGGTAGCTCGGTTAAGACCAATCAACGTGCAGGTAGCTCGGTTTAGACCAATCAACGTACAGGTAGCAGGTAGCTTGGTCTCAACCAATCAAATCATATCACAGCTTAATTCATTTCAGCATTTCATTTAAAGTTTTAACAATCATGCATGCAACTACAGTATTGCTATTTGTTATGAGTAATCTGTAACATGTAATTTTTTAACATTAATGTAATTCCAATGTGAAGTAAATATGTTTAGTGTAATGGTCACAGGGTTGCTATGTATTTCCATGCTCCCTGAGGCATCGTCTTGTAGTTTGTTTTTTTGTAAGATTTTTATGAGAATGTATAAAAAATACATAAAAAACTACAGCAGATTTTGACACATTTTTGTATTTTAGTTCAATCTTATCCGGTTGGAATATAAGCGTGTGTTGTCGTTTAGATTTTATTTCTATCCATTTCTAGCTCCCGGCTGTTCTTGTTTTTCAGTGATTGTGTTCATGTGTGTATACAAAATTGCACGAGAAGCCCTTGTTTTTGCTAATGAGCTGAATATGACCGGAGGGAATTTCGTATTCATAATCATCATCAGATCCCCAGTTGAATTTGAAGACAAGATTGCGCGGCCTTTCAAATGGTTCATGTCAGAATACGGAGAACATTCTGTCAGCTCTGAAAATGGGGTGAAAGAAGCTTTGAAAACGGCCTTCCTTGTTGGACCAACCATTAATGATAATGAAAGGTACAAGCGGTTTGTTGCCAGACTAAAGCGAGACAGCTCCAATGCTCCTTTTTACAGCAACTTTTTCGATGAACACCGATACGCATCAGTAAGTTTTGATTTTATTTTTCATTTGTTTTCTTAAGTGTTTGAATGCTTCTAGGCATTTTTATGCTGCTTGATTTCATTGCTTGAATCTTGATGATGCAAAATAAGCTTGAGCTAATCGGCTCTGGTCTCAATTGCCAAGTTGCATTAGCATCAACATTAAAGGCAGCCTGGACAAATTAACAGACAATTTGCGAGGGGCAGATCACTCAAAGAAAATCTCGTACACCTTTTGTGAAAATCCTATTGTCTTATCTGAAAATACCTGGAAATCCTTTTGTTTTAGGGAAAATCTCGTACGCAATTCAAGAGTGAATTGCCCCTCGACAATTTGCATCTGAAATGTTTTAAACGAGCATATAAGTGTCATTCGGAGTTTCAATAACGAGTATTGAATAAATAAATGTTTTCTACCTTCGAGAAAAAACAAGTGAACTCGCAAGTTCTTGATTTTTATATTTTTTGCAACCGAAGGTAGTTTTTAGGACGCTGAGAAGCTATGCTTATAGAGCAGTGTCCTGGTCCTTCCTCTCGATGTGACCACACCTCGTGATTCCTACACCTGGAATTACAGGGAGCTGGCGACTCTCCTCACTCTGTATAAAAGTTAAGACATGACAGTGACTCGAACACCTAGACTCTTGGATTTGTAGTCGGCAACCCTAACCACTGAGCCATCCTTGCACCTACTTAGTGATTGATCAGCCTTATCTGTGGCTTGAAGGGAACCCCCCTCCTTCTCTTTGATCTCAACTGCCCCTTAAATTGCTTTTCTAAATAAAACAGTCAAAATGATAGCTAACTTTGAATTTAAAAATTCGAAAACTTCCCCCCCCCCCCTATGCAGGCTAGATTATTTTTGCAGTTTGCTTAGAATGCATTATTTGGTAACTTTTTGCTTCTTGATGTCCATTTTCCATGTCGCTATTGAAAGTTATTTGTTGAGCAAATTCGATGTCTTATGAATAGAATTACTCCTAGTCAGCCATTTTTCACCATTCTAAAGTTTTCAGTTGTAGCAATGTCGAAGAGACGTCGTCCCATTTTGTAATTTTTTTGCCAATATCCTGTCTTGATCGACTTTCCCTCATCTTGCATTTTTATATATTTGAGATCCTTTGAGCGGGCCTAGAATCAATTTGAAACACCGGTCTCGGTGTAACAGTTTTGCAATAGTTCGATTTAGCTTTGTTTGCTTGAAGAATGTTGGCAAAGGAGTTAGGCAAATGTATGGCATTTTGATCAAATTTGAGCTTTTTTGTGAATAATTCATAATGTTCGCACGGCAATGGAAAGCCAGATTTATTTAAAGCTCGAAATCGCTATGTTTTTGTTTGATCTTTTGCTGAAAACTCGTGCGTTGCAAGTAAATGTAAGAAAAATTGTTTACTCTGTTGGTAAAGATACTGCTGGTACATGCTGAGGTGATTCTAACAACTTGAATTTTTTAATAGCAATTAAGATGAGTAACAGGTTTAAGCAATCTCCTACAGTTTTTTGATTGAATTGCGAAATCCCAGGCTCAGTGTATGCTCAAGAGAAGCAGATGCTTTTATACTGACTCATACCGCTGCAATGATTGCCTGAATAATTGATTATTTACTTGATTAAAACTTTTTAACCTACCTCGGCTGATAAAACCGCGTCAATCTTCCTACCTCGTCTGACTTAACACTTTCTTTCTATATAAATTCACTTAATAAGAGCACCGATGCTCGATTTGCAAATAGGAACAACATAAGAACACGCCCGGCCTAAGACGGGATATGAGAAGATCAAATAATGTGCTTTTGAAAGTTTTCTCCAATATTAACAAAAGAGAGCAGATTTTATCAGCTTTTCAAACATGTACTAAAAAGTCATGCAAAACTGTTATTTTATTGCCTTAGAAACAACTTATAGTATATTCATCAATATTTATAGCGAATACCTTTCAGCTTAAAAAAGTAAATCAACAAATTTATGACTTGTTAGCAATTTTTGTTTAGGAAGGATAAACTGCTGCTCTACCAAGGGGTCGTGTTTGGGTCTTGTCTGTTTAAAGGTTCAAAAGATGCAGAAAAAACTCTTTTTCTCTCGAATGCTGTCAGGGATATTGTTCCAGTTTTTGATACTAGAGAAGTAGAAACTTCATTTTGCATATTCTAACCCAACTCTGGGGATTTGAACTATCTACAATTTTTTTGCTCAATCTTCTGCAACCTGGGGTCTTTCAGTGAGCTAATGAGAACTTATGATAATGTGTCAATATAGAAAATTCTATGTTGAAATTTGAACAACATTAAAAACACTCGAGCATCGAATTATCCAAAAAGTAAGAACATTGAGCCTCGGCAAAAAGTATCTGGTTCTTATAAAAGGGATAAAACAGACCGGAGCTCGGACCGGAGTGTATTGTAAAACTCCGGTCTGTTTTTAACACTCTTCTTTTTCGAATCCGATGTTCCAGCATTTTGTTATCTTTTTGTCGGTGCACGATCTCTCAAGAAATCCCAAAAGCAGTCTCCTCAACGATTGCATATTTTATCGAGTGCTAGATCCCAAACAGTCTGGAATTTATCCGCTGCCATCAGCTCGAAAACTTTGATTCGTCATATGATTGCGAGTTTTCATGTTTGTTGGCGCAGTGCTAGCCATATTAACACATGCTTTGTTCATACATTTATGACGTCACAGCTTCCTTTTTTTCAGTTTCCCCTGAATTGCTGATACCAATTTACGGCCTTTATGTTACGATAGCCTATCTTAATGCTAGAAGGGTTAGCAAACAAAGTTTTAGGTCGACGAGATTCCAGGGACTTGATTCTGAATAAATCACAAATCAGAAACAACTTTTTGGGTGAACACTATATGAGAAATCAGAGAGATTTTTATCCACAATGCTAGCCTTTTTGAAAGCTCGCTAGACACTTTTATGATTTATTCCGACGCGATGGTCCACTGCTATCATCTGCCTTTTACAGTGTACCTTTGTACCTAGTTCATTTAAACATCTATATAACGGAGACCTGTGGATGTTTTAAGCAAAAATTTTTGTTTTTTTCATCATAGGCTCTTTTGTTTCTAGATTCCAGAAATTGGCTATTACCTATACGACACAGTGTTGCTTTATGCTTTGGCAGCAAACAAAAGTTTAATGGCGAATGGGAATGTTAACAACGGCACTGCTATTTACAACAGCCTTAAAGGGATGACATATGAAAGTAAGAATGCTGCGTTCATTTCTCGATGTGATAAATCGCATTGTAGCATATTTGCAGTTTGGTGTTAACAGACGTTAGAGCAGAAGCTCACATTGGCTTAGCAACGGGATTTTCTGTTATAATAAGTTAAGAATTTTGAATGAGAATTAAGTATTTAACTTTCAGGCTAAATTAGTTATTTGTCCCATGAGGAGAGGGATTTAGATTGGCTAGGTTAGGGACTCGGATCCTATCTAGGATCTTAGACTAGATATTTGTCCTATAAGAGTTCTGAGCTTAGAACTTATTTTCATATTTGCCAAATATTTCCTGATATTGAGGCAATTACCATCTCCAAAACCAGAGAGGTCAAGTTATTGTTTTTTCTTCGAAGGCTTATTTGGATAATATCATCAAGATCTCGTAATGAGATAAAAGTGTAAATTTAATCAAAAACGCTGTCGTGGCTTTCTTGATAGAGTTATCCTCCTGCCGTTTAGCTTGTAAAATTAAATGTGATTGAATGACTTACGAGGATATATAATGCATGTAAAAGCCGGTATTTACATAATAAATTAACATCTTTTTCTAAGTTCTACTCAAATGTCGGTCCCTGTAGCATTTATATGTAGTATTTATATTTTCCACTTTCAGGCATTCTTGGCCATGAGATGGTCGTACACGAACTCAGCCATCGAGGACTCTACGTTAAGTTCAACTACATGCTTTACACATTCAATGAAAGCTCCGGTATATAGCTACTTTTTTTATTTGATGCTATTATAAATTTCAGTACCAACACAACAAGGTCATTTTCTATAGGTTTAATTAGAAAAAGAAGACATGTTATAATCAACATTCTAATTATTATTAAAACATTCCCAATTGATAATGTCAAGATATTTCCAAATTGATAAGTTCTAATTGTGTATCGTTGCTTAGGCCAGTCAGTTTGAATTTATTGATTGGAATTGTGCTGAAATTGTCGACTGGAAATGTTTTGATGACAACAGGACTTTCATTAACCTTACCTAATTTTTGAAGTTGGATTCAGGTAGCCTCTCTGTTAACAAGTTTATATTTATTCATTTCAATGATATATACAGTACTGAAGAGTCTGAGGAGTGTTAGACGTTCAAAAGTATACTTCAATTTAATATTCTTCTTCGATTCTGCGCTATTTTGGAATACGATTGTTTTAGTTACATTCCTAAAAGTAACATCAGATCACGTTAAGTCACAATAAAAAATCAATGTTACTTTTCTTAGAAAATCAGCTCGTCACTTCTTAGAAAAGGCTTTTCTTTAATTTCTTCCACTGATTTTTTTCAGTTGTAACGTACAATGCCTATTTTGTTGAGTCTGATGATGATGCATCAAATAAAACCACCTTGGTGTACAAGGAGCGCAAGCCCCTTAATTGGCCTAAGAGCATTGTGGGCGATCTTAAATGCGAGAGTTTCTTTAATGAAGATTGTAAGTATTTTATGATAATTTGATAGCATTTATTGTTGTGTTTATAACCAATCTTGGAAAATGTTTATTTCTTGTTATGACTCTTCAATCACATGAGAGAATAGAGGATATACAGTGGTAGGAAGAAAACCAATGAAGTTATATTGGTTCATTTCGATCCTATTTTTTGGTGTTATACCTTTCGAACCAATGTTTATGCTGAGTGCTTTTGCAATACATCAAGATTGCCGAAAGATTTTATCTTTTATAAAGTCAGTGCTATTAACCATATAGTAACCTCTGTATAGCATAACCTGTGAGATCAGAATTGCTGTACATTGGAGAAAGTAGCCCGTTGTCTCGATTTTTTTTACAAAGCTTTCACCCTAGGACCAATTTTTTCCATTGTTTTAGGGTTTCTCTCATTGGAATATGCTTACCAATGGAGGTTTTCTCACAGTCTGATCAAGTGTCACATTTTCGTACCTTATTCTCTATTTACATAAATTTCAATCTAAGGCTAGGAGCTAACGCAGAAAATTAGATTAAAAGCAGTTTTTTTGAAATGGGAATTCATGTCAGCAAACATTGTGTTTACTTGTTAGATTTCTTGGTAAAAAGCCGATAAGTATATTTGCTGATTACAAAGAATTGTTGAATCCCTCTTTTCTTGAAACCCCTTCTTGTAATTGCATATTTCCATCAAAATGTTTTTATCAAACAAAATTTCCTTCTGCATAACATTTATTACAATACTCTCGTGCTCTTCGTGATTTTTCAGTCTTTTTATTTTCGTGCTTCTTTTGTTATTAGATATTAGCTCTTATGTTTCGCATTCTATGTAAACCCAGCGCGTGTTTGACGTCATGCCCCTATTGAAGTGTCAGCAGAGGCATAATGGTGAAATTCGTACTGTTTAAAAAGAGACAATACGTACTTTAATGAAGTAGGAAAAAACTAACTTTGACCTTAAAATACCCTTCAAAATTATATTGCTAAACGGAAAAGCTGTTACATGTTCGTAAACATGTAAAACAATATCTAAGTGTTCGACAGGATATGAAATATTTATACACAGCAGTACAGTTGAAATGAACGAAGACCATCATTTAAAACTGATGGTTCTGCCTTTTCAAGCTGAAGTTCGTGAGCTACCGACATAAGATCGTTTTAAAAAACAACTTTAAACGCTTCTGAAGAGCTAAAATCTGAAACACAACTCCCTGGCAGAACAACATTGGTTAAGTTTTATAGGGCTGTAGTCTTTTATTCTAATAGCGTTAAGGTTAAATAAATGAATTGTGTTTTTCTCCACGCCCCCCCCCCAACCAACCTCCAACACTTTAAAAAAAAACTCAGCGTTTTCAGGCTGTGTTTGTTGAAACATCGTTTGAACCTGTTATTCGTAACGATTGGACGACTGCATTCCACCCCGTGATGATGGTTTTATGTATCGTTGACAGCGCCATATATATATCTATGAAATATTATCAGTGGAAGTAAGCAACTGGAACATGACTCTGAATGGGCGGTTCTATATACAAAGCCCTAAATCCTGGTTTTATTGGTCCAGCTATATTCCTTACCCAATGTATGACAAACAATTAGTTATTAAATTTAGAAGTGTCGCATGCAAAGAGTAAAAGATATTTCAGTCTTACGTTGTAAATTATTTTAAGTTAATCGTGGCGAAATTCTAGACACGTATAAGCCGCTTTTTCTAAGGCTGCGACCGGAGAAACGCCCGCAAATTGACAGCTACTGGCCTCCAAGCATACATTATCCATAGGACATTCTAACACAGTCATTCATACGTCCCTCTTCGCTAAAGAATTTTACGATCTGCTCCCTTTGACGATCTGCTCTGCCCCCTCTAAAGGCGCCGGTTTCTTTCTTTTGCTGCCCCCTGTATGCACTGAATGCATTTCTACCCCAAATATTATCATTCTTGCCTTAGAGGTGCTTTGTACAAGAATACATTTTGATGTCCCAGCCCTACTTATAAATGTCTTAACTTCTTATCACAATGCTGCTATTGTCTTATGGGTTTCAAAGTATTTGAATCTCTCCTTTTCAGATACAAAGGTGCTGGCAATCTCCATTTCAGTGTCTATTATCGTCGTTATGCTGGTTCTGTTACCAGTCTTTAAATACAGGTATTTCTGTTGTGAAGTTATTATGCAGGACAGGTATTAATCACTTACCTAGACCCAAGGCCCTTTTATTTCATCGTGTGTCCGTTGTTCTCTAAGGCTGCCCCTTTCCTTTAACATGTAGTAGTTTTGTTTCCCAAGTAGCAATTTCGTATGGAAAGCATATGAGAGAATATTGAAATATCTGAAAATAATGTCGGTATGTGTGCATACCTTGTGTTGCAAATTTAATGTGATTCTGTGACTATTGTTTGTGAATGGGAAACAGTTCTTGAGTTGATTTGTCATTCAAAATGTCGCAGTTACCCCAACCCTTATTAATCTGAGGACAACAGTGTAGTTTTCATGAATTTTCGTTTTTATATTAAAGGAGTTATCGTTTGGAAAGATCGCTGACAAATAAGTTATGGGAAGTCGATATTTCAGAATTGATGCTTCATAATGGTACCTTTACACAAGCAATTTCTACACCAAGCGTGGTAAGATTTTTGTTCTGTGCGCTATATATTTTCTTAGTGTGTAACTATGAAACAATGGCCAAATGCTGGCTGCCAATCAGAAGAGATTTTTATCTGCTTTCGCCATTTATCTTAGAGCATCGAGAAAGACATTCCTTTGTCACCAGTGCGGAAGAAATCATCGATTGAAACTGTGCGTGCAATTTACAAAACAGATTGGGTGGCTGTTAAGATCATTGAAGCTCATAACATTGAACTCAAGCGAGAGTCACTTTTAGAACTGAAACAGGTTTGTGATTCTTAATATCGTTTTACCATTATATAGTTCTTTAGGAATATAGATATTCATGGATCGTCTCTTTGGGGACATGGATCGTCTCTTAAGCAAGATTTTTAGAAACTACAATCCTGGACAAACGGTGTCACTGCTATTAAAGTACATGTACACCAACTTTCAATGGGGAGAGGCGGCATATGACATATATGTTAGACTAAATCTGTATGCTACGCGGCATTTATTCAGGCGTTTCTCGCAATAGTTATGGCCAGGAATCTCGAAGCAAATGTTTTGGAAAAAATCAATCGTGTTCCTTGCAGAAAACAAGCTTTTGTTCAAATGGGCCAATTTGCGATGTTTTTTGCTTCATTTTCAACGAAACCCTTTAATTGTCAACAGGGCTAACTTAACTGTATCCAGAAATATGTTTGTATTTTCGCAAGATTTACGACAAAATCGACCACACAACATATCTTATAACGAAAGCAAATTATCGCTGTGTATTGATCAGCTCATTTTTAGAAGCTAAACAGTATCGTTAATCATAACCCTGTTTATCGCCTGGTATTTAGTAGAACACCCCCTCCCTCTCGATGCAGCTTTATGGAAGGAATTTTGTGCAATGCAAAATTCGATTCAGATTATTATGCATAGGCATATCCCACTATTTGGTGTATCACACTATACGAATGAAAATTGCTAATCGAGTTTCACGCTTAATGTGATCATATGCATCCAAACACTCTACACTCTGGTTATGGAAACTCGGTTGTTATCATATTCTTGTCGAATTTCTGACCGCGCAGCAAGTATTGTTTTGGTTGTAAAACTTCAAAAAAACAAGGTTAATAACTTAAATATTTGATCTTTAATTTTAGATACGGGAAATTCGCCATGATAACATAAACCCTTTCATTGGTGCCCATGTAAAACCTGGCAGAGTTCTAATTGTCACTCAGATTGCTGCTCATGGGAGCTTAGAGGTAACACGTTCAGGATCTCGTGCAAGTCTTAATTACTCTTATTTTTATTTTGCTACGAGTTCCCAGCCTTTGTATAATTTCATTTGCTAGATGCTCTATTTCGTTGAAAACTTGTGCTTTGTAAACTCGACTTATATAAGGAAGTCAATAACTAGATAACCTGTAGCAGATTATGGGGAAGTTCACAGATTCAAATATTGCTAAATTAACATGGAATGATAATTAACAAAATTGGGAAAAATGGACATGAAAGAGCAAATTGGGGTATGGGTAAACAATTGAGTAAGTCGAAAGGTTGACCGATAATATCAGAAGCAAAATTCTTGAACATTAGAATATAGAGCATGTGGGGAGGGGTACATACTTGGGGGTATAGATAAAAAAATGAAAAAGAATGTATCCTTGTTTGAAAACTCTATATGTTTCCTTGTTGTTACCCTGTTGGTCCCTTATCGTCTCCTAAAGCCTGTCATTTGTTTGGGATGGTTAAAACAGCGTATTCTCTTCATTATGAATTCTCTAATATCAAATTTATCAATTTGGCGTGCACATTTAAAACTTAAAGTAATCCCTGGCCTTTACAAGCTACCAAACAGAAATGGAATTGCAACAACGTACAAATCCGTGTTTATTTTTTTTTAAGGATGTGCTTGAGAACGACAACATGAAGCTGGAAACACTATTCCTTTTGTCGTTGATATCAGATATCACAAAGGTAATTTCTATTGCAATTATTAATATCTGCAGGGACAGATTTAAGCAACAAAGATTGGGAGGAGGGGGTGTTAGATAAAGAATGGATTTTGGTGCCACACCCTTCAGGCAACTGAAAGATTCCAGGAACGCCTATTTTAAAATTAAGTTTTAAGATATAATTAAGATAAAGAAGATGATATCTGACATGGCTTTTTTTGACTGATTTCGTATTATATGTGACGGTACCCTTAAACCATTTTTTGCCTCATGGATTGTTCTACTCGGTTAACTTTAGAATTTTTAGCTACCTTTCAGCTCTCAATTTTGTAACCAACAAGAGTACCATATTTAGAAGACTCTCGAGGCTTTACCTTTAAAATATTTTTTTATCTTTTGTTGGTTTATTCAATCACTAAATGTTTGTTGGATAGCTAATGTTTGTTTTATTTATATTGAGCGCAGTGTTTTTGAGACATCCTGCGATCCATTTTAACGGGGTTGGTGTTTGAGATCCCCTCTTTCCATAAACGCATATACAATGTCTGTTGCAGGGAATGGCCTATCTTCACAATAGTCCAATCTTATCCCACGGGAGTCTCAAGTCTTCCAATTGTTTGATTGATAGTAATTGGTTGGTGAAGATCACTGACTTCGGTCTGCATACCCTGAAAAGAAAAACCAAGGGTCTTGAATACAACAAGCTTCTTGATAGCAGAAGTAAGTATTTTGTTATGTAGAACGTCGGTGCAATTCGTTTGCATCGATACGATCAAATAAACAGATGTGTCTGCAGTACTTTGCGGTGTGGCTCATAATGATATTGCTTAAAGAGTTTCTAAGCCTCGTGCCTACTTCTTTTCCCTATATATATACAGATGTTGTGTCTGAATTCAAATCTTCTTGTTTTTAATGTCTCTTCTACACTGCCTTTTGAATACCTTAATGGTTTTGCAAGATCAGGAGACGGTGTTCTTGTGAATGTCCAATCTTGTTAGAGAAGGTCGCTGAACTACAGGTCTGCTTTTCGTAGGTCATTTATGGGTAGCACCAGAGCTGCTACGAGATCCGAATCCTCCCGCTCGGGGGTCAGCTAAAGGAGATGTTTACAGTTTCGGGGTGATTTTACAAGAGTGTCACACAAGAAGAGGCCCTTGGAGTGATGTAGACCTCAGTTGTGAAGGTACAAGTGTTCATTATACAGCTATATGTATGTGTACTATTAGATTTCGGCGTAAATAGTTCACTAACTTAACAAATATTCGCAATAAAGACTTCTTAAACAAAGTTTAGATTCAATGATGCTGTTAACGGTTTAGCGTAAAGATGAAATCTAAACAGAAATATCAGTATTGATAAAGGACATTCACTTTTAACCTTTTTATATTAACCTTTTTTGTATTTAGGTTTTTGCTATATCAATATTTTATTTTTAAGAGTTATTTCCATTTGAACAAAAGTCCAAATAAATAACTCTCTGTAACGGCACCCCATGTTTGGTACAGTAACTAGTTATGTGATTCCAATTGTTTAGAATTGCCTTGAAATTATATGGGCGAGACCATAATGTCAGTTTTACTTAAAGTTAGGTAATCTTTGTATTTAACATCGGTCGGCGTTTAATTTTTTATGCCAGCCCTCAACTGCCTAATTAATATCTGTGAATTTTGTACTAGTATTAGATTTTAAAATAAAAGGGCTTTCGATATGACTCGATTTGGCACTTGACAGCTCTTCCGTGATCAAAGCCTTACTTTTCTTTTATTTATGTTTATTTCATGGCTGTTTTTTAAGTTTGTTTCTGAGAAATGTCAGCTTGAAAACTTGTATCTTTAGAAAAGCGGAAGTTAAAGTTAGAAAAACATCGCGTTTGATGTGTTTTGAAGAATAAACAGAATTCTAACAATTCCGTAAATGTGGGAATCTTGATATCAAAACCCACGTGTTCGTTTTACGTTAAAATTCTTCGTATTAATAATAATAATAATAATGATAATAATAATAAATGAATCATGACCAGTATCTCCACAGGGTGGCTCTTCATCTGGTCGTTAAATACTACACGATGTAAAAGTTGCTTAATGAAAAGTAAAGATTAAAATAGTTTGATAAAATGTAAATTGGAATTTAAAGTTAGGTTCTTCTCTTTATGAATCAAATCAAACTAAAAGCCTCTTTTTTGCTTCAGTAAGGAAATATTCTTTAGATTTTGATGAGAATTCGGATTTCGTTTTTGAATTTCTTATCGCATTTGGCATCTTGTTAAAAATTTCAGCTGCACTGTTCCTCAAAATTTAAAATTTGTTGTAGTTGCAATTTGTGGCGCAGAGTTTGATCTCAGATGTTTGCTGTTTTTATTTAATGATATGTCAATATATGCTGGTTTGTTATGATCTGTTATATAATTGAAAGCCAGCTTTTGTAGTCGTTTTTGTAGTTTTAATGAAAGAGGATGAAATACGACATCGTTATAATCCATTTTGGATAATATTAGCAACTCTGCAAATTGCTTTTTCAGTTTAGTGTCATGATATTTTTGAATTATTTCACTATGTTATGATGTTATCGTATTGATTTTTCTTTTGCAATGTAGAGCATGATTTCCCTTAAGAGTCCTTTCGCAATTTTATCTTAATGCAAAAGAACAATAGAGATTTCTTCACCCTATTTGATACAGTAAAGCCATATGAGTGAGACCTTCTTCCCTTTAGAAATTGTGGCACGAGTAGTGAAAGCTGAAAACCCGCCTTTTCGGCCTATCGTTCCAAACAGCATCGAGAACGCACCTGAATTGCAGACAATGATGTGCAGATGCTGGAGTGAAAACCCACAGGACAGGCCGTCGTTTTCAGAAATGGCGAAAGAGACCGAAGCAGCTATGAAGGGAAATGGGTTGTATGTATATTAAGTTGCTAGTATCGTCATTAAAATGCACAGTCCAACAAAGAACGATGAAGAGATTGTTTAGCAGTCTTTGATAGGGATTCATCGATTGATCTTTGCTTGGTCTTTTAACTTTCATCCTGATAGTGGATTCCCAGAGAGTCAGCGCAGAGTTGCCTTTTAAATTTCAGTTAAGTAGTTACGAGGGAGCTACATGGGAGCCCGTATTTGCTCCGTACCCATTTTCTCAGACACATTTCGTTCATTTGGCAGTAGAGGGTGAGAGATATGGCGGAAAATGTACAAAGATGATACAAATTGCACTGTGTTTTAAATAAGATTAAAAGAAAAGCCATTGCATATTATTTAACTTTTTCAATGTTACAGAAGAGAAGGAAAATGCAGTCTTAACGTTATTTACCGTGTTATGTATTGCATTCTATCAATTTTGTTTATCCTTCAAATTTCGACATGGCCAATGGAGCCAATTGGAACAGTGCTGGCAAAGGCAAATTGAAGCGTTGATAACTGTACTGATTTAAAGGAGGTTTTGAAAGCATTTTTTGCTAAGTTAAAAGGATACGTTGTGCTATTCTTTTATTTTGAGATTATTTTATTCTAGCAAAAGCAATATAGTTGATGATTTGCTGTACAGAATTGAGCAGTATGCCAAGAACTGGGAACACCTTGTTGAGCAAAAGAATAAAGAACTTTCAGAGGAGAAAAAGCGTATTGAGGCATTGGTGGGCAGAATGTTGCCACGTGCAGTGTACAAGCAGCTAACTAAAGGGAAGGAAGTAGAAGCAGAGACATTTAGAGAAGTGACTATTTACTTTAGTGATATCGTCGGATTTACGTCACTTTGCGCTGCAAGCACCGCTATGGAAGTGAGTTTCATGACGAATTTCTTCTTTTCGAGCAATATTGACCCGGTTTATACGTTATGAGTTATAACACTTCTGCATCAAGAAGCTATTAAGCGATTACTAAAGACCTAATTGATATTGGTCTTTCTTTAGACCTGTTTTCATCTATGCGTTCTTAGAACGCATGAGTGGTCATCTTGAAGGAATGGGTTTTATTCTCATTTACAAGTTAAGAAATATTCGTGCTTTTTGATGCTGAATAAATTTTACTAAGATTTTGAGTGACAAGATCTCAATTGTTTTGCATACAGACAAATAAAAACTTTTTAGTGTTTTTTACGCTGGCCATTACTATAGACCTAGATGTTAACAGTGTCTTATTTGGAAAGTCTTACTATGGTCCACGTGAACAGTCCCACGTTCTAGGTGAACAGTTTCAGGCTCCAAGTGAACAGTTTGAGATTCCACGTGAAGAGTTTCAAATTCCACGTGATTCCTACGTTAGTGGAAGCCTAGACAAATACTCAAAGTACTTTCTGTCTCGGAAAACGCTAGGTTTACTTATGTCTACATTGCTCCAGATTTTGTCTTCATGTTTATCCAGCCTCTTAATACTGCGAAGCTTCATGGTATCTCATCCAAAACTGTAGAGGATTTTACGATCTTTACTATTTCGTTTCTTTAACCTGGCCTACTGAACCATAAATCTCAAAGGTTATAAAATAAGTCTTAGAGATTCTTTTTTCAAATCGTGACTTATCTATCCTTGAAAAGTATTTTCTGTGAGAAAGCTGAATTTCTTTTAACCTCTTGATGTTTTTTTCTGTTTTAATGAAAGTCCATCTGTTCTCAGTGATAACCAAAATGTCCCCAAAGACAATTCTGGTTTTTGATTGTCGGGAGTGTAGTACTTTGAAATTCATTCCAATTAATTTTCCAGGAGCATTGTAAAAGAAATTTTCTTAAATCACAAAACATCATCCATTTCTTAGGTCATTCGTTATCAGTCACGTTTTCTCAAAGATGCCGATGAACAAAGAATCAGAGGCGCCGAAACAGGCGTCTGCAAAATATGTAGCTGTGTATTTTTAAAAAGTTAATAACGTTGCTTTCACTTAGATCTTTTTCGCTCAGATCCAGTGACTGTCGATTATAGTGTTACGCGGACGTCGTTTCGATGCCTAAAATGTACCGAAAAATATGTATTTTATATCACACCTTTTGTAGTTACTTCATACTGACGGCTTCTTGGTAATCACAAATAGCCAGTTATTTCGCTGCCTTGCTAGGTCATCGCTTGGTGGCCAGCTATCAATAAACTGGAACCTCTTCTACATAATTGCTGAAATCTATATTATCTTCAGTTAAAGTTCCCTTTTTTACACAATCGTAAACTTGTGGAGAATAACTGTTATTAACAGCCTTGTTTTTAAGCAACATTAGTTGCACAGCTTTTGTTTTGAAATTTGTTTGAATGTTAAGGCTTTTGGGGATCTGGGGAGGTTGTAGTCTTGTTTAACAGAAGGGTCAAAACTGAATACATTCTACCAGTTTTTGCCAGCATATACCTTGTTGTTTTTTAAATAAGTTTTCGTAATTTTAGGTCACAATAATTAGTTCTCCCACCACCGTGATAGTTATCGGACTTTTACCTACGTCAATGAAGATCTTTTGACCTTCATCCAAGTGCATTCATCCACGCTGTAAAGATTTTCGATTAAGTGACACTTGAATTTGAAAGCTTGTGTGTACATAAAGGATTTTTATTTTATTGAATGCAATATGATGCGAGCAGTTGCTGGACTGCTGGACTGGCTGCGCGAGCAGTTGTCATAGGTCAACTGACCCATGGCAATTTATCACACTATGAGATCTATATCCCTACATAAGTCTTAGGGTTGCATTCACATCTTTTCTTGTTGTATAAACCTTGGCGTTATTTTTATTTCTTTTAGGTTGTTACATTCCTGAACCAACTTTACACGCTGTTTGATAGCATCATAAAGTATTACAATGTTTACAAGGTGATTACGTTATTCGTTTTTTGCGCGAGTTCTTTTCTCCCAGAACCTTTAACCAAAACCTTATTTTGTCAGGCCTTAACGTTAAAAGACGTTTCCTGATTTCCCCATAGGAAATTTGCACATTAAATGTTCTATATGAAACTTTTTAAGCCATGCGTGCAATATATATATTTACAGAACAAAGACAACAATAGCTATCGATGTCCATTGAATGGTGTATAAGCTAATTTGCGTATAAGCCTACATCCATCCATGTATACCCATTTTTTCAAGAATACGAAATCTGAGATATATTTCTTTTTGCGAAAGCCTGTTATAAAAGCCCTGCTTTCGCTATGTTAGCATCGATGCTGAATTTTGTATGCCCTACTACATGATGCCTTTTTTATACTTTACTTTGAATATTTGACAAATGTAAGTTTTTATATTTGCGGGGGAAGTTTGTGCAAACTTCAAGCAGAAAAAACTCAAGAATTGAAGAAACTATGCACTAGCTTCATATCTTACTAAATATGAAAAATTTAAAATGGCATTGCATTCGACTTCCTACTGGAAGGGAGCAATGATGATATTTGAAGTTTTGAAAAGAAACCAAAAATGAACAGGGGTGAAGTCCCCGAACCATGTTTTAATGCTCTCGAAAACAATGGCTCCATTTCTAGATTTTTGTTTTATTTTTTGTAGGTTGAAACGATAGGGGACGCGTACATGGTAGTTTCTGGTTTGCCAGTTCGTAACGGCAATGAACACGCGAAAGAGATTGCCTTAATGGCCTTCCATATATTAAATGCAGTTAAAACATTTGTTATTCAACACCAAAAAGATAGCCAGCTGCGGATCAGGATTGGAATCAATTCAGGTATTTGCCTCGGATTAGTTATTTTTTCCTCTAACCTTATAAATCCGTGCTAAATGGGCTTCTATTTGTTGTTGCGGTTGTTTCTGTTGCTTGCTTTGCTTGGCTGTTCTTGTTGTTGTTGTTGTGTGTATTTTATTTTGGATGTTGTTGCTGTTGCTGCTGCTTTGCTTTTGACAAGAACTCGCTAATGATTTGAATAAACCAGTATTTTCTTCTTTTTGACAATAAGCTTGAACCAATTACTCTAATATTATGATATCCCTTGAATATCGATTTTTGCTCCCCTATTTTCATTTGATAGTCATGATCAAGGAGATTGATCGATAATATGACGATACCACTGTTCAATTACTTCAATATTTCGGGTATCACCAGGGCTGTGTTTTTATATTGGGAAATTCCTCCTTTTATTGAGAAACAGGCAAATTTCCCAAATTAATTGATCGATCATACTTTGAACCCCTGCGAATTTTCCAAGGGAAACTTCATTCAAACTTTATTTAGAATATTGGAATTGATCTATGTTGCAGGTTCTGTTGTGACTGGCGTTGTCGGGTCTACGATGCCTAGATACTGCTTGTTTGGTGACACGGTCAACACAGCATCCAGGATGGAGTCTACTGGGGAAGGTCAGTCCTGTTTTTATCTATGATCTTATCCAACAAAACCAGAGTTAATCTTCTCTAGACATATTGTTTCATATTGTTATGACGTGTTCTTTATCTGAATAGGCAATGGGTGTGCATTTGGTGAGCCAATCATAAACCATCTGTACTTCTTTTTATGAAAAAGCCCTGTTAGTAATGATATGTGACCATAATGGTTTACCATTAACAAATGGTTTATTGGTATCAGTAGATCCACTTAATGGTTTATCTGTATCCAAGCGCTTTCTTCCAGTGCTCGGTTCAGAGATCTTTCCCACAAGCTTTTGAAAACATCACTTCTTGCTGTTGAAAATAATCCCAAAAATCACAGCCTCGCGATCGTATTTGCTTTATTCCCGTTAATTTTGACTTTGAAAGGGTGTTAGGAAATGGTTGGGATTTTGGCTTAAGTAAGACAGAAGAATTCTATAGAAATTGAAAGTTGGTCAGATTTTGTGAAAATGCGAGTCACCCAAGGTGCGCCTGGGTGTCCTTTGCGTTGTAAACATTAGTCAAGAAACCTGCCAATTGCAAACAATCAACGGGTTTCAATTCAACATTACCAAACCCAGTAATTAAACTTTATAATAGAATTAAAAGACCGGAAATTTTGAATATCTCAAATGAAGTTCAATATCTCACTATATTTTGAGCTTTATAATAGTATCCGAAGTCCCGAAAATGCACCTTGTCTAGCATGTACTAACTGGCCCCCCTATGTCTAAACAGTCAACATGCGCAATAGTTTCACCCATGAAATGCAAAATCAATCTTTTTACTTAACTCAAAATTCCTTGAAGCCCATATTGAATGATGAATGAGGACTCGAAGCTTGCAAAATTTTGAATCCAGATTTGCATCGATGTCAAACAAGAGCAGGAAGAATACGTGTGATTGGCTTCATTTTGACCAATCAGTAACTTCAGACATGGCGAAAGACTTCCGATGAGAAATTCTCACGACCAACAAAGATCGCTTCTTTTTTTTGTTTACGGGAGTCCAAGAAAACCTAAATGAATTGTTTCTTTGGCATTTTTTGTTCCACTTGCAATCATGAATTGATTTCCCTCTTGAATGAGAATCTTTGTCGATTTCTCCTCGACGATAATTGTACTTCGTGCAAGAGCTATTTCTACAGATCCCATGATCTTTTATTTCAAAATAGCCCTAAAGATTCACGTAAGCGAGTCAACGAAAGAAATTTTGACAGATATTGGCGGTTTTGAGCTGCAAACAAGAGGAGAGATAGCGGTCAAGGTGAGATACTTTTTCAACTTTTTTCTTCTCGCCCTCTTATCGTTGTCACAGCCCTTTATCTCCTATCTGCCTTATTTCTTTGATTCACAAAGCGCATTTGATTGAATGCATCTGCAAGCTCGCAGAACCTGCTCTTATGGCAAACTCCTAGAGCAAATAAACATGAAATTTGACATCAATCTTGTTTTCCTGGACAAATTTTAATTAAGATTTTGAAGTCTCACTCAAATTTCAAGGTCAAGTGGACACAAAATGAACGCTAATCATTGTCGTCGCTTAACTCCTGTTTAGTTTTGCCATACTGTAGTTATGTTTTAACCAACTCTATCCTTGTTTAGCTGGTTTTTGGACAAATCTGAGGTTCTCACAGCATTTAAGTGACTGTTCAATATAATTTTTGTATAATTGACGTTGAATCTTCTTGTGTTGGAAACAATTCGGATGAGGCTACCTTTGATTCAATAAGAGGCTACCTTTGATTCAATATGAGGCTACCTTTTTATAGAAATGATATAGCCGGATTGTTAAACAATGATCAGTTCGATCAAATTACTCATAGAATACGTTGTTAGGCCCTCATACAATGTTATGTACTTCACTGGTTACCAATGTGAGACCATAAGCAAGGGTGTTGCACGATGAAGCCTCTCTCCCGTAGATAAATTTCATTAACATTATAGTTCCGACTAAAGATTTTGAAACTAGCCTACGTTTCGGTAGAGTTATTTTCTAAGTAGCTGGTAACGCATAAAGGGTAGCAAGTGCTTTGTTCTTCATAATTCGACTGAATCAATGCGCGGCATTTCTATTAACTTCAAGCTTGGTAGGATATCAATTTCATCTCTGATACAGAATAAATTAGGTCATTTAGTAAGGTGTGCGAGACTGTCAGTTACAGCGAGCTGTCGCTATGAGTCGCTTTGAATGCAAACTGAGACAGGATTGAGTACGCCCTACTTCACCTTTATACCACAGTCGGTAAAGATTACGAGATTAAGTTTCTTCCACGTGCAAAAAGCGTCCGCTTTGTGGCGGGATTTAAGCGTTTATTTTCAGCGCAGTACTTTAATATACCATCTTCCCCTACTTTCTTCAACAGATTTTGTTAGGCCGTATCCAACTCTACCCGTTTTAAGTTAACATTCTTTTATAAACTCTGTATCTCGTTTGGTATCGTTTTCCAAACAACATAATTGCAAACTTTCAAGACCTATTTCTTTGAAGCATGATCTTACAACTACACCTTTTGAAGAATGTTCTTAATTCTATTAGGTCATGTAATGTGCTTCAAAAACTGATTAAAGTTTGTTTGATTGATCCACATGAAAATGCAGGACGTTCGCCTTACCCAATTCTAAGTATCGTTTTAAGCTGAGGTGCTCAAGTGTAAAGAATGAATGAAAAGAATGAATGTGTACGAAAGCTCTTTTTGATAAAATTACCAACAGATTTTCGAAGTTGTTGGTGTTTGATTGAAATAACCTTGAAAACATTCATGAGAAGATAAAATGTAATTCGTTAGTTTGTTAATTTTTCAAACTGGTTGTATTTTTGAAACCTGATGCAAAGGAATAAATAATCAAAAGCCTTCCAGATTTGTGTTTCCCAACTTACCGGTATCTAAGATACCCTATACCTTAAATCTGGGCAGCTTTTTTCTTTCATTATTTTTCGTGATTATCTGAAATGAAGAAAATAGACAACTGTTCCTAATGAGTTTGCGCTCCCCGGAAACCTTGCAGGCTTGAACTCTCTGCTAACCATGCAAGCGTTCAAAGAATTGTCACTGGCAATTGTTTTTTGCAAGATCAATTCTCCACTTTGATAGTTCTCAAATAAAGCATGTTGGAAGAGGCTTTTTTCATATTCTCCTATGAGGCATATGATGGTTCATCATATGGTGCTCTCCTATGCTCTCAGTTCATTCATATTATCGCAGAGGTTTTGTTCTCCAATATTGTCTTTTGGTTAAGAGAGTTTGTGTGAACGCCTTTTTCATATGTTTTATTTTTGCGCATACAAAGCGTTCTATATTTAACATATTCTTTTGCAGGGGAAAGGTGTTATAACTACATATTGGTTGAATGACATTAACGACAAATATAAAAACATCATATTGAAGCATGAACTTTTGCTATCGGAAGCAATGAGGGACAAAGGGACTGGTTCTAATACCCCAGTACCTAGTACTCATAAAAGAAATCCAAGGGCTACTCCTCAGGGGTCCTTATGTCCTTCACCAAACACGTCACCAACGCTGTTCCGCAAAGGATCACGGTATAGAGCCAGGGTAGAGCCGCCATCTGATTTGCCGTCCTTGGACGTTAGTCATAGGCTGCTTACTCTAAAAACAAGCAAGAACACACCAACAGACGAGTCGGTTATTTTACTGCCAACAACCTGGGAGACAAAAGCCTGATTCTGATCTTTTTCCAGAGCCAAGGTCGTATCAAATGACAGTGTCTGGATTTCTCGGTATCTTGTGTTGAAAATTTCCTGCCGCCCTGCGGTTGCTTGGTCTGACATTCTAGAGGATCACAAAAGAAAGATGATTTATGATGTTTGCTAAGATTCATTGCAGATGAATGTGCTGCTCCGCAAGAGTGTTCACCAAATACAGTCCTGTTCGTTGTAGTTTTTTGGTTCTTGAGTCAGCTAAAGCTTACTGTAACCCTGCAGGATTTGACATCAGTTATCGCGACAGGTACGATTGCAACTGCTACAATTTGAGGTTATTTTCATGTATAGGAACATGGTTTGCCAAACGTGGCCCGTGCGAAGACGTTTACGCGAAGACGCTTTTTGACAACATCAGTATTCGGAGCATTAGAGCAAGATGCCTGCCTGTGCCTGTGCTTTGAACAACTAGAGAAAATTAGAAACGGGACCTCAGATAAAGGGACCGTCTAACCCATTTATCTGCTCATGGAGGCTGGTTTTGGTATTTTTTAACCACGCTTTGCTTATTGTTTTAAGATTTTATGTAGTTATTCCTGATAATACTGTCATACTTCCCTAGTTTTGTTCGACCCGATACCTTTTTATCTAGCCTTTACCCCATTGCAAAAACATTTTCCCCTTTCAAAGCCATTGGTCCTAGATAGGAACCCTGGATCAATTGTCATTCTCCTAATGTGCCCCTTGCCTGGCCACTAGATTTGTGTTTGCGTGTTCTAAGGGAAAACTAAGAATGGGGTCCTTATTTAGTATGGACTGCAAGAAACGCTGTAGATCATATTAAATGCAACAGTAAAATGTTAATATGATAATATTTCTCGTTGATAGCAGAAGCTTCAGTTTAAGAAAGTTTTTAAAAATGAGGTGAACTTGAGCGAGTCTAAAAGAGCATGGATATAACAATAATTTGGGGGCTTCTTTTGGTCGGGGCCCCCTAAACTGCGTTACGCCACTAGACACGCATACAAACGAAAAATCCCTCCATTATAGCGTACAAGAAACCGTAGACATAACATTCTTTATTTGGATTTGGCAATTGCCCCCGTCAAAAGTTATTCCCCGTCTTTCTATTTGCGGTTATTTATCCCACTGCTTCCAATGTATCATAGATCGTGCAGTTATGCTGTAAGATACGGTAGTCTATGTCGCTACGTTGCGAAGTTCCTAGTATCTAGGTTCTCAATTTTTGTCAATTTTAGCACTGTAAATTTTTTGGATTAAGATAAATGAAATTGTATAAACATTTAGGTAACAAGGTAAGAAATTAATAATTGAAAGAATGATAGTTTTTATTACTTGAAATAATATTGTACATATTTATACAGATAGCTGTTTGTTCTTTCTTCCAGAAATGCTTGATCGATTTTTCGTTGCTCATGTCTAAAATTTCAAAATCTCTTACAAATCTTGCTGTTTTTAATGTTGACAGCAAAAGTCAAGGTAAATTGGGTTGATGTCTATCATTGCATGATTAAACGGCATTGAATATGTGCTTTTTTAGCCCATTGCTTTCAAGGGCTTAGCCCTCTGAAATTCGCGTTTGTATTTCAGGTTTGAGCTTCAAATGGGAATAGGTTAAACCAGTTTACGCAACTAATAGGGGTTTTCGCCCGTTTTCGTATGGCGTGAAATTTCCCTATTTTTTTAAAATTTCTTTTCAAAATGTACTCCTTGCACATTAAGATCCCTATATTTTTTTTACTTTTTCAACACAAGTATTTTATAATTGTATAAACAATCTGACTCTGGCGCCGCACAGCCATTGGGCTAGCAGAGGCTATAGCCCCGCCCCCAATTTTTTGTAATATTAGGTTCAATTTCGTTTAATGATATGCTGTATTTTCTAACTTGGTTAGCTTGGTGTCTAATCGTCTTCAAGCTAATTATATCTTTTTTATTATAATTGAAATCTTCTCTGAATCGGACTGTTTATAAATAATAAGTGGAAAGAAGCAAGTATTTTCTAAAAGGGACTTTTTTCGGTGTTCTAAAGGGCGTGGCCACCAAGAATTTCGGTCACCCCCTTCTCAGCCCTCCCACTTATAAAATGGTGCGTGGTGCCTGATCTGACTCCAAAAGAGGGTATACTTTTTCTTTTATTCAAACAGGGTTGACATTTGCACAGTTTTGGTTCTCAAAGATATATGATTTGCTGGTGCCTAATACAGATATTTGTTGAAAAGTAATTTACAGTAAAATGTTCCTTGTTTTGGTGTACAAAGCGGGTTGAATAGTTTTTTGCTCCTGTGCCTTCTTGTGATTGCAGCCCCGGCACAAGCAATCGCCTTTCCCATTTTAGGAATGATCCACAAGAGGTGAAATCTATGACGATTTGTGCAAACATTTGGCTACTGTTGATAGACAGGTACACAGATAAGCACATTGATAAAAAAAGGCATGTCTTACACCAAATTCTTTATAAAATTAATACAAAATTTATTGTGTAAGGCCTGGAATTTTTTTTATATCAAGTCTGTGCACTGTATTTTACAAACAAACAAAAATGTTCTAAATTAGCAGAAGAGGGCAGAGATCTAGCCCATACTTGAACTCGCAACTGCAAGCGTGATATATGTATAGTTCTATAACCTCAGTTTGCGTTTGATCTGAATTTTCGGTAGATTATCTAAATTAGCTAATTCAGGTGAAACTTAAAAGGGCCCTCTAACCCGAGGTTGGCTAACCTTCCATGATCAACACACCTAGGCGGGTAAACGCAAACCCCCCCCCCTCGCTCCATCCCGAAGTGCCATGAAGCAAAGAACGAACTAACAACAAGATTGAACACAAACCCCTTACTTCTCGTAAAACCCTACCTAACAGAAACCCCACTCACACAAAACCCCCCTCACATAAACCATTCTCACACGCCAGTTTTCTTATAATCCAACTTGGAAATAAATGCTTTAGCTTCACGATAAATGCCCAAGTGCGAAGGATTTTATCATCACTCGAAAGAAGCATGCGACTAGAGTTCCTTTAAATAAACTCAACAATATTTTTGGTTATGGTTTGTCACTCAAGAACGTGCTGTTAAGCAACACAAGAACACCCTATATTTCATTAGCAAATATCTGCATTGCAAAGGGTTCGGTATTGCTGAACAGATTCCTGCAAATAAGGTTTTTACGCGAAATCTTAGGTCGTAACAAGTTTTCGAGATATTCTCACACTTCGTATCGCAACAAGTTTTCAAGTGGTTTTTACGCAAAATTTGGTGTAATAACTAAGAGGTTTTTTAGCGATTCAAGCTGTACTGTTTTGTCAACTAACGTGCCTGACTTTCAGGGCCGCCGGACGCAGATTTGAACAGGGGGAGGGGGGGGGGCAAAACGAATAAAAAGGGCACGAATATATTTTTCCGAAACATTAGTAAGTGCCAAAAATGGTACAGATTTCGTGGTAATTTAGAAATTTATAAAAATAATGACACATGCTGGACATAGTGAGAACTATCTTTGCTAAAAGCAGACATGGCTATTTACTCCATTTAGGGACCACGCACTCTTGATCATAATTATTTGTATAGCTTCCCATCTCATGGCCTTCAATTTTTTTTGAGAGTGTAAATCTTTCTTCCATCTATGATTTATACCCCTATTACAATAAACTGTACTTGTTTTCCTTATAATATTCATTGTAGGTGAATTTGGCCCCGGGTAAGAAGCAGGCTGATCTTTACGCAATCGCCTGAAGGTGCGGACACATTTTTCACTGCCATAGAAAATTCAATTTGCAACATTGATTAGGTTCATCTCATCAGTCTTACTAACGAAACAAGTTTTCAATTCTCCTTAGACTTGATCCCGGCGGGCTCAGTCAGTTGGTCAAACGTATTACATGTGAGTTCCGAAACACTCTGAGAAAAATGTGGTCTGTAAACTAGAATTCTGGGACATAGAGTCTTGAAAATAGGATTGCTTTTTTAATTAGTCAGAGAAAACACAAAAAGGCAGGAATTATATTGAAGTACAACAAATTTAGCATCTATTCTTGTATGTTGTTCTAATCCTAGATAAGAAATTTAATTCTTTGTTCAAAAACCCTTTACTGCTAGCATATACTCATTGCAGGCACACAACTTTTTCATGTCTTCATAAAAACATCTAACACAATTTTGTGAAGTAAGCAATATGTTGCAGTTATAGTTTTACAGCTGTCTGATTTTGTTAATATATATTGAGAACCATAAGGGATTGTTGTTAAAATCAAGTTTAGTGTACTCTGCTTTTTAACTTGCCTAGACATAAGTTTAAGAAAAGAAATGGTTCTAACATGAATTGGTATAAAAAATTCCTGCTCAAGCTTGAAAAATCTCAATGAAAAGAATTTCACAATTTTTGGCAAAGTCGCAGAATAGGGTACATTTTACTTTACCCAGAATCAGAGATAGGGGTCCAGTTTCTACCTTCAGGAACACACACGATATACATTGCACCAATTGACTGTGCCCGCCGGGGACTTGATGCAGAACTTTCACTAATGCGTTTGTTGCTGAAGACATACTAAGGAAATTTTCTCGCGAAAATGGCAGTCTCCTGCACAGTTGATATCATTCATCACAGGAGCTTGAGTTTTTGCATCAAGACCAAGTAAAGATTAAAGGAAATTCCAGTGAATGGTCCTCCAACAACATCCAGAGTTATGTTATTTTACTTAGTTTCTTAAGGCAGAATATCTGGCATTGAAAAAAACACGCAATTTATTTATCAAAAAGGAACACTTTTTGTACTTTTTGCAAACAGGGGGGCCTGTGCCCATGTGGCCCCCCTGGCTCCGGCGGCCCTGCTTTGCCAGCATAATTCTCATGTTTGATACTCCCTCCTCTCCCCCAAAGCCTCTGAAGCTGCCCCCCCCCTTCCTAAAATATGTCGTGATTATCCAGTTTATCCACGACGGTATCTGCAAGCTCCTCGCGCTCGCTGCACTCTTTATTTATATTATTTGCCAATACAAAAAGACAATCCGGGGCTTAAAGCATCAAAGTACGAGCAGGTCATTCCTCTGTTCCGTTTTTTGGTAGGATTAATCTTGACTGGACACATTGACTTTGACAAGACCATATTTAAAAAACTTTAAATTCGATTGACCTGATAATTGCGTGAAACACTTTTACAAAAAGGTGTCCTGAAACCATTGACAAATTGAAAAGGCCCTTTTGAAGTTTGTTGTCATATTCTTGAATTCTGATTAGCCAATCAAAGATTTGGAACATTTGCTACTCCCAACCTGCAATTGGATTGAATTACATTTAGACACAGTTTTGATCATAAAAACACTTGGCGTATCTGCTTAAAGTGATCGAGATTTTATCGCGCAAACAAGATGATTTCCTGGTTTTTATGCACCATGGTTATTGTAGCTAACATCCTTTGCAAGTTACAGTCTTCAAGTATCAATTTACTGAGAAGAAACAGCGTTAGAACGTCGCTGTGGCCGGGTATGCGTTTGAAGCGACACGTCGCGCATGAAATTGTTTGCAATGTTTCCAAGACAAGCGGGGCTGTTATACTGAATGACGATAGGGAATCAATCATGATTGGCCTATTGTTGCCATTTACCTTGTCAGATCGTGGGAGCGAGTATGGTGAAGGAGGAGCAAAATTCTACGCTGAGGCGTTCAATATTGCAGTTGAGCGGATCAATAACAACTTTTCGTTGTTACCCGGCTATAGAATCGACTATGTCTTCAACAACACACGTTGTAACGAGATAGACAGCATACGAGCAATGCACTACCAATACATGTTTCAAAAGAACCGAGGATCGACTATTCATGCATTTGTCGGTCTTGGCTGTCATTGTCAAGCCCCGGTCAAGTTTGCAAGTGCAATCAACGTCCCCGTCGTTTCTCACGTGAGTATTTCTTAACAACCACGCCCAAAGTGCCCCTTCTATGGCAGATATGCTTGGGTGTGCCTGAGTGAGTTGACGAAATTTTACAGTTACTCTTATTAAAGCTCTTCGAATGATTCGCAGAATAGATGTCGTAGAGTTGGGGGGTTGGGTAGGGGAAAGCATAAACTAAGCTAAAGGTGTTGTTTATCATAATCATCATTTTCTTCGATTGGCGAAAAGCAGCAGTTTATGATTTGCATTACATTCATGACCTTGTTTACACTGTGCCAGATAAATTTTATCCGCATCAAAATTAGTTCAGATAGGCGTCGCGTTTACACTAGACCCACGCTATCCGCACGAAGTTGAGGGCGGCTATTCGAACAAAATTAGTTCACCTAGAAATGTGGATTAAATTTGTTTGCATAGCTATGTGGTACAGTGTAAACGCTTTTATCCGGATAAATTTTATCCACATCGTATCTTGCTCAAAAGCGATTGGCTATTACATCCAATTTAGTTTTCACTGTCTCCCAATCAAGACCTTTCGCCATCTTGGCTGCCTTGTCGATAAATACTCGTGTTAAAAGTGCAGTATCTTGCCGGTCCACGTAAACTTGGCATCCTTGTCAGCTTTCCCTACTTTCGTTGCTAGTTCAGTGTCATTTTGTTTCATGAACAAACTATTTAAACAATCTAGACCTAATTTGTATTGACAATATCTTTGGATTTGGTCTAAAAGAGAAGCAAATGATTCTGAAAAGAGAATAACAGTCTTTTTACGTTGGCGGGGGATTTTGTTATTACTTTGTTTCCCAGAGAAGACTTCACTGACGTCCCTGGACAAGGTAACATGAGCACAGGCTCTTGCCCATCAAACCTCTCTTATTTGGTCTTGGTTCATAACTTTATGAACTACACTCTTTTTTTATAAGAACAATTTTATAAGAACATGAGCCTCAAAACTGGTCAAAAGTTAAGAACAAATTAAAAACAAGCTGAGGCTGAGCTTCTGCAAAATTCAATTTTAAACAACGTTTTTTCTCAAAATCGAGGATTTTTAGCGATGTGTGGGTGCTTTTTCGGTGAATATTCAAATTTGTCAGCAGGTGAATATTCAAGGCTGTCTCACTCACTTTGTTGGCAAATGAGGCCTGAACACCTCCTTAAAGCGAAAAAGCTAGCAATAGCACTGCTTACACCCTCTTAATTTAAGATCAAATTAAGAACAATCCAGCCTCAGATTTTCGAAAAAATTAAGAACAGTCAGCCTGAACTTAAATTTACTGAATCTTATAAAAAAGGAGTGTAGGCCAGAGTAACAGTAATCCGTTAACAAACTCGAAATCTTTCATTGGCCATATCTCGCCCAATTTCGAACATATCTTACTGGTTTTGCACAGTGAGAGGTATTTTATGCTGTTCTCTCAGACTATGTGGTCAAATTTAAGAAATTCAAAAAACGATTTTTGATGACGTCACATTTCGGTACTCTACACCAATCTAGAAGTGTTAACAGTTTACATTTTTTAGCATTGTTCAGCGGTTAGGGTCGTGGGCTGCAGACGCAAGGGTCAGTGGTTTGAGTCCAGGGACGGATTTCGCGAGGGGGGGGGGGGTTAGTGGGTGTGACCCCCCCCCCCCCCCACCCAATATTTTTATTTCCTTCGGAGAAGTTTTGCTTCCATTCGCTAAAACCTACCTTCAGAAGATAGGTAGTAAGATACAAAATGCAAAATACAATGCAATTCGGCAAACAATGCAAAATACTCCCCTTAAATTTGGGTTGGTACTTCGAAACAGTGCCCACGCCACTGAACTGAATTTAGTGCTTCAAGACTGGAGATATTTTGCTAACCAAAAAGTGAGGGGGGGGGGGCATGGCCCCTCCAGCATATCAAAATTGGTATATGATTCGAAACAATAATTTGGTCGATAATTCATAATTAATGTTGAGGCATGAAAGGGCCTGATAAGTCTGATGCTGTTGCAGAACTTGTTTCCCTGTTTACTGTTTCAAAATCCTTGTCAAATCTACAAACTATGTCCCACGACGCAACTTACTTTCTCAGAGCTTGTGAACTTTGGATTGCTTTGCTCTCTTCTTTCTTCCCAGACTGTTATTTTCTTTCTTCTTTCAAAGCTACAATCAACAAAACTGATCTCACGTCCCTCTTTTTTTATTATCTCTCTCCCTTCTCTTATTAGGCCATTTTTATAGGTCTTCAGGCGTCTCCCTAGCGTAACCGAGTAAAAAATCTTATAAAATTGTCCATCCTTTGGTGATAGCAAACACAAATCGATTTAGCTAAGTTCAATTCGAAATTCATTTTCCGTGGATTTATGCACCATCAGAGTAAAAAGGTAACTTTATCCTTGGTCTTGTCACTTTCTCCACGACCCTCTACCAAACAGGTTCTATGGCTTTACATAACTTTTACCAGTCAGCTAGTCTACAATTTGTTTCTGATAGAACTTAACCTTTTCTTTCAGATTTAAACAAATCTATACCAAAAATGAGCTCTTTCGTGTGGTTAATTTCAAGGCATTATCATTAATCTGAACGTAATCCATTTTTAATCAAATCCAGTGTTTTTCCTGGACCTACACTCTTTTTTAAAAGAACCAGTAAATTGAAATTAAGGCTGGCTTTTCTTGAATTTTTTGAAAAGCTGAGTGTGGATCGTTCTTAATTTGTTCTGAAATTATAAGGGTGTAAGCAGTACAGGCCACGTTTGCCAACAAAGTGAGTGAGACATCCTTAGTTTGCAGACGAATTTGAAAATTCACCAAAAAAGCACTCTTAGAAGGCAAACAAATCTTAGTTCTTGAGATAAAGCATTGTCCCAGAATACATTTTACTGTAACTCAGCCTCAGCTTGTTTTAAATTTGTAGAAAGTGTATACCAGGCAGGGGCGGATCCAGCAAAAAATCTGACTGAGTTCCAGGCCAAGGCTAGGGTCTTTCAGGTAATGCATTGATAATTGTGTCTAAGACAACATTATTATCCACATTTATGCATTTTGTACCGGAGGGGGGGGGGGACCCACGTAGACACCAGCTTATTTTTCAAAATATGGTGCTCCGTCCGACCATAGGCCTCTCAACGACTGCAATTTAAAATACAGGTAGTTAATGCTCCTGGAAAATTAACGATACTTCCTGGTTTTATTTCAAACGCTCAATAATCTGCTAAAATGCTGCGAGGGCCGTGAAAATAGGACATCTGCAGTCGCCATTTCGAATTCAAAGTTTTGCAGTTCTACAATTAGATTAGAAACAACAGGTAGCCAATCAACAACTGGCTATTGTACAGCTCTCTTACAAATATGGTATCATTTCCGAGTTCCAGATGCTGTTTTGACTGAGTTCCATCCGTGTTCCAAACAAAAAGTTTATTGTTTCAATTAATTCACTTCCGAGGCACAAAACGTTTATTTCCGAGTTCTAGGATTGACTGCTGTTGTCCTTCACAGCGTCTGGAAAATCGTTTCAAAATCACGACAGAGAAGAAGGAAGGAAAAGGGCGAACGAATCACATCAAACTGGCAATTTTAAGATTCTGAAGAGACTGCGATAAAACTTACAATTTCTAGGTTTCACTTTTTTAGCCTAAATATTACTTATTTCAGGCAACACTATTTTTAGCTATATGTTGGAAAACTGACTGAGTTCTGTGCACCAAGGAACTCACCCTGGATCCGCCTCTGCCAGGTCTTGTTTTTTATAACTCAGCTTAAATTTGGGAATCGTACCTAGGTTTGCTGTCAATGTCAAGAAAGGTTCGGTTAGAAATACTATGGATCATAGTTAAGCTACCTGTTTGGCACCTGTGCCATTCACATTTTGATAGAATATGATAGAATATGCGAGTTCAATTAGCAAATTATTCAAAGGCTATTCACAAACTACTTACATTGCTGCTAAGTCAAAAGATTACCATGAATTGATCGGAATAGCCAAAGTGAATAATCAAAGCAAGTGCTAATGACATAACTGTCACTGGCCTATAACCACCAGCAGTACACATACAGTTCAATATTTAATTATTTTCGTCGAAATAACCCCTTCCAGAAACATATATCGGCCTAGAGGCCGCTAGAGTTACCCTAGATGCCCTTCTTTGGGGCTGCCCCATTTGTCGTTAATTTGCAACAAGTTGTACAAAAACCTGTATAGGCCTGCTTTAAACCGCATTCATGATAAATTTTTCACATTTTTGCACTTAGAGAATATTTAAGATACCTCTATAAGAAAGTATAGGAATGTATGAATATATATAAAGGCTCATTTTAAGGACACAAATAGGAAAGAAACGCTCTCCATAAGTCCTTGCACACTACACTAGAGTTTTGCGATTTTCAACAGTTTTTTCATCTCTGTTTTGAAAATGTTACTTTGTAAACTTTGCAAAGCTTTGGTGATGTCTTTCTGATCCTTATCAGATAGCTATAAAATGATGGAAATCTCTACAACCGACTATTTTGGGGGAAGAGGGGCGAGGTATCGTTTTTCCAGCGGAAACAGTTGATTTTCTCAATAGAACTCTCAGGCAGTGGGGTTCTCTACGAAGTTTTTTCAGGGTTAGCAGCTCAACAGAAGGTATTTTAAGCATGTTTGTTGAGTTTTATTGGTCACTAATTTTTTGATGTTGTAATGCTCTCAGAAATATGTCTTTAATTGCTTTATATAAGGACATCAGAAAAATGTAAACAAAATAATGTGATCGTTTCAGATGTGTTCCAGCCAAGAACTCTCAGACAAAAAGGCCTTTCCTACATTTGCCAGCACTTATCCACTGTTAAATTTGGTCACACCGACTATTAAAGGCCTTTTAAGGGCCTTAAACTGGAAAAATGTTGCTTTGATATATTCAAAAGATTCAGTAAAATATAGAGAGGCAAGTGATGATATTATTCGTGGTTTGGGTGAACTTATCTCGTGGAAGCATGGATTAAAAAGCACACAGTATAATCCTGCAGACGAAATATTCCTGGAAATATTTAAAGAAGTTAAAAGTAAAGCAAGAAGTAAGAGCAATAACTTTACCTTTTTGTGACATGCCTTAAATATTCAAAAACGTTTCTATCACTAAAATTGAAATTTTTTCTAGGCTTTTGTATTTATTACAGAAATTGATTTATTGAGTGCTGTGGGAACTGCGACAAATCCCAAGTTTTCGATGGAAAATTTTATCTGCTATAAGTATTTTGGCATCCGTCACAAAACGTTTGTAGCATTGGTAGACTTTAGTTGCAGCAGTTGGGTGAATGAACATATTAAAATTGCTTTTGTTTTTCAACAAGGTATTCTTATCACTTATACAATTTGTTTGTGATGTACTTCGTACCGCATTTAGCATCGATTAGAGAGAGAATTCTTTTCGGTCGCGTAAAGGTAGAGCAAAATATGTTTGACTTGCCATTGCATGAACCATCGGTAGTGAAGTGACGTAAAGGGCGCGAAAGTATATATACCAACATCAACTAGCAAATAAATGGGTGTATAACAACCCAACCCCCAACCCTTGTCGGGTACACCCTAACTTTTAGTATAATGCAGGGAATGCCGTCCTAGCAAGTTAGGGGGGAGGCACGGCTTAAGGCAAGCCTTACCCTTGACTTCACCCAACCCCTGCACCCCCAACCCTCGTGAGACGTGAGATACACCCCTGTCGTTTAGAAATGTTAACTATTGGTTCGCATTGGCTATGCTTCTAAAATAATGATCGATCAACAATTGATCATCAACAGGCAATCTGCATAAAGAAAATAAGAGGAATCACTAATCAAGGAATCGCTATCATGCACTGGATCCCGTAATACGCAAGTTATGCCAGTTCTAAGATATTGTGGAGAAAATGCTAGCTCAAGTCACTCTTTGACTCGCCAATTATTATGCTCAAGATGTTTGTGCTATATTAGACGGCCTGAAAGGCCACAATCTCGAACAAAATCTGAATGATCTGCCTACGTTGCAGAGCCCGTTTCCAAACTATATTAACTAAAACGATTTTAAAACGATGGCTAAAGCTTAATTATAATTTCCTTTTAAAAAACGCGTGCAACTCTCCAATTCTCTCTACCTAACTCCTCACGTGCTCTTACGTCACTGGTAACAGAACAACGTGGAGGATGTGTCGCCTTCAAATTTGAATTTGATTCTAAAAGTAAAGATTGAGAGAATAGACAAAGGGTTAAACGTTTTGACAGTGGCGTAGTTGGAGGGTGGTCAGAAGGGGCGAAAATTCCTCTGTTTAGCTAAACTGCAATTTTGTCGGAAAATTTCTAATCTTGTTGAAATTATGACATGATTGTCTATTTATTGTCTAAATGTTACATTTTGAGAGGACAAATTTTAAATCTGAATTAGACATAAAAATATGTGAATATCTCGGAAGATTTTTTATTTCAACTTTGACGTCGTTATGTAATGCTAAAATGTAAGGAAAAATAACTATGCTTATTAGATTTTTGTCGGTAAATCTAAGATTTTCGACCCTTCTATGAACTTTTTCTATCTACGCGACTGCATTTTGATGTGGGTATTGCGGAGCCACTGTCGTGTGTCGTATCTCAGGGCGGTGTATCTTAGGAGGGACCGGGCATGAAAATATCTGATATTTACCACAGCGGTTGCTTTTCTGTCGAGCCTCACTAGTCCATTCACTTCATTTCTTTTGTCACTAAACTAACTCTGTAATTTTTATTATCTCGGGTCTTGAAAAATCATTTTCTTAATGTTTCAAATTTGACAAAAAAAGTTAAAGAAACCGTTGTATCAACACACTAATTTTGCAAAAAGTGGATGTTTTGGGGGTGAATGAATAAAGAGAAGATTTATAAGGCGTTAACTGAAACGAAGACATGTTTCAACTTTTCTTTTTGATGTCTTTAAGTTGCAGGCTTTCTTCAATCGTGATCTCCTTTCAGTTACGTTGATATTTTAATATCACGATATACTAATTGAATATTACTGTATCTTGATAATATAGTAAGTAAACCTAATGCAATTTCAGTTATCATTCTATTCATGGAGTATAATATTGCAAGAGAGGGGCTACTCTACGCTTCAAGAATGGGATTGGGTTCTGGAGAATACGAATTCATTGTTGTTGAACAAGACTGGTTGAGTTTGGAGAGTAAACTTGAGTCCCCATTCAAATGGTATGTTTCTAGCTTTCCTAAAACAAACAAAGTCATGCTAGATAAAGAAGTCAAAAGGATGTTTCCATACACACTTATTCTCGGTGTCAAACATGAGAACAACGGTTATCGAAAAGAATACATAAAGCACACTGATATGCTGAAGGATAGAATCAGAGGTCCGCCATTTTGCAGTCAGTACTATTACGGAATATACCGTAAGGTATGTATGACTTCATTGTCTATACTAGAAAATATGATTCAATTCATGCTTCCTTTAGTAATATATTTTTGTATATTGGGAATGGAAAAGAATCTTTGGGAATCGAGCAGAAAAGATGCAGTTCTCTCTTTGGCTCGGGAGACTCAGGTTTGAAACAAAGACGTGTCCATCATGGGGGCAGAGTCGAGAAAACATTACGGTCGCACGGTCATTGACCGGAGGAAGGTTTGAGAAACAATAGAAATTGGTAAACAGAATTTTTAAAAACAATTGAGACAACTTGTCTTGTTTCTTTGTTGTGCTTTCAAAACACAAGTTTAATTCATTGCAGATTTGGTTGGAATTTATTGCACGAGCCACTAGGCTTTAGAGGTGGGGGAGAGGGAGGGAGGACAAAGCAAAAACTTTAGGCCACACCCTTTTACCGCCAGAAAACACATGGTGTCGGAATTTTCAATTTATACTATAGTAAGTTTATATCAATGTTATTCTGGCAAAGTTTTGTCGTATGCGATAATTACCATCAACACAAACACATAATTGTCTCTCGATTAATAGCGTTTGTCACCCCGTATGCCCTAGCCAATCCTTAGTCACGCCCTTATTCATTGTGATTGTCTGAAAAATTTGAGGAAGGTTTTGACAGGGAAAAATTTTGACCGGAAATAGGTTAACGACTTTTCTTGACTCTGCGTGGGTGCGTTGGGCTTGGAGTGTGGCTCAAAATTGTACAACATGAGCCCTGTAGCTCATCAGACTTTTTAATAAAAAGATTAAACTCCTCCTGTTGACTTTTCTCCCGTCATTCTCCCTTGCAATGATTCCAAAGACTCATTGTTGAATCTACCCCTGATTATAATCTACTACATGTAATTTGGCGCATGTACCCTCATAGATTCAAATTAGCAAGAGGCGACAACCTTTTCAGGGGATCAATAGAGAAATGGCACATGACATGCAGTTTATAATATAACATCTCCCGAGCACATTCATGAGAAAAAAGGGCACATTGACGCCAGGCCCTTGGCCCTTGACCCTTAGCACTGATAGTTGACTCTTGACCCCTTGCATTGGCGCATGGCTACTGCACCCTGGCGCAGGCGCTGGCACTTGACTCTTGACCCCTGGCACTGGCCTCTGGATCCAACTAACTTTCGTTTGCTATTGCTTTTAATCGTGCATCGCTTTTATCTGCAGCTCAATGTCCCACTTGAAAATATATACCTATATGATGCTGCTCATGTGTTGGCATTGGCAATGAATAGGACCTTGCAACGTGGCAAGAAAGTAGATGATGGTCTAGAGGTGGTAGCAAGCATGGAAAACATTTCCTACCGTAGTACGTATCAAACTGCTTCTTTCTCTGTCTCCGTTTTTCTGAAATCTCCTTCAAGATTAATTAGAGATACTCTTCACGATATTCTTGTGAAGGCCAGTCTTTTAGAACTTTTGTTGGAGATGGAGTGTCCTGCGAAAAATGATTTTTCATTATGTTTGGGTATTCGTCTTGTGATGTATTCGTTCAGTTTTGAGTCCTACTGTTATAGCCTCGTTTTTGATAGTGATTCAAGTTGTATTCTAGCGTGAATGTGCCTGTTTTCTTGTGTGTACTCGGCCTGATATATTACAAATTGGCGACGAGAAATGGTTTCGGGTCCTCACATTATGTTTTAATGGTTACAAATGGGACTGTGGTGGACGTTTCCAGTTTTTTGTTGAAACGGAAAACTCAAGTAGGCCAGCTAAACGAGTTGAGTGGTAAAGACGAGCTCTGACTTCTTAGGCCCATTTTGTTCGCTTGAATGCTGACGTGGCATTAGCATGGCACAGGTGCTAGGACAGGTTGGTCCTTACTGTGAAGGGAAGGAGGGCTGGGCTTGTTATGTGGAAAGGTTGGAACAGTTTTTCATCGCAAATGATATTACTGAAGCATCCAAGAAAAGGGATGTGCTTTTGAGTGGAATTGGACCTTCAACATATTCGGTGTTGAGAAATTTGATGACCCCAGATATACCTTCAAGTAAGTCGTGTGATGAGCTGAAAGCTACATTAAATGCTCATTTTAAACCAAAGACGTTAGTGATTGCAGAGTGCTTTCGTTTTTACAAGAGAAATCAACATGAAAATGAGTCTATTTAAGATTATATTGTTGAGTTAAAGAACCTTGCAAGTACTTGTGACTTTGGGGATTTTTTGTCAATTGCTTTGCGGGATAGGCTTGTTTGTGGTTTGCGTTCAGAGACTATTCAGAGGAAGCTTTTAACAGAAATTGACCTTACCTTTGACAAGGCAAAAAGAATCACTGTAGCAATGGAATTAGCTCAAAAGAATGCAGTTGATTTGCAACCATCAAGTTCAAGTAGTGGATTAGGAGTTAACAAGATGGAACATAAACACAATAAGAAGGCAAAAGCAAGTGCTTCAGCATCTAAACCTGCTAAAGAGTGTTGGCAATATGGAGGAGATAAACATAATGCAAATTGCTCTAAGCAAGGTCACTCTGCAAAGAGGTGTAGAAGTGAAAAGAAGAAAACTGTACCATCTGTGAAAACAAGTTTTCTTGGTACTTCATCCAGTAATGTTGGGTATAGTAGTGATGAAGATTTGCATACAATCTTTTCTTGTAGAGGTGATTCTAGGGCTACCTAGCAAGAAACAGTTTCTGTCAATGATGTTCCTTTGACTATGGAAATTGACACTGGAGCAGTAGTTTCAGTTGTTGGAAATGCTTTTTATGCGAAGTATTTGCCACATGTGCCTTTGGGTTCATTTACAAAGCAACTTTATTCTTATTCTGGAGAGGTTCTTGCAACTAAAGGTGAAATTTAGGTTGATGTTGAGTTTAAAGGTCAAAAGGCTAAGTTACCATTGGTTGTTGTTGATGGTGACAAACCAGCTTTGTTAGGAAGAAACTGGTTGATGGAAATTAAGTTTGATTGGAATCAGCTGTTTGTGGTAAATTATGGTTTGGGTGAGGAATTGGTTAAAAAGTACAAGAATGTTTTTGATGCTCAGCATGGTGTTATAAAAGGATATAAAGCAGACTTACTTCTTAAGAAAGATGCTAAGCCTGTTTTTAAGAAGGCCCGTCCTGTTCCTTTTTCTTTGAAGGAAATTGTGGAGAAGGAACTTAATCGTTTGACCAAAGATGGTATTATGGCACCAGTGATGCATAGTGATTGGGCTTCTCCAATTGTGGTAGTTCAAAAAACTGATGGTAGAGGCAGAATTTGTGGGGATTATAAAGTTTCAGTGAATCCAGTCTTAGATGTTGATCAATACCCGTTGCCAAACATTGAGGACATATTTGCAACACTTTCAGGAGGAGTTTATTTCAGCAAATTGGACTTTTCCAATGCATATCAAAAGTTAGAGCTTGAAGAGGATGCGAAAGATGTGTTAACCATCAATACTCACAAGAGGCTGTTCAGGATAGAAAGGTTAAATTTTGGTGTCGCTAGTGCACCAGCCATATTTCAGTCAGTCATGGATAGGGTGTTGTCTGGTGTGAAGAATGTTAGATGTTACTTGGATGATATTCTGATCACAACTAGATCTATTGAGGAGCATAAGGAAATCCTATCAGAAGAAGTTTTGCAGAGGCTTGAAAGTCATAACATTAAAGCTAAACTCAGTAAATGTGAATTCTTCAAGTCTTCTGTCACTTACCTTGGATACAAGATAGACAAAGAAGGTTTGCATCCAACTGAAGTGAAAATCAGGGCCATTATTGATGCACCTGCTCCAACAAATGTTACAGAGTTAAGATCCTGGCTTGGATTGATAAATTATCATGAGAGTTTTCAAAGAAGTCTTGCCTCCATTTTAGGCCCTTTGCATGAGCTGCTAAGGAAGTATGTACCATGGGAGTGGTCAGAAGCATGTCAGAAAGCATTTGAAGCTTGTAAAGCACAGTTGAGCAGCAGTAAGGTACTAGTGCATTACTATACAGCTAAGCCTTTAAAGCTGGACTGTGATGCATCCAGTTATGGAGTTGGAGCTGTGCTATTACATGTAATGGAAGATGGTTCAGAAAGACCAATAGCATATGCTTCTAGAACATTAAGTTCAAGTGAAAGAAATTATGCTCAATTAGAGAAAGAGGCCTTAGCAATGATTTTTGGGCTAAAGAAATTTCACAAGTATCTCTATGGGAGAACATTTTCTTTGGTGACAGATCATAAACCGTTAACTTCTATTCTTGGTGCACAATCTGGTATTCCAACACTAGCAGCAGCTAGATTGCAACGTTGGGCTTTGATCCTTGCAGCTTATCAATACAAATTATTGTACAGGAAATCTAGTGATCATGCAAATGCTGATGCACTCTCTAGATTACCAAGTGGAAATTCACAGGAAGGAAAAGAGCCTTCAGTGTGTCAAGTTAGGTTTACTGATTCTTTGCCAGTTTCTGCTAAAGATATACAGCAAGAGACAGGGACAGATCCACTTTTGTCAAGAGTTCTTTCATTTGTTTTGAATGGTTGGCCAGAAGCTTGTGGCACTGAGGAGTTAAGGCCATATTTCAGTCGCAAGTTAGAGTTATCTGCAGAGCAGGGGTGTGTATTGTGGGGTACAAGGGTGATTATTCCACCAAAATATGGAAATAGAATGCTTGAAGAATCACACGAAACACACCAAGGTATCTGCCGTACTAAAGCGTATGCCAGAAGTTACATCTGGTGGCCAAATCTTGATTCACAGATAGAAGAATATCTAAAGAGTTGTAAAAGCTGTCAAATGTTTAGAAATAAACCAGCACAGGCTCCATTGCATCCCTGGAAGTTTCCAGCAAGAGCCTGGCAGAGAATTCATATTGACTATGGTATGTTTGACAAACAGATGCTTTTGATTGTCATAGATAGCTATTCCAAATGGATAGAAGTGCACGAGATGTCAACCAGTGGAGCAACCATAGATAAGCTGAGGTACATTTTTGCAAGCTATGGATTGCCAAAGGAACTTGTTTCCGATAATGGTCCTCAGTTTGTTTCTGAAGATTTTGACATGTTCTTGAAAAGGAATGGAATTAAGCATACTCTCATTCCACCTTATCATCCAGCCAGTAATGGAGCTGCAGAGAGAGCAGTGCAGACAGTAAAGCAAGCTCTAAACAAGATGTGGCTAGATCATAAGAGAAAGGATACTTCAGTAACATGGTCAAGAAGATTAGCTGATTTTCTATTGACTTATCGTTCTACGCCACATTCAGTTACAAAGCAAGCACCATCAGAGTTATTTATAAAGAGAATTCTGCGGACTAGGTTAAGTTTAGTAAAACCAAATCTAGCTAGTGCGGTTGAAGAGAAACAGCATCAGCAGATAAAATATCATGATCAAAAGGGGGTTGAAAGTCGTGAGTTGAGAGAAAATCAACCAATGCTTGTTAGAAATCACAGAGATAGCAAGGAGAGATGGATCCCGGGAGTCATTGTAAAGAAGAAAGGACCTCTTACATATTTAGTAAAGTGTGGGCAAAGAATAAGATTTGTGCACATAGAACACCTTTCAAGTAGTGTGATTCCACCAAAAGAGACAACAGAAGAGTTACCTGTTATTCCAGATGTATTACCTTCAATTGAATTAGAGAAAAAATGTGATGGAACAGTTATTGAGGACAAAGATTTACCCAATAAAAAGACCCCAGAGAAGGAAGAGTTACAGATAGAGTCAGAAGTTCAAAAGTCTCCTGAGATAAGAGTTGCAAAGACTCCTGATGTGAGCTTACCAGCAAAGACTCCTGAAAGACGTTATCCAACAAGATTCAGAAGACCTCCCTCCAAGATACTTGGACTTGGGTAAATAAAAAAAACAGGTGGAACTAAAAGCCAGAATAATGCTTTTCTTCCTGTTTTCCAAGTGCTGGTAGTCAACCCAACACTTGTAGTTGAGTTGTTGTATTAGTTCATTCATCTGCTAAAAGGACTTTTAAATTACAGTAAAGGACTTTAATAAAAGCAAATCCAATAAGTGTTGGACGTTTTTCTTTAAGGTAGGGGTATCCCAAAGATTTAGCGAATTTTGACAATTATATTGAAAATTGTATTTTTCCATTATATATGACAGAATTTCATAGAGAATTTAACTGTGACATTGGTTTTGCAATATGGTAAAGAGAAGATAATAAAAAACCCTATTTTCCATGCCCACCCATTTGTTTTATTCTCTTAGCAACAAATTTTGCCCTTAGTTACCAGAATTTTGCCCCAAAACCCCACGTTTTTCTGACTTGGAAAGAACATGATTCCCACCTTAATATTAAAACCACCTTAGGAATGTTTCAAAACGAGGACAGGCACTGTCCAAAGTCCAAAGCGTGTCTTCTTGTCTTCAATCGTTGACTGTGTTTGAAAGTTGCAAATATTTATCGTTGATTTGGGATTACGTTGCGTCTGGAAGTCACACACATTCATCGTTTTTGAGTTTTTTGTACAAGAATTACCAGCTTCGAATAATGGGTGATGGAAATAAAAGCAGGAGTCGAGGTAGAAAGAGAAAAAGGAGAGTCAGAGCAAATCAATTTTTAGGCCATAAATCTCCCAACAAAGAATCCGGGACGCCTGCTGAATCCTTTACCCAGGATAATGTTGATACTTCGACATCTCACAAAAAGATATACTCTGGGTCAATGTTAGAGCAGCCAAGCACTACCAATGAACCAGTCAAAGAAGGGTTCATTTTGATAGACTTATCAATTTTGTGCCAGTTTTTTGAGTTAAACGTCCCTTGCCAAGAATGCAAACAACACGCATTATCATGTAGACTTGCCGTTGAAAAAAAGTCTGGATTCTCTCACATTTTGCAGTTGAACTGTGAAGCATGTGAATTTCAAAGCACCCTTGAAACATCAAAAAAGGTTGAAGGGACAGGGTCTGGAAGGGCATCAAATGAAGTCAACCTTCGAATGGTTTCATTTGCAAGATCTATTGGAAGAGGATATAGTGTTCTGGAAAACTTTTCTGCCTGCTTGAATTCTCCTCAGCCCATGACAAAAAAAAATTACAAGAAAGCCTTTTCCAAAGTATTAGCTGCAAACAAAGAAGTAGCCAAAGAAAGTATGAAAGCAGCAGCAATAGAAATAAAAGCAAATGGGGTTTCAAAGTGTGCTGTTTCCCTAGATGGCAGCTGGCAAAGGCGCGGTCACTCAAGCCATCATGGTATTGTAAGCTGCATAAGTGTAGAGACTGGAAAATGTATAGACATTGAAGTCCTGTCAAATTTTTGTGAAGGATGTGCTTATTGGGAAGGTAAACCCAAAGACACAAGGAAATACATTGAATGGCAGGAAAAGCACAAATGTAAAAAAGATCATGATGGCAGTGCAGGGGCTATGGAGCCGATTGGGGCTGCACGTATTTTTCTGAGATCAGAAGCAAATCATGGGCTTCAATATCACAAATATCTTGGTGATGGAGATTCTGCATCATTCAAGAAAGTCAGCCAGTTGAAGCCATATGGTGAAGAATGTGGTATTGAGAAGATAGAGTGTGTGGGACATGTCCAAAAGAGATGCGGAGGACGATTGAGGCGTCTCAAGAAAGAATATAAAGGGGTAAAGTTATCTGATGGGAAAGGAATTTCTGGTGTTGGTAGATTAACAGATAAAACCATTGACACCTTGCAGAATTATTATGGGTTTGCCATCAGACAGAATGTTGGTAATTTAGAGGCAATGCAAAAGTCTGTTTCTGCAATTTTGCCACATGTTGCATCGACTGCCCGTAACAAAATGCACTATAATTGTCCAGATGGTCCAGATTCTTGGTGTGGGTACAAAAGAGACCCTGATTCTTATAAGCATAAAACAGGTCTCCCAATGCCAATTTATAATCTAATCAAGCCAATTTTTGATGACCTAGCATCTCCAAACTTGTTGAAGAAGTGTCTTCATGGCAAAACTCAAAACAACAACGAGTGTCTCAACAAGTTGGTTTGGGATAGGTGCTCAAAAGAGTATTTTGTTGAGAAGGATGTCATCCAAGATGCTTCTTACAGTGCTGTGACACATTTTAATGATGGGAAAAAATCTGTTTTGAGAATGTTTCTAAAAATGAATATAACTCCTGGAAAATTCACAGAACAGATATGCAGGACACTTGATTCAAGGCGATTGGTTAAAGCTGGGGAAAAGACAAGTGCAAAGTTAAAATCAAGGAGAAAATTATTAAGAGCTAAAAGAAAAGGGTTTGCAGACAAGAAAATGATAGAGGAAGGAAACCTGTATGAACCTGGTGGACATTAAAGTCTAATTTAACATTACATGCATCATAAACTTTTGTTTTAACTTTAAACACATTTTTCTCACGTTTATGAATTTCTGAAAATGGTCGGGTTTTGTTGCAGAATATTTTGAAAACCACTTGAGATATTTTGATGAAATTTTAAAACTGGATAGTAAATGTATGGTAGATGGTATTGACAGAATTAGAATCTCAGTTTCATATTTCCTGTTTTTGAAAATTTCAATTTATATAATGGATAACACAGCGATAACGATGAGTTTAGTAAAATAATTTTAAAAATTTTCCTGTATGCAAAAATAAAAAAGTGTTTCTTTGAATACTGAGCATTTATGATTGTGAGTAAAAATGCAAAGTTTGAACATGATCAGTCTTGCCATTCCAGAAATATGTTGTCATGATTATTTGCAATTTTTTGGCAATCGGCAGCCATTTTGAAAAGCTAATTAGCATAATTAATTTGAAATTTTTTAAAAGTTGCACTAAAAGTATTGATTAATCATGGGAATCAAGATTGAACCTCCTCTGTATAAGTTTCTATGTTTTTTTTCTTTTGGGACCCCCCTACCTTAAGGAAGGAAAAGTGTGATGTATTCGTTCAGTTTTGAGTCCTATTGTTATAGCCTCGTTTTGGATAGCAATTCAAGTTGGATTCTAGCGTGAATGTGCCTGTTCTCTTGTGTGTACTCGGCCTGATATATTACACGTCTAAAACCTATTGTTATATTCTTTTTATTATTTGTTCTTTTAATTGTTAAGTTTACTGCCTTAAAGCTGTCAAAAAGGCTATTTGAGGCCACCTTTACAAAATTTGAAATATTTCAGTTCTTGGAGGCGGAAGTAGTAATAGTTAAAGGAAAAAATAAAAATTGCACATTTTAATAGAAAAACATCCAAATTGGTGGAAGATAGCAAACCCAGGACTTTATGAATTTATTCAGAAAGATCGATGCATGAAACAGTTTTATGTATTTTTTTATTTGCTTTTTTCCAAAGCTATTCGACGTTGAAATTCAATTCTCTATCAGTAATTACTATCAGTATCGTCTCTCGCTATTTTCTTGAATGAGGTCATTTCCTGCAGGTAAAGCTTTGAGTGAAATGTTTGAAAAGAAACCCACATTGCAGTGAGAAACATTGCTCTTACATAAACGTAAGTCAACTTTGTAATGCATAATTGCGAGGGAATTCGAATATCTTAGATATTCGTGTCAGCTTGAAGTGCAATAAGTAATTCAATTTGTTTCTGCTGCGTTTCAGGTATTGATGGACGAATTAGAAAGATGAGCAGTGACCTAAGCTCAAAAGATTGCTTCAGCTTGTTTACATATGGTCACGACAGTAATGGCAGAAAGAGTATGTGTTTTAAATAGTTCAAATTCGATCAATCTTGGGTAGCTATTATACAGATTTCTGTACATATAAATCAGTTATGCAAATTTTAAATAATAATTATTCCATTAATAAGAAATAAATATTCCATTTGCAGTCTAGAAATAAAGACAAAATTTTGCAATATGAAAAGCTGTCTTTGCTCTGGAGTTTATTTATTAGATAAGTAAGGAAAATAGAATAAATAAGAATGTTTGAAGAAATAAGAAAATGTTTCATCTTGTTGCTATTTTGATTCATTGCACTTTAACTTAAATATATTAAACTTACATATATTTAACTTACATATATTTAACTTCCATGCATTCAACTTACATATATTTAACTTACATATATTTAACTTAAATATATTAAACTTACATATATTTAACTTACATATATTTAACTTCCATGCATTCAACTTACATATATTTAACTTACAATATTTAACTTACATATATTTAACTTACATATATTTAACTTACATATATTTCAAATAAATCATAATGCTATAAAATATTTTAAATTATATTTTATTGTCATTGGTCTATACATGTTATTCTTTTATAGCATATAACATATTGTTAACTTTCCATGATTATGTATGAAAATTATTTATATTCATTTGATGTTGAATTGCCTTTGACGTATCTTTATGCTGTGACTTTTTTCTTCTTTATTACTGGTGGTTTCTTGTTATCCCAAACAAAGAGAAGGTTGTGTCAATACCTCGTGTTATATTCATGAATGTGGGTGTTACAGGGAGTTTCCAGAGATGTGTTCAGGTCATTTTATTTTGGCAAAATTCTATACGTTCTCTAGCAAAATAGAAATGTAAAATAGAAATGTCATAAACCCTGTCAATACCCACTGTAATTGCTTCGCCTGTCTTCGCAGTAATAACACGTGGTCATACTAATGATACCGCCATTAACTAGACCTTTTTATGTAATTTGTACGTAACTACGTTTCCTTTTTTGTATATTCAATGATCTTTCACTTTTTTTGTTGCCATATAAAATAGATTTGTTAGATAAATCACAAACATGACTTAGGGACATATCTATTGTTAACTATTTTTGTTCGTTAAAGTACTCATTAGGTAAACAATTCCCCTGCTCTAACATATATTTACAAGGCAACTATTTACTTTTTTGTTTGACGAGTTATTTCTCCTGATTGGCCTATTTCGATCCACAACTGGGTATATATATTTCTTAGCGTAGAGTTTTCGATCTATGTTCTGACGTTTTAAACTCTGAAGAGTGTCAGACGAAAAGCTTTAGTTTACTAAATGTTTGCTTTTTTCAAAGCCATTTATTTCTCTTTTCTAAGATGAAAATATTCAAAATTTTAGAAATATAAAATTTTCAAAATTGATAAATTCGAGGCAATCCGGGTTAATATGAAGACAGTCGATGCTATTTTATGCTAGTAAATTACAGATGCTGTTCATTACATACTGCATATACAATAAAGTGTATAATTTTACAGTGTATAGTCTATATGATATAAAATTGAAAAATATAAAGGCAAGGGGATAATTTTCCTAAAGACATCAGAGAATGCACTAATGATTTTGAGAACAAAGTAGTTTCATTTTTTAAGTAAATTATATTTTTTAATATTTTAAGTAAGTAAAGTGTTCATAGTTTAAAGTAAACTTTAATTAAAGTAAATTGTAAAGACATTTTATAGGTTTTATTTAAATTGTAAGAATATATCTACTCATTTACTTATTTATTTATTCATGTATTTATGATTCTGTTAATTAGGACTAGAAGGACACATGTTGATAGCAGTTCTTATTGATTGAAATGTACGTGTCCTGTTAAAATATTCATGATACACACATACATGCAGGATAAGGAATAAACATGACTGTTTTAAACCTTTTCAATTGATACACCATTTTATGGTTACATTTCTCCGGAATGTTGTGATATATTTGACTCCCATCGTCGCAACGTGTTACCATTCTATCGAAGTAAAACTCTTTCTTTTCAATTTTTAGCATTTACTGAGGCTGGATATTTCAATGAACACAGTGTACTGGTAAGGAAGAAATCGCTAGGCCGTTTGCCACAAGATACCCCTACCTGTGGGTTTAATGGCGAACTTTGTAGATCTGAAGACAAGACAGGATCTTCATGCAGAGGTAGGGCATAGAATAACGGTTTTGTTTACATTTCTAAAATGTAACTGTTCTTGATAAAATATACTGTTCTTGGTATCAATTTCTGCTCGCAATATCAAGTTCTGTTTGTTATATCAATCTGAATTCAAATCTTTGTAATAACATCCTGCCCCCCTCTCTTTCTCATCAATAAGCTCATCTTTTGTTAGCTGGAAAGATGTCGTCCTTCAGAAATCAGCGCTTGTGCTGTTAGCATTGGAACACTGGAGAAACTGTTCGAAATTTTTGCTTTTCATTTGCTGTTATTTACAGCCTGAGATACATATCACGAGCAAGGTACAATCGAGAATGTGGTTCTTTACTTGTTGTGCCCGCAAAGAGAGGTTGCAAAGATGCTTTTTGGTTGATTAAAACACAAAAACAATCACAAATCTCAATCAATATACTACGGAGTGGATATGATGACTAAAAAGTCTGGGCTATAGTGTTCTAGTGACAGTACTACGCTACTCTGCAGTCTATTCTGTTTGAAAAACGAAGTAATATCATATGAAAATTAAAAAAGTTAAAGATTCGTCTAAAATTGGTATGCGTTTTTTTTCATAAAAACTTCCAACTAGCTATAGATTTAATAATATCTTGTTTGTTTCTCCTTAGTGCTAAAAGACCTAGCTGTATCGTTGTCAACTATACTGCTGATGCTAGCTTTTCTGTTTCTATGTGTGTTCATTTACAGGTGAGTTTTATTATTCTCATCTTCTTTGCTTCCATAGCTGCCTTACAGCTTTAACTACATGCAATTCTAAAACATAAGTGGAGTCAAACATTCTCTGACTGTAGTCCCTGTCATGAGTTGTATGTTTACGTCAGATTCGAAGAAATAACGATAAACATGCTTTGAAGGAATAAATCACATTTATTATATGTGCTGTGTACTTTAGCAGTTTTATTATGTGGTCTATAATTTAATATTGAATGTTCTCTAGTTATGTTCAATAGGCTATCACCATGGTCATAGCATATTCTAAACGTTTAGGGGGGGGGGGGCGTTGGTTTGGATCTCGTCCGAATATTATTGCTTCATTTAAGTGAAACTCCCTTAAAGGATCCTGAATAGAATCTAGCCTGAGTCTTTGAAAAATTAACCTTTGTGCCAGCCTTATCCATACAATTCTTGTGCAATTCACTGCAAAACACTTTTATATTAACTCAAACCATATGACATTGAAAAAGGCAATTTTCGCAAAACCGACAGTGTTAGGTTCAAACTTTTGGATTATTAATGAATAATTAATACTCCTGTTGAGTCAGTAGCAAAGGGAATGCCTGTGAATAAATGCAATATAAGAGGTATCATCTTTGTTGCGGTAACAGTATCGCTAATGCATCGTGGGATATTTCTTAATATACAGCTAAGTCATGATTAGCGCATTTGATTGTTGCCTTAATCCATACAAATTCGCAACATGCTTTTTCTGATCTTTACAAAGCTATTGGCGATGTAATATTTAACATGTTTCACCACATACCATGTTTTTTTCTTGTAGTCATGTTAATGGGTTAAAAACGTTTGATTTCCAGTCTGTTCAACGCTTTTTTTATCCCACACCCACTTTAAATGTAGAAAAACCTTGAATAAATTGATAAGTATTTCAGTCTCATGAAATCTCATAATTGCACGACACAAATCCTCTTCTTGCCAAGAAAGCCAGGATATTCCCCTAAAACATTTATCATTGAATCAAGCTCGCAACTTAAACCAACCACTTTGATAAAGCCAACTATCATCCTAAAGCACTATCAAGTAGTCATTTTTTATCTTTGTTATATGTTCAGTTTTCTTTTATTGCGCTCTTCCGTAAACTACAAGGAGATTGCCCGCTCAAGTAGTAGTGGAAATTGAGGCTTTCATTCGCGGAAAGTCTTGGTTTGGTTTTCGGCACGTTAAACGTTTTTCAATTACCCAATGAAAGCCCGAACTTTCCGATGAGAAGGCTGATTGGGGGATCTGAGTCCCCTATGTCCCCCTTATAATGCTCTCAACTTTTTCAGGGCCAAGCTTCTAATTCTTCGTTGTGTTCCTGGAATATCCAGTTATTACATCAGCCCTATTGGGATTTCAAAATTCCTTTTGTAGCACTTATAAGTTCAAATTGAATAGAGGACCATTTTGAAGAAGGTTTTAAGGTTGCATCATTAATTCCTTTGCTTTCAAAATCTCTTGTATACCGTAAATCCTCGAATTGGGCCCCCCTCGAAAAAGCCCCCCTCGAATAAGCCCCCATCCAAAAATGTCAAAAGTAAATAAACCCCTAGGTGGCTAAATCGAGGATTTACGGTAGTTACCATTTGATCTTAAGGCTACTTTGATGTCTTGCTGCATTTTAAAAATCAATGTTCTTTAGCCATGGAAAGATCACCACTTCTGTTGTTTACTAATTCTTGCTGTTGTGAAATTTTAGAAAAAGAACGTCATCTTTACGCATTGGCTGGGTTGCACGGAACAGAGACGGAAAATATCCACCATCTTTGATAGGTTTGTGACGAAAGAGATGAAGAGAATATCAATCTGCCTTGCTCAGTATTCACTTACAAGATAGCAAGAACTATAAAGCTTGGAAAGATATCTTAAGATTGCAACCTTTGTTCTAGGGTTGAAGCAGCATCAGCGTATGTTTCTTATAGATGTAAGAGTTTCTTGGAAACATAGAATGTAAATGTTCTTCAAATCAGCGAGAATAGCCCAAGTATACAATGATCATCACACAAGGACCATTACACAAAGGCCAGCTTCTGCATAGGCCTCGGTTGTTGTAAGTTTATAGTTTAAACATAACATGGCCTAATACAGATAATAAATTCCACAATTTGTAGCAATTTTGTCTACTTCTAGTGCCTCAAGACTCATTCCCCTATGTATCCAGATTTAATTAATTGACCTAAGACATCACTGGAACGTATAGTTGTTCTCTAACGATTCACGCATTGTTTCTCAATGAAACGAATTTCAATTGGAGCAATAGAATCGCTTGATGAACGACCCAACTTTATTCCTGACCGGAGGAGCTTTAACGAAATTCGAACACTTTTCCCTAGAAACATTTTCAAGGAAATACTTTTTAGAAAGCTTTAATTTCATTAAAGATTTGAAACAAGTAAAATAAGGCACAATTTACAATGGTATTACCATGGACACGACACTATTTGATGAGCAGTGCCAAAATAACCATTCTTGGTATTTAATATTACGTAAATACTTTCGAATGAGACCATGGCCTATGATCTCACCATGATTCCTTTGCCTTGACATAAACGCAGAGACGAGCATGGCATTTCATGTAAGTAAGAGAAAAGAGAACCTGAATCAAGGAGGACAAGGGGGTAAAGCGCCAAGAAAAAGGCCAAAGCAAATGAATAAAATCGCAAAATTTTATGAGGACAAGGGGATTGTCACTGCCTCCACAGCGCCTGCTGCCACCGATGCCCAAGTGGTACAGGTGTTTTTGATTGAGAGGAAGAACACATGATCGCCAAACCATCGACGAAGTTTTAACATCTACCACCTTCTAAGCAAATTTCAATTACGATTGCATCCTGCTACCAGTGACCAAGGAAATGATGGCAATCTAATCTTTAGCAATACAGCGCGATAGCATTTTCTGCACTGCTCTGCTAATCTCCGTGTTTTTCCTCTGAGAAAACACGATATTTTGATCAGATGTCAAGGTTCAATATAGTCAAAGAGATTGAAAGCTGTTCTAAGCTGTTTTGATATTTGCTTTATGACTACTATCAGACTCTATCTTCTGTACTGACTAATTAGAGATAGTACTGTCAACAGCGCGCCCCTTTGTTTCTCTCATCGTTTTAATAAAGACTAGAAACTTATGACGTCATAAGACAAAAATGTTCCTGGTATTGCAGCTGATAAGTCGTATCTAGGATATTGTTTGTTGCCGTATCGGAAGTTCATAAGACCCCTCCCTCAAACCACGGGTTGAGTTGTGTCTGCTGATTTAGAGTAACAAAATGACGACCTATTTATCAATCGAATGTCACGGTTCTAGTACTAAGCAAAATCCGGAGCGCCGTGGATACAGCCAGATTTGCTGCCCACTAGAAAATTATGAGTTTACTTTGCATGATAAGAAAACAAAACAAGACAGGACATTTTGAAGATTCTGAGTGTGAGAGCAGAAGATGGGGCTCCCCATGTTTTGGCGTTTGCCATATTTTCGTGCGTGAAATCGTTAAATCTTGATTTTTATGCGTTATTTCGTGAATTAAGATTCCTACGTGAAGCGTGAAACGTGAGTTTCCTCGCGTTATGTTGTGAAAAGGTTTTGTCCATCCGTGAATTCGTGATTGAAATTTTGAGTGATAATTTAAGAAATTGCCTCAATTTGGTACGTAATAAACCAATAATAATTAAATCTCAAATTAGTATTCAAAGTTTGAAAGTAGTGTTGTAGTCCTTCAAACAGGGCTCTGATGAGCAATAGCTGATATTACATTTATTGTTTGCGTGAGCGTGAAAATCCAGGTTTGCATTGCGTGAATGCGTGAAAGTCTAGAAATTTTGCCTGAATGCGTGAATCACAACCACTATGGAGTGGGCCGAAGATGACATGCAAAGTTCATTAACGAATTTTGAGTAAGGTGAATTCTGATGTAAAATTGAGGAAAGGACGACTAGAAGACAAACATTTCACATACTTGGACAAATGAGATCTGATACAATAGATACAAAATTTATGCAAATAAGCTCATTTATAGCATTTCGAAAATCAGTTAGATTATTTTCACGTTCTCAAATACCGAGATATTGACAAAATTTTTCAATTGACAATCTTTAGTGATGCGATCAAATCGAGGGACATCCAAAAATCTAATCTAAGAACATAGTAGTTTTGCTCTCCAGCTTTCTGTGTTGTGCACAAACGTACTTTAATCGTTAAAATATTTAATGAGAATTTGCTAAAATAGAATTTAGAAAAATTCCCTTTTTGTCTACTTGAAGAAACATCATATGGCCATAAATGAAGATTCTGGCTTACACACTTTCTTCATAAGAGCACTTGGCTCCAGTATCAGCTTGGCGTTTCTTATTTTTTCGCATAATTTTAGCCTCGCGTGTTTCTTATTATGTAACAAATGTAATCGAATTTCCTGTAAATAGTACTGTCCAGCAATAACATGTCCTTGATAAAGTAATTAAAGCCTCTGTCCGGGATGTTTCACTTGTACCTGCACTTTTATCTTCATCAAATGAAAAGCTGGTTATAGGCCAGAAATACAAGCAAATGAAATGTTATACATCTTTGAAAATTAAGCATGCATGTGCTAAGATGTTACATGTAATATACAGTTTGTAGAAAAATTTACCATCAAATCATTGTGTCAAGTACATCGCCTTTGTGGTTTCTTGATTAGGGAGCTCCTCGAGCGTGCATTTTGGGCTTTTTCTGCTTATTGTTTTGCTTTCGTGCTGAGCAATGTTATGGTGAAAATTCCAAGTGTTATTGTGTCATCTTGAACAATTTCGAAATAATATTTACGTTCATATTGTATATATAATGACAATTTACTATAAAAATTTGGAAAATTGCTTCTTTTGGTCCCCAATAAAATTTGATCGCCACGAGGTCCTTGAAAATCTTGTTCAGACCTTACTATCGAATTGAAAAAAAAAGAATTGTTGCAAGCTTAATAACCATTTTGTAATGACATATGTGGGTTTTTAACAGCCTATTAGCTACTCATTTCCGAAACCTACAAGTGGATTGTTGATATTGCCTAGGACAAAGTCGCCCGATTTAGAATATACACAAATCTGAACATATTATCTGAATAGTTAATTACATGGTATTTCAATTACTGTCATTATCCATTTGACAGGCAACATCCATCGCGTGAAAGCTGCCGCCATCTTTGAAAAAGTTTTCAAAGGAACATTGCACTATTGTTAACTTAGTAGTAATTTACAGTTTGCAGAACAAAAAAATTCAAAGTAACGCTACCTAAATTTGAACCATGTTATTCAAATGATTAGCAAAACAAATTGTCAAAACAACTGTGATATTAGCAGGGCTGTGTCGCTTTCAATTATTTGACACTTCTTGTGTGTAACTCTGCAGAGATACGCCCTAGAGAAAGTGAAACTGTGGTTTATATTGGTTTTGGTGGATTTTGCTTTTCTATGACATGTAGAACAAGAAGATAAAAGAAAGCAGAGTCCAGGAAACATTTGGTACACCCCTTTTATTGGAACTTAGCTGCTATTGTTGTTGTAGTTATCGTTCCACTGCAGACCCAGGATACACTGATCTAGATAAGAGAGATATTTCACTCAATTTCACATGCCCTTTTGTATTTTGGAATAATTTGTTGACATTGACCTAATCGAAAAGTCTTTGCGGCGCACGCAATAAAAGTAACGAGCTTCGAAGCAATACACCAATTCGACTTACGACCTCGTTTTGGAAATTTCTCCAAACTTAATTATACGACTTTTTTAAGCTCAGATTTGGTTTTATCGCCATAATTTTAGGCAGGATACCATTTTTCATATTGTTTCAGCTTGTATTTTAGATTTTACGGAGAAATGAAGTTTGAAAACTTGTAAGGGATTTGACCGACAAAATCGTTTCGGGGGAAACTTTACCCCCCTAGTCGCCAATCACGGTCAAATCCCTTATAAAGTTTTTATCTTTGTGTCGTCATAAAATCAATATCGTGAGCAATATGATATTGAAAACTTACAATCAGACTAAAATAATTGCTCTCAATCTGAATCTGCGGTCAAAAATTTTATACAAAAAAATTTTGAAGAATTTTTCAAAATGAGGCCGTAAGTCAAATAGGTGTATTCATTTTTGGGCACATTCTACGCATATGCACCAAGGTTTTAAAGCGCAGTACAAAGTTTTCAACCAAGAGACAAAACAAAAGAAAGCGGTCCATTTTGAGTGCCCAAAAATTTCGTCCAGATGAAAGATGGATATTTTTCATAGTTTTTACCGACGCAAGGCCATATTTAAAAAAAATGCTCATCTTTTAGAAATATAATTAATAAAAATCATACTTTTTAGAAAATCTTCTGTTTTAAAAATCTAGGAATGATAAGAATGAAAGGGAATGAGGAAATTGTATTTTGCATTTTGCTGAAGGGTTTTCTCTACAGAAAATTTTCTATTAGAATAATGAAAATATAGAATCGATCTTCCAAATCGAACTGTAAACATAAAGTTGAACAGCGATTGGATCTCACCTCATAACGATGAAAATCATAAAATTTCCGAAAAGATAAGACACGACATGTTCCAGCCTCCCGACACGACACCGACTTCATCCCGACAGGGAGGGCGACCTGTCAATTAAAATTACCAGAAATGTTCAAGAGTCGACTAGTCGCCGGAGGTTATAATTGACTTCCGGACGTCAAAGCTGTTTCTGTAAGTTGTGTCTCTGAAAACAGTTGAATTATTTGTTGCAATTGGGTAATCAACTGGCCGATGTTAAACTCACTCGAATCAAATGGTTGAATCGAAATTTAATTGCGAAATCAACTGTGCTCTGTTAGTTTCGTGTGGCCTATGTAGGCCGTTTCACCAGTCGCCGCACTTGCCCACATGCATAACATGAAGTGAGTCATTTGTGAGGAATGAGGAATGGCAGTTCAAAACATGATTTGTAATTCTTTTATATTTTGTATGTTTATCTGGAGTATTGGATTAACATTATTAGAAACTGCTGATCCTGGTTTATCGCCAAGAACTCGTGGAAGATATTTTGACTCTGCATTTTTAAAACGGACCTATCGCTCAAGAAGGAATGTTTTGAATCTTGGTAGCTGCCCTGTAAACGGCAGTGGAGTTACGAATGGAGTCGTTACTATTCCTGACAAACGAAAACAATTATGGATTGGATTATTATTACCTTTTACTTTAGCCAGCCATGGCGGTGAATACAGTGGAGGTGGGGCAAAGTTCTACGCCGAGGCTTTCAATCTTGCAGTCGAAAAAATAAACAAGGATAGTTCGCTTTTACCAGGCTATAAATTAGATTATGTTTTCAACAACACACGTTGCAGTGAGCTGGATGGCATTCGAGCAATGTATTACCAATACCAAACGCGGGATAGGAAAGGATTGCCGATTCATGGTTTTATTGGTCTGGGGTGTCAATGTAGCACTGCTGCAAAGTTTGCAAGCGCAATGAAAGTCCCGATCGTATCACATGTGAGTTTAGCTTCCATTTTTGTTTCTAGAAACTTGTAATTTTTAGGTACGTATTTAGGGCTATCTTTTTGCAACTTATTTATTTGATTTAATTAGATATTGCTAGCTCACTTAAAATGCACATATTTCTTTGGTTATCGAGAGTTGTTTCGGTGGCAGCATTATCAGCCATATCATTGCGGTATCCGTTATAAATTCTTGGAGGTAATTTTCTTTATTTTTTTGATCTGCATGTAGCATTTAGCTAGTAACCTTTTGGGACAACCGGTGGAAGTAAATTCCATAACTGCATTTCTGGGGTTATCTCTCCCTATGATAATTTTACCCGCAACCATAAACAACTGATTTCTCTGTTGTTTTATGTCTAAAAGTGAGCTGTTCTGTCAACACCAATTTCACTTACTGTATCAACAGTAATATTTTTCGCAGGGAATAAGTGTATTCTCAGTTAACGATTTCCCGATGGCTGCAATCACTAAAAAACACAGGTAGAGAAGTAAACATTTCTTAAACAATTACAAATAAAAGTAGCAACTGCTTTTATTGTTTTCTAAAGACTGTATCTAAGTTATTGTTCATGCAGCGATAGAAATTTAAAAAGCTTCAATTTTATCACAAGACAAATTTAGTTGGCATAAAACTTTAGTGCTATGCCATTTCATTGAGATGATTTTAAAAGAAGATCACAATTCTTTAAAATTTCTTTTGGATTTGACTTGTTTTAAAAACAAACTTTATAAGAAAGAGTCGATCTAATACAGTTGATAAAGGTTTAAAGACAAAACAGTTCTAATGTGCTTTTTAAGTCTTTATACCTTTAAACCATATCAAACATGTTTTCATAAAGGTAACTGCTTTTTTGCAACTTCGGCTTTATTGAAATTAATGCAAAATTTTTGTTCTGTCATTGCAGCATTTATGCAAGCTTTTCTTATTTTTAAATGTCACTTCTCAATTTTTAACTTTCCTTTAAAAATCAAACATTTTCTATCACTTTTGAAATAGTGAAAAATAATAAAATTTATTTGCAGTTCACTTTGACACATTAATCTAGAGGGCTAAAAGATGATTTAAAGGCCGTTTTCTAGATCCCGAAGATCCGGTAATGATTGATATAAAGAGATAATCCATGGCCAGGGGAAATGCAGGTCAAATCTTATTAGCAGAGTCCAGCTGTTATTCAGCAAATAAATTCTACATGACTATTTGATTTCATGTGGAAACGAGTGTAGCAGGCTACTGATATTTTGTCCTGCTGTAAAATGCAGTAAAAAGGACATTAGAGAATTTATAAAACTGCAGAGAACTGCACCTGTTAACATCAATAAGAATAATACTTAGATAAAAGAAGTTTTCCGAAAATCTAATCCCTGCACTGAATTTTGCTATCTTTGATAATCACTGTGACTCAATTGTACATCTAGCTACTAAGCATGCATGCACAGATCTCAGTAAATAGTCTTTGGATATACACCCTGTTTATTTATTGCTTTTCAAATTTAGTTAGGGAACAGTTTTGGAAAATAATGAAATCTGGGGTTGGGGCACTCATTGTAGAATGTTTCTGACCTTAAAGTAAAGCTGCAAATTATTTTTGAGTCCTAAGTTAATTTCTCAGTCTTGAAGTTATAATTCTTTTTGTAATTAGCATTCAGGAAGTTAGTGACCGAAATAATGTAAGCTTTTCTTAGTTTTTTCATTTTATCTTATGGTATATAATTTTTTGTCAATGTTCAGTGGATGGAAGGTTAAAAGTTTTTGTACAGAAAATTTTGCATAATCTTTAAACATTTTTTGGCATTTTGAACCTTGTTTATGTTTTATGTGCCACTCAGAAACGCACCCAGATTCAATTGGACAATCGTTTATTCCCTTCTAAGTTATAACTCCATTCAAGGATGCACATCGTAGAAGGTAAATTAGGTGACTTGCCTATCGCTGCATAGCAAAACTGAACTCAGAAATTTGACTTTAAATTTTATTAATGAATCTAACCCATCTTTCCATTCTTCCAAGAAAAATTGAAAGGTACTGCAAGGAACTCTCTAATATCGCATGCTTTGTTTGTTATGTCATCATGTTGGGTATAAGCTAATATGCTGCTGAAAACTCTTGCATAGATTAGCAAAATGCAGATTAGCATAGGTTACTTTTTGCCAGATTACTTTCTCCTGTTGTCTGCCTCTTCATTCGCTTCATTTTTAATCCTTTTCATCATTTTTCTGCCTTTCCCAACCATTTCTGTTTCTCCTTATTTCAATGCTCATTTCCCACTAAACTAAAAAGTTTGAAAATGTCTTGGCCTTTCCTATTATTTCAAATTAAAAAGCTTAGCAAGACAATGCATACTTCAGTAGCTTTTATAATTCATCTATATTTAGACCCAAGGAGAGCTTTTTGTGCAAAAGCTTTCTGCTTTTATATGGTTGTAATAATTTCCTGGAAATAGATTTTTTGTTTAATTTGACAAAGTTATTTTTTTGATCTAGACAATATTTGTACCAAACTATGTCCTTATTATATGCTTGTTAATTGGTGAAGAGAACAACTTTATTCTCTCTTTTCGAGAAGCTCACAGCTGGGCACCTGTGTTAAAATTGGTTTACAATGTTTGACATAAAATTATTTGTGCAGATGGAGGAGGCTTTCTCGTGCTGTTAAATTATTGAAACAATTATTTCCTCCATGGTAGATTTCTTTAATGATTTCCTGGCAGTAAAACTCAACATACAGCTACCTTGATGGCTGCATAGCAAGTCTTATTCAAATCCATAAGGCCTTGGTAAATACAGCCTTGGTAAAAGATCATGAGCAATTCAATGTTTAGGATTATCACATGAAGACCAATTCAGTTGATTAGCAAACAAGTTTGGAGATTCAAAGCATTCATCAAAAATTGATGAAAGACTCATTTTATCATTTCAAGAAGAGAATTTGTGAGATTCAACAGAAGTATTCAATACCTTTATCATCAGAAGATCAATTGTAAGTCAAACTAGGATCAGAATTTACGATAACTTTTAGTACTTTGTTCATGACCATCCATCAATGCCATGATTCTACTAATTGCCATCATCATCGCCATTATTATCATCATAATCAAATAATTTTCATCATCGTTATATATCATCATAACTATCATCCTTGTTAGCATCACTGCTCACCATGATCATCAATTATCATCAAGGAATATCATACATCATTAATGACAATGAGCAAGAACCATACCTGAGGGGAGCAGGCTATAAAACAAGAGTGCAGATGTATAACAAACAATACATTTGGACTAAATCAAGCTCACAGAACTATAATTATGCCAGCTTTTCAAAATATCATTTGGAAAAAGTGTAGCCAGAAGGGACAAGTTGTTGCCAAAATTTTTATTTCGGGGGGGGGAGGGGGCACAGCCCCGCGGTGCCCCTTGCAGCTACGTGGCTGTTTCCCACTGGCAATCTTCGAAAAGGGCGGGCAAATGGTTGCATCGGAGACATATGTTTCTATTGAAAATTTCATTGTCAAGGGAAGTTATTTGCATACTGCTTTTAAGCAGCTGTTTCACTTATAATTGAATAAACTAAAAAATTAAATGATGATAAAAGATGAAAGAGAACAGCGAGTAAGGTTTCTATTGCTTGCTTTGGCGGAGGCTTTTGCATTCAAGTTTAAGCTAGTAATTAAACGCGCTAAGACGTTCAATTTCAATATATTGACACTTTCAGGCCAATGTGATAGGTTAGCATTCAAAATCAACACTTCAATGCTGGTATCATTAGTGAAGGGCAGAGCGGCCATGAATCTTTTTAAAAGCACATCCACTCTTGACCAAAGCCGTCATTTTGCCGGGCATTCAAATTTCTATTGCATTTGACTATAACAATACTTTGATAAACTTCCTCAACGCGCTTTGTTTGATAATTTTTGACTAATAAATCAGAGTGCTCGCTTTGAAATTGTTGTACTTTTTTTAAATAAAAAACTTAAATTTGCTACTCGCCTGTGTCTCAGTAAAATAACATCATGCCAAAAGTCATGGGCTCCGACGCAGGTTGAAAAGTGGGGGGAGGGGGAGGGGGGGCAAGGGAATATTTATCATCCATAACAAAAGATTTAAAAAAAAGTTCCATTGATTTGCATAAAAGTGGAGGGGCCATGGCCCCCCTCCGGCCCCTCCTCGTTGGAGGCCCTGATTAAGCTATTCAAAAAGGTTTTACTTCCAGACATATGGGTTGCAGACCAGCAAAAGATTGTTTAAGCTATTGATAACTTCTGTAAAAAGTCTAGTAGTGTTCTACCTTGATTTCCAAGCAGGGCCTATGTCAACTATTGTGTTCAAGGGAGGTGCTCCGATCCCTTTTGCCGACAAAGCTGGTGAACCGTCCTTTGTCTGCCGACAAATCTGAATATTTGCCGACAAAGTGCCCCTAGATGGTAAAAACTCCTCATTCTTTAAACGAAATTTCTACCAAGTGAGTTGTCATATCCCCCCCCCCACAGCAACGGTCCTGTTTTCAAGGACCCTCAAATTCTTGGTTTGTGGTTTACGTGCAATATAATTTTGCTTAAAGACCTTTTGGAACACTCTTTGGGAACAGCAAAGCTCAATATTTTCCCCCCTAATAGACCGTGCTATTAAACATGTCATACACGATTGTTTTTTGTCATCTTTGAAACAATTAAAAGCACATTGTTCTTTATAAATCAACGCTGAAGTTAGATCAACATTAAGAAAATCAGAAGCTTGGATTATCCAAGAAAAAAGAAATCGAACCCGGGCAAAAATATTTGGTTATTAGAAAACAAGAGTATATGACATTTTCTTGTGTTCCTTAATTGGTATCAGATTGAAGTTGAATTTTTCCTAGAGTACATTTTAAGTCATTCGAAAATTATTTTCTAATGTCTTAGCTACTAAGTCCCTCCGATTTTGCCAGTCGAATAAAAAGATACGACTCCCCAAAGTCCCCCTCCAACCCGCCGGCTTCTAGATCCGCCTCTTCTAAACAAAACCGATTTTTCTGATATTTTATCATTCATTTTATTGTATAAAGATAACATCGTCTGTCTACCCACACACTCTAGCGACATAAATATTCCTTTAAATAAACTTTTATCCTCTCGTGTTATTAGAAAAGAAAAGTAGTTAATTTCGAAATATGTTGCTTAATCCTCAATCGTGTCCGCATATTTGCCTTAAATTACGCGTACAATATCCAGATTAATGGAAATCTTGGTAATGCCGCATTAAAACCACTGTGGTTATGGTCGACCATAGTGGGCTAGATTATTTGACTCTTTGCCTGTGTCTGCTTCGTTTCATCAAGAACCAAATAGAAAACTGATTCGCCATAAATTCATGCAGTCGTGAGCCACTTGAGATCGCCTGAAGCTAGGGCATGGATCAATGGGCCTGTGGCCAATGCTGCGCTTGTTTATTTGTTGTTTAGCAAACACCGAGGGTAATAAAAACTCTTGGGCCAGTAAAACCCGTTTTCACCTCACAGCCTCGTTTTGGCAATTTTTCAAAAGGTCTACAAAATGTTTTAGAGCCCCTGGGGTCGATTTTGAAACCCATAATGATTTGGTCGACATAAAATCTGAACAGTGCCGTTGCTTGTGGTGACAAATTTTTAGATATTTAATTTTTTATATTATATCCATTTGCCTGACATCAAAGTTTTATTGAAAAGTTTGCTACGATCTCCACTGAAGCAAGTCGTGGGTAGATTTAATGGTTTGCCCGTGTCAAATGCGTCTCAACAGGCCTTGTTGGTGGCATTTTGTTATTGGTTTTCCATATTACTTAACAGTATCAACTTTGATCCAGTCCTTCTATTCAGATGTTCATTTGTTTGCGTTATCTCTGTTGGAGGCTGTTAACTATCTTTTGAAAGTCCAAATGAACCCTGAAGCAAATCAAGATTTTGCTATGTGGTGTATTTGAATTCTAGTAATTTTGTAGAAGTAGAAATGTGATGGAAAAGGAAGACAGAGAAAAAGAAGTTTCAAGTTAGATGTGGTAGTTGTAAAAATATGAATATTTAGATATCTTCTTCAAGTGAGAAATCTTTGAAAGGAAAATATAAAGATTGAGAAGGTTTGAAAACTAAAATTGTTTTTTTGTAACAAAGGTGGGTTCTAGGCCTAAATAACAGCCAAATGGTTCTGGTGCACGCTCGGTTCCTTGAACACATGGAATTTTGAACAACAGGCATTCGATGTTTATATTTTCAGATATGCCCCAAGGCTGTTTATCATCATCGTTTACATGAATTTTCCAAAAAGTGCGTTAAAAACCCTTATTAAGACTAGTACGTTGAGAGTGTGTTCGGATTTATGTTCAAGTGCAATCTTCAATTTAAGATGCAATGTGGAATCTTTATCTAGTAAGAACATGAAGTTTGCACAGAAAGTTGGTTTTGCCTTATGCATTGCAAATACTGTTTTCTGTATTTTATTCCTCTAAGTTGACATTGCCTTTTGAATTGATTCTGTTCATGGAGCTGAAAATCTTTCGTAAAACTAACTGTCTGATAAAGTCGCACTTGTAAGTTTTTTGTGACCTTTTCTTGCAGATGTTGTGATAAAGAAATTATTCGTTGACTTAGAAATTATGTTTTGATTTTATCTTGCTTTTGCTCTTTTGTAAGAGTTCTGTTTTTGTCCAAATCTTATAATCGTCACTCTTTTTTGTCTCGTCCTCGTTTTGACTGTAGCTATTTCTAAGGAGCTACCATTATATAAATAATAATAATAAGAAAAAATAATTTGTTTAAAGTTGGCGTACTAAATGAACGTCTAATAGATATAAAAAAGCTAATTAAGGCCAACTATCTATAAAGAATTAGTATTAAATAAATATATGATACAATATTAAAAATGTTTATGCAACGACTGATATGGTATAGCGATATAATGTTTATACAACGTTACAATATTAAAAATGTCCAGTATCTTAACCCTGGCCCGGTTACTAGCGATTGAGCCCAAAATGCTGAATAATTGCTTTTTGTCATTCCAGATGTGCTCCGGCGAGGAACTATCGAACAAGAAAGTATATCCAACTTTTGCTAGGACGTACCCTCTTGGTAAATACGTCATACCATCCATTGAAGCGTTGTTAAAGCTGTTCAAGTGGCAAAGGGTTGCAGTTATATATTCAAACGACTCTGCAAAGTACCAAGAAACCAGCGGAGAGCTTCTTCATAAACTCAAAAGAAATATATCGTATTATAAAGGCATCAAAACTGTGCGATATGATGAAAAGGGGGGTTTACTGGAAAAGATATTGAAAGAAGTTCAAAAGAAAGCACGAAGTGAGTATTAGGGAGAAGGCCTAGCAAATTTGTTCAAAGTGACATCTTTTTAAAGAGTGATTTCAGCAATTTCCTTCATTACTGACAATTGTGAATTTTGGTTACAGATTTTATTTCGAATTTGTACTTTTCTTGAATTTAGATTGGTTACCTTTATATGAGGGGACGGTTATTGCTGTTTCTGTAAGCATTTTTCAGTCGACAAAAAGGAAGCTTTTCTTTATTGTTTAAAAATTTGGCTTGATATATCGCATTTTTAGAGCGTTGCACGGGTGTTGATTTAAAGTGCTTGAATTCTACAAAGTTTTCCCAGAATATATTTTCAGTTTTTTTCAGTAAATAATTAGCTTAATAGCACGTTCAGGCGAGTCATGCACTGCGGAATTTTTTTTCAAATAAATGCTACTCTTAACGCGTTTTTGGAGGACAATCTTTGATGATATTTAAAGGAAAATGTCATCATGAACCTAAAATTATATTCATGTTGTTGCCTGTTCTGTAAGCATGCAAAACAAGAAAAAAATGTTCATGTATTTGACGTCAACCTTAGTTTTCATAATATCTTCATTTTTTTCAACTCATATCAGTGTACTTAAAATCTTGATTTTTTTTATTTCAGTTGTAATTTTATACATGGACTACAAAGTGGCAAGAGAAGGTTTATTGTATGCATCAAAGCTTGGCATGGACAATGGATTCTATGGTTTCATAGTAGTTGAGCTCAACTCCCTGAACCTGGAGGTCAAACTAGAGAGGCCATTTAAATGGCTCGCTTCTGGCTATCCGGTGACAAATGAAAAAGTCCACGATCAGGCGGTGAAGAAAATGTTCCCGTATACGCTGATACTTGGCGTGAAGCTTGGCGATAGGCACTTACGGGAAGAATACAAACGGTATACAATCGAGCTTACGCGGAGAATCAAAGGTCCGCCATTTTGCAGTCCACACTACGCCGGAATATACGCCAAGGTAACCTCGTTGTAGCCTTCCCTAACTAATTCATCAAGTTAACGCTGAAGTAAAGAAAATAAAACCTGTTTAGAAATCATCAAAGAATTTTGACACTGAGCTGAATTTTTGGCTTTGATGTTGAATCAATGAGAAGTAATTATAGAAAATGTATGTCGATTCTTTATTGTGCATTATTTCTTATTATGTTTGTATCTCTTAATTACTGTTGATTATTTAGTTAGCAAATTTGAGTTTATATTTTTTTCTTTTATGTTATTCTTGTACGTGAAGTTTATTTTTACATCTCCCTCTGCAGCTGCCTGTGCCACTCGAGAACATCTACCTGTACGATGCTGTAAAGGTACTAGCATTGGCGCTGAACAAGACTATTAATCATAACAAAGATGTTACTGATGGTATTGAAGTAGTAAAGAATATGAGGGAGCTTCGTTATCGAAGTAAGTTTCCTCACAAGCTTTTTATTGCTTGAAGTTAAATAGCTTCAGCTTATTTCGTTTCTGAACGTGTTTTCAAGTGCACCCCCGGTTTTGGGAACATCAAGAGCCTTTGACTAATATGCATTGAACGAGTCATCGGAAATGCTAAGTACTTTTGTATCTTATTATTTGATCGTGTGTATTTTTACTTTTTGGTACATGTGTATTGTTTTTTGTTTGTTTTCAGGTATAGATGGTAGTGACAAGAAAATGAACAAGGATCTTAATTCAGAAGCTTTATATAGTTTGCTTGCACAAGACTACATGAACGACACAAAGGACTTGAGTATGTGTATTAAAGGCTTCTGCGCACCCGGCACGCTTTGCGCGCTTTAATTCAAAAGACCGGACTAATATCGTACTGCATGAAAATACGAAACACAGTCAATTTCTCAAGACAACTGCCGCTAAGCATGCCGGTTGCGCAAGGAATGTAAATGTAGTGATCGCCACAGCTATTGATAGTGAACAAATCATAGTAAAACCTCTTTCAGTTGCTAAACGCTTCGTACAATTGAATTCGAAGATATTATCCATCAATTCTCATTATATTTGTGGTAATGCAAATGGCAATTTTTCTGTTGAAGTGTCGTGGTCCTCTGTCCTGGAAGCAACAAGGCGAATCTAGGTGGCCCCATTGCTGCTTGACCTGATGGCAGCAATTGACACTGGGTGACTTAAACTTTGCTAAGGGCGTAATGCTTCAACCTTAGCCCCATGTATACATATATCGTTAAAATATTGCAAGGATCTCCTTGGGTATGAGCTGCTTGTTCACGTTCTCTTGATGCTTTATAAGCAGATAAAGGCACGAAACGATTGATGGGATGATTTAATTTTGTCTGGCTGTGGCGAAGTCGCCAAGTGGCTAGAGGCCTCGACTTCTTTGCTAAGGTTAAGGGCTCGAACCAAGGCTAGACTCGTAAGTTGAACTCTTGCCTTTCCCCACCCAGGAGCAAACGGATAACTGGTATCGGTACTGGAAAGGATGAAAATGAAAATGCGAGAAACTTGCCAACCTCCTTCATAATTCTTATGCCCAAGCCCCATAGTTATCTAAAATAGGTACTTCTCTACCGTACGTTTCAAACAAAGGATTCATCATAGGACGACTGTAAATTTTCTGTCTTTCTTTTAGTGGTCTATAGTTAATACTTTACTACTGTTTTAGTCGTTACTGAGGCTGGCTACTTCAATGACCTTGGTGGAACGTTAATTTACAAGCAAAAACGTACAATAAAATGGGGGAAGAATGGTCCCCCTAAAGATACCCCGAAATGCGGCTTTAATAACGAACTTTGCCAGAAAAAAGAGGACAGTGGTATCTCAAGTGAGTACTTAACGCTTTATAAAGACCTTCCCCTTTAAATCACATCGAGAAATAATTCTGTATGCTTTTTAAATTTCCATATCACATTATTTGTTGCGCGAAGCTTCACCTAAGCTTCATAAATTTTAAATTTCAAATCGACATTGCTTCCATAGCAGAAGGCAGTACTTTAATCCAGTTGGTCTCTACTCTGAAAATCAGACAGAAATGTTGTCAATACAAAATCTAGGCCAGTGACAAGTCATCAAACATAAATTTAAAACGTTTTAATAAGATACTTCCTCAATTGTTATTATTAGGAATTCAATTTCCTAAATAACTTTTGTGAAGTTAACTTACTTTCGCAACCAAGGTAGGGTATTTGTTCGAGATGAAAAGAAGTATGGACGTATAGCGCTATTTTCTATGCCTAATGTAGAATGAGACAAAAAAACTGCCGGATTACAAAAGCCGAGAGAGTTTAAACTCCATCCCAGATTTGAAACGTCATGCAAATGAAAGCTGGAACTTCGACACCCTGGGTTAACTTTGTTCATGTAAAGGTGCTGTTAGGTATACACTGGAAATTATTTCAAAATAATTTGAATGTTGTGTTTTGTTTCTAGTGTCAGTTGTTGTTGCCATATCTGTCTCGACGACTGTTATTGGGGTGATTCTTCTTCTTTTGCCAATATTTATGTACAGGTAAGACCTTCGTTTGATAATTATTTAGGCCTCTGAGAAGTCGTTTCTCCTCTGAGAAGCTGTTATGCTGCAGCATTAGGCCCATTCCTGGAATAGGCCTAAATTAAAAACAGACAAAAATTTTCCTGAAGCTGTGTAGGCCTAATGAAAGGGAATTTTAATGTTACAGCTACAGGCCCAATTTGGGCTTAATCCGCCACTGTCGCGAGGTATTTACAAATCTATGCATCCAATTAATTAGTGTTTTGTACTGTTTTTTCCCGATGGAAAATCAAATTTGAATTATGGGAGTCAACTTTGATCATGGCAAACCAATATTATGATCAGAGTTTTCGTGATAAGGATTTTACTCAGTTTGGTGACTCATAATTTTTATCATTAAGTCATTTTCCTTCATTCACTTTGACGCCAGTATTTGAAGAACGCGCTTGATTTTTGTTATTTCCAGGCAGTACCGTTTAGAACGATTGCTAACCAGTAAGTTATGGAGAGTCTCTGTCAACGACCTCACATTTGTAAATCGACATTCAAGCAGCTCGTCAACTTTGTCGCTGAGTCAGACATCACTGAACAGTATGGTATGTAAAAAATTCACTTGAATTTACTCTGGACATATCTACTTGACAATCTTCACTTAAAGTTCTTGACACCTAGTGTTAAGATTTTGCAGCTTTTTCTCCCCCAGTTCAATTTTTCAGGTCTCCAAATCAGTATATTTCGAATGAAAGCACTATAGCACGAATTATGCTCAAAGCACTTTAAACTGAACCCCTAAGAAACTTTAGCTCGGCTGTTAGAATTTCTCCTTTCCGTGTAGCTTTTTGTCCCACCGCTTATCCTCGCCCCTGTCCTGCTAAATACGATAAGAAGAAAAATCAACCTTTCTCGCCTCTAATTGATAGAGATATTAGAATATTTAACACCTTAAAGTGCTGCGTGAAAATGATTTAGTTAAGCAAATCATCGTATCGTATCGTATCGTATCGTATCGTATCGTATCGTATCGTATCGTATCGTATCGTATCGTATCGTATCGTTATCGTTATCGTTATCGTTATCGTTATCGTATCTTATAATTTCACAACGGCTCCTGGAATACTAAACTTAGTACTCATTCTTTTTCCTAGAATAGTGATAGTTGCTTGATGCCTGTGTCTCGGCCCGAGCAAGATTTTATCCAGCTCCAGGAATCGCGCACTGTTTTTGCTGTTTTTAAAGGCTCTAATGTCGCTGTTAAAGAGACTAGAATAAAATCTGTTGAGCTGAACAGAGATGTTCTATTAGAGTTAAAACAGGTTTGTATGTCTAAATTTAGAAACGACTAACTTGTTTTGGATACCGCTCAAACAATATTGATATAAGGTGTAAGAAATGAGTTTTGGCTCCCCAGCTTACCGCTGATTAACATTTATATTTCTGCCATATGTAATGGAAATATAAATAAACTTATAATCATCGGTTTAGCTTATATTGTGCGTCTCTGACACGACTTTGTCCCGACAAGTTTTGTTGTCGGACATCTGCTATTCTTGGAAGTGCGTCAATGCTGCTTTAGAACACAAGGCCATATTACCTCAAGACTTCTATAAAGCCTCCGTTGCTATTATAAGCAGTAGCTTAATCCCTTGATTCTATTTTAGTCAGTCAGGTGGCTGTTTGGTTGGGTTTGCAACGTGTTTTGCCAGCCATAGATTATAATGGAATGCAAGTGCCCAGCAAATCGAGATCGCACAGCACTGTCTATTCGACGGTCTCGAAGCCCAGTAAAGAGTAGATTTTCAACTTTTATCCTCTACCCCTACCCCCATAGTGAGCCCATTTCATCTCTTTCTTTTTCTATGCTTCTGTCCTTAACAAAGAGGTATTAAAAGGTGCATAGAGATAGCATGCTTGTCTCATGGGTGTGTTTCATTGTTTCAGAATGCTCCTGTATTGTGTCATTTATTTTTCGGCATTTTATAACCTCATATTTCCGGGAATGTTCTTCCCTTTCTGTTCAGCATGCTTGCTAAAGATTTTCCATCCCCCACTACTTTGGGACCCTTTTTACGTCCGGTGGGGGTCTTCGATGTTCATTTTCATCAAATAAGTGCTGTTGGTTACTAAGAGTGACGTCTATTGGCTCTTTGCATAGTGATAACTTCTCTTACCAAAAGACAAAAACTTTATTCAACCACTTTTGCATTCCTTAGCTTTTATTTTAATCCGAAAAACTGTCATTTGAGATCTCAAAGGGATGATGTTGGAAACACTTCAACTTTCTATTTTGTTGCTGCCATTTATACCTAATCCCCTCAGATTTTTTAAAATATGTGTTTTTTGAGATATTTTGACTTGGCATAAGATTTATGTCATATCAAATCACAGCTGATAACCTATAGCCAAGGTGCAAAGACGTTAAGAAATGTGATTAGTGCAAAAGTTTATTGGATGCATTAAAATTAATTTGTATTGTACCGTTATAGAGGCTTGTGTGCGAATCAAAATCTTCCTACAATTGTATTTCTTGACATGATCTATTAAAATCCCGATTCTGTATGACACTGAATCTTTGATAGGCTTAAACTAAAGCTGATCTTCACCATTTTTGTCAGTATTTGTGAGATTTCATAAATCATCAGTCAGATTATTGGGACTTTAGATGAGGTAGTAGTTGATAGGCAGTTTTGTGGCTCTGTATTTGGAAGTTAAGATTTTCCGTAATCCTCACTACGTCACCTTTTCGACACCCATTTGAAATATTTTCGCGACAACAGATGCAACCGTTTAAGGGGATTTACACTTTGAGACATTATTAAAACTTTGACAAAAGTAGCCCAGGCTTTGATTTTTGCTAAGGCCAGATTTTGTTCACTTTGCTAGCATAGTTTTATAAAGTCGTTTTATTGTTGTCAAAGATGTCCCATTTGGGGTCAGACCCCAAATATAAATTGGTTTTCTGTGTCCCAGATAGGAATTTGAGCAAAGAAACAGACGCTAGGCTAGGCTCAGAATTTATCTTCTGGTTCTTATTTTTCCAAAGGCCCTTGTCTCGGTTACAATAATAAAAACCTATACCATATGTTATACTCGCTGCCTAATAGCAATTTCAACCGTGCTTGAGTGTCTGCAGTCGTAAGTGTGAAATCCTTTCCCGATAAGCTTTCATTTACTTATTTTTTCAAACATTTTCTGAAAACACTCGCTTGGTGTTTATGTGAGATGAAAGATAAAAGATTAAATACCATCTGTGATGACTATAAAATTTGGTAATGCAATTACGTGAAATATTTCTTTTATCTATATTAATAAATATTTCAGCGGGAAATCGTTCTTTTGATGCATTATTTTGTTAACATAGTAATTTTTGTTGTCTGTTAGTCTTAACTCATCATAATATTTTCTGCAACTTCTTAAACAGCATTTTGATGTTTTCAATCCATTCTGTCAGTTAAATTTTCTTTATTTTTACTGATTCTTGAAATGAGTTCTTTGGACTACTGAAAATTAAATTTTGTACACAAAATGTCACCATTAAAGATTTAGTTTAAAATTCCAATGGATTTACTCGGAAGTGAATTTATATATTGCGTGCACAGTCTAACACCAATATATCGTACACTGGTATAGTCAGCTTTATGCTTGTTTTAGGAAACTGTCCTTAGTTTTAGAGTTTCTTTAAGAAGGCACTGACCATTGGGAAGAGATTTTGAAATTAGATTATTTATCTTTTGTTTGGAGATGTCCTTTATCGAGGGGTTCCTTTAGAAGGTTTCCGTCGTTGGGAGGTTCTGTTATTGGGAGATGTCCCTTAATCGGGATCTGTTCGTTTTTGGGTATTGTAAGGAGATGACCGTTATCTGAAGGTTTCTGCAGTTAGGAGTGTCTGTTATTTGGAGTTATTAGTTATTGGGAATGCCCCTTCAAGCTGTCCGTTATTGTGAGTACAAGACGCTGTAAAACCAATTTTCATGCAAACAATCTTTAAAACACTAAACACATCTCCCTTGCATGTCCGCTAATTTTTTTTCCTTTCACTTGAAGTTTAAAAAAGTAAGTAAAGATATATGCTGCGATTAAGATAAATGAGAAATGTTGTGTAAGAAGATGAAGAAAAAACGTACAAACATAAGATTTCCGCAATGTAGTGTTTCAAAATAAAAGGTTTTGTTTTCCTTCCTACGAGGTCTCCTGGCCAAAAATATAGAAATTGAATAAAAACTTTTGGCCATTAATAATTTCACAAAATAGATTTAAGTATCATATAAATTAGTTGATGATAATTTTTCATCGCACCACGAGGCCACGTACAACTCTTCGAGAATTGGGTTTCTGACCACTGTATATAAATGGCTGTATATAGAATTTATTGTTGACCTTTATAATACTTTTTAAGTGTGTATTTCCAGTTCTATTAATGTTCGTCTATATTTTTTAACCTATCGATAAATCCACAAAATTAAGCTGGTATGTTGGGCAGTACTCTACCCAGTTTTCAAACATGGCTGTTCTACGTCTAATTGATTGCATACCTTCAATATGAGATCTCCCTTCTCTTCATTTAGATAAGAGAAATGCGACATGAGAATATCTGCCAGTTCATTGGAGCCTCGGTTGAGTCAGACAGAGTCCTAATCGTTACTCAGTATGCAGCAAGAGGCAGCCTCGAGGTGAGATTCACTTTATGCAATAATAAGCCTGTGACATTGCCAATATGAAGCTCTTGTCACCTTAAACAAATTAAAGCTTATATCGTTAGTTAAAAATCGAGAAAATATTTGCAGAAGCTGTATTATAGAGCGTGGTGTTGGTCAATTTGTGCAGTTTGTAAGTGATAAATCTAGTAATGAGTTAGGTGTTTTGCAATCTGTGGTGAATTTGGAGGTGGCCACGTGAAATCTATGCTAAATACATATTTTGTGATTTTGTAGACAGTGTCCCGATCACATCAATAGCTTTGAGCAGTTTTGTTTGGTTTGAAAGAGTGCTTGCAACAATATACGCATAGAAATGGAGGTGCCAATCTTTTAGGGGGAACATATCGTTTTATGGGGAGGATGTCGAATTGTCTGCATTATAAAGTAACAAATTGTCAATCTTTCCATGCACTGTTTTGGCTACAAAATCCTTACCATGGATTTTGGCAGGGCTGGTATGAAGCTGCGATTATGTCGCACCAAATCTGTTGTGATTTATAAGTCAAATTCTTTTTCAGGATGTCCTGTTTGATAGCTCTATAAAGTTGGAGACTCTTTTCTTGCTGTCTTTGATCTATGATGTTGTCAAGGTAAGTTACCCATAATTCACAGACCAACTAACTTCTCTGGATCTTTAGATTGTGTATCATACAATTGGCTTGATTGGTGCCTAATGTTGTATCCGACTTTAGTTATTAGAACTCATAACACATCCAGTATGTATTGACAAAGTGTATGTTTGATAAATCATTTTTGTATTCCTGAATTAACTAGAATTGTGTGAATAATACCTATTGATATATATCCAAAAGTATATTGATATGACTGGTATTGAAAGTCCTACCGACATTTTGTCGGCTACCATAGCCTAAATCTGACTTTTTTGTCGGCCGCTGTATTGTTTAGCTTACATTTGAATATTCGGTGACCTAAAAGGGGATGTTTTACTGTTTGTATTTTGCACACTGCATTTATTTTCCTCGCCAGAATGATATAGATGTTATTTTTAAAATGTTATATTTCTGCCCAGCATCACAGTTCCGAATAAATTTGTTTGTTTTGTTTCAACTACAATAGCATTATTTTCCCGCCCACGGCAAAACAGTCACCTGCCTGAGCTCTCGGTGCCTGCTCTACATCTTTGACCTGACCTCTGTCGCAGTTTTCCTGTCTCTGTGTTTGAATGCACAAAAGTGAAGCAATAAAACCTTTCCTCAACTCCCTGCTATTATGCCGCTGTGCATCTTTTTATTCGCCTCGTTCCTTCTGCCACAATATCGCGATTTTATAAATGTACGGCTGCGTAGCACAGCCAAACAGTTCTCAGTTGTACGTAAGTTAATTGTTTCTTGGGTAATCAAATTCGATATTAATCCGCTATAGAAAAGATTTCTCAAACATAAGGTTTTTCCAGGCCGTTTTCTATAGGATCTTAAGCTAAGTAAAACCTCTGATAACGTTGGAATAGCTAGTCAGCCATTTTGTGTACATTTTGTGAGCAATTACCACGTGTTTTTTATTAACTTGTGTAAGAAATTTTCTCTGATTTCTTTAAAGGCCTTGCTTTGATATTTTTTACATTATGTTTTTGGCAGACTTGCAAATGTTTTGAAAGAAATCTTCAACTATCTTAATGTGAGCAGTTCTGAGAATTCTTTCACGGACTTTCTTTCATTATACGGAAAACGATTTTAAAACATGATTCCAAGGCGGCAATGTCTAAGCAATGTCTACATTGTTACAGTTCCTGTGCATTTTCCATAGGGAATGACCTACTTGCATGCAACCGAAGTAAAATCTCACGGCAACCTAAAGTCTTCAAATTGCGTCATCGATAGTCGTTGGGTTTTGAAGATCACAGATTTTGGCTTGCATTCATTTCGAGGCAAGAATGATCGCAGTCTGAAAGAGGCTAATGACTGTGCCCTTACAAGTATGGACCTTCAAGTTTCTAATTTATACTTGGTTGTTATATTAATCAATATGATTTCATAATGAAACCAAAACCCTTTGCCTTTCTTAGCCATTTTTACCATCTTTTCTTAGCACCTTGTTTCTTCAGAAAGCCTTATAATTTGAGGGGTATTGAGAGACGGTCAAATCTTTGATTCTGTGTATTGAAAAAGATGTTTTTTAAGTTCTTTTTGGCTGTTTTCTATTTACCTAATGCTCCTTCGCGATTCCTTACAGAGTATCTATGGCGTGCGCCTGAACTGCTAAGGATGGCGAATCCTCCTCCGTGCGGAACAGAGAAGGGGGATGTCTACAGCTTTGCTATAATTCTTCAAGAGTGTCACACAAGACAAGGACCATGGTCTGGCTCGGGCATTTCCAATAAAGGTACCTGTTAACTACAATTTTTCTTTGTGACAATTACTTTATTAGTTGATTTTTTGCTATTACCCAACTACAGTTTTAAAATAGAGTAAATTGATATTTTTATTACACTCTTTTTTTATAAGAACCAGTAATTTTAAGTTCAGGCTGACTGTTCTTAATATTTTCAAAAATCTGAGGCTGGAATGTTCTTAATTTGTTCTTAAATTAATAGGGTGTGAGAAGTGCGATTGCTAGCTTTTTTCGCTCTAGGGAGGTGTTTAGGCCTCGTTTACTAACAAAGTGAGTGAGACAACCTCATTTGCCGACAAGTTTGTATATTAACCGAAAATACACCCAAACATGGTTAAAAATCTTCGTTTTTGAGATAAAACGTTGTTCAAAGTTGCATTTTGCAGTAGCTCAGCCTCAGCTTGTTCTTTATTTTTTTTTAGCTTTTGACAAATTTTGAGGCTCGTGTTCTTATAAAAATGCTGTTATAAAAAAAGAGTGTATTGCTAGTAACAATAAGCAATGTACACAATGATAACAGAGCATGGAAGTACAATAGATCCCAGGGGCCATTAGCTATGAACTGTTGTACACTTGAGGCCTGTCACATAATAGACGTAGGATGATACAGTCGGAGGGTTTAAAGTAATTTGCATAGAAGCAGTCTATTATGAAACGAAAAACGTTGCATTTAAAACAATAAAATAATACGATTTTCCCTTTGTTTTTTTATTAAGAATGTAGACTAAAGTTAGTTGTGCAGTTTATTAAGCCTGTCAATGTGACACGCGATGCATTTTTGTATCAAATTATTTTACCACAATGAGTCAAAAATAAGCTTTTAGATCTGAGCTGAAGGGCCAAAATTAACAGGAAATGCAGAATTATATTGATATTTTCAATACTAGTTATATTATGACTAGAGAAATAAATAGGATGTAACATTCTAAGGAGATAATTTGTATCATACTTCAGTTTTTAATGCCTTTTGGTTTGCTTTATTTTGTTTAAGTTTGTCTTAGTTTTTTAGGAATTATTTTGAAAAAATTTTCTGCTTTGTTTTGTGTCAATAATTAGGCGTATCTTGATAGTTGATCTATAGGAAAGCATGTTTGGCCAAGATTTTGGAATGAAGTAGCAGACCTGCTGTTTACCTTCGCAACCAGTTGTCGATGTTTACTCACTGCTTTTGTAAACAGTACCCGAAACAAGCCGCTAGCTGGCGCCTTTGCAGAATTATTTTGTAGCATGCCAACAGAGAAGTGACAGAGCGTTTGTGTTGTTGTACTTTTTCATATTATCAATCTTTCCTAGAAATTCTCAACCGCGTTGTTGTTGCTGAGTTGCCTCCATATCGCCCGACCGTCTCCGAACTCGTTGAGAGCGCTGAAAGCCTGCGCGATGTAATGAAAAAGTGTTGGCAGGAGCACCCAGATTGTAGGCCTACATTTCAAGATTTATGCAAAGACATAGAAGCTTTAATGAAAGCAAATGGATTGTGAGTTTTCATTTAAATTTGCCATTTGAATAAGGGTTTCTCAATTAAAGACTATATATGTTGTGTACATTCAATTAGCTGCAGCTCTTACAATTGAAGACAATCATGTTTGATTTCTTTCGACAACCGAAATATTGTTTATGAATTTCCTTTTAAAATTTCGTTATTTCTCTGAAGCTTTGCTAAGCCTAATTAAGTCTGATTTACTGTTAATTTTTGTCAGCCAATCAGAAAATGTTCTCTTTTTCTTTCATAAAGTTCTATTAAAAAATCTTCTTGAAATGTCATTTATTTTTTCAAGAAACAAGGTTGAATATTCCAGTGAACTGATCAATCTCCGAAACTAACTTGGAAATGAGATCTTTTTCTTGCGTGATTCCCATTTGTGTCGTGCCCTTTGTCAAATGTTTTTCTTATGAAGCGGCGTTCTAGTCAATTCCACTTCATGCATGTGTATATGCTAGTCGTGTAGCTTTCTCATTCACCACTTGAGATCCTATCGCGTCCCAGCAGAAATATGACAATCATCTTGCTTTCAGTAAATCGAACATCGTCGACCACATGACTTATATGATGGAAAGATACACCGACCATCTCGAGGACTTGGTTGAGCAAAAAACCGGCGAGTTAAGAAGTGAAAAGGCTAGAATTGAAGGCCTGCTGGAGAGAATGCTGCCAGCCTCAGTTGCAAGACAGCTTAAACTTGGAAGGGAGGTGGAGGCGGAGACTTTTAAAGATGTGTCAATTTATTTCAGTGATATAGTCGGTTTTACGGAGTTATGTGCAGAAAGCAATCCAATGCAGGTATTGCTCATAACCTCTTTGGCATATCTTCCTTTTAACTGATTTTCAAATACCTGAGTAATTGACTGGCTCTTACGGTCTGTACGTTCTATTGAAAGCAGTTCCAAATCATTTTGAAAGGGTCCCCAGATTCTGAGCAATGATAATTTTATAAGTAGGTCTCTTTACGTTTTGCTGAGGACGTTCATTTTGCTTTCCGATTCCAAAATTTATTCGCTATATCTTCAGTTCTCGTGTATAATATTTGCTATTCGTTATCATTGCAAGTTACAAATGACAGACAACTTGTATTATTGAAAGACTATTCCATTTCAGGTTGTCAAGCTTCTTAACGACCTTTACACTCTGTTTGATAATATCATCCAGTTCTACAATGTTTATAAGGTAACGTCAAGCCATATAATTTTGCCTTAAAGACCTTGTTTACTATTATCATAAAAGTAAACATCTTTATCAAAGTAATAATCTCTATTATCATTATCTTTGATATTATTACTATCAGTATCAGTCATCAGTATCAATCATCAGTATCAATCATCAGTATCAATCATCAGTATCAATCATCAGTATCAATCATCAGTATCAATCATCAGTATCAATCATCAGTATCAATCAGTATCAATCATCAGTTTCAATCAGTATCAATCAGTACCATCACCATCATCATGATCAATCATTGTCATCATCATCAACATGATCAATCATTGTCATCATCATCAACATTATCAGGCTCTTTTTTCGTTGTCAAAACAGTGATAATTATTAAACACCAGTAACCACAGTAGACTATCAATCTTAAATTTTTCTTGAAGTTTTTTTCAGTTCTCTAGTTCATCCTTTGTATTACAATATCCATCTTTACCTACTCTCCAGGTGGAAACAATTGGCGATGCATACATGGTTGTTTCTGGCTTACCAATCAGAAACGAAAGAGAGCATGCATCAGAGATCGCTTTGATGGCGCTGCATATCAACAGCTCTATTAAAGATTTTGTAGTGCACCATAGACCAGGCACTTCGATACAGCTGAGGATTGGGATCAACTCAGGTAGATGAAATTCCAGTTTTTCAATCGTTTATATCATTTTCTATCAGCTTTAGTGCATGTAACATTATTTGGGAAGCAAAGCATTGATTGATACAAATTTCGATATGATGACTACAATGAGCAACATCATGAGTTTTATTGTCATTGTGAAAGTTAAGTTATTTTGAATTTGACTTTGAAATTTAGAGCCATTTTAATAAAGATATTTCGTTTCTATGATCCTGGTGTAAAATTTCACAATAATGAACACGCTAAGGATAATTAGCTGCTACAATAAGAAACTGAATTACTGTGGCTTGCTTCTAAAATGCTTATTTCAATTCCTTTAGCTGGAAGACTTTATTCCTTTCTTCCCAATGCTATTCCTATCATTGTATATTAAAAATGTGTCGCTTCCTTTTCAAACTGTCAAATTGCTTTAAACTTGTGTGGCACACTAAGCTAAATCATTTTTATCCAGCCATTTGACCATATCCCAGCATTCTTTTTGCCTCAAAGAGCGGTGTATTACTTCAGGTAACAGTGGTTTGGTTTTTGTTTTCAAGGACCCGTTGTAGCCGGAGTGGTCGGAACAACTATGCCAAGATATTGTCTGTTTGGTGATACTGTAAACACTGCTTCAAGAATGGAGTCGACGGGAGCACGTAAGACATACCTTCTCTTGGTTCTCGTCTTCTTCTCTCCAACTTCAGTGCATATTAGACTCGACACTGTGCTATGTTTTCATATTTCCGTGGGCTCACTTTTTAAAGTACAGTTTCTCTAGTAATTATTTGTTCTTCGGGTAGGTTTCTGCAAAGCCTTGTTGGTGTCGAATTTTGTATTCGAGTTTTGTGACAATCTATTGTTCTATTTGAGCTACGAATGCATCCAAGAATTTGCAGCACTGCATTCAAACGTTTGTTTTTTTTCTCCATCAGTTGGCCATAAGTTGACAAACCTTTCTGGTTGTTTGTTTCATCTAGAGAATGACGTGCCCATAGAATGATGTCTGAGGGGATTTCCCCCCCCCCCCTCCATTTCCTCTAAGTTATATGATTCCTATCTTAGGTAAATTCTATATTCTTGTCACTGTCATTGGTTTAATGCTTGAACCAGGTTAAACATGTTCGTGCTTTTAATTTACATTGCATTTTTCTTTTTAGCTTCAAGAGTTCATATTAGCGAATCGACTAAAAAGGCCCTTGATATTGTGGGTGGTTTTACGATTGATGCGAGGGGAACAACTTATTGCAAGGTAACGCCAATACAAAAGATAGTTGCTATCTACATATTGCGAGTTGCAGTTCTTTGTTTCTTTGACCGAGAATGTTAATCGACGATTTGACACTTTAGGATTTGCACTCAATATTTTATTTAGTAATCTTTATACCATTTAAGAAATCTCGGTACACAGGCTCCAATTTCAGTCCCTCGACTTTAAGCCATACTCCCCTTTACTCAAAATTAGTCTACTTTAATGGTTATAATTCCTTTACAGTCACATCTTTGCATGCATGATTTGATATGAATAACACCAGAGTCTCCAATAATATGATTATAATAATAATAATAATAATAATAATAATAATATTTCATTCATATTTCAATAATATGACATTTTGCAGGTTTATCACGACCTACTTTATTTTGCAGGGTAAAGGCCAGATCCTCACGTTTTGGTTGAATGATGTCGTGACCACTCACAAACAAAGGATTTCAGAAAATGAGAAATTCAGGAGATGTCAAAAGGCGATAATAGGGAACAAATATTTAGAGTTATTTACACAATCGCCCTCCCTAAAGCATAAGGTGCCTTCTGGAACTATTAAAGGGTCACCTGATGTGACACCAATTACACTGAGGAGGGCTATGCTCTTGAAAAATATAAAGAACAAAGATAAAATGACATCGTTTGATGTACCACAAGAGCCGGAAAGACTGCCATTGTTGAATCAGACTATCCATGGGAATAATGGTGTAGTGACATGAGTTAATGAGAATATGCTCCTTCCTATGTTTTGATGATGGCTTCTGTTAATAAGCCAGTTTATAAAGTCCAACCCAAATATTCAATCTGAAGACTAGCCTGCAAGCGACCTGTTTAAGGATAAACAAGATGAAATTGCGTGGTAGACATTCATACGATATGCAAACCTGGTATGTATTACATACATACAATATTGTTAATCAGTGGTAGTTCATATCTGATTTTCCCTTTCCCCTGAGTATTACCTGCCAACTTGTTATCGTGATATACGTATCTCTTGTTTCATTCAAATCTATTAGCCCAACCCCCCCCCCCACCCCACCCCCCGAAAATCCATGCTTATCACATCGTGCTTCAAACTTAAATTGTATCCGGTAATTAAGGGCAAAATGCAATTGCGAAAGAAAGTTTACCTCGTGATCTCATGAGGAACTCGTTGATTTTAGCACCCAGGTCCCTGGCACAAAGTTTTAGCAAGAGATGTGCGGTAAAGGACTCCAACGGCCACTGCAGTAGGAATGACGACCCCCTGCGCTTAGCCAACATAGAAAGGGCAAGATATGCCTTTATAAGGTTCAAAGAGAACAAGCATATTGGTTTATTTTGATGAGCTGGTCATATGTTCGCCCCTACCCTTTTCTAGTGTAGGCGTCCTTGCCCCCACCCCCCCCCTCCCAATTTTTGCCCGTCAACTGGACCCAGGTTGTAGACAACATAGACAGAATGTGGTGTACCTAATAAAACTAATAATTGTTATATAACTGTAAATTTAGCTGTGTACATAGTAGTCAAATCAATTGAATGGAATTCAGAATATATACTTGCTGAAAAGGGACTTTAAGGTTAAATTCGTCGCAGTAAAGGTAACCTTATCGATGCTTTATGGCAATTTTGTATCAGTTCAAAGGAATAAGAAATTTCATCAGTTTTATTTTATTTTAGGTTTATTTTTAGCTGTAATTCGGTAATGCTTTTATTTTTTGTGTAGATCTAGGACTCTTAATGTGAGAATAATTTTTGATCTAAACTCGATACACCTGTGACTGAAAGTGAAACTTAATCGAGGCCAGCTGTTTTAACGCGGGTATATATCCAAATACAACGACCAAAGTTAATATACTGTAAAGAAAATTATGCTTGATACCCATGGAAGTAACCCTTACCGCATTTGATATCTTGAACCTTTTATTGTAAAGGTGACAGGGTTTAAAAAACTGCAGGATTAGCAGATGGGAATCCTCAGACAAATGTCTCAATCCTGAAAAATCTCCTTGCTTAGTTTTTTTCTTAGAGTTGCATAGACAAAAATTTTGCCAGTTTATAAGTTTCTCGAAATGGGTGTATTTTTATTGCATATAACGACATATAGTAAATAATTGTATTTTTAAGCTATAAGCTTTTTAGTTTAATTTTTGGACGGAATCTCATTTTATTTTTATCTCTAGATACGTGAAATATTGCTGCTCCATAGTGTTGGGTAACGTAGAAATCTTGTATTTTGACGTTAAAAAACACAGTAAGAAAATTGCATTATTTTTGCTGTTGACTTAAACTAAATTGCTGAAAGAGTACAAGTGATAATGAAGTATTGGACGCTCAAGCCTGACAAAAAGGGACACGGCAATCTAGAACAGATTTGCTGACCAAATTTTGTTCCGTTTCCAATCTCTTCAGAATCATTTTAATTGATTTAGTTTCAGATGTTTCTCATATCACTGATAAAATAAGACTTCGATTGGTTCATGCCTCGCGGGGTTTTGTTCAAGATTCTGGGGGGTTCTCGAAGCATATTTATTCCCTGTTGTTTATGTAGAAATGTCCGCTGAAGCTTTTGTTCGCTTTTGCCTCCTTTTGTCCAATCCATGCTGATTTTATTTCCTACGGGATGTCAATGCTGCAACCCAAGGGAGATTGGTTTTTGAACGAATCCAGCCTCTCGGGAAATCATAGTATCAGACTGACATGGCTGAGGGGCGCTGTCCAAGTTAAACGATAACGATTCTGCAGTGTGTCATGCCAGATGTTCCACCCAACTTTGAATTTTCAACCGATTTACTTTCTTGTCCATGTCAATTTGATCCAAACATGCAGAATGGAAGCTCACTATGTAAGTACAGTTTGCGGTTTCAGCCCTTGGATAATCCGTTTTTTGTCTACCATTGCAATCTTTTATTATTTGGGTTTGTCCTAAAGGCTGTTTGATGTTTTTGTAAGTCAACATAAAGCGAAGATCCTGTCTTGAAGTTTAAGTCACATTGCAACTCAATCATATAGAATCTTACCCTGGGTACCAGATTTTATATAGTGAGGCTGGTACCCAGTGTAATAGAATCTTGGCATTCTTCACAACGAATCGATTGCAAAAGCCACTGCGATGGCAAGCCTACTTCTTTAAAAAAAGGTTTTATATTGAACAAATTCTCTCGCACTAATCGAATTATCTATGTTGCTATACTTTCAAATTTCGCCGCGAAATATTCGTTTCACAAAAAGTGGATCACAGTATTGCTCTGTCGCGAACAAATGGCAGGGTTGTTTCAGCTTGGCTCAGGGAACGCCAGAAACTACAGGCAGTCAATGTTTTTCAGATTTTTGGGCCAAATCTTTGCGAATTTGTTAGCAGGGGATACTCTTTATTTCGGATTGCACCAATTAAATTGAACTTCAATTTCGTTAGAGTAATTTACTGAAGATTCGTAACTAAAGCGAGAAATATTTCTCCAAATTAAAGCAATGGGACTGCGTATAATTAGGGATACATAATCGCCTGGTCAATTACTGTTGTTGAATAAATTATAAAATTAAAAATTGCAAATGTCTGCAGAGTCTTTCAATAAATGCATGTGATTGACCTTATTTGGGTTACTCATAACACGAAAGATGGCCAGAAAGCACTGTTGTTTATATGAAGGTCCAATTTCGCCAGTGATAACGCTATTTCATATGCCTTTTGCAAGAAAAATATGCTACGTTCTTGGACATATATACCTAATAAGAAACGTTAATCATTGATGCTATGTCCAAAATATGTTACAAGTCTAAAAAAATATGTTATACGTCTTAAAACACTGTATATACCAACGAGCAGCGTTAGCCAGAGTTGTAAACCATATATATCATAGCTTGTTCTGATAGAAAAGTAGCATAGCTTCCCTTTTTGAGAATAGTTGCAATGGTTTAGGCGTAAAATTTTAAAAAGTATAACGCAAAATTAGAATCTTAAGTTATTTTTTTGGAACTATAAAATACTTAGTGTTTTTTAATAACATTTCTGTTTTAAACATGTAAATATCAAAAGTTGCATGCTTGTAAAATTTTTATATTTATGTACTTTTATGTATTATTTATGTACAAGTCTTTTAAAGTACATACAACTTCATAAGGTATCACCATTGCTATCGTTCAGGCCTCTTGAGGTCGATGGCCTCCATAAAGTACTTCATTTCGTTCATAATTGTGCTACTGATATAGGCATTTTTCTGCCGTTCGTTTTTTCGTCTCTTTTTAAGTCTTTTGCATCCTCTTTCCATGGAAATTGGTATCCACTCAATGATCTTCTAGTCCACTTTCTTGGTTACATGCTGCCGACATGGCTTGCTTAGCCACTTGAGTTTTTAACAACGTCAACGGCTTATCTTATATTTTAGTTTGTCCAATGGCCTAGGCATGTGATGTTGAGCATTGCTCCTTCCATGCTTCTTTGTGCCACTGCCAATTTATGCTAGTATCCAATTTATGTAATTGCTGGTAGTACTTCTCCGTCCATTATCATTTACTTCAAATTTGAAGATTTGATTTTTCCTAATTAAATCACCCTATTGCACAAATCTTTGCCATCCTGCAGTTATTATTATTCTGTCATTTGTTTCATTTTATCATATTATCAGCTGACCCAGGTAAACATTTAAATTAACTTCTTCTGTTGCCTCGCTCTCTATTTAGACCAAGAATAACGAACTGCGCATGCCCAAGTAACATAAGCAAATATCCAAAAAGCAATAGTGATATCTACATATGACTATAAATCTCTTTTGTATTCACTCGAGCGTTGTGTATTGCGAGTCCAGTTAATTTAGCTTCGCCTAATCAAAAGTAAATTAGGATATTGTACTAACATCTAGTATGGTACTAACATTAATGAAGCACAACATCACTTTTTGTTTGGTTGGGTAGTAAAGCGCTGCAAGTGTAACGTATTATAACGCCAAAATACCCGAAAAGCACCACGGTGTTATGCCGCGCTACCCCTCCACTACATCAATTGTTCTGAAGCTCATTACTCGCAATAAATTAGCAATGTATTGAGCGGTTTGCCATATTTTTTGCGCATGTCAACTACATGGTATAGAAGCTCGTGGTTAATGAGCACAAGTGGTTCAAATAAGCCCAGACTTTGGTTTGCAAATGAAGACGCTTGTTGTTCGCAGAAATTGCAAAACAGGCAAATAAAGTTTGAACAATGCTTGTGTTTATTACAAATTTATTAAATATGTACGTTGCGTGTGTGTGGTACTTCATCCAGAATAACGATCCAGAAAGGATTTCTAGCCACTTGATAACGAGTACATGCTCGAAACGTCATGTTTTTAACAAGTAAACTATTATACTTTCATTCTGGTACTAAATTTATTTGCTAACTATATCATCGCTATAAATTTATTATCTGTTTATTTTAATAACGTATTTGGTCATTTTACCTATTTCTCAACCCCAGTTTTTCATGTACGCAATAAAATGACTGGCAATGTGATGACAACTTAGTAGAGGGTAGAAATAAAGGAAGAGAGTTATTGCTAATTCAAAAACTTGATGAAGGGGAGTCGACATTCAACTTTTGATCGAAGCTTTTCTTCGATGAAACGAGGGTTTTAATATAAGAAGCGGACCGTCTTCAAAATCGTTCTTTACTTTTTAATCTCTAGTTTAGGTGCCAATTACTTTCGTGTTGGGTAATAGTTTCAAATTCTCTACAATAAAGATCAAAACTTCATAAGCTACTTTTAGCGAGCTTTTTTCAAAGAGTTTCAGAGTCCACGCCACCGGTGGCCATGCCCCCCCCCCCACTTTTTTGTGAAGCAGGTAATTTCAAAGCTACAATCAAAGGTGAAAGTAGCCTTGCCCCCAACTTTCATTAGCCTTGGTCGCCCCACTTTCAAATTCGCTGAGTTTAGATAATTTCATAGAGAAAAATATGTTGCTTTTGACAAAGATTCTTTAGTAAAGAAAGTGAAGTACATTTCTAATAATAACATAAAGGTTTTTAATTATAAATCAAGGAGTTTTTGCCTTTCAAAATTGGTTGTACTATTTACATCATGTTATTATAAGAAACTCACCAGACGGTTTTTGAAAATCAATCCCTTTTATAGGAAACCTTGCAGCCTGAAATAAACAAATGATTTTTTATATGCAAAGAAAGGCGTTTAATAACCAAATTTGCAAAAGCTACAGTCTGAGAGATTATTAAAAAAATAGATTTTTTCACATAAGGTTAACAAGGTAGCGTCTCCAGTTAAAATCTCCTAAGGAATCTACTTCTACTAGGCGCAAGCGATCTCTTATAGTAAATGAATGGTAATGGTTAGGCAACAATGCGTTTTTCAAGGCAGAAACTTCTGTCATTTAAGCAGAGAAATGTGCTCGCTGTGAAATACAACAAAGCGTTTGCCTAAATGTTAAGAACATTATCAGGCGTAACAGGACAGGTACAGTTTAGTCCATCTACCATTTTTTTTGAGTGCGTTACAATAACATTGATGACGCACCAACTATGTTCATAGAGTAGGCTATGAGTTGGAACTAAAGAGAAAAACTTTAAAAATTAGTAGTCAAGAAGCAAATATCGTTTTTAATAAGTTAAAATCCAATAATTTATGAATAAAATTAAAGAGACCAATGCAGAAAGTTTCTTTATCTTTTTAGAGATGATACCAAAAAATTTCCTAATAAATTAATTCTGTATCAAATGCAGTCCTAATTTAATTTAAGATATTAGTGCAGTGTCAAGCGAAATATTGTGTAGTGATGACATATTATCTTAACAGTCAAAACAAAATAACAAACTACATTAAAATTATCAAGAACTAGTGACAATTTATTTATTAGATACATGTACTCGTCAAACGAGTACATACAGTATTTGTATCTAATAAAAACAGTACTTCGCTGTTCACCTTCGGCATCTCTTCAATCTTGATCTTGTGAACTTTTAAAAACCACTTCTAAAACCGCTCTTGTTTATTTGCTCTCGTTTATTTGAACTTTTTATCAATAAGTAATCAAGTTCTGACCATGGATCATGCAAGCGTAAGAAAGCCATGTTCATATTCAGCATCCAAAATAAGTTACAAAGTATTGTTATTTTTTGGAGGCTGTTCCTTAAACGTGACTTCAAGTTGTTATATGGCGAGAATAACCGCTCACAATTAGCAGAATGGGGCTTGGATGCCAAATATGTCCTATGACTTGTATTGTATTGTTTGCTAAAAGTAGTTTAGGACACTGAGAAGCTATGCGACTATCCTCACTCTGAGAGAAAGTTTGGTCGTATCAAAAACCTTGAGTTTGTAGTCAGCGACCCTAACCACTGAGCCATCTTCGCACTTATGACTGTCCTATGAGCTATTTCTTGGTAATTTTCTTTCCCTCCTGGTGTGCATTAATGTTTAAGCATGTCCTTGATGTTCATTTTTCTGATACATGTTACTATGCCTAATACCATCATATTGATTACTGATCAGTAACAGCTGGATCAGTAATCAATATGATAGATTACTGCTGGATCAAAATCACGTTCAATACAAGCATTAAAATCTCTCATTTCTTTCATTGTCAGTAAACCTGACGAATTTTCCAAAACTTTCATTCAAAAAATCAAAGTAAAGTTGAAGTCTTCTTTACTAGCTAAGAAAATGTTTAGACGTTCCAAAACTTCTACTCGAAATCGCCTCGAAGTTTCTTCCTTCAGTAACAAATTGATTTCGCCTGTTTCAAATCGTTCTTTTTTCCAGATTTATTTGTAATCAACTATGATCACGCATGTATTTTGGGAGTGTGAAAAATTGATGTTATTGATAAATATAGGTGCAGAAAATGCGCAACAAAGAATTTTTTAAATTGCTGAAATTTCCCAGAAATAAAGCGCTCTATTGAGAAAAGTTTTTGACAATAATAATTTCATTGCTACCCCCATGACCATGTCTTAATTGTTGAAACCATTTCCATGAGTGAATTAGTTTATTCATCCTGTGCCATCCTTTTGCGTATACTTTGGTATGGCAATGACTTTAAAAGTGAACAAAAGACTTTTTGGCATCAAAATTCTAAAACTTGTGGACGATTAAACGTTCAGCCAAAATTGTTCCATGATTTCAATTGTCAAAGTTCTGTTTTTGCATGAAATTTGTTACCCCCCAATATGTTCAGTACCTAGAACATAGAAAAATGCAAGGATCTTACAGAAAACAAAAATCTGAGTAGGTGTAGGAAGTTTTATTGAAATTCTCAGACTCAATGCACTACAAGTTTTTAAGCGTCTTTAGGTCTCTCATAACAGCTGTCTTGAAACTTTGTTGCTGTGTTTGTTTGTAGTAGTTTCTGTGATTTTATTAGCCTACTGGTTTTTACTGAGGTCGAGATTATGACACAGTTTCAAATATGCTTATGAATGCAACCTTTCTTCATGTCTCACTTTTTGGCACAATAATGCTTAATCTGTTTCAAACTTTTTGATGCTCTGAATTTCCTGAAGTTTTCCTTACTTGTCTTCGTTGCAAGTTGCTCTTTTTTGGGTTTGTCCATAACCCCTTAGTACACTATCCTTATTGATAGCAGTACTTCATTGTACTGCAAAGGCTGATCCTGTACAGATATGTATTATTATGTTTGCTATTATCATATTATATAGTTATCTAAAGTTGTTCATGATTGATTAACATTAAATTGCAGTTAGTTTTACATACATTTTGTTTTCATGCTGAAACTATATGTCCAAGATTTCTGCTCTAAACTCTGAAAAACTAGTGCCATGGAGCTTCGTTTTTTATGCTAAATTGAGTTTACATCATGTACTCCATGTAAAAAAGGAATACTTTTTAAAGATATAAATAAATACCACTATTTGTGACTTAACTATCATCTTTCAATTTTCTAAAACATCATCTATAGAGATGAAGCCTCTTTAACGAGTACACAGAACAAAAAACATTTTTTGTTTAGGAATCCCAATAAGAATGAAATTATCTACAGATGAATGTTAGCCAAAGATTCATTAATTGTTCATATACTGGAATGCCACAATTTCTCAAGTTGCTTCTGGTTGTGATTTTGAATTTCTACCAAGCATCTGTGGGGAAAAAATTATTTCTGTGAAACATACTGCTGAAAATTCTACATATCAATAGGATTAATAATTGCTATCTCTTGATAACTGAAACAATATTACAACTGGTAATTTATCTGCCATTTTGGCAAACATCAAAATATGTCATAGATATGATGAAGTAGAATTTATTCTAGAGTAGAATTATAAGTAGCTTTCAGAGAATCCTAAGCATGCGATACCTCAATTTACCTGATAGTTGTTGCAACTTTTTCAGGTCAGTGGTTGCACTTGTTGCAAATTATACCAAAAAATCATCATATCAAAACGTTTATTTAGCAATTGTGGCAATCACAGTATTTACTAGAATCACAGGAGACTTTCTTAAGACTAATTTTACAGTGATATGAATAATGGGAAACTCTGAACAAATGCTTTGAAAAACAATATTACAGCATTAAATAATTTAGCAAAAAATATTGGTAAGGATTGGTAAGAATATTGGTAAGGATGATATTCAATGTCAGTAATTTGACAAATTAACATACCTGACTTAGTAATTGCCTGCCAAGGAAGGATGAGGCATTTCCTGCAAGGTCTTTAACTTGCTTTTTTGCATCTTTCTTACATTTAATATATCCAATAAGATTTGCAGAGTTCAATGTTAAACCAACAAGTACAATAAGCTAAAAAAAGAGAAGCCTTATTGATGATGATTATCCAAATATCCAGAATAATCAAATCTAGAACTGTTCAAAGACAAATTGTCCACAAGAGTAGGAAAGAGGGGTTTGTTAACAATCTCGAAACTTGTAGTCACATAAGTGCATTTGCTTGAAATTCCATTTGGCAAAATCTTTTTACCACCAATTAACATTTAAATTTACATCAACAAAAGAATTCAATAGCTAGCCTAATTTATCAGCAACCTGGTCTGATTTGAAAAAAATCATACAGTCAAAACTAGCCAATATTAACAAAATGCCATGTAAACACTTACCAGCCACTTTATTTTCAAGGAAAAAATTGCAGCAACAAGGAGAAAAGCCCAAATAATAGGGCAGATAATTAGTCCAAGCCAAAATAATCTTGATTCTGTAGCATTCAATTTCTTTCCACTTTTTTTCTTGAAGAAGGAAAAAGATGAAACAGCATAAAAACACCAACACAAAATAGGATGCATCATTTCTTATGCTTCCTGGGGTCAATTCATCATCTCTTTAAGTGCCTGGCTTCCCTAAACAATGATTTATAAATGAGTTAATATTCATAAAAAATCTCATGTAAAATTATATCATCATCATCAGGTACCATCTTTTATCAGAAGGTTGGCTACCATGACCCTCCAACTATCCCAAAATCTGAGTTTTGGTTTATTATCATGGTCATAGATAAAACTTAGGGGCTAATAGTAGAGATGGCCCCCCAGAACCACCTCTACAGTGTCTTTAAAGGGACACCATCCCTCTTTCCAGGAGTTCTTCCGCCCGAAGCTGTTGACCCCTGGAGTCCCCCCTCCTTGCCGGTCTCCCGCCGAGTTAGCCATTGGCCATTGCTCATAGCCCTGAGCTAGGACACCCTGCCAGGTGGTACCAGTCGGTACTAGTGGAGGGAAGGGACGCTTTAATTCCCCATTCATGTCCTGTCGGAGCATGCCACTGCCCTATAAAATTATATACCAAGCCTATAAATCCAACATTTCTTTGATTGTTATCAATATTAAGCAACAAGCATTAGAGAATTAATCACAAAAGACAGACAAGTTTCCATATTTTATGAGCATGCTCCTTAATTTGAAATGTTGAATTTCTATATAAGAACTTCTGTAGAGAACAGGATGGTTCTTTGTTGCTGCTTTGAGTCTCAAGCTTAATTGGGTCATCAGGCAACACTTTTACCTGCTTTTGCTTTTATGACAGTTTACATTACACAGTTGTGTAATTCTATTAATGTCTTTCGTCTTAAACTCAAAACCTACTTTTTTGATAAGAATTATTAAAAATGTATTACAGACAGCTCACAATTTACCCATAGTTTCTAAAAAAATTACATGAAAAGGGTGTGCTCTCTCCTCGATTAGCTTTGCTATTGAGAGAGTTCCTCCTTAAGAATTCCCCTTCATACAAATCCTCTAGTGTTGTGTATCTTTCTTATATTTTGTGTGTGTATTGTCTTATGTAGTTAATCAAATTGTTGAACTGAAACTGAACTGAATATTAACAATTGTTGCTAAAAATTGCTTTTTAACAATAAAATATTTGTAGCATACCTTTCTAGATTCAAATATCCATTTACTATTTCCGTCTTCATCAACATAATTCCACCATCTCAAGCCAACCAGAATTCTTCCAGTTATATTTTTTACAGTCCAAAAGTCAAATGAAAGCAAAAGGACAATAATTACAAAACTTGTGATGAAACTGTCACTGAAAAGTCCACAAATCAAGTATGCAACTATTGCCAAAACTCTAAACAGCAGATGAAAAAAGGCAGCAATGGGGTGCCTAAAGAAAAAAGATATTTGCAACTCATCAAAAAAATTGAAAATGCTTGTTAAAATCTTGAAATGAAAATAAAGGTATCAGAAACAGTATTGCACAAAACTTATCAAATGCAACTTTGCAGACATAATGTCAAGTGAAAAGGAATCTATTCCAAGAACAAAGTTCAAATTGAGTTAATCACACATCCTGTTTTCTTATATTCATCAAAAATCATCCTATAAGTCAATAGCAAGCATTTGCTAAATGATACAATGAAAACCATTTGACTGAATTTTCACAGATTTTAAAACAAGGAACAAGCGGAAGAACCCAGTAACAGGGGGAACAACCCAATAACAATCCAGTAACATGCAGAACAACCCAGTAACAACCTAGAAACAAATAGAACAATCCATTAACAAATGGAAATGTGAATCAATTGTTTCATAAATAACACATACACTATGATAAGACCTTCAATCATATCTTCCTCCTTTTTTGACATCAAATTCAAATAGATTTTCCTGAGATAAAGTCCTCAGGTTTCGGAAGTTTTAGGGGCCCTGAGGGGGGCCTTTGGGGCAATGCCAAAAGACCTCCAAAAGGCCTCCAAAACTTTTAGTGACTGTGCCCTTCAGAGAAGCTGAAAATGCATTTCAGAACATTTCTTCAAGTCATTTCTTGCAATCAGGTTGCGTATTGAAATTGAATTATAAGAAATTTCTAGACGATTGCAATTAAAAATAAATCACTATATAGCAAAGAATTAAATCAGTTATGAGTTATTAAATTATTCTGAATTTTTTGTCCTCTTGTGTTGAACATGGGCTCCGACACAGGTTGGAAAATAGGGGAGGGGTGTACAAGGGAAAATTTAACACCCATAACAAAATATTTTGAAAACAGGTTTTTTGTCCTGCAAAAAAGTGAGTGCCATGGTCCTCCTGCCCCCTTCGTAGGAGGCCCTGTAATGAAGGACTGCCTTAGGAATGTTGCAAGGGTCTGAGTAAATTTGTTGTCTTTTTAGGTTATGAGCCAAACAAACATGCTGTTGTAATTTGCAAGTAGAAGTTAACACTCTTTTTTGTAAGAACCAGTAACTTTAGGCTGGATTGTTCTTAATTTGTTCATAAATCAATAGGGTGTAGGCAAGGACTGTGGAGCATATTGCAGATTGAGGGAGCTGTAACATTTTTGGGGGGCTAAACATGCTAAAAACAAAAAGCAGGATAATTTTTTGCATGGCTTTAAGTATATTTTAGAGATTTTTTGGGGGTGTAAAGCTCCAATGCCCCCCTCCTTGCTTCCAAGGTCCCTGGGTGTAAGTGGTGCGACTCCTGCTTTTTTGCTCTGGGGAGGTGTATGGGCCTCATTTGCCAACAAAGTGAGTAAACAACCTTGATTTGCTAACAAATTTGAATACTCACCGAAAAGCAATCACATTTGGCTAAAAATTACTTGTTTTTGAGATGACACGTTGGTCAAAAATATGTCTTTTTTTACAGTAGCTCAGCCTCAACTTGTTCTTAATTTGCTCGTTGCTTTTGACCAAATTTGACGCTCCTGTTCTTATCAAATTGTTCTTATAAAAAGAGAGTGTATAATACACTTGTCCATCACCCCTATCGCACAAGTTAGTAAGGTTGTATGAAAAAGAAGGAAAATGGCTGCCAGCTACCAAAAAAGACATCACAAACCTGATGGACGGCCTTTTCACAGTGTATGTGCTTGGATTACAAATGTCCCAGGTGTTATTTACCAAACAATTAATTGAATAACTTATCTCTAAACAAATCTAAATTTAAAGAAAGTACCTGAAAACATTAGTCGAGCTTGGCCTGTCACAATAAAAATTAAGTTCAGCATCTTGAAGAAGGAATATTAAAAAAATTGTTTTCTTATTTCACTATTTTCTTGGCCTGGTACCTGAATTTTGACTTCTTCTCCATAGAAGCATCATCTTCAAAGTTAAGAGAAACATCTTCTGTATCATCCAAATTGGCCTGTCGCAAAATCACAAACGAAAATTTGAAGCTACTTTTACTGGTCAAGGTATAAAAATAAAATGGTATAGAGTTCTCATATTTTGTTTTGACACTCACTATGTTGCCAGCTCCTGACCTCCTTTGGAAATAAAATATGCATGCTTGTATGTATGTTCTTAAACGAGAATATGCTGTACAAGAATTTCATAATTTCATTTCATAATTCAGTGTATACATTAGAGGCTTAATAGATGTTGCCTTTATTATTTGCACTCAACCAAGGCAGTAACTCATGATGACGGGCCTAGCCTTTTTAAGCAAAAATACTCAAAATCTTCAACGTTGCGGTCACTTATCCTTTGATTGATTGTTTGATACAAAAAACCAAACCAAACCCTAATCTAATACATAAATCAGCTTACGGCAAGTGGTGCCATTATTGTCGTCCTAGTTCTTTGACGTCCCTTGAGCATCAGCCATCTACTACCACTGTACCTCATCCACCATTTTTTGCTTACGTTTTCAGCTCCTTCGCAGCTTCATGATACGTTTCCAGCTTCTTCCCAGCTTCTTCCCAACAACCTTGTCGGGCCATTTGTTTCCTTCAAACTTCAACCTTTATTCCTTGGAGGAAGATAGAAAACGTTTTATGGAAACAGGAGAACTCCTTCTATAAATTCTGCTGAAATCAAAGAATATGCTTCTATTTTATAATTTCAACATTCTCTTCTCTATGTTATTTCCGCATTTGTGGTTCAACAGCAACATATTTAAACAAAGGGTGGTACACTTTTGGAAAGTTGGTCGGTAAATTTTACGGATAGTCGGTAAATGTTATAGATTGTCGGTAGATGCGTATCTTGACTTTATTTAGTATATTAGCGTGTATACATTGACTAGCAAGAGTTGAATTTTGGTCGGTGAATACCCGTTTACAACCCCCCCCCCCCCACTCCAAATCGTCAAGGTACGCCCATGCACATATTCATTTTTAAGGAAAATATATCACTTCACATTTTGATGAAAACATGTGTTTTTTGGATGGTCCTTAAATGCATTTACCGATCCCATTCTTTTTTAGCTTTTAGAACAAAGAACACTATTTTGCCACAAAGATACTAGAAGAACAGTTCATTAGTGATATTTATCGATATCACAATTGATATGTCTCAACTTAGGCAACTGGTGGCTGTTACAGAAAGTTGAGCAATTACATTTTTGAAAAGTCATTCGAAATATCAACATATTTATAACCTCTTCAACTAACAAAAAACAACAAATAAATATTTGAAGCTTAAAATTTTCTGTTATTTTATCTTTTACTTTTCGTTTCTCTACTTAGTTTTTTATTTCAGTGAGAAATTAATTTTGGAAGCTACTCTTTTTGACAGAATCGATCAAGGCTGAAGGCGACACCCCCTGCAAGTCATTTTTCTTGTGTTCGCCTAAACTGAATATTTTTATTATTTCAAAGGCATACTTTATTAAGTTTGATTTATACAATTCTCAAAATGAAACCTATCACTTTTTGAGTCCCCATTGACCTTGAAGCTCTTGGGCACTTTACCCCCTCTCATGACTATATTTTGCTATAACTGCACCTTAAAATTAGGTATGATATAGAGGCATAAAACTGAGTGTGAGTAAAAGGCACAGAGGGTAATATAATATCGCTAGCACAGAGACATAGAACAGAGCTTTGGTTGGAGCAGAGCCTAGAAAAACTATAAAACATCAAAATAGCAAAGTGAAACAATCTGAATTTTTCAAAGGCAGGGCGTGATTATCAGTGGGTATGGGAACTAGAGTACTTGAGCAACATCCCTCTTACAGCCCTTATAGTTGAAACCATTAGAAGCAAAAATGTTATTCAGCCTGGCAATCTGTTCACCAATGCATTGGCAAATGTTTTGGAAACACAAATATCAATCAGAACCAAATGCGCCAATTATGGAAGTTTATTGGTGTCAAACTGACACAGAGTTATTTAAACAGTCTATTTAAAGTTTTATATGGATGTGAGATAAGGAGTATCTCATCTGCTGTGCAAAAGCATTTGGAGGCAACAGAAATGTGGTTTTTAAGAAAAATGCTGAAGATTTCATGGACTGATAAGATATCAAATGAGCGAGTTTTGGGACATGTTATGCGGAGAAAAGGCATATCGCTAACCGGAAAAGTGGAAGATAAAAGAGCAAGAGGCAGACAGAGAATGACGTATTTGAGCAACATCAAGAAATGGACTAACAGGACAAGTGGAAGTGAACTCATTCAAGCATGTCAAGAAAAAGAAGTTTGGAGGAGCACGGTCGCCAGTGCCTTAGCGCATGACACATAAAGAAGAAAGAGAGAAGAAGATTCAAAGTTATGAGAAATTCAGAGAAGAGGATCCTGATTCCTGCAAGGTTCTTAATGTTTCTACTCCCTAGCATTGATTTAGGAATATCTCCCAGACGCTGGTTCTAACTTAAGTAATTTCTTCCCAAAAATATCTCTTGATAGTACCCAGAAACACACTTAAATTGTGTGGGTTGCACACCTACATTTCCCTGTCTAAAATTTTATTAGGCATATTCCAAACTAAACTTCAAGCTGATTAGGTAATTTTTGCAGGTTAATATGGGTAAAATATATGGTATAATATAATATGTAGAGAATATCTCTGCTTGTTAACGCAGGTTCAATAAATGATTAGAGTAAACTCTTAGAGAAAGACAATCTTGGATCACAAGATCAGTGAAAGCGTCATTTTTGGGGAGTAGTATTGGATACTTGCTTCTGTAATCCAAATCAGAGTTACCTAATCTCCCTTTACAAATTAAGAGCCCATCTTCACTTACGACACCTAGCTGCACTGACAACTTTTTGAAATCTTCCCCCATCTTCAAAGATTGTTGAGTGTCTTCAATCCACGTTCTTTCTGCTCTTTCTATTTCCTCCACAGTTAAGGGTCCTTTTTTAGGTTTGCTTCCTGTTCTATGACACCTTAATATCTCTATAAACCTCTGGACAAAGGCAGTGACCCGGAGCAACTTACCTAGACTTCTATGCCTGTCTACCTTAACAACCTCACTCACTCCTTGCCTCATTTCTGTGAGCATTAGCACATTTGCGTTCTTCTTTCTTTCTTCCTTTACATCAGGCGAATCTTCTAAAGTGAACACATTAGGCCAGCTGTTTTGTCCTTCCTTCAACCAATGAGGTCCTTGCCACCATAATGTGCTCTCCTTCAAGTGGCTTGCTGTAACCCCCCTAGAACCTAGATCTGCTGGGTTGTCGATGCCTGATACATGACCCCAGTCTTCCTTGGTGGTTAAGCGCAAAATTTCATTGACACGATGCTGGACAAATTGCTTCCACTCTCCATTGTTATTGATCCAATAGAGAGCGGTTTTACTGTCCAGCCAATACTTAATGCAATCAAATTTAAACTGTGGACCGAAGGTTTGAATAATGGTGTTCATCAGTGTAGCTAGTACCCTTGCAGACATTAGTTCTAGCCGGGGTATTGTTAATTCCTTCAAAGGGGCAACTCTTGTCTTAGCACTCAGCAGCCTAGTAAAGGTTCCCTCAGTGGTTTCTTCTACAAGGTAAACCATCCCACAATATGCTTTTTTGCTGGCATCAGCAAATCCGTGCAACTGCCGACTCAATATCTTCCCTTTGTTTTTAGAAACAACACACCTAGGAAGGCAAATTGTACCCGTCTGTTTTAAATCCTTAACCCATTCTTCCCATCTTGCAAGCTTATCCTTAGGAAGTGGATCGTCCCAGCTAATTTTTCCTAAGCACAACTCCTGAAACAAGATTTTTGCTGACACTGCTATAGGGCTAACAAGCCCATGGGGGTCAAATATAGAAGCTAAGGCGCTTAAGATACCTCTTTTAGTGGGTTTGGCTGTTTCACCTATTACCTCGCCTCTGTTCCCCAGATTAAACTCCCAGGTATCTCTTGTGTTGTCCCACGTTATGCCCAAAACCTTAGTCTTCTGCCCCATACTGTCTGGCATGCCTAGAGTCTCCTTAGCAAATGATGTGTCTTCATGCTTAGAGGCTTTTTCCTCTTTCACTCCATTTATTTCCATCTTTGCTATCTCCCCTGCTAACTCTTTGTCATTAGTCTTCTATTTCCGCAAATTAAATCCTGCCTCGCCCATCCTACTTTTAGCCTTTTTATAAAGGGTTAAAGCTTCCTGTGTATCTTCACAACCTACCACTAAATCGTCAACAAAGAACCCTCCTATCATCTTTTCCACAAATTCAGGATCCTCATTTTCATATTTCATAATGTGGTGTCTCAAAACACAGTTTAGGAGGAAAGGGGATGAGTTACACCCAAATACCACTCTGTTGAACCGGTAGATTACTACTCCAGGGTTCTTGGCATGAATATCACTTAGCCACAAAAATCTTAGAGAGTCTCTGTCCTTGGGATGTATTTCGATGTTTAAAAAGGCCTTTTCAATATCCCCAACAAGAGCTACAGGGTAGATTCTAAACCTGAGAAGCACATCAAAGATTAAAGGGGTCAGAGAGGGTCCTTTATGCAAACAGTCGTTCAATGACACCCCAGATTTACGATCCTTGCTAGAAGCATCATACACTACCCTAACCTTGGTGGTTTCTACATTCTCTCTCACTACTGCTCTGTGAGGGAGATAGTGTACCTTACCTACAGGTTCAAGATCTGTGACCTTCTCTATTACTTCCTCTGCAGCCTGCTGGGAAATAATGTCATTATACTGTTCATAAATTTTTGGGTTCTGCTCTAGTTTCCTGACAAGACCCTTCAAACGATGCAAGCTAACATTATAATTTGAAGCTAGGGGCTTGTGTCCAGATTTCCAGGGAAGCCCAACAGAATATCTGTTACCCACAAACGCAATATTATCAAGTACATTTTCATGCACCTTATCTTTTTCACGACTTCCAAGGCTATCAAGGTCCCAAAGCCTTTGTATCTGATTATCTAAATCATGTTTTTCACCTGCAACTAAAGGAGGTATAGAATCGATGCAAAAATTCACATTACAGTCAATAGAATCAAGTTTCTCACCTTTAACCGGTCCTGACAAAACCCAGCCCAAGCTGGTCTTGACCGCCACAGGTTCGTCTGGCCCCCCTCGTATTGTTTCCCCCAATTGGAATTGCCATAGCCAGTCCGATCCAATTAGGCAATCAACTTCCAAGCTGTCTTTGGATTTGCAAAGATCTGAGAATGACAACTTTGTTAAGTGTGCAAATTTTTTTTGAACTACCTCTATATGAACATTAGGAATATCAGCAATATCCTTAACTACAAAGGCTTCTATTTTTACACTCTCTCCTCCATTGCATGGACTTAGCGAAATTTGCACTACATCTCGCAAAGCAACATGTGCCTCCTTACTCCCAAACGCCTTTATTCCTAGCTGTTCACTCCTCACAGGCCTTAATCTGAGTCTGCCAACAGCCTTAGCCGTGATGAAAGATTTATGGCTTCCTGTATCAAATAAAACTCTCACTCTATCCTTGCCATTCACCAGAGCTAAGGCTGTCTGCAGGGCCACATTCCCTTCAGAGCCAGTGCTACCTACCCAAGCCGATGCGGTGGGGTCAAGCTGAGGTGCAGTAGGCTTAGGCTGCGCTTCCTTACTTCGGGCAAGATTAGGACAAATGGCGCAGTGATGATTTCCCTTACAATTACTACAATCTACCTTAAGACGACATTTAAAAGATCTATGGCCTGGTTTTAAGCAACTAAAACACCTAGCATTCTTAATTAAAATTGTCTTACGCTCGTCCGGATCCTTCACTTTTTCACACTTCTCGGATGCGTGATTTTCTTTGCAGAATGCACACTTCATCTTAGCATCTCTTGTAGTAAGCAAGGAAGAGGCCGTTGGAGGTCTATCCTGCTGCCTTGGCCTGTTGAAATGCTGCTCTTGTCTTCTGTCTCCTTGCTGGGCTCGCTGCATGATGGGAAAATGTCCCTCCAGAACCTCTAGCTCCTTCTGAAAAGCTTCCAACATGTCGTCCAAGTTCCAGTCCATATGGTTCTTTCCAAATCGAATCATATTGATTCTCACGGACTCTGGAAGTTTCCCCATTAGAACAGGAACAACAACACTTGAGTAGGTCTCTTTGCTTACACCTAGAGCCTCCATTGCGCGAAAGCGTGTCTCGATCTGATCATGCAAACAACGCAATCTCTGCAAACACTTCTCATTGTAGACTGGAGCCATATTGATAAGGTCATTGATGTGGGCTCGTTTTATAACGCTAGGCTTCGCATATCTGCTTTTCAACAGTTCAATGGCAGACTCATAATCGGCGTCTGTAAGTGCGAATCCCGTCACGACGCTTCGTGCCGGTGTAATATGCGTTTTGGTACCCTATGCAAAAGTGTAACATTGTGAAACGCAATGTGTTTCAAATCAAGTGATTTCATCGTAGTGCGATATTATGACAAATTATAATTAATAAATAGAACACAATGCTTTTTTTTGTTAAAAATTTCACACTTTTTAATCAAGAAAACTTTGGAGTCGCCATTAATGTTGTACTTTTTTGCATAAACTTAACAAGGGAAATCACAGCACCGCTTCTTGTTAGTACCTCCTTGTTAGAAATAGTTCGATTGTTCTTTACATTCTGAACATTATGAATCAGAACATTTGTGTTCCCAGACCAGGTCGCATGCTAAATTCCACCATTTGTTTCAGTTCCCTGTCTTTTAAAAGTTTGGGTACGTTTTTGTATAAGCAAAATTGTTATGCGTTTCTGTACCAGGACCGTTTTGCATGCTAAATTCCACCATTCGTTTTGGTACCCTATTGTTTAAGTGCTTGGGTACGATTTTGCATAACCAAAATTGCCATGCGTTTGAGTACCCGGACCGAAATGCATAAGGTTACCGAAACGCATATGACACCGGCTCTTCTAGATAACTTCTTAAATATTTAAATTTGTCTACCTTGGCAAGTTGGCTGTCATCGTGTACCGCACTCTTGAACCCGTCCCAGAACTCTGGCCATTCTGCGATCTTTCCAGAAAACTTTTTCAATTCCAGCTTTGGGAGTTTTACTTTTCTACTGCAGATATCTCCTGTATTGACTGAGGATGTCATTGAATTTAGGCTCTCTCTGGAACCAATCCTTGCCAAATTTCCCGAGGGCTCTGGTTGCAAATTTGTCCCGGATTCCGATCTTAATGACTGTATATCCATTTCCTTCAAGGCATTTTCAAGCGAAATTAAGCTTTTCGAGCTTCTTCTGCTTCTTTATCACAGGCATCGTCGTCTGCTTCTTCGATCATCAATTCAAAAATTTCACCATCTAACGCTTTTAAAACTTCTGCTTTGTCTTTTAGATCTGCTAGTAACTGTTGTAAACGTAGCTGATCTTTTTCCTCTTTAGCGAGAGCATCTTCCACTTTATTCAGGAGCTTTGTCGTAGTTCCGCGATGAGATTTCCTCTTCTTTTTTGTCTTCTCCAAATTATCCATTTTCGGTTCCCAAATTCTTTTACTCTATTTCATTTATCCGGCTCGGTGGACCATTAAATGTCGGGGAATCCCCATCGCGCTTTCTTCGGTATTCTAGTAAATTCTTGACCTATTATTCTTAAATCAACACGTTTATTTTTTATTGTGTATGCTTGTGTTACATAACTACGGAACTATGCAATTTACGTAAAAGCCTCACTTTGAGGCCGAGACAGTAGATTAAGGATCCAGCCAGAATTTTCTGGAAGTAAGCTATTGTAATAGGATTAACTACGTCAATCGTATTCCTAATTTTTATTGGCTTGAATAGTAGTTAAAATTGATTGTGATTGGCTAAGATAAATTTTAGTTACTTGTTTGCTTCTATAAAAGTTGGAAATTGAATCGAGCGCTAAGGATTCGTAGAGAGAGATTTTTCACGATGTACGTTGAGTTGTGTTGAGCAGAAAAATTCAGAAAACATAAAGATTGTCTTTCTCTAAGAGTTTACTCTAATCATTTATTGAACCTGCGTTAACAAGCAGAGATATTCTCTACATAATATATTCTGCATGCAAACTAAATCTCTATGATTTTCAATGTGGTTGGATGCTTCAGTTGGGCTTCCTAGTCGACAGATTATGGTTGGGGTGAATGAGGATTCTATTGTCAGAGTGAAAAAGAGCTTTACGCTTAGAGCGTCGTGTGCAGTGACTGAGAAGACGACCTTGTAGATCTTTGAAACGATTAAACTACGTTTAGATGATCCGGTTGTTTTTTCATAGTGTCATTTATCAGTTAGTAATTAATAGCGCTGCATAGTTCCTTCGAACGAAAATCAAAAAATTAATCTTAACAAAAGATGTATCAAGCTTTTTAGATGTCTATTTAAGAATAAAAAATTTAAGATTACGCAATTTTCTCGTGAAAACGAGGCTTTTGGCCCTCCTTAACAGACCATAATTCAATTTTAAGCATTTATGCGCAAGAAATTTGCTTAATCAACTTTAAGACTTTGACTTTTTTCCATTTAAACTGTTTTTTATTGATTACTTTTATATAAACAAAACGAGACTTCAAACACGAAAAAGAGGCCGATGGCCCCCCAAAATCCCCGTATAACATCTATTTTCGAAATCAGCACCCTCGAATTGACCAAAAGCACTTTTGTCCCATAAATTTCGCCCTCGAATGACCATTCCCCTATTCTCCACGTGGTCTATCGTAGCCTGTGTAACAGCCCATCACCCCATAGAAGGAAAGTTCTGATGATTAATGGTCTTATAACAGGCTAAATAGACGATAACTTTTTCATTCTTTTTGATTCATTTCAAAATGAAGTCCTCTATGAACAAATAAGATTTCTGCGAGAAAAAATTATCATCTCCAGACGGGGAACCAAACATGATGAGTTGCATTGAAACATAATAAGTAGTCTGGACCTAGCGGTGTATGACGTAGGACATTAAAAATCCGCCATCTTGACTCTCAGTGTTCCGGCGAAAAGAGCAAGTTAAGTGAAGCGTAGGCTAGTGTAAAACGAAGTCGATTTTTCATGTTATTGAAGCCTTGTAAAACCCCAAATAAGTGAAATAGTGATATTCATTGCTTTAGCCTGTTTTAAAAGCAGCAAGCAAATTGAGATATAAGAATAATGCCAAGAAATGAAGACAGAGTGCGTCGTGATCTGGAGATACTTGGACTAGAATTGTCTGCATCGGAAGGTACGTATGGAAGGCTGTCTGATTTTGGTTCCTATTTGGAGCGCTAAAAAATGTTTGCAAGTTACCTTGGATTTTAGCAGATAATGAATGTACATGGAAGTTGTTGTTGCTTTTTTAGAAGTCCTCGCATTTGTTTTCTTCACTATACGCGAATTATCCGAAGCTTGATAAAAGAAAGTCACGCAATTGATTGTAAATGCGTGCTTTCTTGGAGTAATTTGTTTATGATTGATCACCTGTGTAAGTCCTTTAAGGTTAATTTGGAGGTTTTCCTAGAAGCTTTCCACTAGTGATCCAGTCATTCAAATGAAAAAGTACATTTTACAACAACAATAGGTTTATTTATATAGTTAATGACCCTGTGGCGGTGTTTGTTATATTTCTTTACTCGATGTCGTTCACTTTGCTGGAGATCAAGGAAGTGATTCTGATCAATAGCTTATTTATTCTAAATTAGGAATGCATCTTTCCCATATTGATTATAATGCAAAAGTAATTAAAGTTATATGCTGAAACCCATCAATATTTGTTTGAATTCAGTATTTTTGAAATCTTTATTGAAAGTCTTTATTTTTTGGAAAAGCTCTTTGGAAAAAATTTGTAAGAAGCAAAGAATATTTTTGTTTAGCACAAGTACAATTTATAGGTCAAGTAGATCTACAAAATGGTTCTTGACAAAGGTAGATGTATCAACTGGTGAGAGAAACTTGAACATGAACAGATTCAAAGTTACTAAAATTAGCTTATGGCTTCTAATGCCATCAATTCTTGTTAGTTAAAGCCAAAATTTATGTATATATAAAGATATGTTTCTTGGTCAGGTATTTGTTAATATGTTTTGTGCTTGTAATATTACTGAAAAAGCGCTTTAAACACTATTTTTAATTCTGTTGCAATAAGTATCATCTATGTCATACTTAAAATTGTTTTGCTAACTACATTTGCATCTAAATTGCTGGCTACCCAAGGTCTGGATAAGATGTGTTAAATGTGTAACTGGAGTAAAATGGGTAGCTCTTTCTTTCTTAGATATGCAGTTATTTTTGTTTCCATCTTTGTCAAGTTTATGTCAGTTTCTATATGGGGGCCTAGATTTTAGCATCAAGCTTGTTTTGCCCTCAAATATCATTGTACCAAAAACGGTGCCACCTTTGCTTGGTGGTTTTTCTGTTATTTATTTTTGGCATGATATATATGATATGATGCTTTTATTATCACTGACTCAAATAACTAACAAAAATTGTTTACCTGTTGGGAGTTAAAATTACCATAAAAAACAACCTGCAAGCTGAATTGTCTGTTTCAACATTTTAAGCTTGTACTCTTTGCTGGTAAAATCTTCTGAACTTTTCGAGTTGAAAATTGCCTAATTTTGCTTAAAATTGATGATTTTGCATTTGCAGCTTATATGTAAGATGATTGCACTCAGTGTTTCTGAAAAGAACTTAAGGTCATCTCTAGCTAGACAGTTCCTTAAGTAATGTTACCTTAATTGGTTTTTGAAACCTGTCATAAATAAAACCTATCCAGTTAAAACCTCTACTGAAACATACATCTCAAATGATGTGTCTTTAGTTACCTTTATAGGGATATTTCATTGTTGAACATTCTTTGTTATATATTGATGTAGTTCTTAATTGTATTCAGTAGCTTATTTTATTGCTGTAAATTTTTTTGCAATCAGGTTTATCAAGTTTTGTATTTTTAAAAGATATGTTGTAAGAAACAAATTTGACTTGGATTAAGGGTCATCTCAGCCTAGTTGCTGCTATGTATGGGATTAATACAGCTTTTATTGCCCAAAGAGACATTTGACATACATAATTTCTTTTATATAAACTTTTAAGTAAATGTCAAAATCATTTGTTTTGTGGTCTTGCATTTATAAACAACATTTTGAACAGAAGCATAAGAAATACCTCCATTTTTATCTACTTTTCAAATAATTTACATCTTTAATTCCCTGAAAGACTTACGTAGAACCATTCACAGCTTTGAATGTTCAATTTTCGATGTCTTTCAAAGTTCTGGGACTTAATTCTAGACTGAAAAGAAGTTTATTTCAGTGAAAAATAATCATGTAATGTTATTATTTGCAGATGACAAGAAAAAGGCTTTTATTAAACTAGCATTAAAACTGCATCCAGATAGATTTAGCAAGGTATGTTGTATCCAAAGTCTTGTCTTTATTTCTTCTTTGCCATTTGATCATTAACTACCCTATTACATGTATTATTTTAAACCTTGGCTATATGTATTATTTCAAAATGTTGATAAATTAATTTTTTGAATTTTGCATGAAATGAAGAAAGAGCGTGACAGCTTTTGTAAATCTTCCATTTTATATTTTATACACTTTTTAATATAATACAACTTTAATGTATGTAGATGTTAATTAAGGAGGCATTTATTTCCATTTGGTGTGTAAAGGAGGTTTTCATTATAGAGAAGCTATGCATTTTTCGGTATTTCCTAATTCATTTAACTTTTTGAGAATTTCTTCGATAGAATTCTGCACATTTAGACTTTTTTAGCAAGTATATTTTCCATCTACCCAATTTTTTGTTGAAATGAAGGCAGGAAATTTTTAGATGAAATGTCATATGTTCTTTTTGATGTTTTTATTTAGAGTCCTGATGATTCTATCAAAACGAAATTTCATGAAGTATGTAAAGCCTACAAAAGGTTAACATCAGGCAAGTGTGATTATTATATTTATTGCTTTGCTTTTTTGTGCAGAACAATGGGTTGCCTGAGATGCTGAGAGTCACCTTTTTATATCTTGTTCAGCACCTTTACAACTTGCCTTACTTCTATTTGATGTTATTCAACAAATCAACTGTTTTGCACAATTTTGATTTGATTTGATTTGCCCATCGCTATACAGTATAGCATCAAATGGTTCTGTATATACTTTTTTGACAATATTCACACACAATTTTCTGTATTTTTAACATTTCCTGTATATGCACCACTGTCTACTGTATCTGTTAATAAACCAAATAACATTTGAAAGCATCAATGCAAAAGAGGGTTTATTGCGGTTTGTTGTAATGGTAAGCCAGAAAATTGTCCGAAAGATCAAATCGTAACCTTGATATAATCTCTGCATGATTTCAACTGAAACAGTATTTATATATATTGAAGTAAACTTTTGTCTTTATTTGCAGACCACTGTAATACATCTGACTGGAATGTTGATAAAAGCGATGAGGTTAGCCTTAAAAAATTCTATGATCTCTTTGTTTGTTTTTCAGTATGTATTATGTAATTGTACAATACATGCAATTTTAAACAAACTGTGAAAATATTTCACTTAATCAGTGTATAGAGCAATGTGGTTTATATTAAGTTGATGTATAGACCTAAATATACTGCCACTAATAGTCTAAATACTTTCTATTTTTTAACATATGCCATAGTCTCATTAACTAAAAAAGAAGTCCAGCTGTCACACAGATGTTTTCCAATCTTTCAGATATTCTTCAGTCTGCTAGCAGATTCATTACAACACAACTCAAAAGCAGGTATATATCAGAGATCGAAATTTTCGTTTGTAATCTTGTATTATTTTTCCAGAATCTTCTTTGGATTACATAAGATTTTCAGTCTTATTCCTGTAAACTTAGTTCATTTGTTATGGCCAAATTTAACTATATATATTTTGTATATTTTTCAGCTTTATACGGACTTTTCTCAGAGTTACCAAATCATAAATCACATTTTCAAAATGACAATGAATACAGGTTTGTAAAATAGAATATTTATGATGTATTTTCTTATTTATTGAATGTTTTGAAAATAGTTTTCAAATCATCAATCTTTTTATGTTGAACAAGAGGTTCTTCTTTAATTGATGTGGTTTATAGGGTAGCTTTCCTTGCAAAAATTTCATGAAGCAATGACCAGATTTCATTCAAGTATGTAGAAATTGATTTAAATGGGACCACAGGCCAAGGATTCATGTGCTATGGGTTTTTGGCTATCAAGCCACTTGGAAAGTTGACAAGGTTGATAATTATTAAGGGGAAAAAGCAAAGAACACCATTGACTACCTACTGAGCTCCTAGGAAATTTGTATGACAAAATTCAATAGTTAAGAAAGTCAGTTCTGTTAAGCATTGTTATTTGACTTGATTTATTTGACTATAATAGCATGAACTGAGCTAAATTGAATTACACCCAAGATGGAAACACCAGTATGAATGGGCTCAAGTTCAAGCATTGCTGCTCGCAAGGCCTGTCTATACCTATAGCTGAAGTGTATTATTTTTTGGATCTAAAGCAAAATTTCCTTGCAGATGCAAAGAGGATGCATTAGATGAAGATGAGGATGAAGATACAGAATTCAATAGGCTTATAACTATTCTTATGGTAACTTTTCTTATTTTTATAACTTATATTTTATGTTAATCTTCCTAAAGTTGGTTGATATTGATGTTCAGTGAAAAAGTGTTAAAAGGATTAAGTGTAGCAGTAAGGATCTCCCTCCTTCAAACCTGATGGTCACAAAATAAAAAATGGAATTTCAAATTACATTCATGAAACCTTTTTGTCATGTTTAAATTTAAATTACATTAATGGTAGATTGTTATTTTCCTTGTAAATTGTTTTAAGTGCATTAAGGATTCATGTGATCATGGCATCCATTATTGACCTCAAATTCTCAAGCTTTCTGATTCTTTTGGTGCAGCTATTATAATTGTATTTATCAACCACAGAATCGTCTACAAAATGGAAAATCATTACCTGCTGGGCTAACACAAGATAAGGTATGCACTTTGCAATAAACTTTGATAGATTTTCTCTATCTGATTTTTTTGTCTGATTTTTAGATTATTTGTCTGATATTTTATTAATTTGTGTTTGTATGATTTAGATGATATAAGATTTACAGGCTTGTATTGTACAATAAACAGAGTTGTTAGAATAAGTAGGGGCTCCAAACCTGTGGAACTCTCAAAAAACAGGAAGGACAAACTAAAGAGGAAGCGTCTTAGACAATCTTGTAAAAAGTAAAGCAATGTTTTAATGTTGCAGTTTTTTTGCCCTGTTGGATTCAACTATATAGTTTTAATTATACTCAGAATTTTTATTCAATAACTTGAACCCCCAATCTAATGGGTAATGATCCATCAATTTCAGATTCCAAGGGCTTAGTATAAAAAATTTATAGCATACCCTTTTGTCTATTGGTAGTATACCTTAGTGTATTGTGGTCTAAATATTCAGAACCAGTCACTGAGATGACCTTATACCTAACAGCTAAATTATCGCTCCATCTTTGGGTGTTTTATTATTCTAAATTAATTTTAATTTACTAATGTCAGGAAAAATAGGGTATTCCCATGCTCTTTGTGTATGACATTATCTTATGTTGATGGTCTTCATGTCAAAACTAAGCCCATGAAATATGTAAGGTGTACATGTCTGTTTCATTTGTCTTCAAAAGCTTTGATATTCAGCTAACCTTTGCATTTAGACCTCTTTCTTGGCAATTATAATTGCACTCTCTGTTTGATCTGTGTCTGGTTAGGTTTTGTGAGAGATGTAAATGAGATCCTGTTCTTTTTCTTGTTATTTCACAAAGACTTGGGTAGCCACTACCAGTTATCGTAAAGTAATAGAGTTACACATTTCTAAAGATATTATCCAGTGCCATGCTCATACATGCATGAAAGTACAATTTTTTTAGACAATGTGCACATATTCATTTTTAGTTTTTACTTCTTTTAGATTTCAAAATTAAAAGAGGATTTTATAAAACATAAAGAAGCTACCAAGAAATGTATAGAAGATGAAAAGGTTTGATGATTTCCTTGATTAATTTGAAACAAATCACTGTGGATGTTATTTATCCAATACAAATGTGGAAGTGTTGGTTTCTGGGCTCGTTGGCTAATAGCATTTTCTTTGGCAGAAACAACAAAATTTTACTTACTTTGTTCCAGTTTCGTCCTTGAACAACTTATCATGCTTCATTTATCAAAGTCTGACTAAGACTGTGTTGTGGAAAATATTTGTAGCTGCCAACTTTTGACTCATTGTGTATTTGTTTGTTAACAGATAACAACTACAGCAAAGAAACCAAAGGCTACAACCCAGGTTCCTGTGACAAAGGTGCATATTTACTTTTTATAAGTAAGCTACAGTGCATCCTCTTTTATCCAAACAGCTTGGATTGGAATGTGAGAATGGCCATTGGGATAAGCCGAAGATTCGGAAAATCGAGTACAAGATTCTTTGGTCAAGAAAAATTACACGCAAATAAGTTTTAATCAGTTGTGAGACGAGTGTAAAATCTAGATTTGCTGGCATTAGAAAGATTAGATCTGTTTGTCAGATGTTTGCATTCTCTGGTTGGAAAAACATTTAAATAGAAAATGCCCCTCAAAAAAGTAACTGAAATACACGTTCGTTGATCTCACAGAGATTCGCTAATAGAGGTATAAAAAAGTTTGAGCCCTTTTGGATGCTTTCAAAACAAAACTTCATTTTGTCGATAGCTTATGGACACGATTGCACGAATTTTATTTTGGATGAGCTTGAATTAGTGTTCTGTCAAATAAAGTGTTGTTTGGATATCATAATTTAAATAGTGGTCAGATAACCAGGTTCAGATAACCGAGGCACTGTATGTATGTTTTCCAATATAGCATATCCAGCAAAGCTTAGTGTTTAACAGTAAGTAAAGTTTTCTAGCCAAGTATTTGATACAAGAATACTCGTTACTCAAAAGTATGTAGAATAGAGCATTATTTACCTCATAAGCTTGGGCAGTAGAGCTTAGGTGGTATATTACTTACATAAGTCCAATCAGTCAGACAAAGGCATATAAAAACCCTCGGTCTATCTTTTCTCGAAGAGTGGTTTTTCTATTGTGATTTTGAATTGGCTATATCTTTCATTCTGCATTATTTTCTCTAATTGTGTTCCATCTTTTAGCCCAAACCCAAAAGTAAAAAGCAAATGATAGCTGAGCAACGTAGACGAGAAAAGGTTGGTATTTTGCTTTGCATTGAATTAGATACTTAAATTCTGTTGACCAAAATTGAAATCCGAGGAAAAAGAGTAAATGGAATAGTGCATCCAGCCACAACGCTTTTCCATCTATCTTCTGTAGGGCAAAGATGGGGAATCTGCAGTTCGGCAATGGTTGGTGGCTCTTGGACCTAAAAGAAATGATATAACAAAGTATACCTGGTTTTTGTATGAGCTAGGCTCATCGTGGCCCGTGCTGATCTGCAAACATCTAAATCTAGCCCCCAGGGAAGAACAATTGCCTATCCTAGGTATAGGATTATCAGTTAGATAAAGCTCAGTAATATTGTTATAGTCGTGTAAGAACAGTCAGCTCTTTGATCTCCTGGCGTAGTGTCCTTTGTTACTTCATAAAATCCGGGAACTGCGTTCCAATCATCCTGCAGATTTTTACTTCTTTGTTTTCAAAACATATAAGATGTGGCAAGAGAACGAGTAAAAGATCTTGCGAGAGTATCGCTCTATTTTCAAGTGTTGATATGTTTGTAGAAAGATAGTAAAACCATTTTTTAGGAAATGGCAAAAATAGCTGCAGAGTTGGACGAAAAGAGGCGACTAGAGGAAGAAAAAGAAACAGCAAAAAAACAGGCAAGCTTCTTCTTTAGGATGAAATATTTTTTACAGTCTTCCTTATTTTATGTACTTCAATTCAACACAGTTGTTTAGACTTACTTCCAGTTTGATTTTCATTAAATAAACTGATAAACGAATAAATTTTTACGCAAAAGGTAAATGGCTGTAGAAACTTTATTCATTTAAAATTTTCAATTTACATTTTTGTTATACATGTATACATATTCAACCTTTGATAACAAAATTGATTTTCAGCTTGAGGAAGAAAAACAACGGAAGCTTGAGGAAGAGCAGAGACGACAGGAAGATGAAAGAAAAAGATTGGCAGCTCAAGCAAAGAAGCGTAAAGAGAGGTGCATACGTTTGTCGTTTTGTGAATAGAAGCGTTTTGAAACGACGTATTTGATTTTTTCAAAAATAATTACTTTTTTGTTGATGATGTTCTTTTAGGTCATAATCTGTTTTTTACTTGAATTTAGACCAGAAAACCTCGTGCATCTCTTTTACTCTAAACAATTCCTACAAATTTGATCAAACGCGTTTCTTTTTTAGAGAGGACAGGGAAAGAGAACTAAAACAACAGAAAGAAAATGAGCGTCTTGAAAAGTTAAAAAAGCAACAAGAGGAAGAATTAAGACGAAAAGAGGAAGAAAAGAAACGAAAAGCGGAGGAAAAGGCAGCGAAATCCAAAGCATTAAAGGAAGCTAAAGGTAGCCATTTTGATTCTGCTACCTAATGTTATTGCTAGGTTTCACTTAAAAGTTGAGATTTCAACATAACAGAAATCGTTAGCGTTTTTTCTACAGCTGTCTCTTGCAAGCTTAAAAGGAACAATTATATGACTTTCTGAAAAGGTTTTATTGCACCCAACGCATGGTTCGCTCATGTAAACTTTGTTGAAGGAAATGAGATAGAAATTATAGCCAAATTCCAAACCAATATAAATAGGATTTTTGAATGTGCGTATTTGAAAATTTAATGAAAATATGTTTTGGGTCTTTTCAAACGCGCTGAGTCTTTCAAATTTTCAGAGATTATTTCTGTGAATAATGATTTAACAGTGTCAGTTCACAATCAACATTACTGATATTGAAAACTATGCCAGGTGTTATGCTAATACCGAGTGTACGATTCGCTTAACTTTGAGTTTGCTTGCGTAGTTTCCTAAATCGCGTTGGTGTGATTTTAATCTTCAGTTTGGTTGATTTTTTGTTCTTTAGAACTGTGACAATTCCAAACCCATAGAGCTTCGTGTTAGAATTAGCTAGCTTTTAGCGATTTTGGGACGTTCAAAAGCACGAATTAGATTGAAGTTTGCACACTGCCTCGCAAAGAAAGCACGATTATGCTCAATTGAGAGGACCTTCTTACAGCATTTTACTAGTATTTATTATTGGATCCTCCATAGTGATATGTCTAAAATTTACGGTATTACCTACAGATTCTATTAATAACAAAACTGATGACTTGAGTCACGTCTTGCAGTTTTGAACAAACTTTTCGTACAAAGGGTATGCCAACATGTTTCCAAAACCGTTTACTGTACCAGCAGTTTCAATAATACTGTTATAATTTGTACAGAAAAAGAAGAAAAGGAGAAACAGGATCAGTCCAAAAAGCAACAGGTATGAATCGTCAGCATAAAATCTTTTCATTGGAAAACCTTTTTATTTGCCATTTCTCATTTGTTCTTCCGTTTCTTGAGCTGGCCCTGATTCTTATAATTGCTGCTGTTTTTCCTTCTACACTGCTTGGAGATGTGTTTGTACTTTTAAATTTTGTAGAAAGTTGAGTTCTAGTACCAAGACGTTAGCACTAAATGCCTAGACCACAGTGTACTAAAAATATTAGTGCAATGTGAACATTACAAAATTTATCTGACAAAAACCCTTTGTTTTACCAATCTTTAGTTTGACAGCCCACCAGACAGGGTGTTTTTTTATTTCAACGTCATTGGTTTGGAGGATTTTTACGCAAGTGCTGGGAATATGTATTTTAGTATGCTATGTTTTTGCTTTTCCATGCAATCTTCAGATATGTAATTCTGGCTAAAAGATTCTTCCTCTTAATAGCGTTTGCTTCGCTTTATCAACAGGGAGCAAAAAGAGCAACAACAAATGCCCAGCAGCAGTATCAACCACAATACCAACAGTACCAACAGCAACAACAAAAATATCCAAGAGAAGTTCCTCCTAGATTTTTAAGACAGATGCAACAAAGGCAAGGGCCTACGTCAACAGATGTAGAGCAGCACCAACAACCACAACAACAGCAAAATCTGCAGCCTAAAACACGTATGTTTTTCAAGCTTTGGTATAACTTAGCCGCATGGCAAATCGTATTGCCATATTTTTGAAGGAGCTTCAATGAATGATGTATTAGTCTCCTTAGAACTGCATGCAATTGCTGTCTGAGTAAGCAATAGGGTATACGAAAACCGGCCCTGGTACATGAACACTGTCTGAAAATTCCGGTGGTTGACTAATCTCTTGATTATTAAGATGCAGTATTTTGGCCATATAAATTGTGATGATATGATGAAGGAGATGATGCCTCTAACAAAATTTTGCGAGTAATCAAAGGTTCTAATAAATTTCTATCTAGTAAAAATCTATTTAGTAAAACTCTTTAAGTATATAAAACTTTGGCATTGAGCGTCCTCTATCTAGTAAAACTTTGGCAATAGTTTTTTGTTTTAATTTATTTATTTCTTGCTGTTCTCCGCAGAAACCGTTCGTAAAGATCAAAAACAGCAAAAGGAAGAAGGAGATTGGGACAGTGGCTCGGATGAATTGGCAAATGTAAATAAGTCGCAAGAAACTCGGAGTAAATGGACTGAGAATTCAACAGGAACTCGTAATGAAAACTGGGGGCAAGAACTTAGTAGTGGAGGGGGCTCTTTGTCTGATTGGGGAACTGTAAATGTTACTGAGGACTGGGACGCACCTGGTGATTCGCATTTTGGATCAAATTGGACGGAGCCCCGGCAAGAAACGACTCAACTAGAGGATACGAAAACAAGTGAACCTTCTGTTATAGGAACAATCGGTAGCGAATTGAAAAGCGGTAAAATACCTAAGAAGGATTCGATTAGTGGACAATTCGGGGTGATCGGGCAGCCTGTGTCGTCTTCTAAGGATGTTCCAGTTGTTGATCCTAAATCAGAAGCAAATTCGGATTTACAAACAGAAAGGCCTGAGCCAGTTGTAAATGTAGTGAGGGATCCGCTGTATAAGGACGTTATAGAGAAAAAACCACCCGAGTCAGGGGAAAAGACTTTAGTAGATGCTGGGACGAAAGATCTTGAAGTAAATAACTCTCAAGGGTCTAAAACACCTAAATTAACCGGTTGGTCAGGTCTTGATGGATTTGAACCGTTGCCTAGTTACGATAAGGGCTCGGGCGTATCACAGACTGTTGCTAGTGTTGTCGAGGATGAAAGCCAATCGAGAACCAAAGTGGAAAATGTTGTTACGAGTAACCATAAAAACGTGATCAGCGACACTCAACAGCTAGTGAAGAGCGCAACAGTGGAGAAAAGCAGTGGTAGTAAAAATGCTGTCAGAGAGGCTGAGGGTGTAAGGGAGGCTGATGAATGGGGATGGACTACTGCCTCATCAAAGAAAGCAAAGGTAAGGGTTTGGGTTTGAGCGACTATGTTTGAATCATGTTGAAACTTCCGGGTTGATAATCTTATTATGTTTGAAACCATTGGTGTAGGCTAAAGAAACAGGTCAGCCGAGTTTTTGTAGCAAATTCTTGATAATAGTGGCAAGTGTGTGTCACAAATTTGACCAGATCGCAATTTCAAAATTATACCAAAATTGTCATAGAATTATGCAAGATTTACAAAAATTATGCTAAATTTCAAATCAAAGCCTTTCTATTAGAAAGGAGGCTAGTTCATGCGCAAATTAGAAAGAATGGTTGAACTTCGTTTGAAAATAGAATATTAGACTGTAACTTTATAAAATCAATATAAACAGCTAAGAAAACCAGTTCAATCAATTAACCATTAACTATGTGTATATGTAGTTATGTATATGTAAAATATAGGTGGCCCATATTTTTACTGACAGAGCTATTTCTGGAAATCATCATTGCCGACTTAGATAGTAACCAAACCTGCATTCAAATACAGACATCACTAATGCGCCTTGCTACCTGAAATACTATGATGAGCTGGCGTCACAATTTACTTACATAGTAATAGTCACAGATACGGGTGTATTGTGTTTGCATGCAGCTACGACAGAGAGTGGAGGATCACTAAAATTATACCAGAATTATGCTAGATTTAAAACTATGCCAGATTTTATGATAAAGGGCAATTTTTCGCCCAAATTATGCTAAAATCGTAATATTATGGTAGATCTGGTCACATTTTGTGTCACGGTGTGTGAAATGTATGTCGATACGATTCTTTGTTTCGTAGTGCATTTTTCTAAAGTGAGTAATCATTGATGAAAGTTACAGATGAATGTAATGTTTTTACGCAACAATTGCATCTAGTAGGTTGATGAGTCTTTTTTGTGCTTTTGTGTTTAAATCCAAATGTCTAAAACTAAAGATAAAATTAAGGTAAACTATTTGGAAAGATTCTGTGCTTTAGAGACTTGAGTGTTTCAAGGTATTAGAAAGATAGGCCTCGGAAGAGTAGCATCGGGGTTATAATGCCAGAGTTATATGTGCTTGTTAATCTAATCTCATTGATGTAAATTTGTTTGCTAGTACCCATGTTGTTGTTTTGGACTTTGCTAGTAGCTGTGAAGTTGTTTTGGACTTTTTTTTAGCAAAAACCCAGCAATACACCTAGTGTAAATAGAGAAGCGAACTCGTGGATGAGCCGATCATTAAAACAACTGCTGGATATGGGATTTAAAGTGAGTACCACGTTTCATTTTACCTATGTTCCCAGTGACCTTGGACTCGGCTTTACTATTTTTATACTGCTACCATGAGGTATTCCCTCTTCATAATGGTTATACGCTCTTATTATTTGTAGATCTCAATTCGAGCCACAGCTATTTTAATTGCCACAATGTTTTTTCCATTTTCTACCTTCATTTTCAGTCCTTGATGCCTAGAAATTTCAGACATGTATGTTTTCCAAAGTTTATCAATAGACGCGGTTTTAGCGACTTGTATCTTCCTTAGTGATAGTCTTGTCATGTTTTATTTGTAAGCAAAAACTTTAAGTCAATGTAATTGCAAGGAAGAATTACAAATTTGTCTATATCTTTTTCGTGGCATTACGGCCAATTGAGTTAAGAGAAAGCTACGGGGATAATGCCCTGAATTGAGGGCTCGTTTTTATGTTATTTTGGTTAATTGGCAAATGCTATTTTGTCAGGAATCTGAAGCTTTGTTGAATTACGTGAATGCTTAGCATCAATGTCTTATTTTCTTATGTTTGTCTTGCAGCTTGAAGATGCAGAGAGAGCTTTGAAAGAAAACAATGGAATAATTGAAAGCGCAGTCAGTAAGTAGAAAATTAACAAATCTGTTCTTTTTTCAATCAAATAAAAATCATATCATCGATTTATAAATTCTAGTTCCAATCTCGTTCCAATCTCGTTCCAATCTCGTTCCAATCTCATACCAATCTCGTTCCAATCTCGTTTATCACAGCCTTTTAATCATCAACTCAATATAGTGTTTTTTGTTAGTAATGTCTGGCCTATTCACTTTGAATGCAATTTTCTCCGAAATGACTGCCTGTTAACATACGAAGAAAAATCATGTTGTAGTTTGATTACATAGCTTTGGATATTTTCAGTGTCATCACTGGCTTTTGATAATTGTGATTTATACCTAATAATGACGGAGTGCAGGTAACATACATCAGAATTTGTATGATTTTTAAAGAAATTTAAGCCTTCTGTGTCCATTCCCAAGTAAGTCCATCTTTGTTCCCAACGAATCTTGACAGGTAATTGACATAACGTCATGACTTTCAGATGATTTTATTGGAGATGCCAGCTCCGTTGTAGATAAAACTTCACTAGATACAGGACAGAAATATATTAAGTGCTTGTCTGAGTGAAATTGTCTTTCCATGGTAATCCATTTTGCCCTTACTATGATGAATTATGTCTTATTTCAGGTGATCTCTTGAGCCGTGCTGACACCACCCCTACGGATAAAATTCATGATCAGGCGGGTATTTCAAGTCGAAGAAAAGATCAATTATCTTCAAGTATGAATGACAATACTGACGAAAAGTTAAGTAATAAAAAAGGACAAAGCAAAGAAAATCGTACTATCGAAGATAGTAGAACACAAACGGCTAAAATGTTTACGTCTGATAAATCAGATTTTGTCGGAGGAAATAAATTAGAAGAAAAATCTAATGCTGGCTCGGATGCCAAAGGAACGGCAAATCAAGGTCCCGTTTCAATGTCAAGCAGTTCCTTTTTACCAACAGATATCGGGACACGTTTTTCAGATAGCAATGTTATCAAAAGTAAGCCAGTTGGTGTTATAGGAAGCCCGTTACCTGGGACTTCAAAGATTTCATCACAGAATTCGCAAAGGCCTTTGTCCACAGATGATAAAAGTTTATTAGGGGCAACTCAGGCACCAATATCGACACCTGGTCAACAGATTTCCCCAGTAGGGTCATCTGTTAACCAGTCCCTTCCGCAACAGTCCTTCCCGAGTTTTAGTCATGATACCCAGGCCTTTCCCGGCCAAGGGCCGAAACTGCACCATATCCTACAACAGTCACAAGGACTGCCGCAGCCATCTTTGTTCCCTCAGCAGCAAATTTTACCAACCGTACCTGGGACAGTATCAAAAGATGCCACTTTTATATCACCTCCACTAGCTGCCAACCCAAATCCAGGCCCCCAACAGTCGAAGCTTTTGCAATGGACCCAGCAAATTTCAATGGAAGCAAGAGACACGGTTGCATCTTCGGCTCAATCCGAGCAAGACGCCTCTTGGAACAGCATCACATCGGTGCCAGGCTGTGCGAGTGCCACTATAACCCCAGTTGGTGCACCAGTGACTGTTGACCCTGTATCTGCCAAATGGGGTGTTATTGCTGCGCCACGGTTGTCACCGACGCCATCCGAATTTAGGCCAGGTGTCCCTTGGAAACCAAAAGCAGAGCTTGAACGGGATGATGGGAAGAGAACAGAGGATGTTGACTTCCCAGATATTGATTCTAAGGACCTGCCAGGTGGCAACATCAATGGTATTTTGTCCTCGTCTGAAAAAGCGCCTCCCGCGGGTGTAATCCGACCCCCACCAGGACTAGTGGCCGCAAATTCATTTGATCTTCACAATACAGATCCGCCTGTTGGGTTGCTTGAACAATCAAGTGTGGGCCAAAGTGGTAGTAACAAGGCTGTTAAACAATGGCTAGCCCTCACTGGACTCAAGCCGGCGGTTAGTTGACTTTTCATCCCTTTTTATTATTGAGTTCTTATGTTCTTCAGTGTTATTTTGTTATTCCTACAAAATTCACCTCGAATTTTAAGAGATAAATAAAAAGCAATAGTTTGTCTGCATAAGATTCAAATCGAACAGTTAAGGTAGAGGTTAGGATAGAAGTTAAAAATTACAGGTGGGATTGAGCATATCTTTGTAGTATAGTTTGTTTAATGTTTTATGTGAGTGAAGAACTTAGCATTTTGATAGTCCAAGACTTGGAAAAAGTATTCGAACCCAGTGTTATGAAAATTTCTTTGATCTGCTGGAACATTAGAAAATATGACCCCCTTTTCATCTTTATCGTGAATGTTTACTGAGCCTGTAAGCTGAGGTTCCATTCTTCTATAGAATCCTTTGTGAATTTCGTCTTGCGTTATGATGAACGAGCCAATCCGGTTAGGTGAGATCCCACTGCATCAGAGGTGGGATCTCACCGATGTGGAATTAATTTTTTCCATATAAACGCTGGAAGGTGGTCTGAAGCTGGCAGATGGGATGAAGTGTTCATATAAACGGGATCGAATTTCGTCCCACTTGTCAGCACACAGGCTAGAAGGTGGGATAATTTTCTCCATATACAGCTGGAAGGTGGGATAGAATCTGCATGTAAACATTCGATGATTCCATCCCACCTGCCAGATTATGGGCTGAGAGGTGGGACAAATTTGCTCATATAAACAGGCCCTTGGCTAGTTTGAGATTTTAGGCACGATCCCAACCTTGTCTGTCGCATGTTTTATCCTATAAGTGAATTTGAACTTGCCTTTCTAGGTTGACTACAGTCCACTACGCATGTTATGCCAACAATACGGGATAGTCCTTGCACATAGAACCGGTCAAGGTGCTATATATGTTTGTTACGAAAGCCAGGCTCAAGCTCAAGATGCTTGCAAAGCGTTGAACGGCCGCATCATATTTGATGCAAATATAGTGGCGACTTTGATAACCGAGGATGACGTTCCTAATATACCGGATGCTAAGATTGGAATGCCTCCAGCACCTGGAAAGCCGTTTATACCAGCCCAGTTTCCGGGCATGCAGCCACCATCCAGACCGTTTTGGGATACCAATGGTCAAATCGGAACAATTAACCCAAACATGCCGTTTGCACCGCCCCCGATGCCTGGTATGCCCCCAGGAAATTTGCTAGGACTAGGCCCACACTTGGGCCAATGGCCTCCTGCTAGATCGGATCCGTTAGTAAACCCTTCTCAATTCTGGCCGATGAACTTGCCCGCGCAAGGACTCTTAAATCAGGCCCCAAATTACGGACCATGGTCAACGAACAGTGCCTCACCTGTGACGGCTGTTAATGTGAATAGTACGCATGCAGCCGTCAGCCCTTCGACCGGTAATAAGCTATTGCCAGACGGGCTTTTTAATGCAAGTGAATCTATATAAGCTTTGTTGCCTTTCAAATTTGTTTTGCAAAAGTTTACGTCATATTATAAATTTTCAGATTAATGATGTTGAGTTTATTTGCAGTCCTTTTCTGTCTTCATTTGTGCATTTGTTAGTTCACTCACCACAAAGTAGCGGACTATTTTTTCTACTGTTTTTTCGCGCCAACAGACCCATACCACTGCTTGGTAGGCATCGCCATGCTAGGTCGTAAAACCTTTCCTGGATTGTCAATTTGTAAACAAACGTCGTACCAGTTATCGTTTACTGGCATTTAATGCTGGTTCTTTCAGTTGTACTGTTCTACTGTTCTACTGTAGGGAAGGGTGCTGCAGGGGCAATCGAAAATTAAATAAAAACATACTAGGTTGCATTTTAAATTTTCCTTTGATTTGATATTCATCAAGGCTCTCAGGTTTTCTTAAAGGTGCTCTCAGGTGCTCTAGGGTCAGTCTGGTGTTTGGGTGCCAAGATTAATCGAAGTTGTTATTTCCATTTGGAGAGAAAAGGATTTGCAGTGCTGTCGGAACGAAATTCATACTGGGAGAGCTGTCCATTTTATTTTTTCCCATACAGTAACTGTTATAAAGGAGGTCTAGTACCGTTGGCAGTTATTGGAGGGCTCTAGCCCTCAGTCTACGTCCTGCTTCCGACAGCCCTGACTTAATTTTAGGTACTACCGTTATTTAATATTATCAATTATTTTATTTTATGTGTTTTTGAGGGTCAATAGCTCATTTTAAATTTGATATGTGTGATAATTTTTATTCCTAGCTGATTCAGCATAAGATACCTTTGGGTGAATTTACATATGACATTTTAATTTGGGTTGCCTGGAAATTTTTGGGCTTTTTCTCTTGTATAATAGTGAAACATTGTGTGTATACAAAAACAAGTCTGAGCTTTATAGGTGAATTTTTCTCTCAATTTAAGAACTTACGCTAGAAGGCTACTGCTAATGATAATTGTGTAAAAAAATTAAAAATTTTGAGCCTAGTAAGGATAAAGGTATGGATCAGGCACTGGGCTTTACCAACTGATCCAATAATCATTAGGTGTAAAAAGAGACTAAAAAATCATGATTTTGAAAGATGAATTTGAAGAAACAATTAACTACACTAATAATTACATAATAGATGGGAGTGGAGACCTGGTAATAAGCCAGCTTTAAATATTTTCTTTTAAAAACAGCTGTCAAAGACAAATACACATTTTCTGTATACAGAAAACCAAGCTATAATGTTCAAATGATGTTTTTATGTTGCCTCAAAACCTACACTGTTTCAAGTTATAACATTACCGTAATCTCTTATTACTGACTAATTGGTATATCATTTGGTATTTAAGCTCTATGCAAGAAGTAAAATGAAATGAGGGCATGCTCATTTGAGCAGAAAGTTTTGGCAAGGATGCTTTTGGAAGCTGTGTGTAGCAACTGCACAGCAATATGCATGTGGCTTAAAGTTTGTGCTGATTTTATTCCTGTCCAGTAAATATAAAAATACTTGCAGAATGTATAGGTACCTCACATCAAATATTCTTTATAGGGGAACTGGAAACTTGCAGTCCTCTGAATCACTAATTTTTAGGGTAACAGACTGTGCAATGAATCTTTGGGCCCACGATTTACCACCTTTTCTTTTCTTAGTGAAAATAATTTTTGCATAGATTTTTAAGTTTGCAAATATTTGTTTCGGATCTTGTTTTTTTGCAATTATTTGTTACTCCAGCTTGAAATAAAGGCACTGTTTTTTATGATTGGTTGTAAATGTAATATTTATCTTATTCTTATTAAAAACCTCTAACGCATTCCCTGTTTCTTTCTCCTATTAATTGTGATGCTACCTGCCACCTTACATTGCAAATTTGGATGGCTTGGCAAATAAAACATTACTCTCCTAAACTCACTTTCATTGGCTGATGTAAATGAGCATCTAAGGAGAAACTCCTATCCAAATGTTATCCTCACAGAACTGAGGTAAGTTTGACCTGCAGAATCACGTTCCTAAGTCCTCATAATTTTTCTCTGTTTAATTTTTCGATACTCATTAATTGCTTGTTGACGTTCTTCATCGTGAATTTTTTTCATTTTATCTGTCATCTCTTTCCTTTTTGTTTTATAGAGTTTGTCTATTGCCTTGTCATTGTTTTTGCCTTTGATGATGTCCATCAGCTTGAGATCTAGAGCAGGCTGTAAAGTGAAATTTTGGATATCAATCTAGTGCAAGCAGGGTTTATAACTTTGACTTGGCATTTTTAATGCAATAACATTAGATACTACCTTTTAAAGAATGCAAAACTAAATTGAATAATTTATGACAAAAATGAATGATCTAAGTTAGGCATCTGAGCATATTATAAACATACACAAAGAAAGGCAAAGGAAAAATTATTGATAAGAAATTAATAGTCATAAGAGACAGTAATTTACATTGAAGTACCAAAAAAGACTGTTTTTTATGAATAGAAATGTTTTTCTATAAGACAAAGTCTTGAAGGAAAATGAATTGTTGCTAGTGAGCAGCTAGCAATGATGTCTAGGATTATATCAGTGTTCAGATCAGCCGACAATTATCAGGACATATAAATTGGATCTTAATAAAAAATTGCTGTTAACCTTTGTTGATTTTGATTTTGCTTTTCGAGGAACTGCAGACAAGGTTGGTGGTTGTGAAACGACTTCACCAAATTTCACTACAAAAAGAATGGTTGGTTAACACTTGATTATAATTTACATCATATTATGTCAATTATGGGGCTGTATATAGCAACATAAAACATAGATTCATATAAGTTAAAAAATATTGACAACCTTCTTCCTGATTTGATTCTTGCTTTTGAGGAAATATATCTTGCTTCGATTTTCTTGACTTCAGTTTCTTGTCTCGCTTTTTTAAATGCCTAATAAAAGAAAAGCAAAGAAATTTGTCAAAGTGAAAAAAGTTGATTGTTTAGAGCTGTACCTTGGCTAACCTCTTTAAAAGCAAAATTTTTTGTTCTTTTAATGACAGTAATTAAACACCATCAAAGGCAAACCAAAGAAATGGACAAGCCAAGACAAAACTATGTCCCTCTCTTTGGATCTGAAGCAAAAATCAAAGTAGATAGAATCTCAGAAATGAATAATTGTTCATAAGGCCTATCTTACTCTTTCCTTTTGTCCCTGAGTTTCTTTGTTTCTGTCATTGCTTTGTTGAGTGCTTCACTAGCTTGCTTGTCAAGGCGATTTAGGAACTGTTTCCTGCTTTCACCAGATTTCATGAGTTTTGCTAGCGGAGATTTCTTTGACTTGTGCTTTCTTTTTGTAATTGCTTAAAATTAATAGACTTTGTTAGACATTTCAGTGAAGCTGAAGTGGGGTAAAAGGTTGATTCATGAAACCCTTAAAAAACAGTTTCTGGGAGGTTGAGTAGAATCTGTTATCCATGATCTCATAACGGCAAGTAGAAACACATAAGGAGTGAAAATTGCAGATTTGATTTTTTGTTAATGATGATAAATAATGACGGATAGAATATTTGGCTGACAATGGGAAGCAAAAAGGAAAAAGGCAATATCAAAAGATTATATTTGGGTTATACAGAGCAAAGATATACTTTAAAAAAGGCAAATTACCATGAGAATCTTTAGATAGCTCAGTAAGTTTCATTATTTTTCTGGCTTTTCTAGGAACAAAGTCATTGCTATCAACCAAATCTTTAGACTTTGGAGCAAGGTCATATCTGCAAGCAGAAAGACATTTATAAGAATAGCAAGAATTATTATGTAACTAAAAATTACAATAACCTTTCTCATTTTGACATGGATTCAAACTATTCAATTATAACTATTTAGTGGCCACTTGCAAAATTATGAAATGATGGAATTGTTCAATAGCTAATTCAAATTGCTCTGGTTTGCAAACCATCAAAAGATTCAGGCCTTTCCCAGAGGCGCAGGCTATACCCACACATGCGCAAACCCTGTGCAGAATTAATTTGTGAGGGCTTTTTCTGCCCAGGCAGTTTTTCAAACCAACATTCTCGTTCAATCCATGCAGTTAAGCTTCTTAATGTTTGTACTATTTGTTAAGAACTCATTAGTTTCTATTATGATCACCGCTATATACTTATTGCTAATCATGCTGTTTACTATTGTTTTGTTATATTCCTACTGTGTAGTTCTGGTCTTGTGACTCTCACGCTTGCTGTACGATTTATCTAACTCTTGAAATTGTATTGTTATTGATTGCTTCTTCATGTTATGTTCGGATACAAGTTGTGTTTTCTTTACACTGTTATCTTAATAACCCTTGTGTTTTCTTTACACTGTTATCTTAATACTATTTGCCGCTAAATATCAGGGTGTGAGTAAATAAAGACAGGTCTTACATGTCTGTGTTTATCACATGTTAACAAACTTTTGTATTATCTGCTAAAATTTTCAATAGGAAATGTACCACATTTGACCAGCAAAACCTAACAAAACTTTGCTCTATTCCAAAAAAGTTATGTCCCTCTCATCTTGTTTTCAGGAGTGGTAATACAAAGTTGAAGGTAGTAAAACACACAAAATGCCAAGGTAAATAGTGTTTAAAGAAATGGCAATGTAATGTATTTTTGCCTGTAAAAACTCAAATATAAAAAATTAACAACAGTTCTGCAAGGGTTAAATATCCCACGGAGCCAAACTGGCAAAGGCTTTTTATAGCCTGCCTTGTTTTATAGCCTTTTTATAGCCTGCATATAGGCTTTTCATCCATTATTTTTTATGTGTTGGATTCTTATTTCATAAATTTTTTTGAATATAGAAAAAAAATTTAAGAATGAAATCTGAATTTTTTGACTAACAATGGACCAGGGGCAGCTAGGAGAGATTTTATACTGCGTGCTACTAGAAAAAATTGTTGTGTCAGGGCATGGCTGCGGCTGTTTTTTACTTCCAACCACGCCCTCTTCAATGGTTGTTTTTGACATTACACTGTTTTTTCTATGCTCTACCTCATGGACGTATCTTGATTTTCTTGCCGCAAGTCGAAGACGCGTTTCCATTTTCTATTTTAATGCTCTCTATCTCATAGTAAAAAAATTCTATCTAGAAAAGTAAAAAATCTGGGAAGGGGCTATGGCCATGGTCAGAGGTATATTTGATCTCCAGATCAACATGACCCATTGTCAGACTTTTCAGACTTATAATTTTGATTCTGATACTAATCCCAAAAAGATTGTAAAGTTGCAACACATTTCTTAGTTCTTAATAAAATTCAGAAGCATTTTTTTCAAATTTTTACTAAAACGACATACATCTACAATTTTGAAGTCATGTCTACACATTCAGTCTTTCAATTACAACTGTAGGCTCTGGCTTCGTCAGCCTGCGGCATGCAGATAAATATCATCAGCTTACAGTGAAAAGGCTCTCTGTCCCTAGCTGTAGCCTCTTTGTTGTTGCTATTAATGGCCCTCTTTTAATAGCAAAATTATATTGGCAAGTGTAGGACATTGAAATACTCCTTAAAAAGGACAAATATTTCTGATAAATACTCATTGTTAACATACAAAACCAAACCACCATATTTTTAAATTCAATTAATGTGCAGATTTAAATTTTTGATGAAACTAACATTAGAGCTTGAGAATAAACTACATATCACTATGCCAGAAAATAATAAGGGAGCACTTGCTTTTATATATTTAATGGTCTGGTTGGTCTGTTTATTGTTGTTGTATGTTGTTATAACCCCCAACGTGAACTAGAAATGGCCATATGATTTATTTTGAGCGCAATATGCCACAGGAATGGAAGGGCAAACAGAGGAATCTTGCTATTAGAAGTGACCTGGCTAATAGCAAGTCCGCATATATTGGGTCTTTCACAACAGCACGATTGGCAACTTTACATCACACAAGGAGACACAAACAAAGGTGGATAAGAAAGTTGCTATTAGGATCCATAAACCTAATAACAAAATTTCAGGGCTGTGGCTGTAGTATTTGTTTGAGGCTGTGAGGTAAATGCGTCACAATAAGTATTGTGATAAGCGTAAGAGGGAGGTCCATTTTTTGAAAGGATCAAATCAGTTTCAAGAATATCGGCTTCTGCTCGCTTGACCATATTGCCATATCACATCATATCATGCCATATTATTGCAAAATGGCAGGAAAATAGTTAGCTATTCAAATAAACTGTTTTTGCTGAGGATCTTCCGGTGCTAGTTTCATTTTAAAGATACATAACCAGTAGATTATGAGCCTTCGCTGAAAAAAATTGCTATTAGGCTAATACTGCTCCCAGTCACCCATGCAATGGACCTTGTTTTAGCTACAGAAGGATTTACAGATCTTGATGATATAGGCTGCCATTGAATTTATTTCAGACTTTCCCCACTTGAGTCATGGCTCTGCAAATGCCGAGACAGTGGTGATGATGGCTAGTTTTCTTTTGCTGTCTATTCAAGAATCTGCTCCACTGTGCAGAAAATTAAGGATTTTGCAGAATCTAATATTTTTAAAAAAAAATATTTTGATCGTTTTTCTTGAGGACAAGAATTTTTCAATGACTCCTGGTAAAACTACTGCAAAAAAATGCTATCTTAAGCCACAAAACAACACACAAGGCTTTTGAAAATTTCCAAACTTTGCATAACTAATCAAAACATCGATTTCCCCTTCACACTGTAAACTGACCGCTCTCCAGCATGCGTAAATTTTGCTGAGCCAATAACATCATTGTTTATAATTTATTTTACTAATTTTACCCATTTTCTGTTAATTTTACAAACAAATTGACTCTAGCGAGCTCGCAACACCTACTTTTTACCACCGTCGGTTGAACTTTTGGTAGCAAACGGATCAATACTTTTGAATCTTCGCTGTCGCCCTATTCTTCCCATATCTAACGTATCAGAAAATAAATCTGTGTATTACTGCTAATTTTCACTGCAAACTTTCCTCAAAATGGCTAGGCCCACGAGGAACTAAATTGAATTACAGTGCAACTGAGGCTAGTCTCCTATTCAGATTGTTTCAATTTTATTTCTCAAGCTACTGGAAACACAAAAATGTCAATTTAATGAGAGCAAAGCCAAGAGACGAAACGTAAGTTTTAATTTGGTTACTAAAACAGACAGATTGAAATTCAAATCTCTGTTTAAATATTTTGATATGTTGAATTTTTAGGAACTTTTTGTTTAGAATTATGCTAATGTTATGTTTTCTTCTAGACCTAATATTTTTAGGCCCTAGCTTCTTAACTCAAAAACCTAAGGATTTTCTTTGAAAATCAGTATTTCGATGTTTTGCTACCTTTGAAATACTGTTCTTTAGCTGTGGATTTATTTAAATCATGCATTAAGAAATAATACAAAATGCTGTAACAGTTGTTTTGAATGCTAGATAGACCCTCTTGAAGCACTTTCAAGCTGATAGTGAGGACATGCTTTCCTAGATAGTATAAAGCATATCTATTACACACCTTCCATTATTTTTCAAAAGAGGTTACAGTGCAGCCAGTGGCCATGGCAGGCTTAAACTAGAAAATCAATTAGGATTGGTCAGGGAATCTTGCTTTTGATTGGATCTGTATCTATAGGAGCTGTGTGAAATGATGCCAAATTATTTATTGGAAAGTAGGTTGCCAGGGCCGTCACATAGGAGTTTCATTACATGAAGTGTCATAAATACAAGAGGGGTATATGATATCTGTCAAGAAGAGGGAGACATGTTTTATACAAATGTTACTTTAGAAAACATAATTTTCTTACAAACTCTTTCATATGTCAGGGAGCTTGATGCTCAAATGCCCCATCACTATCTTGTTGCAAAATACTGTAGGTAACAATTGGGCTTGATTCATTCAGTTCAAATGTGGTGTAGTTGGCACAAATAAATTGGTTTGGAGTTATAGTCCATTAAAAGAAAAAAAACAAAAGGAGTAGCTCCACTGCTTGGCAACTCATAATCTCCTAACTAAGCAATTTTCCTGAAATTTTCAACAATTAAGCAAGTTTAAACAAATTGACTCACTGATTCACTGTTGTAATCTAACAACATCTTCAGATTTCAAGCCAATGGTTTCCCTTTGGATTTTCTTCACTCAAACATTTCAGAAGTTACAAATGGCAATATCCTGCACAGATGTTTAGTTAATTTTGTTATAAGAAAGGTTCAAAATATTAATTACTTTTTATCAAAATGTTTTGGTATTTGTTATGGGAAAAATGATGATAAGGTTAGGTGTCATTTTCAGTATCAATCATTGGCCTCTCTTGCTATGTTTGCACTTTTTTGCCTAACTTTGGGACAGTTTCTTTTTTTGAACCTCAGGGTAAGTATGAATTTTGAAATAATTTTCCTTGTCAAAGCTTATGCATTTTGTTGAGAAGTAGGAGTGAAGATTCATATTCAAGCTATTCCTAGGAATCTTTGTCTTCCAAAGCTCATTTTCACTTCCATTTTCACCTCCACATAATTAATTGATATTTGCATTGAATTTTAAGAAATTGTTAGAACAGATTACTACGGTGATCACTGCCTGATGCTTTTAATTTCTTTAAACAGTTCAACATTTTGACAATATATGTATATTTTTGTTATTCAAACTGAATTTGAATTCACAGTAATTAACAAATTTTTTTTTCATTGCAGATTTCTAATCTTGACTTTGCCTTCCTGCTGGTTTGATGTCTTGCTTTGGTCCAACAATTTCACTGCAGCTGAGGAGAATTTCCTCAAATATTTGTAAAAGAGGTAGGTCTTTAATTTTTGTTTCCTAATTCCCTCTGCCGAAGCTCTATGTTAAGATATCTAAACTCTGAGCTCAACAACAACATATGCCAAATTAGAATCAACTTTATAAACCCTAAAATCAATGTAATAAACATCATAATGATATGGAACATATTACCTATTTTGTCTGTATGCATACTATTTTTGCTTGGCCAAGGTCTCTTGGAAGTTTGTAACTTTCGATGATGATCAAAGAAATTGTTCTTTTCTTGTAAGTGCCTAATTAACAGGTCTCAAACTGAGATTTTAATTTATGATGTTCAGAAATCAAATTCAATGTGCAGTATAGTGTTATAAAAATCTAGTTTCTTTCTTTTGTCAAGGAGCCTTTCCTGTGGCCTTTTGCTACATTTTTTATCACATTTAGTTTACACATCTGAAGTGCAACAGAAAGGTGTATCAAGTTCAAAAGGTGACAGAGCCCCTCCATCACCACCTCCACCTGGCCTATGCTGTATGAGTGGATGTCAGAATTGTGTTTGGTTAGAATATGCTGAGGATCTGAGTGAGTTTTTTAAAGATGGTGGCAAAAAGGCTGAAGAAGCTCTGGATGACATACCTGATGCAAACCTGAAAGCATTTTTGAAAATGGAGCTTCGCATGAAAAAGTAATCAGGTGACTGCATATCAAAGTTTGTTTTTTCCTTTAAATACAGTAGTCTTAGGTAATTTTTTACTGAAACAGTTTTACCATCATTTGCTATATTGCTTGAATAACCGAATGCCATTAGGGCAGGGAAAATATCAGGATGGCCAGGTATCATGGCCCAAAGCAATTGAACAAAGAGCTTTTACACAGAGCAGTTAAGACAAGTGATGGCAAAACAAGGCAAGGGAACAAGCATGTAAGATTCATGCACAGTTCAGTACAATTGCTATCAAACTATCTAAGAATATAATCGTTACAATGTCTGAGTATGCATCAAGCTGGAAAGTCTCTTATCAATAATAAGCATCTCCCCCTGATAATATTGGATACCTGTATTCAATATTCTTATAAAAATAACAGTATGTAGATAACACTACTAATAATTTTTATGTGTGGAAAAGGTCAGTAACGACAATAGTTTTAGGTATTTTTTGTCTTGAAACAGTTTTATCATAATTTTTAACTTTTTCCTAAGTAGCCTAATGACATAAGGACTAACAGCCATGTATTATGGCTGAAATGATTCATTGTAGAGCTTCTGCTTTACAACAAGGCAAAGTAACAAGCATATAAAAGTCATGTACAGTTTAATATATGTTATCAAGTAATAAAATGAATATGATGTGTCATGTATACTTTGATTACACAATTGTCTATGGATTTGCGATTGTTGCAGAAAATATGCCAATCTTATGGTTGTTCTAAGAAAGATGTTCGAATTTCCGTGAATAAACATCCAAATGCAAAATCGTAATGTAATGTAATGAAAATTGTAATGAAAATATGGTGCTTGCATCGAAAAGTTCATAAAGTTAGCTTGAACCTGTTTTGATTCTCCTGATCAAAAATTTCAATTTTACTTTCTCATTCATTATCACCCTATGATAAAAACCTAATTATAATTTGCTTTAAGTTTCGATAGAAATTCCAGTAAAAACTCTGGATTACGTTTAAAAAGCGAAGGGAACTTTATTACGTTTCCGTTTTTTCATTCATTTATTAAAAAGAAAAAGTTGGCTTAAGTGGCAAGGGAAAACTGCAAAGGGTCTTTTCGAAACATTTCCAAGAATCAGTTAGAGGTCTACCTTGATTGAAAAATAACACATATATTTTCTATCAGAAAATTCACTTCTTGCAGATTTGACTGTACATGCTTCTCTTCGCTTTGCAAATGATAGAGTAAATTACCAGCAGAGACTAGCGAATCGATCAAGGATGAAAACCATTAATAGAATAGGCTTTTAATAGGAACTATAATGAAACTGTTAGTAGGACAAACTGGAAACTGAGATAGCTTATGTCACTGCGGAGGAGGTTTAAGCAAAACTGACTGGGAGCTGGGATTATGACCCCCCCCCCTTCAGCTCCCTCTTTTTGTGCACCGTTTTCGGTGGCGTACCCAAAAGTTTCGCTTTCACAGTTTTCATTTGCTTGCATCTTTTGAAGTCTACTTGAACATAATATTGGGAGCTACAGTCCCTATCCCCCAGCCCCAAACCCTGGTGATTTAGCATTGCTTTTAGGGCAAGATATTATTTTTTACTTAATAATTTTCCAACGCCTCCCGACAAGCATGCTTAGCGATCGCTCAAACATACTCTCGTTGCTCCCCCCACAGAAATCCGTGAAAGCTTGCTACTTTTTCATCTGACCTGGTGAATTTAATGATCTCAAGATCAAGGGAACATTTTTCTTATCACCTAGAAGCAGGTTGCTAATTTTTTATCAAGCCTTTGACGAGTTTACTTCTTGGCTTTAGTCGAAATGGCAACGAACATTCTTTTTTTTGCGATTCATCCATTAAATACACTTGCGATTGATGCAAGACATCTAGTAGCCGTGGTTTGTTTATTTTGCGGTTGACGAAAGTCTGATATATTTGATAGCCGTGATTTGTGTATAATTCACGTTTGTTATTGACAAACCGCGCAAAAGCATTGCGCGAAGAGGCGAGCAGATTCAGTGAACATGCAGCCATGTTTGTAGTTCCAACTAAAGAAACACCAGCTTGAAGCCGCAACACTAATATCGAAGACAGCTTGCCCGATAAAAATGTCAAACTCCATCAATTTATTTTGGTTTTCTGGCGCTAATTCTGCTATTAATCTTATTTTTGCTACCAGTTTTTCACTTATTTTTGCTTTTTTGTTCATTTCTTCTGATTTTGATGAGGCTGACAGCTGGATAACACCAAGAAACAGGTTCGAGCAAATATTGTTTGTAACCGTGCTAATGAGTCACAAATAGGCCTTCATAGAATGCATTGTTTGAAAATAACTAGTGGTTTTGATATCATACTTAAGCATCTTGGGTTAAAAACTAGCCTCAAAGTGGAATTTTAGTTGCATTGCATACTTTCTTAGTCCTTTTTATCATTGTTAAATATTATTGCGTTATCAAAATTTGGATTTGTTTTGCAGTTCGTTTTTTGGACCAGATGTGTTGCATGGCTCGCTGGGCCTGGTTGATCTCGGATGGCGGAAATCAATATCCTGCGAGTGTTGCTAGCTGTCCTACTCGGTTTGGCTGTTCTTGCTTACTTTGCGCTGCAATATTATGGTGAGATTTTGATTTTTAATCATATATACCAGCCATGGAATTGTTTTGCTTCAAAAATCTCAGGATTCAATTTTAAAACTGAACAAAACATTGAATGTATCCTAAGACATTTTAACATGAAGAAAGTGTTGATATTCTGATTTTCATAGGACAAACTGCATACACAATTTTTCTTTCCATGCTTTCTCTGCACCTTTAAAGGTAGCAAGCTAGCTAACGTTTTTGAACAGAAAAGCAACCAAGCACAAATTAAAGGATGTTAACAAATAACCATTTAACGACTAGTCTTTCGACAATTTATAACCAGGGGACAGGTGAGGACTGTTTTGGCGTTTAGAGTTTACTGACATTTACTTAGGAATATTCTCAGCATTTGCTTTGATGTTAATTTGCAGTTTCATTTGTTATGTTTTGTTGAATACAGTCTTAGGCTCATGGTGCAAATAAGCTCACCTCTGGTACTGCTACATAACCATTTGAAATGAAATTTGACATTCGCGTAAAAACTTTCTTGTGATAAAAGCAAGGCTACAGTTGTGCCGAATTTGTAAACACAAGTTTCATGCTGAAGAATCGAGAATTTGGTGATTTGAAAAACTGAGCATTTTTCCAAAAGTTGATAGCATCATGCCTTTTCTTGATACATTAATCCATGCTCTAACTGCATGCTTCATAGTCGAGAAGTTCTCCACTGCCCAGTGAAAAGCAGTCATTACAATAATTCTGTACGGCCTACTTGCTATTCACGCTGTTTTTAGCGCTAAGCTACTGATCCGAAGCTTCGGCTACCGAAATTAACCTTCTAAATGCTGAAATCTTCTTTCGTTTTAGATTCACTCTGGATTCCATGCAACCTATTCAAGTATGCATTGCGAGGAGACAGCCCGTGTCTACGTGGCAGATTCAACGATACTTTATTGGTAATAACATTCAATTTTCCTCTTTATAAAAGCTTGCCTCTCTTGTATTCGATGTACCGCAGTGCGTTTCCTAATATATATGTTTGTGGGCCGAAGACAAAAAAGACGTCTACGAGAACGGCATTCGAAAACTCTGTTAATTTTCTTGACATTCACAAGGGATACTATGCTTACGATTGTGTATCTGAAGCGATATTGCGCCATCGAAACTACTCTGGATATCTTTTCCTAATGGATGACGTTTTGCTGAATTTTTGGACGTTGCAAGGGTTCAATTTCAATCGACTTTGGGAGGGTCCAAAACAGCCGATTGCAGTTGGGAAGTTTTCACCTCCTTCGCTATGGTATTGGTGGCAATCGCGCTGGGGAAGAAATAAATGTCAGAAAGCTTACAACGAAGTGCATCATATGAAAAAAGACTCTCCCGAAACAGCAATTATTGCTTCTGAATTGCTGTCGAAACTGCGTCGTAACGGCAATGGTGTTACCCGATGTTTTCGCGGTAGATCAGATATATTTTACGTCCCCCGTAAGTTCGCGAAGAAGTTCAGCATGTTGTCGTCGATATTTCGTAAACACGAGGTTTTTCTCGAAATAGCGGTGCCAACAATATTTCGAATGCTTGATCGTGCTGAGAATTTCGAGACACTTCGAGGACACTATTTGCCGGGAAGGGTTGGTGAAGAACCCGTTACAGATGGCAGATACTTCTGGACTTTGTATGACGAGGATTTGAATTTTCAGCATCCGCTCAAGTTGCATTATGGCTCAAATTCGACAATGAACTTTGCGATTTTACAAAACTGGTTCTTAGTGAAAGTATCAGAAATGACAAATTGTCGTTCTAATGAAATAGTATGAATTCAGAGCTGTAACCAGTTTGGGTTGTCTTGTCAGCAAAACACCCCTTTATTTTCAAAAACATCTAGGTGTCATTCTATCGTTACATGAAGTGCTTGGTGTTGGATGCCAAGTGAGGGTAATCACCTTGTCATTCATATTAATAATTCTTTCGTCTGTACCAGTTGCTCCCATCAACCCACCACCACCGTATGGCCACAGGCACGAATTAAAATTTCGTGAAAATAAATAATTTGAAATGGGCATGCTGTTGAGATATTTTTCTCATCCGATGTCTCAGTTGAAGCCTGCAATCCCTCCATTCTTTTGTCATCTGCTATTGTTCCATTCTTTTGTCATCTGCTATTGTCAGCCGCTTCGCTCATTGGCTTTTCAAGTATCATGTCAATCATCGAAGCATGTTCTCATGAATGTCCCGCTCTACCTGCTTGCTAATTTCAGCACTAATTGTTTTATACAGATGCCTAGATGAATGCAGAATAAGTTAGCTTTACAATTGTAAAAATAGCATTGATTTATTGTAATGTTTATTGCTATAAGCATGTTTTGAGATTGTTCTGATAAGGAAGTAAGAGTTTCAATGTAAACTAAAGTATTTATTTTAGTCTAATTTTTATCTGGCGTGTACAAGGATAAATAAATGCAGCATGATAAGTTGAACAGAAACCGAGTTCGAAAAAGGTATTTATTAATCCAAACTTTTTTGTTTAGAAGGCTTAAGAACAATGCAATTAATTTATGAAATTAAGAATCAATACTAATTTACTATGGTGAGACATTAATGATGGGGTTACCATTTTACGTATAGGTGTGCCTACAAGAAATATTGATAAATAAGACTAATAAAATCAAAGCCTTTTTCTCATCTGGTCCGATTTATGTTTCACTCAACTATTTTTTAGAAGAGTTGATAACATCTGAGTTATCCAAACTGTTTTTAAAATAGACGAAACAGCTATTCAAATTTATTGATTTCTAAGTTTTGAAATTAGAGTATTTAAATAGTTTTTAATAGTATTTAAAAAGGATTTCGTTTTCAACATGAGACTCCAGTAGTAATGCTTACGATGGCAATGCAGCACTGGTTGGGCATCTTTAACTGTCATGAACTCGCATTTCCTTTTATTTTCCTATTCAGATGATAAAAATTGATGTTAAAGACTAGTGTTTTGTCATTAAATTAGAGGCTTGCAATTTGTTCAACACTTTTTTAGGTTCAGGAAATTTTCAGAAAAAGCAAAATACTCTAAAGGTACATCCCAATTCAATTAAGATTTAGCAATATCGTAAATTTCTTTTAAACATTCATGTCAATTTAAAATTTAGTTAAAGAAATCATTATAAATTATGTCAAAAATTAGTTTTAGCAGCTCCAGTCAAACAAATGTAACATATTCATTTGATTATTATTTATGTTTGTGTTACTCATAACCATTTATCATTATTGGTGATCGATATTCTAAAAAGTTTCTCGTCTGGTTTAATCGTTAAGGCCTCCGACAACAGGGGCCAGTGGCAATGGCACCCTAAACGTTTTGAAAAGCCAACATGCTTTTTGAAACTCTTTTTAATTTTCTTCAATTTGCTAATGCCTCCTCCCTCATTTTATTGCTTACGTTTAATGCCCTGCATAAATAGCTCAAAAATACACGATCGCCAGCAATTCTTCTGATGCTATAAATTCACCCTCATAGTGGCATTTTAGTTGTGTAACATTGCAAAAGCCCTACTTTCGGGATTTTAACACGTGTCATCGCTTTTCCCTAAAGCATCATCACTTCAGCCTATTAACTGATTATCAACCGACTTAGAAGCACACGATCATGCTTTGTTATTGCCTGCACTCCATTGATAAAGCATTTATCGTCTTAGATTCGCTTTGCTTTTATTACCAGATTTGAATTCTGGTTTTTGCCTAGTTTTGGTGAAGTTTGCTTTATTTCCACTTTGTTTCCATTATTAGCAAACATACTGCTGAATTACATTGTAAATGTTGGGGATTTTTGCTTGCTTTGTTTTGATAGTCAACAAGTGTTTTTCAAAATTGGAAAGGTTTTGATAGAGTCAACAGCCTTGATGATGTGTTTTGTATGAAAACATTTTATTGCTTCTGAAATGCTTTCAATTTTCATTATTCTTCTTTTACTCAATTTCAAGTAATCTCCAAATATATCATAATGAAATCTTTGAAGTTCGCGTAGCATATAGTTTATTGGACAGGCAAGTCCCAGGTTGTTCCTCTCTTTCACACTTAAGTTTGAAGCATCATCACATTTTTGGTAAACAATAAGTGGAAAAAATCTACGGCGGTATCTGAAGGCCACAGGTTCCTGGACTTTCACTTGACTTTGGAAAATCAAGATTTGAGCATGGCAAGATATTCAACTGTTTTTATAAGCACTATTCTTTAAAGCAAGAGCCTCAGCAATTAGGTAAAACATTATGTGACGACTGCATTTTAACAACCCATTTTTTGTTTTCTGGTCTGAAGTTTAATCGAATTTAAGATCCTTCGATCAAATCATTCTTGTAACATTTCAAAGTTCGAATTTCAGAAGTTCAACCAGTTCAGGACTGTAAACAACTCGTACAACTGCAGGCATAAAATATTAGATGACTTTGTTCTTTAGATTTGTCTTTCTGTCAGCAGCCCAAGACCTTATTCTTATTCACTATTCTTGTTCACTTATTCTTATTGACTAGATCTTATTCAAAACAAGTTGTGAACGAAAAGGAATTTTGTTGCCATCTGTTTCTTCATATCTTTATTCTCCCTTTTGCTCGCATCATCGTTGCTAGAGAGTAGCGATTCCATTCAACATCCAACAAGGTAACAGGAAAGTAGACCGCTAAAGTACAGACTAGCAAAAATTAGAAACAAGTTAAGAACAGGGTGAGGCTAAAGTACTTTCAACATAATTTTGAACAAGATTGGTTAACTTGCGCTTTTCTATTATTTGCGTAACGTATCGAAACTTTCATATTAGCAAAAATGTTATGAAAAGCATTGCAACGTAAAAGAATACATGTGAAGGACATTCGTCGGTAAGAGCATTTTTCAATTTTGTTCTTAAGTAAAATGTTTTCTCGTGTTTAAGTTTCTTTAGCATTTCTTTAGCAAGCACAATCAAACTTCGAAGAAAAATTGATAAGGCCCAGCTTAAACCTCATTTTACTGGTTCTTGTATAAAAATGTTGCAAACAATTTAGTTGTTAATGCAGGTCAGAAATTCAGCTAATAAGCTGATGTTGGCCTGCAAATTACAGTTTAAAATGAAAAGGATATTTACAAAGGTTTTTAAAAACGTAGTAATTGCTAATACACGAAAAATTGTTAAAAGTAAATAAAATTTGAAATGTCTTTCTTTGTAACAACTGACGATGATCCGAACGATATGTTGTCTACCAGATTACTTTGTTTTTTTCAGAGCAAATTTAAATGAATTGTAGTTAGGGGAACATTTTACCCCCTCTGGAAGTGCATTCCAAATAATAGCAGCACGATGTTTGAATGTCTGCCTTCCAGTTTCTGAACGTAGTCGCCCTAGCATCATCTTCTGGTTGTTTCGCAAAGATCTTGTGTTCTCTTTCTTCAGCATTAACGAATTAATAGCTTCATGTGACGGGCCATAGTAAGTAGTAACACTGATATGCAATAAGTCTTTTTTGTATAGATAGCTTATTGGCTTCCATTTTGCATACTCGAGTACTTGGTGGTTCGGAACTGAGGATGGTATTTTGTGGATGCTCTAACATGAAAATTTTCAAGCTCTGCTATTGATGACAAGTTACAGGATGCCCATACTGATATACCACAGGTTGCACTTTGCAGAAAACCTTTGAAATAAATTTCTTCTAGGACTTTGGCTGACATTGATCTTAGTTTCTTTAAAAACTTTAATTTTCCAATTCGGTTCTTACAAACCTTTCTGATTTGTTGTTTCCAATTTAAATTTTTGTCAACAGTAATGCCTAGACAATCAGACTTTTCAACAATTTTGATTTGCTTTTCATTGAGCCATAATGAATGCATATATTTAAGGTGGTTATTACCATATGTTATTACGAATAAGGTGGTAAACATTTTGTAGCTCATACTAATTCTGCTTGTGATTGCTTGTGAATCAGTTCTGGTTTGTAGACGAGAAATAGTTGAATTGAGCTGTTTGGAATTTGGAAATTTCGCCGACTTCGGTAATTTAAGGTGTTTTAGTCTGTCTACTATTCATTTAGACGATGAATAGTAGACAGTGTGAATTCCCGTTTAAATAACTTAGTCAATCATCATTATAAAGTTTTACAAATGTCAAATTTCGAATTGGTTGCCTTGAAAGCAAACAGGCTGGCAGATTTGTACCAGCCAAATTACACATCAGTCCTGCACTGTATTACCAATCTTAAGGTTTGTAGAAAAAATTTATTGCAAAGTCAACAGTTTCCAGAATGTGTGCAAGTGTGAAATAATATTTGTGGTGTATGTTTGCACGTAGGGATTTCTAATGTGGTTTTAGTCCCTGCCTATGAATAGCGTTCGCTTTCCTTTTCGCCATAATTCTCCTTCGACAATATCAAAACGCGATTTTTAAGGTGTGATGACGTGGAAAAATTTCATTTTTGTTAATAGTAGAGAGAAAAGTTTGAAAGGTTAAGCCTGCTAGGGTAAAAATCGAAACTTCAACGGATACTTTGTTTGAGCTTTTGTGAATTGAAAAGGCTTTTTGAGTTTAGATATGATGTGATTTCTAGGCACTCCAGTGGCAGTTAACTATGTATGACGTCATTTTTCAAACACACTAATTTTTATATGCAGAGCGTCAAGCTGTTTGTCTTGGTTTATCTCTGATGGCTTACATGACTCCTTCGTACCTAGAAAATCGTAAAGCATTAGTTTCCATAATGAGTTTTCATTCATAGAGATATGCTGGCGTTAATCTTCTTTCAAACGGCTGTATCAGGATTTGGCCAGATGAGAGAAAATGTCTGTTTAGAGGCCATTCATTTATAATACTGTGATGATGGGGTTATCGGGTAGGCCAAGTGTAAGGGTTTGATTGTCGGGACTCATTTTTAGATGTCTTCCGCTTATAGGCCCGCGTATGAAATGTTCAATTCCACCTAGCAGTTTTGGAATCTATCTACATAAGCACGAAAAAACCGCTACTGTGTAGACAAAAGGAGTTCGTTTTCACCTTAGGACTCCATTGGTAACATTCTCAATAGGCAAGCAGCACTGATTGGTCAACCTATACAGTCATGTGCTCGTGTTTTCTGATTGGCCTATTTCGATCCACGACTGGGTATATATATTTCCTAGCGTAGAGTTTTCGATCTATGTTCTGACGTTTTAAACTCTGAAGAGTGTCAGACGAAAAGCTTTAGTTTACTAAATGTTTGCTTTTTTCAAAGCCATTTACAAGAAATGTTCAATGCAATACATGCAATATTCATAACCCAAGCAATGCTGTCTTAACATAACAATGACACTTTTTAGAGGAGAAGGAGATAAAGAACAAAGAGAGCGAAGTGCCAATTTTTGATATATTTCATTTGATGCAGATCTTTCATTTGCAAACGATTATGTGTCTAGGTTTTTCTTTTTTTAGAATTTATATCTAAAAAAAGATTTCAGTCGTTTCTTAGTATTTCAGTCGTTTTAAAAAAGCAGTGATGTCATCGTGGTTTATTTCTCCTCTGAATGCCCAAGCCTCATAAGAGCAGCTAGCGTGTCCAATGACTTTTGTATGGTTTAAAGTACATTTTGGAAATGATTGAGGGGCTAAAGACCCCGAAACTCCCCCTCCTCCCTTCTTCCGTGGTCCGTGCATACGCACTAAGGAACTGTTTTGAAGTAAAAAAGGAATTTTGCTTAATATTTAGCCACGTCATGGAATCTGACATTATCTTCAATGTATTAGAAAACTGTGGTGATGAAGAATTACAGATTTTCCATTATCGTGCAATATTTTCTTAAAACAAACAAAGATCTTTGCAGACATCAATCATCTGTTGATGCACTTCCAGGAACACGGAACACGGAACACGTCAACAAGCGTTCCCCTCCTTTACTGTATGAAATGTGCCTAGAAATGAATTGCAAGATGTTATTATAATTTACCATAAATTATCGTATTAAGTTAGAAGTTATCTCTAGAGGTTGTACTAACTCTCCTTGTTTTACTTACTTAGTAGCACAAAAAAATTAGGCTCCCTTCAGAACAGTTGTTGTTTTCATGGTTACTTCATTTTCTATGCACCTTTGCCAGTTATTTTCATCTATAACTGCAATATTTGCTTCGCTTTGCTGGATTTTCCCAGTCGAAACATCACATCTTGCTAGGGCGGTAGCTTGAATTGAGGCTATCGAAGTGTGTAGCCATTTACTTCGTTGCCAGTTATTTCTAGCAATTTGTGATTGATTTTTGAAATTTTATGAGATTCTCTTATATTCTGACACAAGGAGTGCCGTGTGGATAGGGGATAGAACAAACGAATAGTTACTCGCAATATTTGATTTCATTTGGGATCAAATGAAGACATTTCCATTTGCAATTTGCAGCTTGACTTCAGTTACTGAACCCCCAGCAGAATTTATAGGAACTGATACTGTGAATGCAATGCCGCTGCACAGGGGCAAAAGAGGCCATTTATTAGAACACAATGCAAATATGTATAAAAGCATTGAATGTCTTTTCCCATGGAGCAAGATCTGCTTTCGTAGCCGCAATATTGCATCCGGGTTATTACAAATGGAAAAGACGCTATTTGCTAACAACGCTTATGGTTACCTGTGGTCAGACTCATGCACCTGTAATATTTGCTTCAATTGTCTGAATTATTGACGGCTGTCATAAGTTATGTAAGATATCTGGCACTTTTTAAGGCGATTTCTGTGTATTGTTCTCATTTCCTGGTTTCTCATTGCAGACGATCAGTGAATGCCTGTAAAGTGTCATCGCTCATAGTTCCGGGTTTCTGAGTTTGTGACCTTTATTTGAACTGCTCTAGCTTATGCTGAGCACAACTTCAAGTGGGAGTATAAATCAGTTTAATTTGCAGCCATCGTCTTTCGCTGGAAGTCAAATCAGCTCTCTGTGCATCGAATGTGATCCTTTAGTTGGTTTTTCTTTATTGCCCAATAGGCATCAACTTGAAACAT